AGGTTATTGCACCAGAAAGGGTGAGAGTCTTTTTATGGTTTGTTGTCCATCAAGTTATCATGACAAACGTGGAACGACAAAGGAGACATCTCAGTGATACAGGTGTTTGTCAGGTGTGTAAGGGAGGGGATGAAACAATAGTACATGTCCTTCGGGATTGCCCTGCCATGGCAGGTATTTGGACCCACATAGTTCCCGTGCGAAGGCAACATAACTTCTTCTCTGCATCCCTACTAGAGTGGTTATATGAGAATCTTGGGAGCAATGACGTAGTGAGTAGTGTTTCTTGGTCTACAATGTTTGCCATGGCCGTGTGGTGGAGCTGGAAGTGGAGATGTGGAAATGTCTTTGACTCAAACATCCGGTGTCGTGACAGAACAGCTTTTGTCAAAGAGCTTGCAAAAGAAGTAGAGCTAGCACACGCGAAGAGGCGCCAAGGTACACGGGTGATTGAGCGTGTAGACAGAGGGATATCGTGGGTGCCACCAAATATGGATGGATGAAGTTAAATACTGATGGGGCATCAAAGGGTAATCTGTGCCTTGCTACTGCTGGGGGAATCCTCCGTGATCTGAGTGGGAATTGGTGTGGCGGGTTTGTCCTGAATATTGGAGTTTGCTCTGCTCCGCTAGCAGAGTTATGGGGAGTATATTACGGACTCTATATTGTCTGGGAGCAACACGTGACTTGACGGCAGGGATAAGCGACTATCATCCGCTGTTGTTCTTAGCAAAACTTTGCTATGGCTTCATATCGAGAGATTGGCTTGTCCGGATCTCACATGTCTATCGCGAGGCCAACCTCTTGGCAGATGGTTTGGCTAATTTCGCTTGTACTCTTCCCTTAGGATTTCATTATTTTGATTTATGTCCAGAAAGTATTATCCCAATCTTGTCGGATGATACGAATGGTACTGTTAGGACACGAGCTGTTCGAGTGTAGAAGGTTTTCTATTTGAATAAAAGTGAGAGACATTGTCTCTCGCCCTCGACCAAAAAAAGTAAGTGCTTGTTATACTACACAATGCTGATTTCGTTTTCGTCCTATCTTTCTAGTAGCAATACATAATGATTTTATTTTTCTTATGTATAGCCAAGTAAATGTATCGTTCCGACGTTTTAATCAATTTTCCAACAGTACATAGAGACAAATCATTAACTACAATAAATTGGTTCATAGTTTAGAACAGACTGTCACCAATGTAAGAAACAGAAGCCGAATTCATATAAATAAAAAGACTTACAACATCAACGATCACTCCTTTTATTGAGAGATCAATTAACATCAAACATGAAGTGCAATTAACTGACTCTTGGAAGTTGGAAGAGAGAATAGATACGTCTACTTACTTAACCAACCTGAAACACAAAACACACACACACACACATGTGACGAAATCAAGAGTTTTACTCGCATTCTGTGTCTTCGATCTATGAACCACTAGTAAGAATGAGAGTTACCTGGATTCATACATAATGCATCAAAGGAGTTCAAGAACAAGAGCAGAAGCACCTCCTCCTCCGTTGCACACTCCTCCCACACCGTACTTTCCGTTTCTCTTCCTTAGTATCCCAAGCAATGTGATTAGAATACGGGCCCCACTGCAGCCTAGAGGATGTCCTAAGGAGACAGCTCCTCCATTTACATTCACCTTCTCCTGTCAAGGCAAAGAGGAACAAAACGAGGTTAAGATGACTGAGAGGACGATGATCTCAAGAGACTCAGATGAAGTAGAAGACTGACCGGAATAATCCCAAGTAGCTTTTGGTTTGCAAGTGCTACAACCTGCGGAAAAAAGCCAGTTCCAGTAAAAATTAGCCATCACAAATGTTTGTCTATTCTTAAGGGGAAGAAGATAGATTATCTTACTGCAAATGCTTCATTGATCTCATAGTAATCAACTTGAGAAGAATCCAAACCAGCATGTGCAATGGCTTTTGGAATTGCAAGAGCAGGGGCAGTAGTGAAAAACTCAGGTTCCTGCAGGGTTTAAGTCTCACTTAGTGAATGGAATAATAATACAACTAAAATGTTGTATATAAGAAGGGAAGACAATATTATAAGTACAGTAATTTACCTGAGCCGCGTCACCATAACCTTTAACTTTTGCTAATACTTGAAGTCCTAGTTGAAGCGCCTTCTCTCCACTCACTAGGACAAGTGCAGCTGCACCATCACTGTCAAAGGGAGACCAACTTTACATAAGAAAAAGAGAAGATGCAACTCTAACCAAGATCCATTTTATGGATTCTATAAAAGATGAGAATGTGTAATCATCTAGAACAAAAGGACCTTATGCTAGACGCATTTCCAGCTGTAACAGTGCCTCCATTCTCCTTGAAACTCGGACGGAGTTTCCTCAATTTTGCAGCATCAAACTGAGACATATGTAGCAAAACCATACTAACTTAGTTCTCATGTATTGGAGTTAAATTTTATGATTGGCATACATGAACATGGGATAAAATTTATCAATAAGTATTCGATGAACAATGAAACCTATAACCAAAAGGAAACATAAACAAATCACCTTCCCAAGACCTTCGTCCTTGTCAACAATGGTTGATGGTCTACCCCTTCCTCCGGAAACTTCAACCTGTATGACCAAATTAGCTCTACTATATTCAGCATATACATCGCTTTAACAAAAACGATACCAATATATACTAACCGGGACGATTTCCCATGTGAAGGCACCAGCTTCCTGTGCAGCAATACCACGCTCAAAACTCTGAACTGCGTAATCATCCTGCATATCCATCATCAGTAGGACACAAATCAACCAGTTAATGTTTTTGAGCTTCCATAAACAATGAGCAACCAATTCTTGCGTTGCACAGTTTCGGAGAGAGTGGCATCAAGAACAAGAAATAAGACAGTGATTGTTCATTCAAGAAAGTTGAAGAACATACCTGTTGCTCCCTCGTTATCCCAAACTTCTCAGCGCATAATTCTGCACAGCTTCCCATCCCACAGTCGTTATAGACATCCCATAGTCCATCTTTTAGCATTCCATCTACCAGAGAATCATGACCGAATCGAGATCCTTTCCTGCATCAAAAACTTGAATCAGAAACTATGAAAACTGATAATTGCAAATAGTATAAAAGACCAAATCAATTTACCTAGCTTCCGCCAGATATTTTGGTGTATTAGACATGCTTTCCATGCCACCCGCCACAACTACATCATTGATCCCTAACTGGATACTTTGAGCAGCAAGCATCACCGCTGAAACCACCGGAAAATAAAGTCTCCCTCATCTTAAAAATAAGTGTCAAAAGTCTTAAAAAAGGCAGAGCCCAAATGTCCAGAGTTTCTCACCTTTCATGCCTGATGCACAAACCTTGTTGACTGTGGTACAGATAACAGAGTTAGGGATCCCTGCACCTAAAGCAGCCTGACGAGCAGGAGCCTGACCCAGATTTGCACTAAGAACATTGCCCAATACAACTTCTTGGACGAGAGACGGGTCAACATTAGCTCTCTTCAGAGCAGCTGTAGGGGGGAAGTAAGAGTAAAAGCAAAAAGGCAAGTCAATTATATATAAGCTTACACAGAAGAAATGAAAAGTGATGTGTTTCAAGGAAGCTGACCTGCAATAGCTACGGATCCAAGCTTTGTGGCGGGTAAAGATGAGAGAGATCCGAGAAAGCCGCCCATGGGAGTGCGTGCAACACCAACGATGCAAACATCTGTTTTCAACATTGCCTGTGTAAACATTCTTCCCAGGCGATATGGATCAGGAAGAGAAAAGAGTGATAGTACCTCTGGGATTGACGGAATCAGCTGTATTATGGGCCATGGATGATAATCTACAGAAAATGCAGGAAAAGTCAGCAAGGGACCCATCTCATCAAAGAGCCAGATCCATGTTTAACGTAATTGAGAAGCGTATAAGATCCAACGAGAGATGCGGAGATCTAGAGTGATCGCTTACCCGAGACGTCAATTCAGAGAGAGAGAGAGAGAGCGAAGAACTCAATGGAGGGGAGCTGAAAGATCAGAAGTGACTCGTTCTTGAATACGACGACAACCAATTCTAGAAATATATATTACTCGAAACAGAGAGAGAGAAAGAGAGAGGGAGAGTATACGAGAAAGTGAGAGTCCTGTAAAACAGAGCGTTCTCTTTGGTGAATCAGTGACGATAACTACGATGAAGAGCAACAACACGCCGGCTATGTGATCTCAATCTTTATTTTTAAATTATTATTTATTCTCTTAACCCCTTCTTTTACATGAATCCTAACAGATACCAATCTATTTCCTAAAAATTGGGAAATTTATACGAAACTTTAGCTATTTACAACATAGACCTCTCCATTAGAATTTTGTTTTGTAAAAAAAAAAGAGGTTGTTGAAGCAGAAAATGATCCAATCCGATGGCGGGAGGGGGGGTTGGGTGGAGATTGTGACAGAGATTCTCTCGACACGAACAGATAAAGCAAATGTGTAATATTATACTACTCTCTGGAGCAGGATCACATGTTGTTGTAAGTTGTAACATAAAGTTGCAGTTTGATATAGTTCAAGAGTTAAGGGAAGCTGCCATATGAATCTTTCATTGTGACTAGTTTCAATTTTTCAGATCAAAATGACTTCAATCAGTGGACAGCATTAGGGACGTGAACAAGAAACATTCCACTGTGCGAGATTAACATATCTGATTAGTTGGTTTATATTTATACCCAAGAAAAGATGTAAAAGATATATCTAAAAATATAAATTTAATTTGTTATATTAATTAAATTAAAGAAAATGAAAAACAAATCTCTGAACAACCTCGGAATAATTTAGCAAATTTTCGAACAAGGATTTTCTTTTCATTTAAGCAAGGTTTAAGGAAGGAAATAAATAAATAAATAAATAATTATGAAAAAAGAAAGGGATACAAAAACCCTATATCTCGGTTCTCTCTCTCCCAAGCTTCCTACTGCCTTGAAAGTTCGCAGAGCCGCCGTCAAACCCCAAATTTACCGACAGAGAAGCGACTAGAAATGTCTACCGGTGAGGGAGGCCACATGGCGGTGGCCGATAGAGGCACCAGAAAGAGGAGAGTCGGCGCAAAGAACGGTGGAAAGTCGAAGAGTAAGAAGTTCAAGACAACGCCTTCTTCCTCTGACAGGTTTAAGGTTACCACGAAGAACAAAAAGCTCTTTCAGAAGAGAGCGCGAGACTACAATTCCGACGACGACGAAGAGGATGAGCCGAAGAAGGCACCGGAGGTAACCAATTTTGAGAAGATATTCACTGATGCTAACATGGGGCCGAACTACGATGTAATCGAAGACGAAGAAGGCTCGGACCAGGATGATCATTCCGATGGGGAAGACCATGGAGAGATTGAATCTGGAATCACCAGGTTTTCCACTGATGATGGATGCAACGCCTTCAAAACCGCTTTCAGGGCTATCATGAAGAAGACCAAAGGAGATGATACTTTGGTGAGCTCTCATTCTACTTGCCTTGGAAAACCCTAATCCTGATTCAGATTTGGGAAAAGTATAAAAAAAAACTTGTCTTTTGGTTTGTGGAACAGGGTCCAGTGTTATCAGCACATAAGCATCTTATTGGTCAGAAGCTAGCTGAAGAAGAAGCTGAAAAGAAGGCCAAGGGTCAAGCCAGAAAGGCTAAACATGTGGTATGATTTTGGTTGCTTTCACTCACCATTTTTTTTTTTGTTTTTGCTGTTTGATTGTGCTTTTTTGATGATGACTTGCTGCAACAATGCCTTTAGGTTGCTGAGAAAGGACATGTTAAACCTGCAAGCTATTTGGATTCCCATGAAAAGATTCTTATAGGCGTTGCCACTAAAGGAGGTATGTATGGTTTCCCCAATGCTGAATTAAGTTATAACTCTCTCTTTCAGATTGTTTGGTGTTTTCTTTCTTCTGTTAATACTGACTCAGTTTCTTCCATGAACTCGTGGATTCACAGTGGTCAAGCTTTTTAATGCTGTAAGTTTGTTTTCTACTTCATTTCGTCGCTTGTTTATTCTCTGGAGAGTGCTTCCTCTGATTCAAACCTTGTTTTTTTTGAAATAGGTAAACAAGGCTCAACATGCTCAGAAGGGTTTGAATGCTTCAAGGTCGAAAGACGCCAAAGGTAAATGCTTTTGATATTGATCTTTCGTATGAATCTTTCTGCGTCAACTGTCTTATGTTTGCCTTCTAAATCTGTTTTTTTTTTTTCTGTTCTGTTGCAACATCCATCAGTGTTAAAGAAGCGAAGAAAAGAAGCATTCTTCTCGGAGTTAGGGAAATCGAAGACAGATTATAAGGTTTGACATAGTTTACATATCTCTCAGTCTCTCTTTATCTTGACAAATTTGAGTGTTTTTAAACCGTTTGCCATTGGATGGACGTATAAGCATGTTAGTGCTCTGTCTTGATCTGGCTTCTAGAGAGAAATTAACTGAACGAATCACCTTCATTAGCAAGAACTGTTAGCTATAAGTCAATAACTTGGTGATTTACTAGTGAGATTCTGTCGAATGGTGCAGGCTCAAAAATCTTCAAATTCCCATGAAGATGAAGCTCCTCCTGCTTGGGCTCCTCTTCGTGATAATTACATGTTAGCAAACCCAAAGCTGAAGGACTGGGACAAAAAACAGGTATCATTCGTTCTTTTTTCCCACAGTTCTGAAACCATCTCACTCTTTGCCTGAAACTTGAAATTTGAACGGATGCAGGAAACTGGCGAGGGAGATGATTTTGCTGCTTTATCAGGAGATGAAAGTTATGAAGACTGAGTTTAAACCAGTAGTTACATTACTCACAAACTTTCTCTTTTTTGTATTATGCAATTTTGTCTGATCAATATGAATGAATCCAGTTTTTTTTTTATAGACTTGAACGCAAGATAGTGTAATATCAAGATATAAAAAGAGGTTATGATTCTTGTGGTTTTAGCTTTTGAAAAAATAGTATCAGTAGCACACATGTACTCTGGTAATTAGTGAAAGCAAATTAGTAAAACATATGCAGATTTACGTATAAATATGAAAGAGATATACACACTCGTGGTCTTGCCTTGGCTACAACAGAACAAAATTTAAGGATCCTGCTTCTCAATCTGTAGAAGAGTTTCACTGCCACAGGTCAAATGCTTAAGCAGCAAATGACAGAAGAAGATGACAACCTTACGCAAAAAGAGGCAGAAGCATGAGCCCTCTAAGCAAAGAATGAAACTGGTGATCCTAAAACTGCCCATTATAGTTACATCTCTTCGTCTGATATCTCCCACTTTGTGGCATCCTCAGTAGCTTCTTGCTGGGCTTAGCGGGTCGTAATCATAAGCCTCACCCGACTTGACGAACCTTCCCTTCACACGCCGTCTCACATCAGCCCTTTCTTTCCTCGATACATACCTCACTCGCTTGTCAAACCTGTTCATACAATTTATATGTACATCACAATTAGCAATGATAACCTTCCACTGATGATGAACAAAACCCCATTTTCCAAGTGGTGGTTTTTTATACTTACTTGCGAGCCTTCTTCTTCTCTTTGTAACGCATAACAGCGTTGTTACGTGTTGTTGCATGTGAGGAAGCGCTAATCTCCTGTGATGTTGGAGGGAACCATGGTGGTGGCTCTCTTGAGAGCTGCTTCATCGAAGACGCCCCACAATCTTGGAAATCTCCAGTATTACTTTCTCCAATGACACCAGAGAAGGATATATTCGAATGAGATGGCTGTGATGAGAAGCAAATGATTGGCTCCGTTCTACAGCTCATGAACGAATCTCCAGATGCAGCATTGCTTACGGCTGGCTGCTGCATTGCGTTTATTGAACCCTGAGTTAAGAGAAAAAAAAAATACAGAGAGCATAAGAACCACAGAAAAAAAACTCATCCTTTACTGTAGTGATACTAACAATCTGATAGAAGAAGAAGGTTGAAAGAACCTCATGTTTCTCGAAAAGACTTCCGATTCCACCGTGTTCAAAGAGATCTTTTGAAGAGTTGTATGCTGTACCAAAGAGTTCTTCGTACTTCTCAAAAGTCAAGTCCACTTCATCCATAATGAGATTGCCACAAAAGTCATCTTCGGATACTCCAAGCTCCTGCAACCAAAAACAATCACAAGAGACACATTTAGATGCCAGTTTGCTTTCAAGATTCTAACCACACAACAATATGAAGAAAAACCATGTAAATTTACCTTATCCATTGTGGAATTTTCTGGAACACTAGAGCGATCCATACCTTGTGCAGCAGAACTGGTTCCAGGCTGATCATTTTCAACGGCTGGTTTTTCTCCTGTGTCCTCATCTATAGTCATCAAACCCATTCCTTGCTCACAAGCAGATTGTCCAGCAGAAGAGAAATCCAAATCCATACAGAAAGACCATATGGAGGCAAGCTCGTCACTCGAAGGGCAACCAGAGTAGCAGTTGATGGTTTGTCTTTTATGATGCGAAGTAGCTCCGTTGTGGCCTGACCAATCGCAGTTTTGACAGAGAGAAACCTTCTCTTCGCTGCACCGGACAGACGCTGGCTGCGCATTGCACCGCTCACATATCAAAGTCCGAGAATGACGTTTGGATAAAGCGTTAGCAGAATGAACATTACGGTCACACGAGAGGCACAAAGACGCTGCATCAGACCGACAATACACCATTGATCTTTGCTCACCACAGAAGTCACACATGTAACCCATTTGTTTTTTCTTTCAAATGAACCAATCTGATGTTTGGCTCAAACCGTCACGCTGGAGAAAAGCAAGCTCCTTTCACTGACCATAAATTAAATTTAAACCCTTTCTGTTAGTACTTATGTCGGAGAAACACTTACCACAATATGCATTATATAACTAATAACCTCTTGACTTTAGTCACTTAGATATGGTCTTGATATTAGAGGAGTAAGCAAGTCCAGAAGTAGAAGAAAGATCTAGCCTTTTCAGCATTTCTTAATTAAAGGTTGTAACTTCTATAAACGGGAAGAACAAAAGTCAAACGAACTATGCATGAGACTGCTAGAAATCAACATAAATCGAACGACAGAACAGAGCAGCCAATAAAATCACAGAAAAACTAAGCTCAAGCTTCAAATTTCAGATCAACGTAGTGAGCTCGAATTTTTTTCAGATTTTGTAGGAATAATCAGGTATTCTAATTACAAAAAATCTCATATCCCAACCCATTAAAATAGACAACAGATATATAAAAGAGAATCAGAAAGAAGTTCAACATAGATCCATTTTCGAGATCAGCTAAAAAAAGATGGAGAGAATCGAACAATTCTCAGTCAAATAAGAACACAGGGGTTTAAAATAAAAGAACTCACGTATGAGAGATATCGTCGAGTATATCTTCTGTAGCAAAAAAACAACAATTGTTGTTTGGGTAAACGAAGAAGCTTGAGAAGAGAAGAGAAGCGATTTCTGTTTTGTGTGTGAAAAAAGGGTAAAGAGAGATGGATGGATAGACAATGGGTGGGTTGTCCTCAAAGGGACATGTAGGCATGTGACATAAGCTGATAAAAACTACAAAAAATTGGGGGAAAAAGTGCAAAAAGTCTCATTTCTCGAGGACCCCACAGATATTTAAGGAGTTATAAACGCCACGCGCTCGCATGTAAAGAAATATATATACTCGCGTTGTGGAATGCACACGTGAACCATTTTTGTGCTCTTTTCCCGATTATTCATTCTCAAAGCGCACAACTTGAGATACTTTACGCCCTATCACAACAGATCTTTGCTTTGACCTTACAAAACAAAAATATCTCCTTCTGTCTTTTTTTTTTTTCCTTTTCTTTTTTTTTTCACAGACACATGAATAAATATCTTTTTGCCTAAAAGAGGAGATATTTTTATTTTTATAATGGAAAAGAAAAGAAGAGCAAAATAATATCTGGCAAGTTAGATACGTCTTCGCAAAAAAGATATTTATGTATCTCTGTAGTAACACTGAGACGCAGTCGGTATCGAAATTTTTAAATAATTGTCCACTCTTTCCTTTTTTACCAATAAATCACTGAGCATGTGTAGTCATTTATGAATACCTTTCCATAAATAACATTCATATTTTTCTGTTCCTAGTTTTAACTAAAACCTTCATTTTTTGGAATTTTTATAAAAGTCTAAAACAAACTTCCGACTACATTCGACAAAACAATAAAAGCTTCAAAACTTTTTGGATTGTTGTTAGTAGTCTCACTAATAAAACAGTTTATTACCTATTAAGTTAAAGACATAGCTTTTAAATTTATTTTCAAAAATTAACGATGACGACAACAATAATGGTATGATTATGAGATACTTATGTATGAGTTTTTTCAAGAAATATTTACAACAAACCATACTGAAATAGCGAAATAGCGATCTAAAAAGAAAATGTGACAAAACATTGGGAAAAGGTCAATCTCATGAACTAACTCTATGATCAATACTGCTGCAATGCCATACCACTAGGGATGAAGAATATACCTTTAAAAGGCTTTTCCTATATTTGATGGTCCTAACTCCTATGCCATCTATCTACGGGCCGGGCCTTGATTAGCTATCACCCTAATAAGTTGTCTGACAAGAAAAATCAGATTTGCTTCAACTTTTACATGTGAAGGATTTAATCTGTTTTTGACCGTCCTACATTTTAAGGATTTAATAAGTTCAACTTACATTATCTTAATGCAATTACAGTTCAATTCAAATCATCTCGATATGTGATTTAGAATCATGAACTTGTGCATGTAAATCATAATTAAAATTTTAAGTTTACACTCGTTTCTACTCCAACTTATGGGTCAAGGATCGAATTTCACAATCTCCGAAAATTTGTTGTGATTCTTGTTGGTTATTGTAGACATCTTAATTCATTAGCAAAAATAAAAATGAAAAGAGATTTAACTTAGGAAGCACTAAAAGAATTGCTATGGTATTAATAATATATATGTCACTCAAGTTTCCAAGCATAAAGAAACAAACAAAAGTCATGCAATGGACCATAACCACTTGATGCCGAATTGTAACGACTCAAAGGACTACTCCCTCCTCCGCTGTCTCCTTCCTCCGCGTCGCTAAAGCCGTCATCTACCATCGCCCCAACCGCCACAGGCTTGAACAAAAACAGCCCTGAGCTCGCCGTCGACTCTGAACTTCCGAACATCCAATCGTGCACGTCGTAGTACACCATCACGGGAGTTCTATCCACCAACACCATCTGATTTCCCCTAAACTTCCACTGCAGATTCTTCACGTGCACGACCACGATTCCGTCCACGCTTATCCACATCTCCGGATCTTTCTCATCCGTCACTCCGCCGTTTGAGCTCTCCACCACCACTTCATGATCTTTTCTCTGCTCGTCGAACCTTGCTCGGGTCGAAAACGTTTTCTTCCCAAAAATGCTCTCTTTCTTGAAATATATGAACGCTTCCACCAACGCCGGTCTCGATTTTGTGCGCCTGTAAGCTTTCTGCTTTAGATCTCCCAACAGCAAAACAACCTCTTCATCGGAAACTACTGCCACGTAATAGTCTGACACCGGCTCAGGGCTACCGTTTCCTGGTAACTTCGCCGACCGGAGATCCCAGAAAACCTCCACAAAGTTACCCTCGACGTCGAATGACTTTGAGCCTCTTTTGGTCCAGAACTGCCATGGCTTCACGAGATCGATCTTGCAGCAGTAGTTCATGTCGTTGTCCAAACTCGACACCATGACGGTGAGGGAATGGTTCATGAGGTTCTTGGACCATAGAACGGTGACGTTTCGGAAGAAGCCTGCCACGTGAGCTTGGTAACCGCACGTGACTGTGCTATGAGGCGTTGGGGTTGCAGCCGACTTGATTTGTGCCACGGTCTTTGTGGTGTCTGTTATTTTAGCTGCAAATGCCGTGGGATGGCTCCCGATTGATGGCATTCGAAAAGATAACATTTTTGTTACAATCAAGAACTAATATATCCTAAAAAAAACAAATGATAAAAGACTTTTGCTCAACGATCGCAAAATTCTCCAGCAAAACTATATATTCTGCATAAGAATTTCGCCAAAACGGTGATCTTTTTCTCTATTGGGAAAAAAAAACGGCTTAGACGAGTTCGTTAATGCTTTTTCATATGGTTATTAGATTGACAAAAGATTGAGTTTGTTTGTTTCGGTTGAGAATAGACAAAAAAAAATTGAGTTTTGGCAAGAGAAGGAGAGAGAGAGAAAGAAAGAAATATTGTGACGTTGTTTGATGGAAAAACGTTAAAGAAGGAGTCTCTATATTCTGACATCTTAATATTGGCAAAGTAGATAAAAATGGCTTTGTGAAGTTGTAAAAAAACGTGTGTAAAACTGTAATCATACCCTATGTATCGATTAATGATTTTCCTTATTTAGCTCCTCCACAGTTTCAGCATCCTTCTCCTACCTCTCATATGATAATGAGACATATCTTTCTTATACAGTACATACACAAACTTAATATAAAGCAATCCAGCACAGTATTAGAATTAGGACTATGCATCCCTCTCCTATGAGAGAGTTATGATCCAGCACAAGTCTAGAACTAGAATATTAATTAATTTTTTTTTTTAATCATATCTTTAATTTAAAACCAAGTTCACCGAAAGTCCTTTTTGTCTTAATCATATCTTTGAATTAAGGTTCACATCGTGTTAGTATATATTCCAGTTTAGATTCCAAAAAATAAAAATGATGATGGTAGTAATATTTTGGGTAGTGTTTAAACTTTAGGTTATGTAGTTTAGAGTTAGCATAAAAGTTAAACATTTACGGACAAATTTATCTTTTTGAGATTTTTCTATAGATGGGTTTTTGTAAAAAATCATTATGGCGTACTTGTTTGATCATTTGTTGTTGTGGCTGCTGCGCATGTTTGATAGTAGTGGCCGGAAAATAATTAAATTTACATATTAGATGATACTGAATTCATAATGTCTCCTACTTATTTTTGTTTATTAAAAACTTAATCGATTAGAGTCGCACTTTTTAAGCCACAAACCCATGACGTGTATAATAGTTGCAGATTCGCCACAAAGTTGCAACGATCACACACATGGTGACAATTTAAGTTAGGTCACTTGATATGACATGTTTGATGAACGACACTTGGGAAACTTTATGAAACGGAAAGTCGGTTCAAAGGTTGAGAGCTTACGCAATGCAAAGTCAATCATCCAATAATTGCTTGGTATATTATTTTTTCAGTCATATTTCATTTAGCTTATTATGAATACAGAGGGAAACTAATTGGAATTCCAAGTTCTAAGCAACAACAATCAAACCCCACAGATTTGTCTACACTTGCTCAAGCAGATAATGTCATGTTTATAATAACAATAAAGACGTCGTCGCTTCCTTCTTCCTGATTTTAAAATATTTTAGCCACAGAATCGTGAAATGGCTTGTACGAATAAGCAAGTAGCTGGTTTTATATGCTTTTGTTAATAACGAAATGAAAGCGAAATCCTAACTATCGACAACAACTCATTGTTGATCAGAAAGCAACTTCACCATAGAAAACACATTTCTGCAGACTTGTTGTCTACAACAGACCCAGAGATCAAAGGAAAACATTCAAAGCAATTTCTCAAGCAAACAAGATGATGAAGGCAAGTATATATGTTCTCAACAAGAAGCAATATATGTATATTATGTGTTTATATATCATTTTCAAATGCAGCAAAAGATCCTGATAAGAGTGACTATGACTGATGACAAAACCCGAGCAAAAGCAATGACCAAAGCAGTTCAGTTTAAAGGTAACAAGACCTTTCTCACGAAAAAAAAATAAATAACCTATGTTGGATCTAACGCTTTATTATGCTATGGTTTATAGGCGTGAGTGCCGTGGAAATAAAAGGCGACCACAGGAACCAGATAGAGATAACCGGTACTGAAGTTGATCTGATCGCCCTCACCAATAAAATCAGGAAGAAGGTAGCATTTGCAGAGCTTGTAAGCGTAAGCAAAGTCGAGCCTCCAAAGAAGCAAGATGAGAAGAAGGATGCAGGGAAAAAAGACGGTGACAAAAAAGAAGGCGACAAGAAAGACGGAGACAAGAAAGATGATAAGAAACCTCCGGAGAAAAAAGTCGTGCCTCCTTGTTATCCGTCGCCTCATGGATACGGTGTGCCTTCCTCTTTTCCTTACCCGTGCAGTCCCCACGATTATATAGGGGAACCGGTTTACAATCACGAACCCAATTGCACAATCTTGTGAAACGGGTTCGCAGAGTAAGAGAGCACGATTTGTGACTAACGACTAAAGAATCAATGTGTTTAGTATTTAGTCACATGAATAAAGCTCTTTACGCAATGACTACTAAACATTTGTATGAGCACCATCATAGCATATTAGTACATTCCCCTATTAATGGCAGAGCAAATGTTCTTTTCTTCTACAAAACAAAGTCACTGACCTTAATTTCCAGTAGATAGTAGTAGCCAACAAAAGGTTATATGCAAAAGAAATACACCTAATGGCCCCTGCCTCGGCCACGTCCACGACCACGTCCTCGGCCACGTCCAACAGGCTTCCCTGGTAAAGACCATAAGAAGAAAAAGAAAAAGCAGATCAAGATGCATGAATGAACAAGAAGAAACTCAAAATTTGAGATGAGTAAAAATCATACCAGTAGCAGCAGTCTTCTTGGGCTTAACCCTTGGAGTGTCCTCTACAAGTAAAGTCTCAAGGTTCAAGCTATCGGGAAGAATGTAGTAGCGGATGTTGTTACCCCTCAAGCTTAGATGGTCGAGAGTCACAGGGTTCTTCCCCTTCATAGTCATTTTAACAGTCTTTAAGTGCGTGTTCATGCTCACATCAACACCTGCAGGGAACAACATCAAAACAACATTCTTTTAAGGAAATCTCTGAAACTTACACACGACAAGGCAGGCCAATGGACTGGAAATAACTAAGGATTGAACCAAAAGCGAATTGAATCGACATTGAGGATTACGAATTTTCAGTCTCAGGGCCTAGAAAGCAAGTAATCGATAGAGGAAGAAAGGGCGAAATCGGAAGGAAAATAGAGCATATAGCCTACCAGTGATGGTGCCATGGACAACAGTACCGTTCTTGAGCTCGATCGATACAGTTTCGTTGGTCAACTTCATCAAAAACCTAATCAACCCAAACCAATGCAAGCTCAGTTCAGTTAATGCAAGGTATTTTATAAATACAAGAAGAAAAATTACCTGACGAGCTTCATTTTGTTTTGGAGTTTCTGGGAGAAGAAGAAGCAACGAAGCGGAAGCCGAATCCCGTCAAAAGCTTCTTCTGCTCAGTGCTCAATGGTTTCTCTACTTTCTTCTCATCAGTCGAACTGGTTGGCGGGTTGAGTGAGGACCCGACCGAAGATTGGCCCAATGGGTCTGACAAGGCCCGTTACTATGTTGAGATGAATTTTGAGTTTGAATTCAATTTTGTTCGTTTGCAAGTGTAAATGTAAATCCAATTTTTTTGCTTTAAAAGTCAAAAGCCCATATAATAAAAAGTTAAAATCTAAATTCTGTATAAAATTTTGTAAACTTTGGTTCGGTTTAGAGAACTTGTACATTACTACATTTTTAGATGGTGTCTTTTAAAAAAATAAAATGTAAAATCTAAAATAATTTGAAGATCAGAAATATTATAAGATCCATTCAACTTTTTGTTCTAATTTTGTTCTATCTATCTTTTTTATTTTACGCTAGTTATATTTCTTTTCTGATCTTGACAAGTTGAGATAAGTACTAGAACTATGAAAAAAAAAAATTATTTTACATTATGTTCAGTTGTTCATTATTTATTTTTTTTGGTTCACAGTTCAGTTGTTCACTTCTGAGCTAATTTCTTCTTAAAAAACTAATAGTCTCTAGTCTCCAAACTATCCTGGCTTAACTAGCAGAATAGAATTTAGGATCAGTATTAGAACCTTATTTAGGATTAACAACTCGAATTTGAATATGAGATCTTGAATTTTCACATTTCCAATCATTCTCCGACTCCGGTTCCCAAATTGCTCTCCTCCCTTCTTTTGAATTTTTTGAAAACTGGGAAATTAATTTGTCAACAAAACTTGAAATTCCCCAACAAGCACCCATTTGCTGCTGTCTCGACCCGCCGAAAAAAGACGTAACGCACATGAAAGGGGGCTTTAACGTCATTCCAAGATTAGTCGAAAACTAACGGTTCCCGAGACCCCATCGCAAAGTTAAAAGAAAAAAGATTTAATACGTATATTTTACACCTTTATTTGCTTTCCCACAATAACAACAAGCCAAAGCAGAGCCCGACCCTCACTCCAAATTCTGCTATTTAACCTTTGGTGATCCCTGTAGCGGATTTTCAGATTTGATCGTAACCCAAAATCGATTCCCAGAAACTCAGAGAGACACTATACAATGGCGTCCATGGCTGCGATTGGAGTTCTAAAGGTACCTGCTGCTTCGAGTTCCGATTCTTCCTGCGGGATACTCACGGAGGCGGTTCCGACGAGGACTCTTTCCTTCTCCTCCTCTCTAGGTTTATCCGACGAGAAGGTTTCGCTCAGAGCCACCGTCTCCCGTCGCAGAGAATCCGCTGTTCGTGGCCGAGTGAGGAATCCGATGATCGTGTCTCCTAAGGCGGTCTCGGATTCTCAGAATTCGCAGACTTGTCTCGATCCTGATGCGAGCAGTGTGAGTATCGTACTAATCGTCTTTCTGATCTGACTGTTTTGCTTAAGTAAGGAAGGACACTGTTTTGACTATCTGGTTAATGCGCCATCGTTGCGATCTTGTCACTTGAATTAAACCTTATAATCTAATGGTGTTGTTTCCGTGGCAGAGTGTTTTGGGGATCATCTTAGGAGGCGGTGCTGGAACTCGTCTCTATCCTCTTACCAAAAAGAGAGCGAAACCAGCTGTTCCTCTCGGTGCAAACTACAGGCTCATTGATATTCCCGTGAGCAACTGTCTGAACAGCAACATAAACAAAATCTATGTCCTTACGCAGTTCAACTCCGCCTCTCTAAACCGACATCTCTCACGAGCGTACGCGACCAACATGGGAGGTTACAAGAACGAAGGCTTTGTTGAAGTCCTTGCCGCTCAACAGAGCCCAGAAAACCCCAACTGGTTCCAGGTAACTTACCAGTTACACCGATGTGTTACTAATGTCGTGGCTTGTGGCACTTTTAAACGTGTTCCTGCGTGGTTGTGTAGGGGACAGCTGATGCGGTGAGGCAGTACCTGTGGTTGTTCGAGGAGCACAATGTTCTTGAGTATCTGATTCTTGCTGGGGATCATTTGTATCGAATGGACTATGAGAAGTTCATTCAAGCACACAGGGAGACTGATGCTGATATCACAGTAGCTGCACTACCAATGGACGAGGAACGAGCCACTGCTTTTGGGCTGATGAAGATTGATGAGGAAGGACGTATAGTCGAATTTGCTGAAAAGCCAAAGGGGGAGCAACTAAAGGCCATGAAGGTAATAAACAAAAGCAAAAACCTTAGGGCTTGCAACCACCTTGTTGATAAACTTTTGATTCCATGGTTTTTAGGTTGATACAACAATTCTAGGTCTTGATGATAAGAGAGCCAAGGAGATGCCTTACATTGCTAGTATGGGTATTTATGTTGTTAGCAAAGACGTGATGCTAGAATTACTGCGGAACAAGTTTCCTGGAGCTAATGACTTTGGAAGTGAAGTCATTCCTGGTGCTACTTCCCTTGGACTGAGGGTGAGTGCTTTGTGTACATGAAGTTTGTATTCTGATTTTGATACAAGTTTCTGTTGCCCTCTGATTCAACAGCTTCTTGTAGCTGATGAAGCTATGCTTAAGCAAAACCTTGCTAACTTTGATGACGTTTTGCAGGTGCAAGCTTACCTATATGATGGCTACTGGGAAGACATTGGTACTATAGAGGCATTCTATAACGCAAATCTCGGAATCACCAAAAAACCAGTTCCTGATTTTAGGTATAGCAACCACATTTCTAGTGGAATATCATACACTCTATTGTATCTGAATGGTATCTTAACTTTACTGAATTCTTGATGCAGTTTCTATGATCGCTCTGCTCCTATCTACACACAGCCACGTTATTTGCCACCGTCTAAGATGCTCGATGCTGATGTCACAGACAGTGTTATCGGCGAGGGCTGCGTTATCAAGGTAAGACCAAATAGCTCCTCTTTGATATGCTTTACATCACACTGAACCACCGAAATCTTATGGATTTTGTATGCAGAACTGCAAAATTCATCACTCCGTGGTTGGACTCCGTTCCTGCATATCTGAAGGTGCTATTATTGAAGATTCGTTATTAATGGGAGCTGACTATTACGAGGTAAATGCAGAAGCCCCAGCTGTATTGCAATCCACTTGATAAAGTATTCTGATAATATATTCAGTCTTTTTGATGACGATGGCTTCTTCTATAATTGTATTTTTTTGCCTAGACTGCTTCGGAAAAGAGCCTCCTTACGGCGAAAGGGAGTGTACCCATAGGTATCGGGAAAAACTCACACATCAAAAGAGCCATCATTGACAAGAACGCACGTATCGGTGACAATGTCAAGGTTAGATTTTCATATTTGGAACACGCCTTCCAAGTTCCTATACACATATCTACTTGGTTCATACTTGCTCTGGTCTTGAAAAGGGTTTGGTCTGAACTTGGCACAGATCATAAACAGCGACAATGTGCAAGAGGCAGCGAGAGAGAGTGAAGGATATTTCATAAAGAGCGGGATTGTAACCGTTATCAAGGACGCCTTAATCCCAACCGGCACTCTCATCTAAACCACACACATAATGCCCCCTTTTCTTATTTCGTTCTTCCTAAGAAAACAGGCAGAGACACACTTTGATGATGTATACGCCTAATAAATAAGTTTTCTTTATGGCTTTTAATCCCCAAGTTGCAATTGTTATTCTCTATATATATATTACTTTCTTCTTTCTTCTTGCCTATGTCGGAAAGACGCATTGTTTTTAAACCCATGATTAGTGGCAAAAACCAGATAGGAAACCAACTTCGACAAATTACATATCCTTCTCAGCGTATGCAATATATGAAAGAGCCTAAGTTTAACTTTCTTCAGAACCTGGCACACGTGCATTTGTATGATTGTCAAACTTCATCTATCGGAAAAGAGTGGCATTCAAGAACATAGAACTAGGAGGCCTTAAAGTGGAAGTCAGTACTTGTGTATGAGATAATTTAGTCTATACATCTCAACTCCCATTTCTTCTTCACTAAGTCTGACTTCATCTTCTTCACTAACTGTTGGGTATACATACCAGGATTAGTTTTCTATCTTGTTCTGTCTTGCTCTCCCGGTCATGTTCCTCCATTTGTCCTTTAGATCAGAAGGAGTACGTGTTTCGTGGAACACCGTCTCTCCCATTTCCAGAATTTTCCTCCATGGCATGTTCTTGTTTGCTTCTGCTGCAAATCTCTCCACTCCCACCTGAGCCAACGCATGTCAACAACAGCTCTTACCCAATTCATGAGAGAAAAAATACAGCTAGTATTTAGTATACCTTCAGCATTTCTTCTTCTTCGGACGTCCAAAATAGCCTCCTTCTCTGATCCTTCTTGAAAAACGAAATGTCCCTGCGAATCCATGAGGTAACTCTCAACACTTCACGTGGAAATGAGATAGGTAATCCTCATTTTTCACGTAAATGAAGAAAAAGGAACTAACCTCACTGTCTTTGACTTGGCCACTTTAGCTGTTGCGTTAAGTTTTCTCTGCTGGTTCTTCATCTTCCCTGACGGGGAGGTTACTACTTGAGCCGATGAAGTAATCTGCTCAGTTACATCATCTCCATTTCGTTCGTTAGTTGATTCATTAGATGAGATATCACTATCAATGGTATTCAATATTAACCGTCTTCTTCTTCTTGGCCTTTCATTCTGTTGGACCTGGTCTTGTTCTTTTCCTGAAAACGATTCTTGCATAGACACAAACGGTGAAACATCTCCCTTCCCCCTTGCACCTGCATTGACTTTAGTTTGATCTTTAGCTGTTTCGACATCCTTGTCATCCTCAGCGTCTTGAATTTTTTCTGTATCTACCCTCTCTTCGTCTTCTGATGCTTCAACCATGTCTCCTGAATTATCAGTGCGCGCTTCTAACATCTCTTTATCCTCTTCTGGTAGATCGGTTTCCTCAATTAATGGCATCTTCTCACCTCTTGATTTATCAGAATCCTTCTCAACTTGCATTCGTTCCTCTTTTGATGCACAGGCATCCTTCTCTCCTTGTAACTCTTGGTCACTTACAACGTCTGTACTGTCAACTGAATGATCCTGTCTTCCATTTTCACCACCAGATAAGACTGCATCCTCTCGGCTTTTGGGAGCACTCTCCTTTACCTCATCCCTGCTTTCCATCTCTTTACCTAGATGCGTGAAGACTGCCTTTTCCGCCGCAACAACCTTCTCCCTCACTAATTTGTGTTTCTGTGCTATAATTTTGAACCAGCAGTACGGACAATACGAACATGCAAGATCATCACCACTACTACTACCCAACTCGGCATTCAAACACTTGCCGTGAAATGAAAGAAGACAGTCAATTCCAGAGCAACGAGATACCCACTTGTCAGAAACGTCACATACGATACAAGCATCTAAGTTAAGCGGCTGGGATCCTCCTTTACCAGTATCACTTGTCCCAAGACAATGACGCTTCTTGTGTGGCACATCTCTCTCATCGTAAGTATCTGGAACAATCTCAACATCGGCATCACCGCTATCGCAGTGTGTGGTGTTCACTCCAGATCCATATCTTTCATTAGCTTCATCCTGTGAGAGGCAATGATGGAAAAAAAATTATGCACAATACATCAACTCAAGTTCACACTTTAAGATTCTAAAATTCAAGCTCTACAAACCAACTGCAACTGAAGCTATCAGGAGAGATTATCCGAACTCAACAAACGAAATAGTTCGAATTCATCAAATAGTAAATATTCACGAATCAGACGCTTCTCAGTTTTAGTTCAGCAACCGAAGAAAAAAAACCCAGCGAAACAACCAAGTAGAGTCAAAAATCAGTCACGACGATGCATCAGGAAATCACAACGCCTAATTTTTCCGATTTTAAAGGAGATTAGATTATTCCGAGAAAACGAAGGAAGAAATAGCGTTACCGGAAGGGATGCAGGGGATGGATAGGGATCGAGAGACTTCCGCGAAGACCTAACCACAAACGATTTCGTTCTCATGTTGATCTTCTACAGTTTCTCACCAGTCTCGGCTCCTTTCGCTTGAAAACTTTGAAATCGTCCAGTGAACAGTGTATTCTCTCAGTTTTAAAATATTGAAGACGAGAGAAGCTTACTGAGGAAGATGGGTTTTTCTCTCCGTGCCTTTGGCGTTGGAAATAATGAGCCAATTTAATTCAATTTGGTAATTTTTGTTTATTCCAACTTTGTTGTCGACTTGGAGATAAACACCAACTTGATTGGTATTGTCTCTAGAGAGAATGGAACGTTGCACATTGCACCAGCTCGGATCAAGGGGATGGATACACATTGTATATTACAAGTTTGCTGTATATATATACGATATATCAAAACGAATGAATCGAATAGAGTGAAATTGTGAATATGTGTGTATTTTTGGACTAGACATAAAAGTAAGAAGAGTGATTGGTATTGTCTCTAGAGAGAATGGAACGTGCTTCAATCACCGAACGAGGAGCCTCCATATCCTTCTCCTGTAGCGAGTTCCCTTGCAGCCTCTGCATCTCTGATGCGAACGTGTCCTCCACTATCTGCACACAATTTTTATTTATTTATTTATCACAGCTCAATTTCAACTTCCCAAACACACATATGTCTGTTTATTTTATGGTGTAGTGCTAAAGTTTTAGTTTTTTTGTTTACCCCAAGAGCATAGTAAGAGCCTTTGTAGCCTACTTCATTCTCCTTTCTTCCCTCAAGAAACTTCAAGACCACCTGGGATGTGAACAGAAACCACAAGAAAGCCTCAGGATCAAATCATTTATACGAGAATCACCTGTATGTAATATGTATCTGTGATGTATGAGAATCACCTGTGCCATTCTATCCCAGAAGAGGCGGCACGAAGCCACAAATATCTGACTTGTGAAGACATCGTGCAGATTTGAGATTGAGTCTGTGATTTGTGAGCATAGCATCTTCATACGTTCACGGACTTCGCCTTCTCTCTCGTTTTCTTTTATCTCCTCTAAGATTCTCTTCAGCCTTGTGCTTTTGTTTGATTGCGTCTGAAACATCCACACACACAGACAGAGATTGTTAAAACAAGCATGGATTCAGTTGCAGGCCAGATCATGCGAGGTGTTATAGAACTCACGTTGCTAACAAGTTTATCAACCGCGGCCTGCATGTAGTTTCTGTATTTTGTCCTGAGCAAGACCGTGATTGCATTCATCTGCTCCCCAAAGAGTGACTTCTTGTCTTCAACAACTGGAAGACACGATGCCCATTGCCGCAAGATATCCTCAACTCTGTGATGTAGAACATCAAGAATTCTCTTTATGGTGTTGACAAAAGTTCCTAGCTGCATTTAGCAAGAAAGTAATGATGTTAAGCACAGATCTTAAATAAGTCAAAAATGTAAGTACTTCTATTGAACACGGCCTGTGGGTGGCTCTTACTTGAGTTGGAACAGAGTAGAGAGCTGATGATTGCCTTCTTGTCAGCTTCTGGACATGCATATTAAGCCTCTTTGGAATGCTGTCTTTTAAAGGAGTAAGTATGTCATTGTATTGTTTCTCCAGCGATTTAACGATTGCTCTCTCTATAGTTGAAGCAGTCTTTTCCAACATAGTACATGACAAAATAGAGTGAACCCAAGTTAGTCTTGATAATTACTCCAGTAAGCTGCAAAGTTATCACTCATATAACTTAGTAGTAGCTTACATTTTCCAAGATCAATGTGTATTGTGGCCATCGACTAATCACTACTTCATACTCGACAAGAGAATCTTTTATTCTCCCATACATGTCCTCAGCAAACGGTGATGTTGAGTGATTTGTAATCACACCAGACCAGGGAACCTGCCCAAAAACAAGCCATCAGGCGCTTATTACTGTTAATTGATAGACTTTGTTGTCTTAAGGATCAATCCAAAATGATTAGGATGGTACCTTTTCCGCTTTGCATCGGTCAAGTAGCCTAAGTTCCATATCATGTATCCAAACCATTATGTAGTTGTGGAATAACCCCCTAGAGTCTATACCACCCTGCACTGGACTGAATAACATAATATAAACGGTTAAAGAGAATCAACGAGCGCCCATCATATTTTGATTCCAAAAAGCTAATGCGAACCTGATGCCCCATGAATCGAGGTTTCTTTCGAAATCGGAAACAGCAATCAAAAGCTCATTGACATGAGGCAGTGGGCAGGATGGTGGTACTGCTGACAGAAATAACCTGAGCCGGTTACAAAGCTGAGTGCTGTATACTGCGGCAGCTATGTTTGATAGGTCGATCGAGCTTGAATGAAAAACAAGGAATGAGAAAATAAGACCAAATCAATATCAAGACGCGGAGATTATCTCAAGATGAAAACTAAATGACAGATCTTTGATCAAATTGTATCAGTTTACCTTGGGAATACATGCTCATTGGTGATCTTTATATCAGTCTCTATTTCGTTACTTATGTTAAGACAAAGATTCTTCATTTTCAGGTAGGCTGTAGAGATTGTGACAGAATCCAAAAGGAAACCTTCAGAGTTGCAGGAGACATACTCATCGGTTTCAGCCATGTGTTTCCTACACCTCTTCTTAGCTGCTGTCTGCAATAGGTTTTCCATTAGTCAAGTAAATCGTGAACATCATCGTCTTGATATCTTATAAAATCAAGAAAACCAAATGGTTCTTCTCACCAATGAGCCAGATATATATTGACAACGCAAACATTTGAATGGCCTACCTGAAGATAATTCTTCAAAATTTCTTGTGCTTCAATGGACAATATATCATGCAGGAGGGCAAAAACCTGTACAGCTGGAGAAAGCGCTGTTGAAGCGGACTCTTGCACCGGACCATCTATGTCTGCCAGCCCTGAAGGGCAGTTTTCATCTAAGGACTTGTAGTTCTCAAAAACATTTGCCAAGAGTTTCTCAATCTCTATTTCACAGTCCATCAAGATACTTTTCTGTAAGAGTAAAACATGTCGTCAATAAGTAGCCCCTTGGAGCCATGGTGATAATCAAACAAACAGATTTCAGTTTAAAAACTTGAATCCAATACTTTGACTTTAATGAGATTATACCAGATATTTCAATTTGCAAAAAAATGGGGATTTACCTCCTGTCTGGTCAGACTCCTCTCACTTCGAGCACTTAGGATCGGTACAAGTAACTCATGAACAAGTAGTAAGCAAGTTTTTGTTGGAGTTGCAACATTCATTACATGTGAGAGGTATCTGAAACGTTCGGTGCAATATATTTGAGTTAATAGATCTTGAGATAATAGATACAAAGGCAGTCTTAAATATGTATTTCTATGAGTACCTCAACTTGGTATATGAATCAGAAACTCCGTAATATTCTGCAAATTCGCTTAACAGCCATTTCCAAGATCCATTCAGTTCTAAGTTTTGAGAATGAAACTTTTGGGCACGTGTAGCAGCTTCCAGTAGCAGATCGTATGCTAGTGTCTCCACAACAGGTGCACTCTGTAACAGAAAAAAAAGCAAAACATTAGTGGGGGCATTATCTCACAGAATAAAACTAAGATAAGTGAGTATCGTTGGAGAAAAAACAGACCTTTATGTGATAGTCTTCATCGGATGTGGCCGTGCTACCAAGAAAGAGCTGGATCTTGCCAACACAGTCTTGTTCACCATGGTATATTGGCCACCATCTAACGTTTTCATTCTGAACAAATGTTGAGCTTTCTTCAGTATATTAAATTTTCTGAAGCACTATAACATATTCTCAGAAGAAAAATGGAAGAGAGAGCTAACTCGGGGATGACACCAAAAGGCATATTTACCGGATTGTCAGTTAAGGATGCCATAGGAATCGTTACTTTTCCTTGAACTGATTTCTTCTTATCTTGAACTTCTATCAGAAGAGCATCGCCTTCTGGCTCAGGAAAGCTGAAGGAGGAGTTGTGACTTGTGAGTAAAACTGGCTATACTCGGAAAACTGTAAAACTAAATTCCGGAACTTTCCATGAAATTTGCAATTATTCAAACACTTTGGCATAGTTATTGGTACATGCAAATGGAAGATTTAAACAACCACTTGCATACATATTTGTTTAAAATCTATCCCAGCACTAGAACACACATTTATTGACTTTCAAGAGAAAGAAGAGGGCTTACAAGACATGGTAACTTCCAGTTCCTGATTGCAAACAAACAGAAGTTCCTTGTTCATTTTGAGCTCCTTCTGCTGTGCTCTTCATTTGAAGGTAGCAGGAGAATTGCTCTGCAGGTATAATCACAAGACAAAGGCATGTCATCTCATTTACGAACCGGACAAGACATTTCATGCAAATGGTTAAAAAAATGTTTAGTTTTTTTGATGTAACAAAAGCAAACCTTCTGAAACTGCTGAAAGGGTAGCCATTTTAATAGAAGTCATCCCAGTTTTCACAAGCGATGAAACTTGCCGGCAATACTCTGCCCCCATTGGCATGTTCATTAAACTCCGCAACGAATCTATGCCTCTAAGTTTTCGCTGTGGTATCAATCGAAGTCTCTTTACTAAAACAATTGAAGATTCATGTCAGGCAGCTACAAATTTTTTTTTTTTTTTTCATTCAAGTTTTAGCTCATGAGAAAAAGAATAGTTTACCTTCCACCCTTAGCTTTCTAACCACGCTTTTAGTCTTCAAGGATGCCTTTTGCTCTGGTTTCACATTTTTGTTTTCTTCAGTCGATCGTACACCCCGAGGTTGCAAGAGAAACTTATGCAAACTATAACAACACATAGATAAAGGACTGCTTTCAGTAACTCAAAATAAGACAATTATTCTATATCTCAGAAACCATAAGGAAACACATGTCCTACCCAAATGCACCTCGAAGAAGACGACACTCATCACGCAGAAACTCAGGTGCCTCAGAGGAACCCTTTGACCATGCATACAAACATAGCCTTACGCAAGCATCATATGCCAAAAGACTTTGCCAAGCATATTGACCACTGCCAACGGAAGATTGGAAAAAAGATATGACAAACATTTTGTAAGCCATAACAAAGTGCAGCAATTCTAAATTGAAGAAAAAGAAAGTTAAGTAGTTAACCTGATACTATGGCAATCTAATTCATCCGAGCACATTTCCTGTATTTGCGCATCTTCCCCAGTTTCAGTGTCCTTCACACTGCACCAAACCATAGTTACAACACACATCAAGACTGGTTCAGTGAACAAAATACAAAGCTTGCTAATTTCGGCAATACCTTTCCGCAAAATCTGCATTTTTATAGAAATGAGAACTGATATCACCAGCTATGCAACCGATGTTTTCTTGATTGCTCTCAACTCCTGCTTCTCTGCAAATCTCATCCTCAATCTGCTCAATTTCCTTTTCTATTTCCAAGCTGTTGTCTTCTTGTCCAATATCCATTATAGGTGGTGCACTTGGGGTTCCCAGATCTTCAGTCTCCCAATACACCGTTCCCTATCACAAAAAGTTTCCTCAATTTATCGTCTTTCTAAAATTAGTCACTCAAAAAAACTTCAGCGAGCTCAAATGGGTACCTTGGAGCTCAGAGTATGCGGCCGTTCCTCGCGGAGATAGCTGCCCGGAGCTGAATTTATCAGTGCGAATTTCCGGAGACCCAAATCTCCGTCTGTGGCTCTTCTGTTAACAAACGGAACTTCAATCCTCAGATTCTTATCCTTCAACACTCCTCTGTTCAATTTCGAGCTGGACTTATTATGCCCAAACACTTCTTCTTCATCGTAAAGTCTTCCAGCCGTCACCGTCTCTTCCTCGTCGTCTTCGATATCGTAATCGGAGAATAACTCGGTGCCTCCTCCGGCATCCGAAACCGATGAAATACTCATGTCATCGTCATCTTTGTTTTCCTCATTGGAATCATCGACATCATCATCATCATGAAGAGTAGTGGGAGCTACGAGCTTAGGCGATGATAATCGACCGGAGCTCCACTTCAACGGAGGCAAGCTCTGAGGAGAGACAAAGGAGAGAGGAGATCGCGGGAAGGTAGCTGGAGAAAGATTCTCGGAGAGAGGAGATCTGGCGCGAGGTTGAAGTTTTGGCTCGGAATTGGGTGATCCTTTTCTGATACAGGTCGCCATGAGAGGCTTGCGCAGCTGAGAGAGATTGAGATCAGAAAATGTTGAGCTGAGCTGAGTGAGAGAGAGAGAGAATTTAGTGAAGGAGAGAGAAGTCAGAAGGAGCGGCTGTTTCGAGGAAAGAAAGAGTTTGCAACGGCTAGTTTTGACAACTTTCTACAATTAAAGCTAAATCTTACTATTAAAAAAAATAAAAATAATAAACTGTAGATATTTTGTTGTTTCTCGTTCACTATAGGACTCGAACTCCGCCAGAGAAAGGATAACTTTTAGTTACTTATTGACTTTTTATATTTTTAAGGAAAACAAATGTACAAAACACGCGCTTAAGGATTGGCGCGTGAGGATTATAGACTTTCCACCAGAAACCCTTTTCTTCGAGCTTTGGCGCAGAGAAGTAGAGAGTTGACACAGATCTCCACGGGAGATGCAGAACCCAAACTCATCATCTATGGTGGATACAAGCTCCGCACCAAAACGATACACTCCACCTAACCAAAGGTAGTGTAATCTTCTCTCCTTTTGCTTCCCACTGATTTTGATTTTCTCGGCTTCCTGTGTGAGACTTCTTCTCTGCCTCGTAGGAACCGTTCTTCCATCCGGAGGAGATCAAGAGGTTCGTAGCTTCTTCTCTCTTCTTTACTTTTTTATTGATAGATTTGGGGTTCAGATAGTATGTGATTCTTTGGGTTACTGTCGAATTTAGAGGAAACGAGCTTATCTCATATTCTCCTTCCACTTGTGTAATCAGGTGCTTTGTGAGTAATTAGTGAGCTTAAGAACCGTTTGAAAGATTCAGTTGCTCAACCTGTAATTCAAATTTTGTAATAGATTTGCACTCACTGTATAAGAAAATCCGGAGGTTTTCAGGACCATTACATTCTCTGTTGCATGTGAAAAAAAAACACCTCTTTCAACCACTGTTTAGCAATTAAGAGAAGCTTCAACCACTTTTGCTTGTAAAGATATTGTTTTAAGAGAAAAATGAAGATTAATTAAATTGAACAGGAAGCTCACTTGGCAACGAGGGAGAAAGAAGTCAGGCTGTTGCTTTCCACAAGGAAAACCCTTCTCCACAGATTATATCTCCAGAAGGTTGCTCTCGGAGTGAAGCTTATCAGCTTCTGAGTGATCGTATGTATTCTGAATCAACTCTTCAATAATATTATGGCTTTTGCTCAATGTATACTAGTTCTCCCTTTAATCACTGAGGCCTTGCTTTTGACCTTGAGAGACTTGGGATAGTTACAGTGCTCTGAAGAGTTCATCCCTGGTTACGATTTCTTGATTTGGGTTTCTAAATTTGATTCCGTTTCAGTAAGAAATAAAGGAAGTTTCAGTTTCTGATCCTAGCAGAGTTCTATTGTCGTCCTTTGAGCAAGTAGTTACTGTGTGTCTGTGTGGTTATGTGTTCGTGTCATATCTTCAAGCACTTTGCGATTGTGATTGTAGGTTGGGCAGCTGCAATGCATCTATACAATGACCCTACAGTTGATTTGTCTGGTGAGTTTAAGACTCTTTTTGTTTGACATAAGCTTAAAGGTACCTGATTGTCTGTTATATGATCAATTGTTAGTTCCCGGAAGTATGATTCCCATCTTAAACTTATTGTATTTGTCTAATTTGACAGAAAGACCGATGATGTATTATGGCGGGGATGTGTGGGGTAAACTGCCTCACAAGGTGAAACCGGTATAACTTTCTTTCATATGCTTTTTGATGTGTGTGTGTATTCGCCCTCGTCGTTTGTTGAACGGGACTGAACCATTTACAGATACTGGCTCCAGCCAACAAGACATTACCTCCACCAATGTTGCCAAATGATTACAGAACCGAACACCGTCGAGGATTGGCTGATTCCAAGGTCGTCAAGTTCTAACCATTGAACGTTTTGCTCGTGGGGGTGGAGCACGTTGCCATGTTTCAAATCTCTTCAGATGGTAAAAGCAAATATGGCAATGACATTTTGTAGGGTAAAGAGATGATGACTTGTCTGTCTCACCCCATCGGTATTTTTTACTGATCCGTAAAAATGTGAAATTCAAACCTGAACCAGAGAACTTCCGATGAGTTTGAGATTTGTACTATGTTTCCCATGGCATTGTTCCCTTTATAACGTCAATAGACTTCGATGTCGTTCTTATTACGTTACCACTTATACTCAAAGCAAGCAAAACGTATCAAAAATGTTATTTAGTAAAAAAGTATACTCAAATGTCGTTCTTAATACGTTCTGTTCTGCTTCGCAGTAAGGCCGAAGATATCAATAGTTTTGCAAAAAAAATGTCTCGTTATTAGCAGTTTAAACTAGGAAAAAAAAAGTCAAAATTCTTTTTCAAAATTAAATTGTAGCCGGTGTGGTTCGAACCAATCCAAAAGAACCGTTTGGGGAAACATAGCGAACCAGAAGCAGCTTGGTCGTGTAAAACCCATATGGCCTGAAGTTTTCTCCTTTTCAATCCTCGCGTCCCCGACGACGAACTAAAGTGGTAACTCTTCTTTCACCTATCTCAAACCCTATTGTAGAGATTTTCCGATTTGAATCTTTCGCTTCCGTTATCTGGAATGACTAGGGCTTTAAAGTTCTGATTTTGTTTTGATTGGTGTTTCTTCTTGTCTCTGGACATTGCTTTCTTACGCGCGTGACCTTAACTTGGAAACCTTCAATTGCAGTTTTCTCATGCTTTATGTTGATTTCTCATTAAACCCATTTTGTATTGTTGTTAGATCAAGTGGATATCTACAAAGATGGTGAATTTGTTCTTGTCTGAACCCAAGCGGAACGATGATGCTCACAACAGTAGTAGCAACATCGATGTGATTTTGCCTCTGTTGAACAAATTGGGCTCTCACATTCAATCGTTGGTGACCCGTGGAGCGAGATCAGAAGCTAGACTTTGGCTTTGCAGTGCCCTCTCTAGTGTTTCTATATCCCCTAGAAGGCAACTCAATATTTTCATGAAGTTACTGAGATCAAAACCTAGAAAGACGCAGCTTGTTTCTCAGCTCCTGCAAATGATGTTTGAAAAGAGGCCGAGGAAACTTGGGTCTGTGTTAGCCAAAAAAAGTTATATACTCGAGAAGTTCTTTGAAGGTGAAGTCTTGCTCCCATTGTTTTTGTTTGTGATCTTTTAAACTCTAGTTTTATTATCTTGCGGTTATGCTTCATGTTGTTGAGCTTTGAAATATTTGCAGGTGATCCGAAGCGTATACTAGAGTGGTTTTCTCAATTTGCTCTTGGTGGTGGGTCTGATCACAAAAGAGGTGCAAGAGCATTGGCGCAGTTTGCATTTGCAAACCGGGATATTTGTTGGGACGAGCTTGAGTGGCGTGGCAAGCACGGGCAATCCCCTGCGGTTGTTGCTACGAAGCCTCATTACCTTCTTGATCTTGACGTCCAACGAACCATTGAGAATTTTCTCGACAATGTTCCCGAGTTCTGGTCGTCCAACGAGTTTGCTGAGTCACTCAAAGATGGTCAGATTCTATCCCTTGACACCAACTTTTTTCAAGATCTCTTTGTACGTTTCATGTATGAAGAAGATATGAATGATGTGTGGGATGCTGTAGAGGAGTTTCTTACGGAGGAGCCTTTCTCCTCCTTAACTCAGCATCTCCTCATCACTCTCGAAGAGCGTGACTTGTGTCAATTTCTCGAATTGCTTGGCAACTGTTTTAATCCAAGGATTGAATCCTGGGATGTTGGTGACTCGTCTTGTTGGCTCGAGGTTGTTCTTTCGAGATATGCTGGCACAGAATCTATTGATGAGCTTCTGCTGCTGAATTCTACTATCAACCAAGGTCGTCAGCTACTACGGCTTATACTTGATGAGAACTTCAGTGATGAGAGGGGAATGTTGAAAGAAACGATGGCAGATGTTTGCAGAGGTTTAGAAAACGGCAGTAGCTTTTCTCTGCTTTTGAGAGAGCTTTCGAAGATGAAACGCGTAGAGGTGATTAAAGTACTCGGACTACTTTCTTGGACCATTCACTTCAGTTTATCGGAGGAATGTCAGACTCCAGATTCATGGGAGTCTCTATTTATAGAAAATGGGATTGAGTTCCGAAGGTCTAGTGATCACTCTTTGATAAGTCATAACGGAGTCTCTGAAGAAAGCGAATCTGACTATGATGGTAGAAGCCGTGATTCTAAAAAGAGGCACAAGAAGGAAAAGAAGAAAAGAAAGAAGAAAAAGAAGAGAGCTATTGATGATGATGATGACGATCTCATTGACGATGAGCTAATAGGTCTGCATCAAATAAGTCGAAGTTGGTTGCTATCTACTGATGGGTTTTCTGCAACATGGAGCAGTGTGAGTTTCCTGTTCTTGTCTTTTCTTCTTCTTATAGTAGATGTGTTTTTCTTAATTGTGTTCTTTTCATTTGGGATGGTTTTTCAGGTGGATTTGCCGGAGTACATGGCAAGGCATTGTTTGTCAACATGGATGAAGTGGTTACTAGCTAGACGAAAATGATCCACAACTCTGATGACAAAGTGGTAAGATCACTTACAACCTTAACTTGTGCGTTTCCTTGTACTCAACTAAAGAGATTTCAAAGATTAGCCTAATCGCTTTCTACTTGTTTTTGTTACAGTAGAAAGAATATGAATGCAGATCCTACCAGTAGGTCCAAAAGTGGAAAACACCACAAGTACAAAAATATGTTCATGAAGAAGTCATCGCTCACCAGAGCATTGTTGATGATGGTACAAATGAAAAGATAGCAAAGAGTGCTAATGACAAAAAGCAAATCCTTTTAAAGGTATAACACAAGAAAATGTTCAAGTCAGGAAATAGCGCAAGAGAAGAGGTATGAAACTGAATCATCTTCTCTCAGTAAAGTGTAACTTGTGGGTTATTATTATTTAGTCAATTATTTTTGTGCCCGCATTTTCTTCTCGTGTTTCTTTTTAGGACAAGGCAGTTCATCTAATTTGAGCAGCTGTATAAAAATTCCAATTTGTGACGAATCATTTGAATAACAACAAAGTTGTAAATGAAAATAAGTTTTTACTCGTTGCATAATTCATAGATCATATAGTATGTGTTCGAATGCCTGTCTTTTCAGTATTTGATTGGGTAGCCAATGAAACCCAAAATATGAAGATAAGAGTTTGTGCCCACAAAAGAAATGGGCTTTTGAATATGTTTAAAATGCCATATATAGTACTGTACAAGTTGTTTGATGTTTCCCATGAAAAAGAAATAAAGTGAGTTTGGTAAAAAAAAAAAAAAAAGAAATAAAGTGAGTAATAGAGGGTGGTGCTGGTGCAGAAAAAGTCAAAAAGATTCTTTTGAAAGACGGGTAACTTCAGAAGTTCAGAGTTCAAGTCATTATTGCATATCTCATATACAGTCTTCTCCTGGATTCACTAAGTATATATTTGAATACAAATTTCTGTAGCAAGATTTAAAATTGTATTTATAAGTGAATAGTTACTTTGGAATATAGATAAAATAGTAACGTGCTTAACATACGAGCCACATAATTTCTACAAAAAAATTGTCCAGAAACATAACTACACCTGTCCAAAGATCCAACAACCCGGTACCCAAATCCCAGTTTTTTTTAAAATGTAACCTTCTTTTTGACATAGAAAGGATTCAATTAATCAAGAAAAAAAAAATTGAGCATTAAATGACCGGAAGATATCACAGTGATGTCGCTCGCCAGTGTTATTAACCGCATTTTTCATGCTGTAGATTTATTTACTTGCTAGTAGAAGAACCCACTCCCATTATTAATGTTAGACAGACAACCAATGAAAGCAAATACCAAAATTCTTATAGAAAGTTACAGACAACATGTAATTCTATACTATGTGCTGACATAAATTATCTAAATTTTTTAGATTTTGGTCTGCAGGTCAAATTTTAAATTTTAATTATACAAATTTTTATATTCTTGATACACTTTCTCACACTGTACTAAACTTTAGGATTGAACTACATATCAAAATAATCAAACTATGGTTCTCAAATTATCAAATATTCCACAATGCTATTTTTTCATATAAAAATTTAACCCATCACGGGTTAACACCTGCTAGGCTCTACTGCTAGTAATAAATAAATGGTCTCTGCTTTGGTAAAAGTAAAATGTGATACAGTGTATTATTATTACCCTCTCATAGGTCCCAAGGACAGCCATAATAGAGAGCCATTAACTTCATTGCTCTGGTAGTGAGTGTGAACAGACAGAGACTTTGCAGAAACCCAGAAGAATGCAGACCTTTTGTTGTTGCTTCTCCATCTTCTTCCTGCTATCATGCGCACCCTCCCCTCTATCCTGCGCCTCCGCCCTCAATCTCGGCCGTCGTCACCTCTTCGACGACGACGACGCAGCAGCTCTACCTACTCCTCTTTCCCCTATAAGTCCCCCTTTCTTCCCTCTCGAATCCTCCGCTCCACCTCCTCCGCCGCCTCCGACAACTTTCGCCGGCTTCCCCACTTTTCCCGCCAATATCTCCGCCCTCGTCCTCCCCCGTTCTCCTAAACCACACTCCACCTCCCCTACACTTCTTGTCCCGGCTATCTCCGCCGTGCTCGTCGTCGCCACAGTCCTCGGCGTCGCCTTGTTTCTCTACGGCCGCTGGCGAGGGCAAAACCGTCATTTCAAGGACACTAACAGCAGTAGTCCTACTAGTAGCCATGGATATGATGATGAACCGAGACACATTACCACCACCAACAACTTCTCTGTGGCTGCTTCTACCCCTACCTCGGAGGTTCTATACCTCGGCGCCGAGGAACCTGACCGTGTTATCACGAGTTTCGTGAAGCCTGAGTCGCCGGAGATACGGCCGCTCCCACCGTTGCCTCCTCGTAGTTTCCAGCCGAGCTATGAAGCTGATTTTCACTCTGAGGAAAACGACGACGAAGAAGATGACGAGTTCTTCTCACCTCTGGCTTCCTTGGCTGGTTCCGGGAACTCAAGTCCCGCCCGTTCTGGGTTCGAGCCGGAGGGTTCGTACAGCACTAGCTCCTGCTCCTCCTCCTCCGGTTGGGTTTCTCCGGCAAGGTCATTCTCCATGACAAGGTCTCCGGTTCAACAGCGCTCAAACCCTAGATTCTCGGATGTCTCTTCTGATCAAAACCTTCAGTCTCCGTCGCCGGAGAGACTACGAGTAAGGAAGAATAACGGAAATGGGTCGTCGTCTCTAAGAATGTTTAGCTTCTGGAATCAAAATCTGGGGTTTCCTCGTATTTCCTCTGCTTCTACCTCACCGGACAGAGGAGGTATCTCAAGAACGCCGCTTTCGTCTCTCTACTCTTCAGTTTCTAATTCGCCCGACGGATTATTCCGGAAGTTTTGGGATAGTTCGCCGCCGATTTGGAACGACTTTAGTCGGAATGTGAAGTCGGTATTGCTCTCCTCTGATTCCGTTTCAGCAAGAAGAGATTTTGTTATCAACATTGGTGAATCTTCTTCTCGAATTCTGAATCAACAGAGCCAAGTAGCCGCAGCAGCAGCTCCTCTTCCTCCTCCGACGAGACCACCTCCTATTGTCCCACCATCACAGTCTTTTGTGGTTCAAAATGATGGGAAAAAACCATCTTCTTCGGAGCTACCTCCGGAACAGCTGCAATGGGGTAAACTCCGACAAGGTTCTTGTCAGACAACTGCCTGGGATTGTCTTAGATCGAGCTCTATCAAGTAAGAGAAGTGAAAGCTATCTTCTTTCTCTTTGCGTCTGTTTTCTGTATTAAGATTTTGATGAATTTTGTTTTTGTGTGACTGTGTGGCAGATTGAACAAAGAGATGGTAGAGACTTTGTTCATTGCAAACTCGTCAAATCCCAACATTAAACAGAGAGGTCTAAGCTATGATCTTCCGATCCAAAATCAAGAAAGCAAAGTTTTAGATCCGAGAAAGGCTCACAACATTGCTACTCTGCTTCAGCTGCTTAACTTAACTACAAAAGATGTTTGTAAAGCTCTTCTTGAAGGTAATAATCTTAATTTTCTTTTTAATTTATTGCCCATTCCTTGTTGTAATGTTATTGATATTGTACTCTTCGAGTTATCAATTCAGGTGACTGTGATGCACTTGGAGCCGAACTTCTTGAGTGTTTATCTAGATTGGCACCTAGTATAGAAGAACAGCGGAAGTTGAAGAACTATGGTGATGGTTCAGTGATCGTCAAGCTTGGTCCAGCTGAGAGATTTCTTAAGGAGTTGCTTCATGTGCCTTTCGTGTATAAACGAGTTGATGCATTGCTCTCTGTGACTAATTTCCACTCCGAGATCGAACACCTCAGAAGATCATTCGGTGTTGTTCAGGTAAAGATTTTATGCTGAAGATAGCAGATTTACATATAGATATATGCGTGTGATGTTGTAAACATGTGTCTCATAAGCGTATCTGCTTTTGCAGGCTGCTTGTGAAGAACTAAGGAATAACAGAATGTTCTCAAGACTTGTAGAAGCTATATTGAAGACAGGAAACAAGATGATTGTCAGAACAAACAGCCGCGGTGATGATCACGCTTCCAAACTTGACACGCTCCTCAAGCTCGTTGAGGTCAAAGGATTAGATGGAAGAAGCAGTCTCTTGCATTTCGTTGTCCAGGAGATGATAAAATCAGAAGGCGCTGCGAAAGCTTTGGACCGCATCAGAAATCTTAGTTCAGAGCTGGCCAATGTCAAGAAATCGGCAGACATTGAGTATGGTGTTCTAAGCAGGAATGTGTCGAAGCTTTGTCAAGGAATCAAGAACATCGGGGAGCTTCTGCTACTGAGCGAGGAGAGTGGATCTAGCGGAGATCAATGGCTCAAGTTCGAGGAGAAGATGGCCAGATTCTTGGAAACTGCTGCAGAGGAGATTCAGATGATCAAAACACAAGAAAGTTTGACGGTCTGTGCTGTGGAAGAGGTCACAGAGCAATTCCATGGAGATTCTTCCAAGGAAGGTCACAACACATTGAGAATTTTCGTGATTGTGAGAGACTTCCTCTCCATTCTAGACGAAGTATGTAACGAAATGGGAGACCGATTCCCATCGTAAGGTTTAAATTGTAGTGAAGTAGATCAACAAACTTGCTGATTAGGAAGCTTTCATTTTTCTGTTATCTCGAGAATGGGATAGCTATAAACTCAAGGACCTTGTAATCTGTAACTCGCTGTTTCACTTGGTGTAGCATTAGATCGTGTATGGATTTAAGTCATTTCATTTCTAATGGTAGCTTCTCAACTAATCCTATATATATTTTATAGTTTGCTCTTCCGGTACTACCTAGACTAGGTCAACTTATTGTCTTCTGAGCACTGCAACTTCATCCATTCGTTTTCTGTCAGTGGCGGCAACAATTAAGCACCCAAAAGGGTAACGTGTTTCCCATTCGACATCCACAAATCAATGAATTAAGCAGAATATTGGATTATATTAGCAATTCGTTTAGATACAGTAGAAATGCATCTACATTTCTAGTTAATTTGTGGACCTGATAGCAAAGTCTTTCGTAACACAAACGCGTAGCCATTACTGTAGATAATCTCTACCCTTGTTGTTTGCTTGAGTTCAAAGCTTCTGCATCCATGCGCTCGAGGATATGACGAGCTTCTTCCTCTGTGGCAGGAACTACATTTCGAAGCTTAAACCCATTGTTTCTGGCCTTTGCCTCTGGTCGTACAGTGAACTTAAAGTAGAAAGTATTTGAAACCTACATCATATGTAACAAAGAAAGAGAGCTCAGACCGACGATAGCTTCAAATATGATATCTTTCTCAGGAACCAGTGAGCAATTTCAACTTGAAACGATTTGTTTAAGTTAGGATTTCACCTCACTGGAACGAATCTCTGGGCTTGTAACATGGGCAACAACTTCGATAATGATGAGGGGACAATCCAGTTTATCAAGTTGAGTGTAAAGCACACATGATTTGAAACGTAAGAAATCCCCGACGTCCACCTGTCACGCAAGTCCATTCAGCATTAGTTATACACAGAAGGAGGACGTGAACAAGAAGAGGATACCAATAGTGAGAAGTGATATGGGATACAGACTGGTCTTAGGAAATCGACGTGATCAACTTCTAAGAAGTAGGGCACTAGACCCGCGAATGTATAAGCTGTGGAGAAGGCCAACTCAAATGCTCTGTGCATCAAAAACCCTCCAAAGATCCTGCCATGGATGTTCCTCTGCTGCGGTTGGCATATTAGCGAATTCTCCAGACGTGTATCTTTCAGAAGAATGCTGTTTCTGTCTGCAAGTGCTGGCATGTCGGAGAAGATCCTTCCTTCAGCCAACAAAGCCTCAAGCTTCTTATACTCCCCGTGATCGTATTCCCTTCTCTCACCTCCCCTCTTCTTCTTCCTCAGGTTATTCCTAGCCTCGGCATCCTCAAACAGAAGCTTTTCGAGCTCGGTTTCTGGAGAAAGCCGGTTGATAGGCGCAGCCTTACCAGTCTTGGAGTCACGCGCCACAAAGATGAAGTTTGCAGTCAGCGCAACTGAATTTGAAGAAGCACTGATATCTTCTGAAAACAACAACAGCAAAGTTAGAGTTTTTTAAGACATGGTTGTAGTTGAATTTGTAGACAGTATGTATATACCAAGTTCTGATTGCATAACTTCCAGTTGAATCTCGATAGATGAGCGGCCAACCCAAATGACAGAAGCAACAATCTTGAGATCAATGTCGACACTAATGGGCTTCTTCAACACAATCTTATCAACAGAAGCTGTAACCAGCAACAGTGGCCTCGTTGTGCTATCATCATCAGAGCAGTGCTGAATCACAAGTGTACATAAATTTACAGATTGTGGAATATGATAGCAAATAGAAGATAATAACATCACGAACCCAAGTTAAAAGCCAAATTCATTTAAAAACTGCATCAAAATCCTTATTTGTTTCACAAAACTGGGCACCAAATTCGATCAATCACGAACCCAGTGAAGGAAATTGCGATCGGAGCAAAATAGTGATTCGATACGGACTCGAACATACCTTGACGGAGATAGTGCCGGCTAAAGCATCAAGGTCTTCGAGCAAAATTCCGATGCGGACCTCGTTCCAGGGATCTCTGTACTGCTCGCGGAGAATGTAATCAGTGGAGAAAGGGTAGAAAATCTTGGTTCGGCTATGCGACGGCGTCCTGGTGAGAAGCTCGCTCTGAGGAGGCGCGTCTTTGGGAGGGTCGAGAAGAGACTCGAAGATCTTGGACCTGGCCTCCCAGAGAGCGATGGTGACCGGCGAGTGGTACATACCGGGCCACAAGCTCAGGGGCTTCCGGGTTGAATCAGTCACGGAGGACGCCGGAGTTACGTCAAACGGCGAGGCGAAGGTGGAGACTACGGGTATGCATCTCGGGGAATTCGAATTCATTTTCCCCCAAATTTATAAGAAACGGAATTGGATGAAGAAGGAAGCGAGAAGCTTTCTCGGATTTTGAAAATGGGGAAGACTGAAGAGAAGCCGGTGAATCATTCAAAGGAACGCCATTGGTTGATTTGCTCCATTGACGTTGGAGCTTCGACTGTTCCTCTTTGACATTATCACAATACCTTGGAGCTTCTTCGTGTTTTATAGGCAGTCGCTCTCTCTCATTCTCATCGAACATTTCTTTTGCTTTGACCTTTCTTTTATCCTAAATTGTTTATTAATTAGTTGGGGAAGATTAGGGGTGAACATAAAAACCATAACCGAAAAAACCAAACCATACCGAACCGAAAAAAGTGATATGGTTTGGTTATGGTTAAATCTAAAAATCTATTTGGCCATCATTTTTTTATAGTTTTGGATTAGGTTTGGTTTGGTTAAAAACCGTCAACCCAAAAAAAATTTTCGGTTTTTAAAATATAATATTTATAAAAGAACTTTACATAAAAATAATAAAGTAAACCTTAATTTTTCAATAAAAAATAACGTGATTAACTATTTTTTCTTCACATTCAAGTTTTCTAGTTCTAGTTTCAAGGTTATAGTCTTATAGGTATTAAATTTTAGTATAAATTTGTTTATTATTTTATAATTATTGATTATGAAAAATTTAATAATTTATTTGTTTTTCTGTTTTGAAATATGTCGTTATTGATGATTTTTTTATGATTTAGATTCTATTTTTTAAATTTATTATTTTATTTCACTCATATCTATTATTATTATTTCTATTAGTTTGAATCAAAAAATTTCGTAAAAATTTAATTCTAAAAAAACCGAAACCAAACCATAATAAACCGAACCGTAAAAAACCAAACCATACCGAACCGAAATATATATGGCTTTTATATGGTTTGAATTTTCGTAAAACTGATAAACCGTAAAACCGAAGAAACCGAACCGAAACCAAACCAAAAACCGAAATGCCCACCCCTAGGGAAGATGAGGCATGAGAGTAATGGTTCAACCGCAATTAAACCGAACCATTATAATTCTAATCGAACCATGTATATATATTTCAACCAAATTGAATAGTTGCTGCAAAAAATATGAAAAACAGCAAAGATGCACCAAACAAGTGAACGGTACTGAAAATACCCAAACCTCAGTTTAGTAATGAGAGAGAGCATCTAAACAAATATTTCACATTACAAGTTTTACAACCATACCATCGACGAGGAAAAATCAAAAATAAAAGAAAAACAGTACTTATACATATGTATATATCTTGGGACTGCTAGGACTAAAAGATGCTTCGTTTCAGATGTCTTGCCTTTCCTCTTACTCAGCGAACTATGAGCTCTTCAATGAAATCAGCTTCTCCTGATTCAGAAGGAACTAAGATATCATCGTCGGTGGTGAAGTTGTAGCTCTCTCCAATGGCCCTCAGAAGCTGGTAAACTTCAAACATGGTAGGTCTCTGCTTCGCTACTTCCGGAAGAACACAGTTGCATGCTACTTTGAGCACTTTAAAGATCTCATCTTCCACGCCTTTCCCAATTAACGACCTGTCAATAGCTTCTTGCAGTTTTGATTCACTAGATAGCTTTGTGATCCACTCCACAAGGTTACCCTTGAAGATTTCTTCCTCGGCTTCCTCAGAGCCTCTTGTCACACCAGTGGCTTTTTGGCCCGTTACTAGCTCAAGAAGCACGACCCCGAAGCTGTAGACGTCTCCTTTAGGAGTTGCCACCATGGTTCTTGAATACTCGGGAGCAACATAACCGAAATCCCCAAACTCTCCATTGACGAACGTGCTCAGATGTGTATCGATCGGGTTCATCAGCCTAGCTAGACCGAAGTCCGAGATCTTGGGCTCGAACTCTGCGGTCAACAATATGCTTTTCGAGCTTATGTTGCGATGGATGATCCTCGGGTTGCAGCTGTGGTGAAGCCACGCCAATCCTTTCGCCGCACCAATAGCGATTTTCAGCCTTGAAGGCCAATCCATGGGCTTGGAGGATTCTTCATCTGCGGGATGTAACTGGTCATAAAGGTAGCCGTTAGGCATGTACTCGTATATCAGGAGCCTCTCCTTCTTCGCAATACAATACCCCAAGAGAGGGACCAAGTTTCTGTGTTTCACAGATCCCAGAGTCTTCATCTCCGAATCGAGCTCTTTCTCAGAGCGTTGAGAATCCTGCAGCCTCTTTATCATAAGCGGAGTCCCGTCTTCGAGCACCCCTTTGTACATAGTCCCTGTCCTTCCTTTGCCAATGATATTGTCTTTCTTGAATTCCTCCGTTGCCTTCATAAGATCCCTTAGTTTCATCTTCGAAACCGACTTCTTAAACATGAATACCTGAAAAAACATACATTACAAATCCAGAACATGTAAACATTTACTTTAAAAATAAGCAAACGAGGTTTTTTTTTTCTTACCTTAACGCCTTTCTGTCCTTTCAAGCTCTTTGCCCATCTGTTTTGCTCAGGATCGTCCTTCTTCTTCCGAACAACAGCCATTCTACGGAAGTAGAAGAACAAAACAACCCCGACGACTAAAGCTGCCACGGTCAATCCACCAACCGCCGCTATAACAACAACTTTACCACGAGAGCCGGTAGGGCTCTTACATGGGTCCAGAGGCTCACCACACAAACCCAGGTTATTAGCAAAGTCATTTGCTTTGGGTTTCAAGGTGGTTTTGTTGAAAGCTGGGATAGGACCAACGAGACGGTTGCTGGCCACAGAGAACTTGCTGAGCCGTCCGAGTAGCACTAGCTCGGGAGGAAGACGGCCCGTGAACTGGTTACGCTGAAGCAAGAGAGTGTTGAGAAAGGTGATGTTTGAGATCATGACAGGGATTTCACCGGAGAACCTATTGTCGGAAAGGTCCAGAATTGTAACAGACTGAATCAAGGAGGAAATGTTGGCTGGCAAAGGTCCGGAGAAGTTGTTTCTAGAAAGCTCTAGACCTGTCAAATCAGAACATTCCTTGATCCCGTGAGGAAACTCCCCAGTGAGACCAAGCCCGTTGAGGTTAATGCTCAAAACTCTGTTCTCGTCATCATGCCAGCAAGTCACGCCACTGAACTTGCAGATATAACCTGCAGTATTGTTGCCAAATACCCAACTCGATAAATAATTATTTGGATCCTTGACTTGTGCTTTTATGCTCTTCAAGCAGTTTACGTTGGCCTCGTTTGCATCGATGGAGCTAGACAGAAGTAGTAACCAGAGACAATTCCCGAGGAAAATCGCAAAAACTAACCTACTCACCATCATATCCCCCAAAAATCCAACAAATCCCAAGAGGCGGGGCTATAAACTACAGAACAAGAATCTAGGGTTCTCCTCCGATGAGCATCAAAAAATCCTGGAAGCAAAATCACAAAAGCATAAATTATAAATAGCAAGAAATCAACTGGAAAAAATCGCCACAGAAGCAAGAAGATAATCGATCTTAGAATGAGTTGACTTAAGGAAACTGATGGTAATTAACAAAATCTTGAATTTTGAGGAACTCACGAATGAAAATCAGAAGTACAAAACGGGAGCTTTGGTCTTGGTCGTGCTGCTCCTGTTCATGTGTGTTGAGCAGAATGAAGAAGAAGAAGAGGAAGAGGAAATTCGCATCTGTTGTCAAGTGTTTATGAAAGAAGTAAGAAAAGCGTGAATGATGAAAGGACTCTTTGATTACAGAATTAATAAATTGAAAAATGAAAAAAAAGAAAAAAGAAGAAGAGTGGAGTCGTCTGTCTGTTGTGTCGTTGACTCAAGACTTGGAACGTTTTGTGGAAGAATCAAACTTCGTGAAGAATGGGGCAAAGAAAACTCTGATGAGAACGCAATGACCCAACAAACCAAATATCGGTCTTTGCGCGTTAAATCTAATGTTTTTTTTTCTTCTGCTTTCTGACTTTTCAACATCATTTCATATTTGTTAGAGATGGACAAATTTACATTATCTTCCATTTGATATTCTTGTTTTTTCTTAAAGAAAAACATCCGATTAAACAATTCTGGAGATTTCCTTCTAATAAGGTTAATAAAATATCAGATGAAAAAAAAAAAACAATTCTGGAGATTTGCAATGGTTTGGAGCAAAACTATTAGTAAAATATGATATCCTAACAAATAAAGCAGTTCAATACGATTTTGTATCGCATGTAAACAAAAATATATGCTAAAGTTGGATAATATTATGAGAGAGAAAGATAAAAACTGTTGATTTTTGTCTCTTGACCAAAAAAAAAAAATAGATGTTTTTGTCAACTTTCTTTGGTCAACCTTTCTTTGAAATGAGCTTCACGACCTGGGCCTGACATTTGAAGGGCTCCAAACCCAAAACATGGGTTGGTAACCATCTTTTTATCAGTTTTTCTTTTGGAAACAAAAATAACAATAGGAAATGATGCATTTTCATTTGGGTTTGAATCCAGTCACTATCACTATAATACCACCATTATACACAAAACTGGCCTCGATTACTAATTTAGTTGGAGGGACCAAGTCCAAGGCTCATGTGCTTATGCTTAAAGCCGACCATGTACATGAGTCTAGAACCCTACCGAGAATCCATACGGTCATGAACCTTTTATAATCATGAATTGCAAAGGTCTCAAAGTTGATTGACAAATGTTTTTATTATAAGTATAAAAAGTGAAGAGGAAACTAAATGTTTTATTTCTATAAATGTATGTATATTGGGTAAGTTAAACTATCATTACAATTTTATACACAAAAAAAGTAACATAGAGGGGTGAAGATACCATTAATGGGAAGAGGGGAAAAAAAAAAGGGTAAAGAGTAAATTACAAGTAAGTCGAGTTTCCGGCAGCTTCAGACAAACTCACGTGACAAAGCTTTATATACTTTAAAGTAGGACACTCCCTAATTCTTGAACTCGAGCCACTCTCGTTCGTCTTTGTCGAGCCGGATGGTGGAGGATGAGCCACCACACACCACTCTCTCTCTCTCTCTCTCTCTCTCACGTGCCTCCTCCACTTAAGAGTAAAAAAAAGAAAGAAAAGCAAAGCCAACGAAGAAAGTGTCTGTTATAAATCATTTTGCTTTTGCCTCCCTTCAACTTTCCTCTTTCCTTCCTCGCTGCCTTTAGGGATTTCACTTTCCTCTTCTCTCCGCCTACCCGAATACTCTCGATCGCTCAAGATGGATCTACCATCTTCCGGTGCTCCCTGAAGATTTTTGATCTCTTCTTTTACGGATTTCCTTCGTCGTCTGATTTTCTGGGTAAAGTTTTTTTTTTTTTGTCTTCTCTGGTGTTATTGTCTTTTGCTTGCTTCGTTTTCGTGCTCGTTTTTATCAACTGTAGCTAGGGTTTCTGATTTTGTTCTAGAATTGCTCGATTTAGGCAAAAACAATTCTGCTAAAACTTTGAATTTTACTCTTGAGGATCGCTGATGACGAAATTTATTGAATCAGCTAGCTTATTCTCGCCCATTTCACTATCCACTGTTTACTAAATCTGTATACTTGCTGATATTTGTATGGTTCCAGCTTACTTTTGTATAACTTCGTCGGATTAGTTCTTGATGATGAGTTGTCTCTGTGGCTAACACTAGGAATATGAATTTTTCACGAATCGGTTGAATTGGGTTTCTTCTTCTTTTGCCCTTCTTCTTACACAGTCGTCCATTATGACTTGTACAGTTTTGTTCACCAAGCTACGAGTGAAGATGTCACTGGACTCGTCTTTGACTGATTCTTATTCCCCTGTGTCTTGATGGTTTATTTTTGTAGTTTTTTTTTTCGTTTGGGATTTGGGATATCTTGGAGCTCTACTCGCAGCTTGGAGATTGTACTTGTTTGAATTGGTAATCTTTTTTTATCTCAACTTTTATTGTTCCCTATCTGTGTGGATAATTTAATATTTGATATGTTACAGTGAATATTATGTAGTTTCGACATGTGTGTGATTGGTATGCAGTATTGAGATTGCCTGGCCCCTCTAATGTTGGAATCTTAATTTGGCTTTTTGTTCTACTCATGTTTTCGTTGATAGTTTTTACTTATTTCGTACTTAAATTTTCCACCTTCTTTAGCTCTTTCATGATGGAGGATACCCAGTCAGTTGCTTCGCTCATGGACTCTACCTCATCCAAGATTCAGCAGCTTCAGAAGGCGTTTGCTGAACTTGAAAGCCAGCGCGCCGTTACACTTAATCTGAAGTGGAAGGAACTCGAGGAGCATTTTCATGGGCTTGAGAGGTCCTTGAAGAGAAGGTTTCACGAGCTTGAAGACCAAGAAAAAGAGTATGAGACCAAAACAAGGAAAGCCCAAGAACTGTTGGAGAAAAAGAAGACAGCTGTCGAGGCCAAGGAGAAGGCATCACTAGAAAGACTTCAGAAGAAGAGAGACTCGGCTATGTTTGCTATAAACACTGCTTTGGATAAGTACAACAACGTCCCCATCGGTACCACCTCTGTTGGTGAACGTTGGGCACACAATTCTTCTCTAGGGGATTCACCCAATGCCTTTGCTGCTGATGGTATTACCGATGATAATCCGGATGGTACTGTGCAAGATGTTCAGATCTCACCTGTGATGGGGAATTTTGAGGTGAAGGCTTATCCACAGCTTCTGAAACTGTGCGGTGATATGGACTCAGCAGGGCTGCATAAGTTCGTATCAGATAACCGCAAGAACCTTGCATCACTGAAGGAGGAGATTCCTATGGCGCTCAAGGCTGCAGCAAACCCAGCCAGCTTAGTGTTGGACTCTTTGGAAGGGTTTTACCCCATGGAGGGACCAACCGCTGATGGAAAGAAAGACGCTAACCTCTTGGGCATGCGCAGGACCTGCATCATGTTGATGGAATGCCTTAGCATACTGTTATCTACTCTGGACCCAAACTCCCTTGCTTCTGTTCTCTCAGAAAATGTTAAGCATAGAGCAAAAACTATTGCTCAAGGATGGAATCCACTGCTGGAAACTCTAGACATGGATGCTTGCAATGGTAACTCTTTGGAGGCACATGCATTCCTGCAACTGCTGGCCACCTTTGCTATTGTTTCGGACTTTAAAGAGGATGAACTCTTGAAGCTGATCCCCATGGTTTCACGTCGCCGTCAGGCAGCTGAGCTGTGCCGTTCTCTTGGACTATCTGAAAAAATGCCTGGTTTGTTCTCTAATTTTAAGGATATGGCTGATTATCTTACATCTTATGACATTTTGATGGGAAGGTTGACATTTGGTATTTAGCGAATAGTCTCTAGTGGAAGAAACATGACATGGATCTCTATTTTTTTGAATTTTTAGTGCACATCCAAATTATCTACCTTCACTATTGAAATTAATCTTTGATTCCAGGTGTGATTGAAGTTCTCATGAACAGTGGAAAACAGATTGATGCGGTTAACTTGGCATTTGCATTTGAACTCACCGAACAGTTCCCACCTGTCTCGATACTGAAATCTTACTTGACAGAGGCAAGAAGATCTTCCTCCCAAGGCAGTCCGGGCAATGCATCTCCTGCTGTTCAGGCAAGTGTTCCCTGACTTGATAATTTGCATTACTTGTAACAGAAAATGAAGGGATGGTGTTTATAATACTCGTTGCCTAGAACAACTTGGTCTGATCTTGTATTGAGACTCTACCATTTCTCGAGCATCTGGCTCTTTTGCCTAGCAAATCTTACCTCGCTGGAACATCTCTGAGCCCTGTACAGTTAGCTGTCATTTTGGCGTACTATGTGTCATACTCGTAGTACTTGCTGATGCGAGGTTCAGGCTAAGGCTGTGCTACATTATAATACTGTGTTCACCAAATGCAGGATGAGTTCAATGAGCGGGAGCTTACAGGGCTTAAATCTGTGATAAAGTGCATCGAAGAGCATAACCTGGAAGAGCAGTATCCAGCTGAGCCACTTCACAAGCGGATTCTCCAGCTGGAGAAGGCCAAAGCAGAGAAAAAGAGAGCAACAGAACCCACAAAGCCTCAGCCAAAGCGACCACGTGGTGCTCAACAACCCCGAGTGACCGACAACAACAACAACAACAAGATAGGATATGGTAGAGTCGTCCCTGAGAGGTATCCACAGTATGTGTATGACAACAGACCATTCCTTAGCGGTCCCATCATGGCAGCACAAGCTCCTCCGCCTCCTCCTCAGACTTACACTTTCAGTCCCGCCGCTGCTCACGGCAACTTCTACGGGAACTGCTATCAGTACCAGGCTCCTCCTCCTCCTTACTTTCACTAGTGATAAACAAAAAGGTGATGATGATGATGAATGTGACTGTGACTCTCTCTCTCCTATGGTGTTAACTTGTGGCAGCTCTTTAACCCCTCCTCTCCTACTAGTCGTTTTCCTTTGCTGTTGTTGTGTACGGATGATTTTAGTATTTTTAAGGATCAACCCTACTCAAAACAAAAACAAAAATACTCAGAATTTTCTATTAATTATATATCTTCAGTGTTGTATTATTTTCTCATTCTTGTCCCACAAAATACTCCACCAAGAAGACGCAATTACTAAGCCCGTCCGTTAGAAGGGTAAATACGGAAAACTTTTTTCATTTCGTTGGATCTTTTGAATTTTGAAATATCTTCTTTCCTTAATCCCTAATTCTCTCTCCGTCCCTCTCTCATATCTCGCGCCAAATAGGACTCGAAAATGAGAATCGCCGAGATCACCACGCCGGATCTCCGCTTGCTTCACCGGAAAACCGAGTCTCTCACTCACCATCCTCTTCTCTCCGAGATCGAACTCTTCATCCAACAATCTGAATGCATTTCTAAAGATCATCCGCTACCCCAAGCTCTCCCTACTTCTCTTAGACAATCCCTGACTCGGCTGAGTCAACTCGCTCCCTTTCCCAGTAACTCCTTCAAGCTCACCATATGGAAGCTCAGCTTTCGCCTGTGGAACGCCTGTGTTGATCTCTCCAATACCGCTACCCTCCAGTCCTCTAAATCCTCCGCCGAAAGCATCGCGAATCTCAGACATGCTGCCGCCGATATGCTATTTCTCGCCAGAGACGTCACCGGTGTCCCATCTCCGACGATCAAGTCCTCCCTCTTCTACCATCGTACCGGTCTCGTATGGCACAGTCTAAAAAAATTCGACCTCGCCTCCAATTGCTTCGAGCGAGCCACCGAAATCCTCTCGAAAATTGATATCGCGAAAATTTCCGATGCAGGAGAAAGGAAACTGTTTCTGGATCTAAATCTAGCGCGATCTCGAACTGCCTGGGAAATCTCTGACAGAAATCTAGCAGTGACGCTGCTCAATCGGGCGAAGAATATGCTGTTTGGTTCACCGGATCACTACAAGTCGCTCTCAAATCAATTCCTCGCGTTTGGTAAAAGCGCATTGTCCAGAGATGACGACGATTGCAGTCTAAACGATGCTCTCAGGCTCATGAATGAGGCGTTGGATCTCTGTGAGAAGGGGCTGGGTACAGCAAAAACTCGGGAAGACACCATGGAGTTCACGAGCATGAGAACCAAAACTTTACGTTTCATATCAGCAGTGCACTTGCAAAAGGGAGAGTACGAGAGTGTGATCAAATGCGTAAAAGTTCTCAGGAACGGATGCAGCGGAGGAAATGGCAGTGATGGAGCAGATCAACACGCTTCATTACCTGTGCTGGCGATGAAGGCTTGGTTAGGGCTTAGGAGGCATAGCGAGGCAGAGAAAGAGCTGAGAGGTATGGTGGGAAACAAAGACATTCCAGAGGCAGTGTGGGTATCTGCTGTGGAAGCATATTTTGAGGTGGTGGGAACTGCTGGAGCAGAAACCGCAAAAGGTGTGTTCTTAGGTCTGCTGGGAAGGTGCCATGTTAGCGCGAAGGCGGCGCTTAGAGTGGCCTATCGGGTCCTTGGAGAGAGTAGGGGAGGAGATAGTGGTTCGAAGATTAGGGCGAATGTTGTGGCTCAGCTCGTATCAGACGAGAGGGTTGTTGCTCTCTTTGCTGGTGAAGCAGTGACTAAGGAGAGGAAGGCAATACATTCTGTTCTGTGGAACAGGTATGTATTTTTTTTGCCATTCTTGTAACCTTCATCTCATTTTGGTTACATTTTATGATTATACTACAGCGTTTCTGTTTGTATCAAATGTATTGCATCTTAGTTAAGTGAGTGATTCACCTTGGCCACAGCAAGTGTTAGTTCCATTTGTTGTTTTCCTCGGCGAATGAATTGGGATCTAATATGAGTATATCTTGCTGTTTACAGTGCTTCAGATCATTTCCGTGCTAAAGATTTTGAGACAAGCGCAGAGATGTTTGAGAAATCGATGCTCTATATTCCACATGATATAGAAAATAGAGTTTTCAGGGCCAAAGGCTTCAGGGTTTTGTGTCTTTGCTACCTTGGGCTCTCTCAGCTAGATCGAGCTCATGAATACATAGAAGAAGCTGAAAAGGTACATATATAGGAAAACTTTGATGTCCTGCTGTTCTCTTAGTTGGATTCTTCAATTCCGAATTGCTAACTACATTTCTGTCTCTGCAGCTTGAGCCAAATATTGCTTGCTCTTTTCTTAAGGTGAATCTTGTTTTTCCTCATCGATTGAGTTCAGGCCATTTTTTATGGTCAAGATTTCTGGAGATTGTTTGACAAAAACCTTCTAAGCAACTTCTCTTTTCTTCTGATTCTTGCAGTTCAAGATCTACCTGCAAAAGAAGGATCACAGTTATGCCATCGGTCAGATCGATGCAATGACGTCCTGCCTTGACTTTTCTCCATATTTTCTGTCCCTTTCAGCGCATGAAGCTATTTCTTGCCAAGCGCTTCCAGTTGCTGTTGCTTCTCTTTCCAAGTTTCTCAGTTTCTATGTCTCAGGGAAAACCATGCCAACCACAGAGGTCATGGTCTTCCGTACATTAGTCACTATACTGACTCAAGACATTGGCAACGAAACCGAGGCTCTGAACTTTATGTTGCAAGCTCAGAGCAGGGCATCTAAGCTTGGGACAGAGTGTTTCTTTGGAACAGGAGAGACTGGAAAGCGAGAGCAGAACTGGTTTGCAGTGAGTTCCTGGAATCTTGGATCAAGATGTGGGAATGCAAAGAAGTATGAGCTCTGTGGTGAATTCTGTAGGCTGGCATCAGAATTTTACGGCTATATGGATACTGGTGAATCTGGAGAAACCACAATGATGATTTGCAGGTCGCTAATATATAGTGTCACCGCAATGATTGCTTTGGAGAAGCAAAACAAGAGCACACTGACTGAAACACAAGTGAAACTCGCAGCAGAATTGCTCGTGAGAGCCGGAAAGGTCTTATTCTCCTCTTTGTCACATGATAGCACCATTTATTTGCTGAGTTTTACCTTTTCTGATGTTTAGTTAAATGCAGATTATGTCTTCATCGCTCTCGGATGGTAAAGATTGTATGATGGAGCAGGAACTCATCTTCATGTACACCTTACTTGCCTATGACATTCACGGAAGGCTCAACAATTCAGCATTCCAGCTACTTGTGGTAAAGACGTTCGCTGGTTCCAAGTCTTGTAACTACAACTATCTTCTCCAACTTGGAATTTTCGCCTCTCAAAGCCCACGGTCCAACTCAGACGTGTCGACATTTGCTCTTAACGAATGCCTATCCGCCATGATCGCATCAGCTTCACCAGATTACCCAACCATAGCTCTGATAATCAGGAAGCTTATCGCCATATCCAGCATCCACAGAGGCGATACAGATGATGAAGAAGCAATCCAAAAGATGTATAAGCAAGCGTACAGGATCATGGTTGGGTTAAAGGAAGGGGAGTACCCAACTGATGAAGGGAAATGGCTTGCAATGACAGCTTGGAACAGAGCAGCATTGCCCGTGAGGCTAGGACAGATCGAGGCCGCTAAAAAATGGCTGAGCATCGGTTTGGAGATCGCTGAGAAGGTTTCGGGTATGGATACTTATAGAGCTTGTATGGAGGATTTCTTGGCTGGTTTTGAGACCAAAGTTTCTTCTGCAGCAGCTGAGAAGATGTAGCTTCACTCATAGTAACAGTCTACATAGTTTAACGGCTACATCGCACCAAAACTACGTATCCGCTTGTGTGATAGAAAGGCAGTTGGTGGCCTAAAGTTTCGGGCAAAACATACGAAATGACAATTAATGTTGACCAAGTTTCATCATAAGGGATCGTTTACTTTTGAGATGAGACATATCATTTTCCTCTACTTCTAGATTTATATATCTTTGACCGTCTAATTTTATTCCCCTCTATGTACCTATTCAATAATTCTTGACAGAGCCGACAAAAAATACAATCCAAAAGAGAGGTAAGGTAATAAGATTAATACGTCAATACCACAAGAAAACACATTTGTTATTACAACCGTTGACAATTATCTTTCCTTCTCGGATTGAATGTAAAATTATTCAAACCAAAACAATTGTTTGTTACAACAAGGGCTTCGTTCTTTAAAAGGAAATTCTGAGAAAAGAAGATTAAAAGCTAAAACTGAAATGAAACTTAGAGAAATTTGGAGCTGATGTTAACTTCTGAATAAGTCCGAGTCCATGGAGTTGGTGTCTCCCCATGCCGTCTTGCACTGCCCTCCCTCTCCAATCTCCATATTGTAAAATTATCTTTTGTACTATATAGTAGAATCCTCATTTCCCTTATTCATTTTTTCACCAAAACATTAATAAAAATTCATCGTCTTTCCTAAAAATAATGACTAGAGTGACAAAAGAGTAGCCAACCTTGGAAACCCACACCGAATTTCCTTTTGAATTGTGTAATCCCAATTCTATGTTGACTTAACCCGTTGACTAATGCCGTTCTCCTAAAATCATACGGTCCAATTGAAAATCTTGTAGAATATTATTTCTACTATACGTACGAACTCTTCAGAAGAAAAACTAAACACGGCATGGGTTGGCGAAAATTGGTTATATAATAAAAATTAATGAAAATGATTATGAGCAGACGTGTGTTTTTCTCCTTTTCTTGCAACTGGAAAGTTTTAACTAATGAGGAGGTTTGGGATTCAAAACCCAATTCTGGCGTCATTTCTTCTTCTTCTGTTTCTCTTCATCTCCAACTGTTTTGCTTCGAGTCAAAACGACGACGTTGATGAAAGCTCCGGGTTCGAGCATGAACGGGTTAGGATCCGGGTCGGGTTGGTTTTGGATTTGGGTTCCGTGGAGGGGAAGATGGTGGGAAGCTCTGTTTCCATGGCGCTTTCCGATTTCTACGCCATTAACAGTGATTACAGAACACGAATCTCTCTCTCACTCAGAAACTCCCACGGAGAGCCTCTCCTTGCTCTCGCTTCTGGTACTTACTTTCATTTTTCAACCTTTTTTCTCTTCTTCTTCTCTGTCTGTCTCCACTCACTCACAATCCAGGTGTGTGTTCTCTCTTTCCGAATAAAACAGCTGTAGATCTGCTGCAAACTGTAGGAGTCGAAGCGATTATTGGCGGGAATTCGTTGCTGGAAACGAAGCTTTTGGCGGAGATTGGGGAGAAAGCCAGTGTTCCTGTGATTTCACTTAACTCTCCGATTTCATCGTCATTGAGCAAATACAGCCACTTGATCCAAGCGACACATGATTCCTCCTCCGAGGCAAAGGGAATCACAGCTTTCATCCATGAGTTTGATTGGAACAGTGTTGCTCTAATCTACGAGGATGACGATGACTGGAGAGAGAGTATGCAACTCATGGTTGACCATTTCCATGAAAACGGCGTTCGAATACAGTCCAAAGTTGGTTTTACAGTCTCTTCAAACGAGGAATTGATGACGGATCGCTTACGAAATTTGAAGGACTCGGGGACGACTGTCTTTGTGGTGCACTTGTCTGAGCTTATTGCAACTCGTCTCTTCCCATGTGCTGAGAAATTAGGGATGATGGGTGAAGGGTTTGCTTGGATCCTCACTGCCAAAACCATGAACAGTTTCCATGAGAAGACTGACGATTTTTCCAAAGAGGCGATGGAAGGTGTGGTTGGTTTCAAGTCTTACGTTCCAATGTCTAAAGAGCTTCACAATTTCACTTGGAGATGGAGAAAGTCACCGTTTTTTGAAGAAATTGTTGGGTCTGAGATGATAACTCGTTTGAGCATCTCTAGCGTATGGGCTCACGATGTAGCCTGGGCACTTGCGAGAGCAGCGGAAGTCGCAATGATGTCGAATGTATCATCAACTCTCCTTGAGGCAATCACAGAGACTAGGTTCAAGGGTTTGAGTGGTGACTTTGAGTTAGACGATAACAAGTTCTTGTCAGACAAGTTTGAGATTGTGAATTTGATAGGATCAGGTGAGAGAAGGGTAGGATTCTGGAGTTCTAACGGTAGTTTCAGCAACAGAAGACATTTGGCTTCTTCTACTCATAACAAGCTAGAGACCATAATCTGGCCCGGTGGGTCTGCCCAAAGCCCGAAAGGGCGCAGTATAGGAGAAAGCAATAGAAAAAAGCTGAGAGTTTTGGTAACATCTAGCAACAGATTCCCAAGATTGATGAATGTGACGACTGATCAGGTAACAAATGATATAACTGTCGAAGGTTTCTGTATAGAAGTCTTTAGAGATTCCATGAGACCTTTCAACTATGAACTGGAGTTCATACCTTGGCGCAATGGAAGTAACTACGACAATCTTGCATATGCACTCTATAGCCAGGTAATAACTATTGCAAGAATTTTTTTCTTTTGCATCTATGTAGAGCGTGTGGAAGCTGAATCAGTTCCATTTTGAAATTGTGTGTTGCATCCTGCAGAAGGACAAATATGATGCGGCGGTGGGAGATATTACAATCACTCACAACAGATCGATGTATGTTGATTTTACGATGCCGTTCACCGAAATGGGTCTTGGAATCGTAGCGCCAAAGGAGAGAAGCATGTGGGTGTTCTTCCAGCCTCTAACACCGGACCTTTGGATGACAAGTGCAGCTTTCTTTGTCTTGACGGGCATTATAGTTTGGTTGATAGAAAGATCTGAGAACCCTGAGTTCCAGGGATCTTGGTCTAAACAGATTGGAGTTGTGCTTTGGTTTGGCTTCTCCACCCTCGTTTATGCGCACAGTAAGCACATTCTTATATGCTAATCTTGGTCACACGAGATTGGAGTAATGCTTTAGTTAGCTTTTGACCTTTTCGCTGCTAACTGTTTGTGTAGGGGAGAGGCTAAAACACAACTTGTCAAGATTTGTAGTTACAGTTTGGGTGTTTGCAGTGCTCATATTGACTGCAAGTTACACTGCAACGTTGACATCAATGATGACGGTGCAACAGATACGGTTCAACTCAAATGAAGACTTCGTGGGTCACCTTTCGGGTTCCCTCATAGCAAATGTGGCACTCACTAGTTCCAGCCTCCGAGCATTGAGATCCACGGGTCTCAATAGTGCTCAAGATTATGCTCAAGCCTTGTTGAACAAATCTGTATCATTTGTTGTCGATGAGATGCCATACCTCAAGGTCCTCCTTGGCGAGAATCCTGCACAGTTTCTCATGGTCAAGACACAGTGTACCACCAATGGTTTCGGCTTTGTATGTGTCCCCTCTTCATCATCGTCAGATTTTTTTTTTTACTCTTCATCTTCTTTTTTACTTTCCTGACAAAAAAAAGTGTTGGTTTTGTGAAACCACGTTTCAGATGTTTCAAAAGGGATCCGAGTTGGTGCCTAATATATCCAGGGAGATCTCCAAGTTAAGGACGAGCGAGAGGCTAAGCGAGATGGAGAAAAGATGGTTCGAGAACCAGCTTCCATACACAACAGATGATACATCAAATCCTATAACTCTTTACAGATTCCGCGGTTTGTTTATGATCACGGGAGTTTCATTCGCTTTCGCTTTTTCTGTACTCCTCATTCTCTGGCTCCGAGACAAATGGGAAGATCTTGTGAATTCGGTGAACATATTCCTCTCACGACGACTTGTACATTGGAGGATCCTCTTCGCAAGAACTATCCATCCCAGTCCCCTCGATGACCCCATTGGCGACAATGCGGTTCAGATGGCTCAACGTAACTGACAATAGGAACTGATTCACAGATAGCAAAAGGGTACGTTACCATTCCTAGCATCTCTAATAAAAGTGAAGTGGATGCTCCTGTTCTTGTGCCTGAAGTCTATAGCTTACACGATTGTTGTGGTGTGGTTCGTCTCTGATTCTTGACCCAAACAGGCTTAAGCGTGAAAAATACAAAGGATGTTTTTGCTTGTAAATTGTGTAGATGTAATCTATTTCACACTCTGATTATTAACCTGTCTAAATTGTGTAGTGTCTTCCATATATTTTTGTTCTCCGATGAATAAAACTAGGCTTTATTTTGGGTTGGGCTTAAAAAATCAAAGAGCCCATAAGCATTTTTATGAAGAGAAGAAAAGAGAACAAACAAACCCTAATCTCTCTATCCCGTCCAAATCCCAATATAAAATCCTAATCTCTCTCTTTCCCTTCTTCAACAACCGCCTCTCATCTCTCTTCTCCTTAGCTAATATTCCTTCAAGCTTTTGTAGGTTTATTTTACGGTTTTCTATCTTATGCTGTTTCGTTACTCTTTTTTTCTTTGTTTTTGGTTAAGAATTTTTGTTTGATAAAATAAAAGCAAGTTCAGCTTCTTTGACTGGATTGAGTATCAAGATCCAGTCAATTTATTAAGAAAACAAAACTTGCGAAATAAAATTCGGCAGTATCACTCGCCTGGATCTGATAAATTTCATGATTATCTAGGCCCTTAATCTACTGGCAAAACTTTCTATTATGATTGTTTTTTGTTAATGGTGTTTTCAGCAAACGCACTCTGTCCCAAGACCTTTAATTCCATGTTTTGGTGCAATTTCTTCGTTTGCTAAATTGAGTAACCATCCAATTCAACTGGTCCTCGGGGTCTTTTCAGTGATCCCTACATGGGCACATGGTTGGCTTACAAAACTTAATTCATTTCGATACCAATCTTTTTCAGATGCAAGTTAGCTGTTTGAATTGCCCTATACATATGATATATCTCACCAGAAGAATAAACAAAGGGCAAACAAATGCAAGGAATATACACACGAAGGACTGATAACTGATTCAATACTAGTTTTAACAAACGAGGGCTTTTGGGATTTAAAATTGAAATTTCTTGTTTAGTTGTATCATGGACAAGGAAGCTTACTTACGGACCAGTTACTACAGATCATGTTGAGACTGATCTTAACATTGAACAACTTGCCATCTTAATTTGATGGATTTGGTTGTTAACTTGTTTCTGAGCTATATGATTCATGGGCCTGGGCTTGGCTCTGGCCTCGCCCAGTACGTAAGTAAACCAGCAAATCAAAATTCATCGAAAAATATAATCTCAATCAAAAAGTTGAGGCAACTTGAAATTCGCCAAACATCTTGCATTCGAAATACGGACTTTTTTTTCTCCCCAAATTATTGGGATGTCAATTATTAGAGATTTTTTCCGTATGGTTATGTGTTTTTTTTTTTGTTAAACAAGATCCCTTACAATATAATACCATTAATTACATTACAAAAGACCACTCCAAATATTGGAAGTAAATGAATTGATTGAAAGAAACAAAGAAACTCAGATTTTAGAAAGATCATAAAAATAACATAACATATATCAATAGAGAAACTAAGGAAAAAAAATCTCATTCATTAGTACTAAAAATCATTTATATAGGAATTTATTATATAGGAACTTATTACATAATATCCAATGATTTATGTCTCAATAATGACTTCTGATTTTTATATTACATGATATATTGCTATCTAATTATTTTTGTCATATTGTTTTACTGGTGCAAATAAAATACTGCAACAAGATCTACAATCAAAAACTTAAGAATATTTTTCATCACCGGTCCAAGTCCCCTTGACTTTAGGACCAGTGGGACCATCTTCGCCAAGCAATTCCGGAGGAATCTTTCTAATAAAATTTCGGAAACCTTTCCTAATAAAAATCGGCAATACCTTAGCGAAAGAGTCAAGAGATTTGACAATATCGTAACGTACTCGAGGTCCCCATTTCCTAAAATAGCTAATCCACGGTGGCTCAACCACGCCTCCAGGTCCTGCAATCACTTCATATCCCACACCACAGTCCAAAACCTTGTCACTCCTCTCCATATCGTTTCTGATTCCGTTCTTGCCCTCGCCTTGCAACACAAGTCCCGGTTTCGAGAACATTGCGTGACCGTGAAGCGACGAGTATATCACTGGTTTGTTTCCTCTTTCAAACTCTAGATCACTTGCCTCCAACAAAGCTCCTCCACTGTGCTGAGAAACGTAGACGCGCCATAACTCGCCGTTGAAATTGCTGATGCGCAGAGTAACGTGTTCCCAATCTCCAACATGTTCGCCGATATCACCTAACGAAAGGTTGTTGATGATTAAAAACTTGAGGTGTGCATTGCCGTTGAAAGGACAGAATATCCAGACGACGATATCTGTGAAAGTGCCTCCGAACATTGGTTTGATGTGTAGATACACTTTCGTGCTCGCTAAATCCCCTCTCTTGACCTTTTCCTTTGCGTTCTTATCGACCGGATAATCTAACCAGAACAAGTCATCGTTGGAACCGCCTTGTGGAAGGTTTGAACCGTTTGGCTGTACCGGGACAGAGTTGGTCTCGTTACCTTTCTGGTACAACAACGCGCCATTGCCGAAAAACCAATCGATGGAGGAAGGAAGAAAATCCTCTTTTGGATGGAAATATATCAAAGGAGAATACGCTTGAAACAAGACTCCGGTTTGGTTATGACTTGGCATGTTCGACATGTCGAGTTTCGTGTTTTTCAAGCAGGATAAAAAAGGAAGAGGAGCAGAGTTTGACTTTTGAATACTGAATGTTCCTGTGTACACACCTGTTGCTTGTGTTCCTCTGATGACCGGTCTCAAATTTGAAACACTAGCTTCTTTTATTCCCCATACCGATGAATCGGCTTCACTCGGTTCGGTTAACTCGGATCGAACACAACTTATATGTTCTTGAGTTAGAGGAGGCTTCTGAGGGGAAGTAGTGACCAACATACCAACCGCTTGATATCCATTGAGACATACCGGCTGCCAAAAATATGCAGACCCGTCTTGTTTGATATTCAGCGATGCAGTGTTCCCGGCTTCAATGTAGTCGACAGGTGCTCTTAAATTACTACCAGATACGTCTCTTGCAACAAGAACCCAACCGAAAAGCTTCTGGTTGTTTGGCTGTGCATAGAAGCCAAGTTTGAAGAAGTTAGGAGGAAGATTTATAGGTTCAAAGATGCTGAATCCCATGTTGTCTCGTCCTCCTTCATATGTTCTCCATACTCTTTGTGCTGTTGCGTTGGAGATGGAGACTTGTTTAACCTCAAGACCTCCTAAGTCTATGGTGCCTTTGCCAAAATTTCCCTCATCGGGAAGCATTGTAGGCAATGGACCTCGAAATGTAAAGACTGTTTCCACAGGTAAACCATTGGTCTGGAGATTAATAGCTCGAGATTCTGCCCATGACCATTGGTTTACAATCAGAAGAAGAATAAACAACAGAGGTTTGAAGTACGTATCGTTAAACATTTTTTAAGCTTATTGGTGTTCTTCTTTCATTATCTACATATATATGATACATTTATGCCAGAAAAGGTACCTGAAACCATTGATGACTACAAATTAAAATACGATTATGCAAATATTCAATGAATATAATTAAGTATGTATTTACTAGATACTAAAACTGATAAGATCGTTTGCCAAATGTATTCGATACTACCATATTTTTGTGATCTCGCAGAGAAAAATGACACCATTGGTGGCTATGCAGAGATTCTTATTTTGGTTTTTAGAAGATATGTAGTATGTTTCTTAAATAAGGAATTACATCAGATTTTTAAATCCTTTTCAATACTGAATTTCAATCACATAATATATAAGAAAATAAACATATTGAACCCAAGATCTCCATATAATAATGATTTTTCACTATCTTAAGATATTGGTTTGATCATAGCAACAAAACGTAACATTTTGTGTTAATGTTTGATTATCTTTGAATCAGTGATCACTTTTTTTTGTCAATAACATACATTATATCTCATTTATATAAAAGGGATAGATTTTCTGCTTTCTAAAGGGTGTCACATAGGCAAAAATAATCAGCCAATAAGAATATAACAAATTGACACATCGTTAAATTATAAAAAAAATTAACCAATAAGAATAAGACAATATGCCACATCAGCAAAAATAATTAACCAATGGTAAATTTCAAAACTGCTATGTCATATTCTCCAACCAATAATTTAAAGCCATTTTATTAAATAATGTATTAATCAAAATTTCTTCAAATTTTACCTAAAAAAAGCTTTTATAATTCTTAAATTCTCAATAAAAAAACAAAGCTAAAAAAAACTGAAAACGAATTACACTAAAACTCAATTATAAAGCTTAAACAAACGTTTATTTTATGGAGTCATCGTCTTCTCGGTTTCCAATCATCTCGCCTCTGACTCACCAGAAATAGAATCAGTCGTCACTAAACACAAATTTTACTTATTAATTAATGACAACGAAACTGGTGATAAACAATAAAACTTAAATAAGTGGAGTATAAATATTTGGAAATCCAAAAGACATAGCAATGAGGATGTCAAAAAAAAGACATAGCGATGAGCCACATATGATATAAATAATACACAGCTCTATCACAAATGAAGTCTAATGTGTCTCATGCTTGAGATTGTTGTAAGCAACATAAAAATACAATTTCACAACTGTTTTGCATTTATATTTATAATGTGAATCAAGTAGAATGAGTCTGAATCATAGTATTGTTGAAACTGGAGAACGTCTTTCTCGCCAAAAGTAAAACTTAAGGAGCGACTCAGTTTTATTTCGTCTAGAGAAAATTAATTTATACAATTGTAACTTTTTGACTTATAACAGATTTCAAGTTTCTAAAGCTGATATAGAGTTCTATATTGTTCGTTGTAATCCGATATTGTAGAAAAACTGAAGTAAAACCTAACTAAAGAACCGGTGATTAAAGAGAGTTACTCACCGTTTCTTAATTTTTATTTGCAAAATTACATGAAACATAAAACTGAATTTTTTTTTTCAAATAACATATAATGATAAATTCCACACTATTCACCAATATTGGCAAATGATTGAGCTAGCTAAACTATCAAACAAGTATTATATCAATCAATAAAGAGCTCATATAATAAAAAAGTTTATTATTAATTGTCATTTGTTTTCTTCGTTGAATATATAAACTAATTATAGAACATCTATGTACATAGTGAATCTTAAAAAATTGATTAGTAGAGAAATGCATACTATATAAAAATTAAAAACAAAATTCTAATACACAATATGAAACAAAAATGGAGAAAGAATTAAGTTTTTCTTTTTAAAAACATCAAGCGAAAAAGAAGCTTATGCAAAATATTTTTGAAAGTATAAAAAATACTCATGGTGTTCACTAATGAAATAGCATTATAACATAAGATGTCCAAATTTAGATAATATATTTCTAATATAATATATAGTTCATGTGGATACTATTTACATAAACAAAAAATATAACAAAATTACAAATCAAATTATTATACAAAAATATCAAACTTTACCCTCCATATTTGCAAAAACATGCATTAACTCTTAAAAAAAATTTTAACTTAGCCAAAAGGTATATTAATCTACTTTCAAATTATTATACAAAAATTTCGATCATCTTTTCACATATATATATATATCCTTCTGATACTTACTTCGTTCGATTATATCTAAGAATCACATGCAAATATACTACTCTATAATTTATCACAATATTAAACACAAAATTAATTGACAACCTTTTATAAAACTACAATATAACTATACAATCCACGCGTAGCGTGGACAAAACACTAGTACCTATAACATTTAACAAAAATGACTAAATTTATAAGTTGTTTAAATCTCATTATAAATTAACTGCATACATATGTTTCAGGTTACTTTCTGAAGATAATGACGAATTAAGTTGATGTCACTCGTCCATCCATAAGTAAAGTTTTGGCTTTTAGCTAGGAGAATTGTCATTCTCGTCCGGTTTCATTTCTGATTTTAGTGTTGGACCCAGTTTTGAATTAGGATTAAACTAGGACAAATAAGTAATTCCCATTTCTCATTTTTGATCCATTTTCACATTTTATTGTTTGTCAACTTCTGTTTGTATGATCAGTTGTTAATGTGGGAGATTACTTAATTAATATCTAAACGATAACTTAAACCGCATTTGAAAGATACGGATATGGCACAATTACTCTTTCTTTATTGACTGAAAGATTTTAAAACCACACTTGACAGGGAAACTATAAAACAAATGAAGCTAACATTTACAATCTTAAGCAAATGTCAACCATCAAGTTCCTTTTGACTTTTTTTATGGCCGTGTTTGAAAGTCACCGCACGAAGCATTGACCAAACCCAAAGAACAGCTAAATCCAAAAGCAGATCTCCCAACGTCAAACTCCAACAAAGTGTTCTCAAACTGATGCATTCCGATCACCACCGCCATCTCCGCCGCATCTCCTCCGTTGAGGAAAGCCAGGCAAGATACGTCGTCACTAACTCTTTTCATCGAGTTTGCGGCAGAAATTTTCCAAATTTTCCCATCAGCGAACTTCAAATCGATCCGAGGCACCTGGAAATGTTTCGTTGACTTAAGACAAAACTCCAAGGGTGTTGTGCTAGTGACACGTGGGATATCCGACGTGGCTTTTGAGAATGCTTCAACAAAGACTTTGTATATATCGCTTCGTAAAGTAGTGAAAGGGGTTACGGTGCTCAGAATCACGCCTCCGTCACCCTTGCCGTCGAAATTAAAGGCGTTTTGGGCAAGCAAGATCGTTTCTCCATTTACAGAAATACCCTTGAGCTTCAAGAAATAACCGTTGAGCTTTCTAGGGTTCTTGATCAATTGAGTGTAAGAGAGCATTGTTCTTGCATCCATCTTTCCTAGCTTGTACGGACCTCCACCAAAGAAAATAGCACCTTTGTTCGTAGGTTTTTCATCAGAAGGCATACACAAAGCGAACTTCTTCTCGAGACCGAGTCTAGGTGGAGTCAGCTGGTTCCATGTGGCAAGAGCCGTGGGTGCAAGCCCCGCGAGGCCAAAAACCCCAGGAGGGAAGTCAGGGAGGAACAGCTTGGGGACGCAAAGGTGATTTACGTTATTGATTGTGACCGAGGGAGATCTAGAGTTTAGTGAAGAGATGGAAAAATCTCCATTAGTGTATTGGTTTGAGTCACATAGACGTTGGAATGGCTCAAAGGCGGTTGCTTGGCAAGCACATCTTCCATTGATGATTGTGTTTTGGGTAGGAGGACATTGGTGAGGGTTGAATCTACGAGCGAGATTACACGTGGCAGAGCCGCACGGGACGATGGGACGAGGGATACCATCATTGCATTTGCGGACGAGGTAAGGCCCGCTTATGTGGATGAAGTACTCTTCGTTTGTGTTGAGTGTGAAGGTGAAGAGGGGTAAGATGGGGTTCTTGGTTACGCTTGATACTAAGCTACGTTTTGGTTGATACTTATGTGCCAAGGCGTAACTATAAGTGGAAAACAAAAGGAGGCAGAGGAGAAGACTCTTTCCCATCTTTTGAGAGAGTTTCTCTTCTTTTTTTTTAAGTTTTGGAAACTTTAGGGTTTATAGATATGCATATGCTTAAAAGAAGAAGAAGTAAACAGGTATATATAGGGAATTAAAGTTGACATTTTCGATTCATAGACGTCACACACGCCAATATGTAAGAACATGTAAAATACAACGGGTCTATCGTAACACTACAACTAGATTATAATAAATTGATTTTGAAACTTAGACGCCAGATCATAATTAACCACCCTCAATTATATGTCTGACAAGTTGAAAGATAAATTAAAGAAAGATTACTAATGGGGTATGGTCATACATTAATAAGAAAAACAACTTAAAACTATCACTACTTGTGTTTTCTTTTTATTGTTAAAAATAGAGTAATAAACAAAAATTAGCAATACGAGAGAATAAGTTGATAGTTAAAGGATATATAACGTCTAGTATTTTTTTTGTCATAGTCTAGTTCATCTAGACGTTAATATCTACTAGCATGTGGATATTTATTGTGTAGCCTCTTGACAATTTGATATCATAAGAGTGAATCCTACCGCGTAGTGGCTTGCTTAAATAGCAAAAGAACTTTAATTTGGGTGGTTGAATAATGAAAAACTACTGCTTGAAAAGTTTGGCAGGCTATGAAAACCATATGCGCACTTTTCGTCAAAACTCGAATAACATTTATTTTGCCAAACCAACTAGTGTAAATGGTGTAAATATCGTTTTGGATGAAGCATATGATTTTAATAAAACCGTATTTTTAAAAAGAAAAAATAGTAACGTAAACCTACGTTTGTTCTACTTTATTAAAACTGAAAAAGAGCGATGACACCTTCATTAATCGTAATTATGTTTTCTAATAAAACGGTTTGGGGCAAATATATATTAAAAATTTGTGATTAAATTCCTTTTAGGGGATGTATATTGACTAGTAATTATTTAATTTTGGTCACCTATTGACTAGTAATTTTAAAAACATTTTGGTTATCCTCACTATCTTTATCTTCTAAAAAAATACACAACTGCAGAAAGTGGTCTTTATAATAATAAGATAACTTCTAATTGGGATAATGGTCTTACCTTGTTAAATTGCTCTAATTTCCTTAAAATGTGTAAACGTCATTGTTACATTATTCCTTCATTGTGTACGGCCGCCTCGTGTGTCACGTTGTGTGTTTGAATTCACCATGCGATGTGGGGATTAAGTAATTTGGTTTTATTTGTCTAATTAGAACATAATATTGAAATGTCACCCACATATATAAAACAAAAAAAAAGACGTCCGTTGATGTCTCGTTGCATGGACAAATTGAGAATTTTTGTTTGTTCTGGTACTTTCTAAAATTAGTAACTTTAAGTTACTAAACCAAAACGCTAAAACATCCACCTACGATGGTTTCCCTCAAATACCATGAGCGATTTTGGGATTTCCTCAGCAACAACGTTCTTTAACCTTAAACGCTGATATATCTACCTCCGATGGTTTCCCCAATACCATGTCCAATACCATTTCCGCTGTTCCAAGAGCCTGAAAAGTTTTCAAGAAACCAGGAATCACAATCAGGTTCTTGAGAAAAACGTTTTAGAACATTAGGATGAATCTCGCTTTACCATGGAGAGTCCACCTCCTTCATGCCCAGCTGCCAAATACAGGTTTTGTAACCCGGGCACAGATCCTATCATTGGCTTCCCATCAGGCACTATATATATGATCAGTTAAAAGATAACTTCAGGGTTTGTGATCATTCCAAAAGACTCTGTTTGAACCATTTTTGGAGCATGAGAAAGCAAGAAGCTTACTGTAAGGACGCAACCCGACTCTCACTTTCCTATTACGGATGAAATCTTGAAGGGACATATCACGTAACTTGGGGAAGAACTCTGCTGCACGCTCCCATATGCACCGGACGATAGTCTCATCAGCTTCAGTGTCGAACCCTACAAACTCACGGCTGCTCCCTGAAATTAAAAGATGGCTATTTGAAAAAAAGAGAGATACACCGTGTGGCGTGACTAGTTAACATCTTTACCACACAGAATATGAAGAACAATGGACTTAACTGGCTCAGAAGTAGACATAGATAGATTGGTGAAGTTCTTTACCGAGAACAAGGTTTCCTGTTGTGTCCATTGTGGCTGTCATGGAAATAGATAGCATACGTTTCTCAATATCCAATCTTGGAGCCGAAGCACTTTGATGATCCACGTAACCAGCCTCCATGATCCCATGATTTAAATGGAACGAATCAAAATTCTCTACCACAAGCAGATGCCCCTGCAAGGAAAAAAAAGTTGAACACTGCATCTTTACAAAAAATACTAAAGCAAGAAGGAGCGAGCAATCAGACGAGATTTGAACCTTTCTTGGCTTCACAGGAACTTCCACTGAAATGTTGCAGTCTTTAAGCAACTCATGCATCAGAGATCCACTCCAGCAACCAGCAGCTACTATAGTAGCCTTCTTACCATACAAGTTGCGTTTCAAAGTCTCAACACCTGCAACCTCCTTGCTACCCCCATCAGACCTGGATACAGAACAAGTTATGTCATATTGATCCCTAGATTAGAGAATGCATTTTAATTCTCTGGTTCAAAAGAGTTTCAATTCAGCTAAACAAAGATTAGCCACCTTATTAAACCTGTAACTGGTTCATGATAGAACTCAGCATATCTTCCTTCTGTTGCAAACTCTCTGTTGCCCTGAACAACTCAAAGAAAACTGAGTAAACCGCAAAGCAAAAGAGCCAGATGAGACATTCAACTATCCAACGAAAAAATCTAGCAACCTTGTCGATATAAGCAACCGCACGATGAGCATCCAACTGCGAATCATCGGGAAGAAATGCAGCGCCAGTAGCATCATCCACAAGAACCGCAGGCTCCTTTAGAAGCAAATCAGCGCTAGACAAATATTCAGCTCTCAGCCCAGCTTCAGATAGCTCATCAACCTTTCGTTTCAGAGCAACACATTCCTCAGAAGTCTTTCCAATGAGCAAGCTTCCTGCAGATAAACAATAATGATACTGAACCATATATCATCAATTCATCATCCACAATAAAATAAAAGGTAGGCATTCGTGGGATAAGATGAAATTAACATTGCGGAAAAGAGCTTGAGAATGGTGTAAAGAACCAAAATAGACTAAACTGAGGAGCTATTTAGGAAGATCAATCCAAGTTACTCAGATAAACAAAGTAGCTCCAAGAGCTTTAGACAGCGTAGAGAAGATATCGACCAAATTCCAAACAGACCGAAGTGGGGGAGTGAGAGAAAAAAACCTGTCTTTTTCCAACCGAGCAACTCTTGAGGATCAAGGCCTTGCTCGTTTAAGCTCTGTGCAAGGTTGTGCCAGAGTTGATGGCTCCTCATAGCCAAGTCCCAAATATCACTACCCGGTTTCTTGTGTGTCATCCATATATATCCCTGTCCTGAACCCAAAAACCACAACTTTTCAGGTTAACTAAACTCTATTGACTTCAACTTTCCATAAACAGGCGATTAAACCCAGAACTAATCCCACGGGAAAGCTAAGAATAGGTAATGTCAGATCCAATTTGGAAGTCAGAGAAAATGGTAAAAGATTACCGGCACCGGTGGCGCCGGAGCAAGGGACGGCCTTATCGACAACGGCAACGGATAGATCCGACCCGATAAGGAACTGGCGGGCAATGGTTAGCCCGATGATCCCACCACCAACAACAACAACATCGAAAGAGCTGCGAGAGGCAGTGACACGAAGTGATGGAGAAGGTCCATGTCGGGTCTTACGGGTGGCGGGAGATAGAAATGGGGAGTTTAAAAAAGTGGGTGATTGAATGGAGATAGAAACCATGACAAGAGGATCTGGGTCAACGGCTGCTCGGATCGTTTGAGGTTTTTGCAAACTTTTGGCGACGAAAATGGTGGTCAAACGGCAAAGCCAACAGGAAATACATAATAAAGTTGTTATTTTTCCCAAGTTTCTGAAATTTTGGAACAAACTGATTTGAATGGTTCGTCAAAGTGGCTTCACTTAAGGATAATTAAGTATCTCTCTGCTCTTGACATTTCCTCAACCAAATTCTTGGCAGTATAGAATCAGGAATCTTGTTAGTATTACAAAACAATTGCTTTCTTATCACCAGGTTCATCCATCCAGCACAGTCAGCTACCAACTTTAGGATAATATTCTATTACAATGCAAGCCTTACGGCATAACATACATTTTCATGGATGAATGAATAAAAACTACCAGCATAAAATAGCATCTGTGATCTTCAACAACACTAGATCTTCAAGCTTCTACAGCTACTACATCAACTTTTGAAATGATGGGAGTGGCGCTTCCTATAATCCGGTTTGAATTGCTCAGAATCCTCACCTGGCTAAACTACTAATTAAGATTGCAAAAATAGTGAGGAGAATCCCTCTGCTTGTCGCCAAAATGGATCGCCTTGATCCCGAGAAGTTTACTCTCTCTGCCTGATCCCTGCAGAGAAAAAACAAGACACCGGTTAATGCAACAAGTTGATCTCCATCAGCTACATGTGTTCCTCAGAATCTTACTTTTGTAACGCTGAGAGCCGACCACAGTATATTGTGTTTTGAGGAATGGAGTTCTCAGATGAGTCAATCTCTGGGTTAACCACATTCAAGTACACTTCTTGTCCCAGATACCATGAGGCAAGATTGTCTATTCGAAGGTTCCACATGCCAGCATTGTCCAAATACACTAAGATGGCCGTCCACGCACCAGGAAACACCTGTATACACAGGAGCCGTTTACAACCATGTAGAAACGAACGCAACAATATTAATTTTTAGGTGTTAAGAGATCAAATTCAAACCTGCGTTGTAGACCGAGCAATCCCATCTCCTTTGTTGTACGTGCTTCTGCTATTCTCTGTCCACAGACCAAAGTCCATCCTTCAAGACAAACATCATTCTTTCTTTACAATCACATTTCAACAGATATATATATATAGACGGATCTGACATAACTAACCGCAACCTTACCCGACAACGAAAAATGCATAACCATCCAAGTGAAAGCTCTTAACGCTGGTGTCACTGTTCTGAAATATGATCTCCATGAATCCCTTGTACGTGCCGTTCATGACAGAGGTATCCACCTTGGGATGCCTGTTCATCGGTCTTTTCGGGAAATCCAACTTGTATACCCCTGAGATGTTGTACTGCTGAGCAAGCTTTAGAGGCGTTGAAGGATGTAAGTATGATATACCATTAAGAGTGGCACGCAATCTCCCATCTATAAGCTCCGGTGGTCGGTTCACAATCACATAGACATCAGTTACCGTGATCTGGCCATATTTGAAAGATCCCTGAGGGTTCGGGCGTGCAGCTCCAGCTGAGACATTCAACCTACCAAACAGCATTTCCATCAGCAACAAAGTAAGAAACTGCAGCAGTTTTGATCTATATACATAATCGTTAAGAACCTTATGGATCATTCTGGCCAAGACATTTCGTGGTATGAAACATAACTAACTTATACATAGTGGTTAACAACCTTATGGATCGTGCTTGGTTCATTGAGAAATATGTGTCCAACTCAATAGGAGGATCAGGGAGTGGACCTGAAGCGGGTCCTTGGGAATTAGAGTAGTGCAAGATAGCGACTCCAGTGGCTTTGGCGGACGAAGATGGTTTAGCAAACCTTGGGCTGGCGACAATGTAGTAGTCGTTACTACCAGATTGATCCATGGTGACAAGAAACGAGAAGGATTGGCCCACATGAATGTCCATATTCGTATAATTCTGCTGAACTGTGTATGAACCTTCTGTCTCAACAAGAAGTAGGTTATGATTCTGTATTCTGAAATTCAAACTGGTTGCTATGCCACTGTTATGAACACGGAAACGGTATGTTCTTCCTGGTAAAGATGAAGTTAATGAAAAAGGTCAGAGACGAGAGAAAGAATCAAAACCATAAACCTCACCAGATCTATGAGAAAGAATCAAGATACCTGGTTCAACGTTTATCGTCCCGAAAGGAATACCATCGGAAGCTAGCTTGGGAGTGTAAGGAAAAGGTCCAAATCCATTGATGACAATACCATCCGGAGCTCCAAAATCAATCTTACTCTCAACATCCTTCCTCAGCTTCTGATTGTTGATAAGAGAAAAGAAAAAAGATGTTTTAGAACAACCGTAGCGAAAGAGAGACAACAAACAAGAAAGAAAAATTAGATTTTGTGTAAACGACCTTATGGCTCTTAGTGAACCAATCACTGATAAAGAGTGTAACATCTCCATCAGGCAAAGCAAAAGGAACTGGGATTATGTCTCTATTGTTGATAATGATCCCTCCATACCCACCAGCTGCTCTCTGGAAGTTTGTAGATGGGAAATAAAAGAAACTCCCAATCTGGTCTTTGACCTGAAACTCATAAGTCCAGTTCCAACCAGAAGGAATCGGACAATTAGTGCCCAAAACTCCATCTTGCCACGAGTTTTTCCTGTGCTGGATTCCATTCCTACAGTCACACACAATAACATTCAGTGACACAAAAATCATATAAATTTAGTAGATTTTCAGATTTGTAACAAGAATCACCAAACCGTACCATGTGAGAAGCAACGGCTCATCAAGATTATTCTTAACGTTCATAACAACATTCCAATTCGTAGTCACGTTGAGAATGGGCCCAGGGAATTGCCCATTTATCCCAATAACCTACACGAGATCTCAGAAAAAAAAAATTGGAATCGGAATCAGTACATTGCAATAAAAATCAAAGTTTTAAAATTTGATTAAAAAGAGAGATGAAACCTGTTGGCGAGTGCCGAGAGGAGAAGCGGAGAGGTAAGAGACGGTCCAATCGAAGAAGACGTAAGGGTCGGCGGCTAAGCAGCCACTAACCGACAACAATACGACCAGAGATTGGAACAGAGAAGTGCACAACAAGTGCTGTGGAGAGCTGCGCATCGGATCTCTCCCTCACTCGACGAACCTTCGTTTGCTTGGGAGTGGAGCAGTGAGTGAAATCGGAGAAGACATGTGCAGAGATTTGGGGAAAGCTTTTTAACCGCGTTTGGAGACTGAGAGAATGTGATTACAGCCCGAGGCGCCAAAAGAGCACAAAACTCGTTTGGGTCCCACTTTCGCTGAAGTATTTTCAGAGAAACTACTAAAATGCCCACAATCTTTAAGAAGATGTTCAAATCAACCCCAGACCTTTTTATATTTGAATCTACAATTAGAAATTTTTTTTTAAGTTGAGGCTTAAGAGTTAAGAGTCAACCTTCTTCAGACCCCAACGTTGATAAATAAGGATACCCTTTTATGCCTTTACTTGTAGCTCAAATTATCTTTTTTGACAAATGGTTCATATTAAGAAAAAGGAAATGATCTGGTCAATTAAAGCATAAGGTTAGTTTTTTTAATGATTTAAAGTAGTATAAAGTAAGCTTAAGAGCTTTTGTACATCCTTATTATCAAATGTGGGATCATTCAGTCGTGAAGTATATTGATTGAAATGGATTTGGATCTGATTTGCTTCACACTAAATATGCTTACTTGAGAATATACCTGTAAACAAATAGTAATGGAAATCCAGCTCTTTATAGTCACTTCGATTTTAAGCTAAAAGAATGATTCCTTCCCTAAAAAGAAAGAAGACAGGAAAAAGGTAGAAAGGACTTCAAACTTGAAGAGAATGTAATAGTTGGAAATAATTTATAAGTTTAAGAAAGCATGAGAAAACTAATTGGAAATTTTCAAAACATCTCTAAAAAATCCTCAAAAAATCACTATTGTATTTTAGAAAAATGATTATAATTTTATGGTGTTTTATCCTTTTTTATTAAGGAATTACTAGAGCTGATAAGAATATGAGTAATTAGAGCTGGGCAAAAAGTTTTTAAAATTTTTTTATTATTAAAAAAAAATCGATTTAGAAAAAAAAAAATTTTGACGAACCACTTCTTGATACGTCAACACATAGAGTTGCTCCTCCAGTCGATGTCGATGTGCAGAGAGAGGCTTATGAGCGCTGATCTCACCATATCACTAAAAAAAACTTTATTTCTTTTTTTTCCTTTAGATTCTCCATTACTCATGGTCTAACAATGGATGTTGGGCTAGTGAAGAAGACTGACAAAATAGGATCAGGGTTCCTTATGAATGCAGAGATATGGACTATGACTATGAAAGGGATAGTCTTAGCTTTTGTCATCTCCTCCCTCAAGTCTGAAGACCAATTGAGTGCATTACCTACCACTTAGCGTGTACACTTAGGTAAATTAAGAATTATTAAGTTAACAGAAAAGTTTCTCGAATAAAAATGAAGAAAAAAGGAGTTAAAGAAACAAACAGCTGTTTCGAATTAGTAATAAATAGAGTTTTGACTAAAGTTTATAACTACTTTGGGACAAAACAATCTTTTCGAGAGGCACATGCAGGTGAGAAAAGATTAGCAGGTTATTTTCGGTACTACCATTGTTTTTGAAAATATCGTTATTTGGATCCATTTGTCAGAGTTAAAAAGCTTTTCCCCTCTTCTCTATAAATGAGCAGTTGCCAATCACGCGCCTCCAGGTTTGTTCTTTTAGCTAAACATAGAGACTTCCCGTTTGTTCTCCACGCGCAGCTTAGGCGCGTGTTGGGATCTCTACACTCTTCGCATGTGACACGGTCCATTAATTTCCAGCGTCTAGGCCCAATCATCCTTAAGGACAGACAGATCATAAATGTACCCCTCTTATTCCAAGGCATATTACAGTATACTTATTACACGTGGTAGCATATGAGTGGTTAATTTGTTTTTGTACGGTGAGGAACACAGAAGCAGAGGATCACAGCTCCAGCGAAATTTCGCCCTCAATAATTTTGATCCACTCTGTTTCAAGCTGTCATCAATGTCTTCTTCTTCTTCTCCACCGTTTAAACCCTAATCTTAATTTTCCTGATCGCGAAGCAAAACAGATCGGGATAACAATTTCATGAATTGAGGAGATTCAATACCTCCCACTATATCTTTCTTAAAAACGATGCATCGTGTTGCTCATTTCGCGGTTCTTCAGCTTCTTCTTATCGCCGCCGTTGCGATCTCGATCCCGGTGGTATTCGCCGAGAATGATTCGATATACGATGTCCTTAAAGCACACGCGTTACCGATGGGGCTGTTACCAAAGGGCGTAAAAGAATTCAGCGTTGACATCGAGACGGGACAATTCTCGGTTTTTCTAAACCAATCCTGCAAGGCCAAGTACGAGAGCGAGCTGCATTACGAGGCCAACATTACCGGAACGATAGGTTACGGAAGCATCGGAGGTTTATCGGGCATATCGGCGCAGGAACTCTTCCTGTGGTTTCCGGTTAAAGGGATCCGAGTGGACATACCAAGCTCCGGCGTTATATACTTTGATGTCGGAGTTGTTCGCAAGCAGTACTCCATGTCTTTGTTCGAGACACCGAGGGATTGCGTTGCTGTTGAGAACGAGGCTGAGTTTCGTGTGGATAATAAGGTATGGATTTTGATTTCCGAACTTGAGTCTCTTGCTGATCGTGGAACATATCACCATTGTAATAGATTTTTCATTGAAGTTTTGTAGCTCATTTCATTCTTCAGAAATCGGAATCTTGGGGAGTTTGTTTTTTTAAATGGGTCATTTCTGCAGTCTTGATTTTGGATAGTGCTTATTGTCAGATTCATTGGATAAATTGTTAATCTAATTTGTTATATTCATGGGTTTTTGTGTGCAGGTCCAGTCATCTATGTTGCAATTCTATGAAGTAGATCAAAGTGTTGGGAGAAACATTGTGTAACCAAAGGGTTGATGAAGATGTTGTAGTGAAGATGTGTTACAGTATACAAGTTAGAAATTTTTAGCTGCTCATGGATTTTTGAAGACACAGACACAGATACACACACCTTCCATTTGAGGTCAGATGCTCCTTTCTTCCCCAAATTGCATTCTTCACTCTGTTTGAAGTGAAAATGAGAGAATCTGTTAAGCGCAAGTTAGATGGGAAGAACAAGTGTGGGAAGGTTTTGTTTGGAATGTCCAGATTCGGTTGTTGAAGCCATCACAGGTGATTGAATGTTTTGTGAATTTTTGTTTTATGTTTTGCACTTTGGCATGTATGTCATGTCTCTCTTCTCATTGTACCATAATACATAATATATGTATAATATATTGTCCATGTGTAATCATATTTTTAGCCAAATAAGATTATTTACAGTTTGCAATATTTTCCCTCCTTCCAACAACAAATATGACACCCAGTTTTTGTTTTTACATTCAGTTTTGTTAAAAAACTGCAATCTAGCAAATTTTTTTTGTTGATTTCACTAGTCACAACGATAAATGGATATCTGATTGTAACATACCTCGCTTGTACAACTATCATGTACAGTATTATTAGTGGAAATTTTATTTACTTAATACATTTTGTTTAAAGAGTGATACACTGGAAAATTCAATTGCATTTGTGGGATGTGAACCTTATGTGTTGGTATTCCGTAAATGATCAATACACAAAATACACATTCAACGTGGAATCAATCACTTCTGTAATTCCAATATTGTTTTTGCACCCAAATAGAAAACATATATAGGAATAATTTATAGCATCACTTTAAAAAAAAAAAATGTAATTTCACCATGGAAGCATAGTTATTCTATAGACGAATCGGAAGTAGAATCGTCGAGTAGGCTTCCATTGTGGCTATCGGGAGATCCGGTAGGCTTAATAAGATGAATAGGTTGCTTGAGAGTCCAGTGCATTATACTCGCCGTCAATGTCAGAATCATCTTCTGGTTCACCTGTTCATATTTAATATACATCATATATCAAATCTCTTTACATTGTTAAGCGATTAATATACGGGGAAAAAAAGTGAGAGAGGCTTAAAAGTACCTCAGTTATGTCTTCTGGGAGTAAAAATATGGAGCAACCCAGCTTCCTGGCTATGCTAATCACGTAAGTGGCATTCATCTTTTTCTCTTCATCTGTATTATTAGCAAGTGCCTCTATTAGATAATAATGCTAAAACACAAACAAATGAATATTAACAGTTAATTACCACTTACCAGTTACTCCGTTTGTAACAAGACTCCAGTTTACGGCTCTTGGCTGCACTGAACTCAACAGCTCCAGGAAAAATATTCCATCGGACAAGCTCTTGTCCTGCCATATTTATACATCTTTCGTTACTAACACGGGATTGTGTGTATGTTAAATATTTCACACACCGGTTAAGAAAGGAAGAAGAGTACTTACCCTGAAACTGTACATGCGGGTCTGGCTTCCGTTCTTTCTCACTTTAGCATTTGCCCACTCCAATATATCAACGTCTGCTATTTCTTTGCCGTTGGAATGGAACCTTAAGTTTTTTAGGAGTTGCAGGATGTTGTATCTCATCAATTGCCATAAGTATGCTGCAAGATGTTTTTTTAAGACATCATTCTTAAACGTTTCACGATGTGTGTGATTCGTAAAAACACAATCATTAGGATTGGGAAATTAAATTACCTAGTATGAGCTTCTTGTTTCCTTGAACAATGTCATTTCCAGCAATGTTAACCAAAGAGAACTTGAGCTGCTTCCCTAATTTCACAACCTGGTTACAGTTTTCCACTTTCTTGAATGGCAATTTGATGGGAGGCTTGCTTGCTACTTTCCAGTTAACAATTCCTGGAGACACCTTGTCGAGTGTCTGCAACAGTATCCACCTGTTGCCAAAACCAGAACACAGTGTTAATATACATTCCACACTCGAATTTCTAATATTTAATGCTGATATACTAACCCATCTCTGAGATCTTCAAAGACGTTGTTTATGTACACCGAACTATCAAAGCTGTTGATCCAAAATCGGAATGCTTTCTCTTCTCTTGAAATTTGAGTGTCATCGGCTAGAGTCTCGAGAAAAGATATCTGTTTTGTTTTGGTTGAAAGGCCGTTCCTGCGAATGAAGAATAACATAGTTCTCATTTGTTAAATTCACAGAAGAGTGGATACACTAAAAATGTTCCTTAGGAAAAGAACTACATTTGACATTTCACCTGTGCTGGAAAATATGTGCTACAAAAGCAAGATTAAGATTCGGGGAGCCTTCAACAATATCCTTCGCGGTCAAGTATCTCCTGCATCCCATTCTGTCTGCATGTTCGAGAACAAGTTTTGCTCTCTCAAAAGTGTTTTTGGCTGTTAACTTTGATGGATTCTTGTGCTCTGGTGCCAGGACATTTAATAGATTAGTGTAAGCTTCAGCATCCTGCAGAAAACCATATCATAGGCTATATAAAACATTCTATGGAACATTTACTAGGAAAAACTTGGTCAAACCAACCAATTGGAGAACACATAACTTGATAATCAGACTTTTGATACCTTTACGTCAGAGGAGAAGTTTGTGACGGTTTTCTTGTATTCAGATTTTCTCAACTGAAAATTCATCCACCTCAGTAAGATCTTATCAGGAGGTAAACTCATCAGCTCTTCCACATCCTGTTGATCACAAATAAAAAATAGAGAACAAAAATACTTTCTTTTTAAGAATCACGCTCTAGAGTGGTTGTTTTAAACAACAGGTAAGGCCGAGTTACCTTGCTATCATCGACCAACTCCACCAGCTGGGGAGTTTTCTTCAAGTTTAGGTCTGCTAGCAATTGTATCTAGACAGGACAGTCACAATGATGATTAATTACACACTGTCTTTAGTAAAAAAAGAAGAAACAAAAATTACCAGCATTAGATTAGAGCCTCACCTTGATGATTTGAGAAATCACACCGAGCACAAGATGACGCTGAATCAGAGAAACAGAAGTGTTAGTCATAACAATAACCAAAAATTTCAGGTATTTGTAAGGAAACTGGTAGTTATTGATTCACATACCCTTCCTTCAATGATATCTTGGGTTCCAATGTTAACCACAGTACACCCAATGGCCTTGGCAGAGTTGAGGCAAAGCGTATGATTTTCGTTTCTCTCCCATGGATTAAGCATACTCTTAGTATTAATTGCTCGTTCATCAATCGTCCCAGGAACCGCCACATTTATAAGCTTACTACATCACATCAGAGATAAAGCCAGAACATTTAGAAGAAAAAAAAACATTCATGAAACATAGAATCTGAGAGAGAGAAAGGATGCTTACCAAAGTAAAACACCATCTTTCGCCACTTCGAAGAGATCATTAGATTGAGGATTAATCGGGAGGTACTTGTTTAAGATATCATCTCCAGAGAGGTAATTATTGATATGAGCGACATAAGAGGACTTCTCGGAATCACTGATGGTATGCAACAAAGTGGTTGTAGATGCCTTGAGAAACGCAGACGAATTCTTCACGCCACTTCCGATTATGGCGTTCACATGGGCTTGAAGATTAAGATAAATCTGCAATTTTACGATTCCAGAAAAGAAACTCTTTTTTTTTTAGCAATTACATAACCAGAAATCTTCCAACACAAAGATCTGTATAGAGGAATTAGAGTTTGCAGAGAAACGATACTGACCCTCAAGTAAAACTCGAAATCGACTTCATCATTCAAGTTCGGATGGAAACTTTGAATCAGAGACGCTCTTTCTTCATTGCTGATGTTCTGATCTCCGACCACCTTTGATCTCCCCATCCTTGACGCGAGGTCCGACACAGTCAGCTTCCCACTCTCCCTCCTCATGCTCGTGAACTAATACACAAGTTTGGAAATTGACAGAATCAGATCGAAAATCAATGAGGAATAAATCGGATGGATATTTCTTCTCTTCCAATGGATCGGACGTACGTACGTGAGATTTCAGACTCCGTAGCTCCACTTGCGTGAACTGGTTCTGCAGCCATGGATCCGATACCAAAATCCCGACGAAACCTGACATTTCTCTACTTTTCCGGAGCAAATCTGATCGATCTCTGAAGCGAACGTGATCTTCGTTCTCTTCCAGCTCCTACCTGTGACTGTGATAGTGATACGGAGAAGAAGAAGAAGTAGAGAAGCTAAGCGGAGCTGGCAGGGGGAAGGGGAGAGAAAGAATTTCAAAATTATGACCAAATTGCCCCCTTTGAGCTTTTTTCGTTTTAAATTTCACAATCACCTTTTATTTGTGTGGGCAATAAACTGTGACCTGTGAGGGCCCATCTCACTTCCGCATGGTGGGGTCCATATTGTCGCTTGGGATTTTTTTTTGAATTTCCGGTTATGCCTTTCACCTCCAACGACTCCCCGTGACGCTTGTGAGGGTAAATACGGGATTACCAAGTTACGCGGCTATTTACTAGTTGGAGGCAAATGTAATATAACGGTCGTTTCGAGTTATTTATTCATCCTAAAGGTGTATTTCATTTAAAATTTCAAACTCAGTTCACAAAATTCAAACTTTCTTGACTTTAGTATTTTTGTCCATCGCAAATAACTCTTTTCGGTTATGAAAACAATTGTTTTTTATGTAACAATTTAGTTGTTCCACAAATATTCATGTCATACATAATTCATCTGTGTTCTATTTATTATAAACAATTGTATGATTAATATGTGAAATTACAGTTAGTATTGATCAAAGCGATCCAGAGAAATTAGTATTGTACCACCCCAGAAGTGCATGAGTTATGGTATCTTTTTGTTAGTTAAAGTTTGATCAGATTATCTTATAATTTTGGGTGGTCTTATGCTACTGTTACTACTTATAATTTTATATAAACCTTTGTTATAAGATAACGTGTGTGTTATATAGGCATGGAAAAAAAATTTTGATTGCAATGGTGTACGATAAAAAAGTTCAAAAAAAACAAATGGTGTACGATAAAGCTATACCTAAAAGAAGATTTGGAAATAAAGCATGTGCCAGACATAGTGAATGAGAAAGAAAAGAGATATTTTGTAATAATTGAGCCAATATGAAGCAATACTTGGCATGCTTTATGGTTTGCTCACTTCGGAGAAAATGAAATTATATTAATACAAGCGATTATGTCTTACCTTGAATATAGAAGGGGTTAGATTGATTGCTCTAAACATTTACATGGCTTTTCATCGTATTAGTTTATCAAAGTATCAACATTATTCTACTGGGAATCTTATATGACATTCTTAACAAGATCACTCGACTTTTTTCGTAATTAAGCAATGAACTTAATACGAATGATAAAACACCATTATGTCATTTGGACCCCTCCACGCTTCACCCACATGGTTGCTGATCAGCTCGAAGATTTCCATAATTGAAATCTGATCTTGTGTATCAAACCAATTTTGATAACCGAACTTTATCAATCGTGGAAGTGGTTTGGTTTCATTTTCCTTAAACTATTTTATTTATATATAACGTTAAGTCACGTAAGCCGTCTTAGCTCAGTGGTAGAGCGCGTGACTTTTAATCCCGTGGCCGTGGGTTCGATCCCCACAGACGGCGCTGATATATTTCTCGGCGTTCTTTTTCGTTTTTCACATTATGTATCTATTCTTTTTATCCTCCTGGTCTTTCTTCTTCATTCTCTTCATTTGATTAAACCCAGAACCTCAAAGTTCGAATCCGAAACGAGAATACAAAGTATGTTACAATCTACTCATCTTCGATTTTCTCCCTCCCCATCACCTTCAAAAAGAGAACCTCTGATTCCATCGATTAATTGCTCCATTCCATTCTCATTTTGTTCGTTCCGTCCAAAACAAACCCAGAAACTGAAGCGTCTAGTTCAATTTTGCGCCCCTTACGAGGTAGGAGGCGGATATTCCGACGAGGAACTGTTCGAAAGATACGGAACACATCAAAGTAAAACCAATGTCGAGGACAAGCTAGATGCATCTGAGTATGAGGCCCTGCTTAAAGGAGGCGAACAAGTCACGTCCGTTCTCGAAGAAATGATAACCCTCGTATGTATTTCTACGTTTACCCTCTAAATATTTTTCCTAGGAGCTTTGCTTTTGTGTCGTTTCCCTGAGCTTGGCATTTCGTCGAACAACTTAATGGCGTTAGGGCTTTGTATATTTCTGGGGAAAGTCTTCATAGGATCGGTACTCGTTACTTATGGAAACTATTAGTTCCGGAATGGCTTCACATGTAAGTTCCCGTTATGTGTAGTTGCAAGATATGAAGATGAATGAAGCATCCGAGAATGTTGCTGTAGAATTGGCGGCACAAGGAGTTATAGGGAAAAGGGTAGATGAAATGGAGGCAGGGTTTATGATGGCTCTCGATTACATGATCCAACTCGCCGACAAAGACCAAGACGATAAGGTAACTCATTCTGCAATTTTCCCTCTGAATATACACAAGGATCTCGTTGCTAGTAGAGAAAAAAAAACCAGAAGTGGCTAAGTTCTTAAAGCTATTGTTACCTTTGACATTCTGTAACCTAAAGTGGGGAACAAGATCAAAGAAATTAACAAACTTTTGTTTTGAGTTCAGAGGAAGTCCTTACTAGAGGTCGTCAAGGAGACTGTTTTATCCCATCTCACTAAAAAATGCCCTCCTCATGTGAGTAATATTTAGATCAGTTTCGTTTCTCTTCCTTCCATAGCTTTCCACTAGCTTCATTCATGTGTTTCAATTGTTGCTGTTTGTTTAGGTCCAAGTGATTGGTTTACTCTGTAGAACCCCGAAAAAGGAAAGTAGACAAGAGCTGCTGCGGAGGGTAGCCGCAGGTGGCGGGGCTTTTGAAAGTAAAGACGGTACTAAACTTCATTTACCCGGATCAAACCTGAATGACATAGCTAATCAAGCTGATGACTTGCTAGAGGTACTGTGTTTGGTTCGATTATACATATATATATATGTTTGTTTTTTAAAGGAACCTTATCTCCGAATGTGAACAAGCCTGAGGAATTTTTGCAGACCATGGAAACAAGGCCAGCTATTCCGGATCGAAAACTACTAGCGAGGCTTGTTTTGATCAGAGAGGAAGCGCGAAACATGATGGGAGGAGGTATACTTGATGAGAGAAATGACCGAGGTTTCTCTACTCTGCCTGAATCAGAGGTTTCTAAGACGTTTTATTCTGTCCATTATGCCACCGTCTTTATGAACGTTGAATTACAAATGACTTGTTGTTGCATGATCGTCCAACAGGTGAATTTCTTGACCAAGTTGGTAGCTCTCAAACCTGGAAAGACTGTGCAGCAAATGATCCAGAATGTAATGCAAGGGAAAGATGAAGGTGCAGATGATCTTAGCAATGAAGAGGATTCTTCTACACAAGGAAGAAAACCGAGTGGATTAAATGGAAGAGTGAGTATGATCTGCTAAAAGATTAGACTTTTAGAGTAGTCACTGGACCAAAGATTTGTCTTCGTTTCTTCTAACTTGACCTACTTGATGCGAACCAGGGAAGCGTTACAGGAAGAAAACCGTTACCAGTAAGGCCAGGAATGTTTCTAGAGACTGTCACAAAGGTATGTTTTAACAGAACAGCTTGTCCAACGGAGATGATAGGAATAGAACATTGACCATTTTTGTGTGATGTTTTAATCCAATCTTGATAGGTACTAGGAAGTATATACTCAGGTAATGTCTCAGGTATCACGGCACAACATCTTGAATGGGTGAGTTGCTTTATTCAATCACCAATCGTTTGCAGAACAAAGTCTCTTTTCTTTGCATTTGTTTAGAGAGCTTATTACTTGTGTTTTTTCCCTGCTGCACAGGTTCATCAGAAGACGCTCCAAGTTCTTGAAGAAATCGCGTTTTAATCTTAGTGTTGCTTTGAACCCAAAAAAAAAAATCTTAGTGTTGTTCGGTATATAGTCGTAATTTGGGTGGTTGATACTGGAAAGTTGTTTGTTCCATCTCTTTAATTTAATTATATACATTAGCCCAAGATTCATAAACTCTGCAAATTTCATTAAACGTCAAACTTTCGTATGATAAAATTTCGTTGAATTCTGTTCATAATATTTAAAGGAAAAATAATTATTTATGCTGTATTAGCCTCGAAACCAGACGGGACCGGATGGGTGAAATTGTAACTTGTCCTATGTACCATTCGGTTGGATAAGGATAACAAACTAACGGAGTATTTGATTCCATTATGTAGAAAGACATAATTTTTATTTTCTGTTTTGTTTTATTCGAATGCTTTTTTCTTCAGACTTTGTATTTAATTCCAATTAAAAAATTTCAAACGGTTTACTAGAAGAGACACGCGGAGGAGACACATTGCTCCGTAGGGAGGGTAGGAAAAGAGACGGTGTACGAAAGGATAGTAGTAGGGGCATGCTTTCGTAAATAAAGCAAAAAGTAAGGGCAATCCCCGGACGTGAGAGCAATTGTTATATCCTTTTGAATCCTCGTCAGACTACGAAACGATTCCGCTTCTCCGCTTCCAAAATAAATATCAACCAGTGTCTCTAGATTGTTCTTCACACGCCATTTGCATTTATTTTCCCCATTACCAGAGAAATCTCTCCTCCTTCCATCTTTCGCTGCTTCTTCTTTAGCTTTTTTTTTCCCAACTCTCTGTAACGATGTCTCAGGAAGAGGTTGCTGCTAATGGCGCTGCGGCGGAGAAGACTGTTGTCTTCACGGCGTACAAGCCCCAGCTGATCGTGGAGGCTCAGAAGGTCGGCGATGCTGTTGCATTCTACAAATCCGTGTTTGGTGCTACCGAGACCGGACATTCTCTCTACCCTAAGCGCAAGGCTGACCAAGAGCTCCCTCACCTCCTCTCCGCTGAGCTCGAGCTCGCTGGCACTACCGTCCTTGTTTCCGACGTCTCCGTTAACTCCGGTTCTGAGTAAGCTCCTTTTCTCCCTCTATTTCTCCATGTTTTGCGTCTCGATTTTCATGGTTTCTCACTATTTAGGGTTTTACTTGATTATCGTTTGATTTCCGTTTTAGATCTGGGTTTTAACATGTGAAATGAGTAGTATCTAAGAGTATATGATGTTTAGGAGTCATTTCTAGGTTGTTTTCTGCTTCTATAAACACGATCCGCTAGATTTTGACTTTGTTTATTTCATTGTTCAGTGCGAAGGTTGGGATGATGCTTTCAGTCCTCGAGACGGATGACGCGGAAGCTGCTGTTGCGAAAGCCGTTGCCGCCGGAGCTGGCAAAGTGGAGGTCTCTGAGGCGGAAGCTGACGGTGGAGTCAAGGGGAAAGTGACAGATCCCTTTGGTTTCACGTGGATCTTCACCTCTCCGGCGAAGAAGACCGAGAACGTCGAGAACAAAGAGGTCGTCTAACTGTTGTCGGATCTGATTTTTCGTCGGTTTCTGAACAAACTTCTCTATTATCCTATTTTCGTTTTCTGCTTTTCTTTTGTCTTTTGTGGAATCCGGTATTTGTAAACCGGATCGATTAGCTAATGACTTTTGCTGAGTTTAATCTCACCCTTTTGACAAACACTTGGTGAATGGAAAACTCAAAATCCCGGATATTATGCGTCGTTGATTTTATCTTTTTCTTAATTATTTTCCTTAATCGTATGTTTCGTATCTGTGGATGTTGTTTTTCCTTGTCAATTTTGCTGGATTCGTAGTAGGGATATAATCGTCTATTTTCAAATTGTTGTGAATGTGTTTGTTAAGGTATTTAAGAATAATAGAAGAATTTCGATTACAATAGTATTAAATATTCATTTGGTGTCGTTGTGTTGAATATTGTGTCGGGTTTAGTGAAACAATAGGCCTCTAGGTTTGTGCTATTTTTTGGTATCCTTTATTGGTCCTATTTTCGAAATTGCCCTTGTCCAACACAATCCTTGTATGGGTTTTTTTTTGGGCCTTGTGAAGTTTTAATTGGTTCTCTTATCTTTTGACCATCTTTTTGGGTTTACCGATAAACGCCATTTGACAGAAATTAATCAAGTACCGCTGATATCCAACGCCAAATAGATTGTTATAAATAGTTGACAAGTAAATACAAAAACAAGGGAAACACACGATATTAAAACAAGAATTAAAAAGCACACAAACAAAGCTTTAACAAGTTGGAGCGTCGGGTAGACCACATTTGGTTGGGAGTCCAATAGCAAGCTCGGGATCAATACCGAGAGATCCGAGCCATGGAGAGTGCTTGTAGCCACAAAGACAGCTGAAGTCAGCGTGTTGCAGAGCGTTGCAGCAAAGCTGTGACGGGCTCGTTGGACTCTCCTTGGTCACCGCAGGTTTGCACTCATTCAGCTCTGTATCGGTCATGCCACAGAGGTCAAACGCCACTGACATGTCGACTGAAATAGCCATCACCACCACTATCATTACCATGAACGCCAACTTCTTGCTCGCCATTTTATCTTCTTCCCTTTTTATATATATATATCTGTTGTGTTTGTGGTGTCAAATTGAATGTGCATGAAAAGGTTGATATATATAACGAAGTGTTGAAGAAACCCGTGAACCAGATTGGATAATTGCATCAGTCACGGGATTGGATTCTGTTACTTCACTTTTGGGGTTCTTATTATTGCTATACTCTTTTCGTTTTTTTCCAATTCAATCATCCATTACACACAATCTCTAGCCCATAAATTACTATAAATTTAAGGGAAAAAAAAAATTAATATAAATTTAAGAAGATATTTACAGTGCCGCGTTGCAAAACTTTTATATTGCATGATGAGGACTAATTTACATCGCTGATATATAGTGGGCCTGAATTGAGCCCAAGTAAGGCTTATATTGCATGATGGGTATGTCCAACTCTCGTGGCCTTGTAAGTTTTCGTAATTCCGTGAATAAGAAAGATCCCCCAATAAACAAAAGGAAACACAAAACAGTTAAGCTACACATTTGAAAAAGAATATTACAGTTGTATTATTGTCAACAACAGTTAGCTACTTTAACCACAAAACAAGTACGAACATCAGTTAGTAAAGTGAATAGGACAAGAGATGTAGAAGGAAGAAAGAGAATATTGTAGTATGAAGTTAGCTCTGTGTCCAAGGCCTTTTACCCATCGACTCCATACTTTTGAAATAAAAGAAGCGTAAAAAGTTTACTGCACATTTCAGAGTTGCTCACAAATGTTAAGGGGGAAAAGGGAAGAAATGAAATATATGAAGTTGAAAAAATAGCCTTTGACCCATTGTCCGCGTAGACGTTTTAGCCTTTCCCTTCATTCTCTCTGTGTGTTGAGAGAATCCATATCTCTAGATTCTCAATCTCATTTTTCTCTTCTACTTTTTTAAATAAATACTTGTTCTTTAAAAATAAAACAAAAATCCAGTCCCCCTATAGAGACCTATTCGTGGCACAGACTGGTCCAAGACGATTTTTCGGTCTACGAATTGTATACTTCAATCGTTGGTAAAATTGGTTTAATGTATAGATTAGCAACGAACTCCATTGTGAGGTCAGCCACGCCGATGTCGCGCATGCAGTTCACTATTTGACCTAATTTGACAAGCAAATAAATTACGAAATGCAAAGTTTTATTCATATGCCAACAAATGTTACAAAGAGACTCCACAACAAATATAACAGTTTTTATTAGAGAAGACAAATGACCAAATTTAGAGGAAAAATAGAAAAGTGAAGAAACTTAAATAGATATTTGTTCAGAGATTTGATGTAACAATCAGATTTTGTCGATTTTAGTTTTCATGTTTTTCTCATAGTAAACATTTGTAATGTTTTTTTTTTTACAACAAGGGTTTACGGGTTGATGTTGTCATGTAAAATATTATATGTTCTTATATTACATTATACTACACATAGATTTTTAGGTTGCATAGAGTGTTGACCAAACCAACAACTCTTGACCTCTAGAACCTAATACATATTGAGATGTAGCATTGCTCATTTTACAACATATATCTATATAAAATATGCTTTTGGGTGTTATAGAGTTACTGTGTAGTTAGTCCTGGAGTGGAGTCTTAAAACTACCGAGACAAGACTTAGGAGCTTCAAAAAAAGTTTAGTTTAGAGAAAAATTAATAAGAATCTGAGAAATCACAAGTTTTTGACGAATATGGAGAACTGAAGCCTACGTAAAACGACTTGCCTTGCGACTAATTCAGAGAGGCGCAACGGCTATTACAAACCGAATTTGTATCCTAATCTCAAAGAGTCCCCATTACTCAGATGACATATAGTATGAAATTTAAGGATTCATTAAATGTGATACCGAGAGTTTTTTTCATGAACCCTTAAAAGATGAAAATCTAAAGAACATATGAAAAAATATCAGTCACAAACTAACGGTTTTCGTGGAAAACTTTTATAATTTTTAAACAATTTGATGCATAATGGGAATTGACTGCAGAAGAACATAAACCCGGTGGATTAATGATAGAAACATAGAAAAGACTAATGATAGATATGTCGAACGTTTAGACTTTAGAGTGGAGTAGGCCAAAGCAAAATAATTAACAGTAAAAACTCCAACAGCTCTTTGTTTTAACATATACACTAAATAACAAAAAAAAAACTTGCTATGGGCTGACATTCTCTAAAGAGCGTTGCTGTTACTATTATGTAACGCATAAACACGAAGCTCAAGGAGCATTTTTATATAAATGGTTAATTCATTTTTTACTTAAAAAACTGATTAAAGTAAAATTGTGGAAATCCATTTTTATTGACGTATAATTAGTTGATTAATTTTTTTCTTTTATGAATTCATAGTAATTTTGTTACATCAATGAAAAGCCATTCCGTTGAAATATGTTTTTTTTTTTTTAACTCTTTTCTCAATTTCAAAGGCTGCAATGAGCAGTAGCAATATAATTATGCTGATATGAACAGTTTCAGTAATTTTGACCTAACCCCACCTGTCCTCCTCTGTCAAAGGAAATTACTGATTAAAATAATTTTAAAAATAGAGACATATTTATTGTAAAAGATGGAATTCTATAAGCAAAAAGGGAGAGAAATTGACAAAAGATAATAAATGGGATTGCTTGGAATCGTGGCAATGTTGGTTGCACACTGCACAGAGCACAAAGTTTCATAACAGAGGTAATGTTGCATGTGGCCCCTTCTTCCTAAAGCTCCTTTATTAACTCTTTTGTCTCTCAATTTTTCGCTTTCAAAAAACCAAAATTCATTTTTCAAATTGGGATATTCTGATAAAAGATCATTAATGTTATCTGCCACACCCAAAAAATGCAGGAATATAGTTTTTTTTTTCAAACACAGAACAGTAACATTAGTAAAGAAGTAATAAAATTGAATGCATAAGTCAGCTTTTAGAGGCCATAAAAACTTGGTCAATTTAACCTTTTTTTATTTGTCAACCATGAAAATAAAATACAACTCCTATTTGTTTGTTTTCTTTCTTCACCCCCCAGGTAAAAACAAAGTCTAAAGCCAACAAAAATAATTAAAAGGGAGTAAAACATGTTAAAAAAAAAAAGGTAATGACAGACTACAGAACACTATAAAAGAGATAAGAAAACAGTTGAATTTTGTTAAAAAGTAAAAAAAGAAGAGGAAGAAGAGTAGTTAAGCCAACTTTATTTTTATTTTTCACTTACCCTATTGAAAAAATTTAAAAACACACTCTTTCTCTCTCTGCTCAGACACACACACAGTCTCTCTACTCTCTCTAACCCATACTCTCTCTCCCCTACAAGTAGACTTTAAGGCAACTTTGTCTCAGTGTTGAGTAATGTAAAAAACCCATCTGGCCATTTAATATAATTCAATCTCTCTCTCTCTCTCACTCACTCACTCTCTATTTAGATTACTCAGAGCAGAGATCTAACATCAACAAACTCATTCGCCACAACAGCCATGGACTACGTAAGCTCCTTCTTATCTTTCTTCTCTCTTCTTCCTCTTTTGGGTATACAGAAGTCTTTACTTTTCTTTATCAATCAGGAATACGGAGGAGGAGAGTACTGCAGGAGGGGACACGTGCCGGCGTTTGGGAGCTGGGACTGGAACGACGCCGTTCCCTTTACTCAGTGCTTCGAGACAGCAACAACTCAACAGCCTGCTTTTCTCCACTACGCTCCTTACCCTCAAGATCGTGATCTTTACCTCGCCGGCGATCTCTACGACAACCACCACCTCGTCGCTCCGGCCGTGATCCTCCTTCCTCGACGCCGGGTACGTCTTTCACTCCTCCTAAGTCCAACACTTTCCCTCGGCTCCTTATTTATATGTTCTCGGAAACTGTCTTTTTCAGACTAAGGTTGGTCAGGAGCCGAAGAGAACCGGTTCGAAGGAGCAACACAACTACAATACCGATGCGCGTGAGTCGAACGCGCCGTCGAACTGTCCAACGCCGGTGGTGAAGCGGAGGAAGACGGCGCCGAAGCCTGTGGATGAAGACTTGTACAAGGTGTCCCCTCAACTTCTCTCCGTCAAATCCAAAAAGGTTTAAAAAAATTTACAATTAAATTTTTTTAGGTTAATCTTAAATCTGCTTCGAATGTTGTTTAAGGTTATGTTAAGACTGATTTGGTCAATGATGTCTGAAATTAATGCAGAGAAGTGGAGGTGGGTTTGGTTGCATTTCAAGGTGTTTTTTGCCGACACGGGTGCTTTGAAGCCACAAGCGTGAGAGATTTGAGTCAGACAACACCTTTGTGTTTTTTCTCTTCTTTTCTTTCTACTATATTATATATTTAAAAAAAAACCATATGCCTGTGGAATTATGTATGTATTTTTGCCTAGGAAAAAGGAGGTGAATTCTAAAGGATAAGCTTTGATGTAGCTTTGGGAAAAGAGAGCCATATTGTATTACGTAAACTAAAGAGAAGTGGGACTTGTTTGCAACTTCTTTATATATTATGATGTTAGCCAAAAAAAAACTTCTTTATATTTTGCTACGTATGTTTAAATTTGTAGTATAACTGTCGAATATGGTGAGAGATTAGTGATGGGAAATGGGTTATTACTTATTAAAAGCTGATGAGTAGGGGAATGTTGAATAGTAGCTTAGCAGAAAGTTTGACTTGTGACAGTGCTACCTTCTTCTTTTTTTTTCCCTTTTTGTGGTTTGAAAAAGAGTGGACTACATATGAAAATATGATGAATACAATTGATAAAGACAAAATTTAGCATCTTCTGATATTGAAGCCCAATAACTGAGAAATAATTTAATCGAATCACTTAACATTATCTTGCAAAATCTAAAATTAGTTTGGTAACTTTTCATCTGTTCACTTTTTAGTTAACTTGTGAAGTGTCTAGATAAAACGTTTACTGATATTTTGTTTTTGCCAACTGCAGCACATTTACATTCAAAAAGAATCTCTTGATCAGTCACTCAATTTGATATAAAAACATCATAAAAGCGTTGTCGAACTATCCTCCATTTCTTTTCACTTTTCACTGTATACTGATGGTAAATTTTTTTGGAATTCATGGACTGAATGGATCTTGAAGAATCTATGCTTATAATCTCATTCATTTTCTTGGGAGAGACATAGCCTTTTTGTTTTTGTTTTCTAGCTAAGAATCATTATATTTTCCTTTGCATTTTTCTCCCGATTTGTTTATTAACTTTTGCTATATAGTACGCCTATCATAAAAGCAGTTGCATTTTTTCTATAGTTTCAATCGTTGACAAACATAAAACTTGAGTTTATGTAACCAAATGACTTTATATAACGTTAAAGTAGTAGTGTGTTGAGCTTGTATAAGTAATTCTCGGTTACAGCTTTGGCTTCATTAAAATAACAAAACATATGGAAAAGAAAAAGAAAAATGTTGGGCTTGGGCGTGACTCCAAGAGAATAATTATGACAAGCCTTGTCTTTCTTCTTAGGTTACAACTATTTAAATCCAGGTTACATAAACAAACTACTACTATTTCGTAATTATTTTGTTTTCTCGTCTTTCTATTAATCTTTTAGACAAAAACAAAAGAAAAGAAAATACACGTTCAAATAAAGGGGAAAGTGTGTGTTTTAAAAGAAAAAGAGAGATAAAAGTTGTGGAATTATGGCGTCGATAAAGCTTTAAAATAGAGCCACGCTTTATAATTAGGGAAAGTGATGGCGTTAAAACGTATAGCACTCTAGTTTAAAGCTCAGTTAAAGACATACCACTAGATTTTTATTTAATTTGCTTCTACTTTTTCACTTTGTAACGCGGACACGGATATGATATTTTATAGTACATAAGCTCTAATACTTTGGTGATAAAAAATTCTGGCGTAAATGGTTAAACGATTAGGGATAAAGATGGGTTTAGTGTAATAACCTGTTGCAGTAAAACAAGAAAAGAATAAAATATCTTTATGAACCTCTATCATGTGTACTGATTAACTAAAAAGCTAAAGAATGGAACAAACATTAAAGAACAAATTTCTATACTACTATTTTGGAGAAGAACAATTCTAATAAGATTGATTATGCATCTATTTCTTTTTTTTTTTCTACTTCTATTCATCTGTAGTTCTATTGATTTTCGCAGTGGTTACCATCGAAACCGTTAATGCCAAAAACAGTCAAACTATACTATTTGTTTTGTGTGTGTAGCTGTGTATGTCATGTCATTATCAATATATTATCAGATACTTTGATTTTTATCTTAATAAAAATGATTATCTATCATTCACGATAGACAAATCCAATTATTTACAACACACACGTATCACATGGAATCACGATGATGAACATTTTCACGGATAACTATATAGTAGAAAATGATATTTGTAACTGTAATACTAACGCTTTTATAAACATAAGTATGATGGAAAGGTTTATTTTTGACACATAGAACCACTATAAACGGTTTTATTTACATTACATTCAATATTTTTGTAGGTCAAACTCTAATGTAGTAATGTTTAATCGCAAATGCAAAATGAATGACTGTATATAGTGAAATGTGCGGTAATATTCGTGAGATCGAATCCACAAAACGATCACAAAAGTTTAAAGTGGAATAGTTTTAATTTTTTTTGGAGGTGTTTTTGTTTTCTGAAACGATTAGAATCAATTAAAAAGATAATAAGCTAAAGTAAATAAGCAAGAGAAGAGCAATGAGAAATGAAGAAAAATAAACTTGTAAATTAAGCGATGATCAAAAGCATTAAACAATTAAGCAATAAGCCAATAAGAGAAAACCTGAGATTTCAAACCTGAGAGGCCCCAAACGATCAATTTTTCTTTTACTAATCTCATTTTCTACAAATATATGCATTTTTTTAAGCTCATAATTTGGTATTAAGGACGAGAGAGAATTATTTATTGCAAACAAATGGTGTTTTCTTTTCCAAATAACTTTTCAAAATCGAGTTAAGAGAGGCAACCACCGTGTAAAGAGATGACGGAATGAATTTCAAATTTCATTTCGAGGCATCGTATATTCCCCTGACCACCGGCACTGAAGAGTAAGTGCGATCTGACCGGCGGGAGAAGTAAATCGGAGATGAGCGGCGCGAGACTGTGCTCTCTGGTGGCGGAGCTAGGTTACGAAGGCGCCGGAAAGTTGGACCCGGACAGCTTCGAATGGCCGTTCCAGTACGACGATGCCCGCCCTATCCTCGATTGGATCTGTTCCTCTCTTCGCCCCTCCAATGTCCTCTCTCTCGCCGAGCTCTCCCTGTGTGTTTTCTTTTCCGACTCTCAGTGTTGCTTTTTCTCGATTTGGTTGAATTTGTGTTGCTTTTGGTACATTAAGCTCGTATTGCTGTAATTAGCATAAGCCGTGTGGTTATACTTTCGATTATTGATGCTACCTAGCTTCTCTTCACATTGATCAATGCTTTTTCTGCATATTCGTTTTGTGGAACATAGTAACAACGATTCAGATATAGTTCCTCTGCCATTTAAGTCCATGTGGTCTCTAACATGTACTCATTGAGCTGCATATTTAATTCCAAAATCTTTTTTAGATGCAGTCAATTATTAAGGTTTTCAATTGTATATGCCCTGAAGAATTCTGTGAATGGAAAGCTTTTTCATCTTAGCTATTCTTTGTCTTGTACTTTGGTGGTTCTACTGCAACATGCTTCTCCCTATGTAGTAAGTTCATCTATCAGTGGTTAATGGGTTGTTCTCTTGTGTCTGAATCCAGATACGAGCAATTTCAAAGAGAAGGGAAGCTCTTAGAGGTAACTCCTTGTGCCATTTCTGCTCATGTTTTTAATCGGCTTTGCGAGTTCATCAAACATAGATGCGTCCGTCTAAAGATGATATTTTCTTGCCTTCTTGTGGTGCATTTCTCTTTTTCATGGGTCCAGGGCGAGGATCTAGACCAGGCATATGATAGCATCTCAGCATTTTCTTCCAGGAGAAACAACCAGGAGGCGGTTTTTGGAGCTGAAGAAAGCATAAAAGAAGTAAGGTTAGACCTTCATATCACACAAGCGATTCAGTACTTTCTGTTTCATGCTTTAAGATAATCTGGACAATTGTAAGGATTTTCAGAAAACTTTGCCAAGGACTTAGTTTCACGTCACTTGGAACAAGTACAACTGTCCAGGTTTCTTAGTTTGTGAGATCTCCTTAGGTGATTAGAGTATATCAGGTCTACATGAAGTTTTATTGACATATGGTGCACTATTGAATGTTTTTTGTTCCTTGTGAGAAATGGCGTAATTTTGTTGAGAGCTTTAGTTTCATATCACTTATCTCCTTAGGTCTCTTTAGTTTCATGTCACTTATCTCCTTAGGTCATCAGGCGTTTACATGAGTGCTTGCGCTTTCTTTGACCATGTGGTGTTTTATATACATGTATTTTGTTCTTCCCTGTGAGAATTTTCCTAAGACTTTGTTTCACGTCACTTGGATTTCCAAGTATGACTACACATTCAGGTTCTTAATGTGTGGGATCTCCTTATGTCACATCAGAGGTGTTCATAAGTGCACTAGATTTTGTTGACTTAGTCGTGTATACCAATAATTACATCAGCACCACTGACAGCTTCTTTTTAATCGACAGAGATGCAACTTTGGCGCATAAAGCTGAAGCCTTGGAGTTGCAGAGGCAGCTAAGGCGGTTACAAACTCAATACGATTTACTCACTGGCCAATCTTCATCTCTGATTCAAGGGAGACGTGCTCGAGTTGCTGCAACGTCTGCTGTCACTGGACAGATAACAGCCATAGAAGACAGCTTATCTGCTAGAAATTTGCAGGTTTGATACATGCCCTCACACAATGGTCTGAGGGAATTGCAATTCTTCTAGTCTTTGTTATGTTTGTGATGTTTCCTTTCGGTATTTTTCTGTGATTTAGATGAATGGAGTTCTAGGAAGATTGGCTTCCACTTCTCAAGAGCTGGCTCATTATCATTCCGGCGAAGGTGTCCTTCGTATCCCTTCTCTATCTTTTGGTTTAACTTTTCCACATCTGATGACCTAGCGGAATCTGCTTTGAAGCTGAATTTTGTAATTGGCTTGAACGCAGTATACTTCTAAATTAGCATCATTTGGGTGAGGAACTTTAGCTGCATAAGATAGTTGCGTATTAGTTAGTTTGACAGATTGATTAGCTATTAGGTTTCTATTTTTAGCCAGGAGTTCATTTATGGAACATTTTATTAGTTACCTGTGTTAAGAGTTTCACGGAGGCAACGAAGAATTGGTTTTTGACAGATATGTTATTTTCTAACTGATATTTTCATGGAATATGTATCATAGTAAATTGCCATCAACATTTTTGGTCAACTTAATTGGTTGTTTCATATGTGCAGAGGATGGAATCTACTTAGCATACTCAGATTTTCATGCCTACTTGGATGGAGATTCAGCCTGCACAAAGGAGCTGAATCAGTGGTTTGCTAAGCAGCTAGATACAGTAAGTGGCGTTAGTGGTGAATACATTGCTGATGATTTCAATTTTTCTTCATCTTATACAAAAGTCAAGCTAGTAGCGTTCTTATCCTTAGTACCTAGTGAGAAATGCCATGGTTAGAAGATTTCTAAGAATCGAGAAAGTATCAACTGTTATTCATCTAATCATCTTGCACCTTTTTATGTACACTGTTTAATGTAATTTATCTTCTATCATATCAGGGGCCATACCGTTTAGTTGCTGAAGAAGGAAAATCAAAATGCTCATGGGTTAGTCTTGATGATACATCAAACATGTTGCGAGGTAACTTTTTATCAATGTGATTTTTGTTTTCAGATACTGTTGTTTTGTACGTGCATAACCTTGTGCAGTTATGTAACTTCCCCGTGTATGATACAAATCGTATGTTTTGTTATGGTGCATTAAGCCTTACTTGTTTGAAGCTATTGTGCATCTATAACTTGTCCGTTTTCTTTGCAGCAGATTTGGAAAAGTCACAACATCAACGTGTATCTGAACTGCAAAGGCTCCGATCCATGTATGTATTATGTGGTACTCCGGCAGAATAACTTCCAGCTTTCACTTTGACCGTTACTATGAATTTGAATAAAGTCTTGTAATCCAGAAAAAAATGTATAGATGCAAGGGCTCTCTTGCTACTTGGCCAGACTAAAGAAATTCTGGAGACCACTTATCGCATATAAATTTTGGAATTTCCACGCATACATATTTTCTCACTCTCAAAGGCATTTTCCTGTTATCCACAGCTTTGGAACAAGTGAGAGACAATGGATTGAAGCCCAGGTCGAGAATGCTAAACAACAAGCTATTTTATTGACACTCAAATCTCAAGTAACATCAGTTGAAGCTCATATTCATTTTGATCTACATTCTCTAAGGTAGAATAGCATGAAACATCTAAGCAAGACACATTGACAATATCAACATTGAGTCTTTAACTTGTCATACTTTATTCCTGTGATCATGTTCTTACCTGTGCAGGAGAAAACATGCAGATCTTGTCGAAGAAATTTCAACCCTTTATCAGAAAGAAGAAAAACTCTTATCTGAGGTATATTCATGTACCCAATTCTTGACGTTTCAAGTTTCGTGTTTCTAAACTATAAGGAGTAGGCACTTCTTTGAGTCATTACACATTTTCTTACCCTGTTCTTCTTTTTAGACTATTCCTGAACTATGTTGGGAGCTTGCTCAACTACAGGACACCTATATCTTGCAAGGTATTTAGCATATACTCTTTGTTCTTTTTACCTGTAGCTTTTGGATAGTTTTGGGTTCAAATGATTTTACTCATCACAACCTTGTAGGTGACTACGATCTAAAGGTCATGCGTCAAGAACTGTATATTAGTAAACAGAAAGTGGTATGTTGGCCTTAAGTTTTCTTTGTATTTCTTTTTATTAAATTTCTTCAGGATATGTTGGCCACAAGACAGCATGCTTTCCCTATTAGAGATACCAAGATCCACTTGTCCTTCTGTCTTTGATATTCCTAATGTGTTGTTGCAGTTCATCAATCACCTGGTTAATCAGCTTGCAAGACACCAGTTCTTGAAATTAGCATGTCAGCTAGAAAAGAAAAACATGCTTGGAGCATTTTCTCTTCTGAAAGTTATCGAATCCGAACTCCAAGGTTACCTCTCCGCCACAAGAAGCCGTGTGGTATGGTCACATCCATAGTTACAGCCCATGCTTTCCCGCAATTATGGGATTATGAAACTAATTTATCTTTTGCAATATATATACAGGGGCGGTGTTTGTCACTGATCCAAGCTGCATCTGATGTCCAAGAACAGGGAGCAGTGGATGACCGTGACAGCTTTTTACATGGAGTTAGAGATCTCTTGAGCATCCACTCAAGTAGTCAACACTATAGTTTTTACACAAATATTCCCTTTTTGTGTGATGTTTTCAAACCTAATGTAGGCTGATGATCTTCATCTCTTCCTGTTATATAGATGCACAAGCCGGGTTATCAACTTATGTCTCAGCTCCAGCCATCATTCAGCAGATTGTTGCTCTTCAATCGGATCTGTCATCTCTTCAGTCTGACCTTGAGAATTCTCTTCCAGATGACAGAAATAGATGCATTAACGAGCTGTGAGTCACCCCATTCACCCAAAATCCTCATAACATTCCTCAACTTCTTCCAGTATTTACGATGCTCATATATCACTATTGCCTCTCTCGGTTCCTCAGGTGTACCCTTATTCAGAACTTGCAGCAACTACTCTTTGCGTCTTCAACTACAGCGCAACCCATATTGACACCATGGGTAGAAGAAACCTGACTTCTCTTGTTACCAATTTTTAGTCCTTAATATAAACCAAGACGTGGGGTTTAACTCATGTTGTTTTCTCCAATGTGTGCCATTTAGCCGCTGATGAAAGAACTTGATGAAATGGGGAAAATCAACTCCAAACTCTCTGCAGCAGTGGAGGAGGTAACGCTTGAGCACCGCGAGAAAAGGGAGGCGAGTCTTAATTTATTCACTTTAATTCCGCTCCTACCACAAATAGAAATATCTGTCAAATAGTGAAATAGAAAAAAAAAATTGAACAAACCCAGCACCTTATAATAGACAAACTATTTGCTGCAGATCGTGAAGCATCACTCCAAGGACGTGGAACTTCAAAGGCGGGTATTTGTGGACTTTTTCTGTAACCCAGAGCGATTGAGAAGCCAAGTTAGGGAACTCAATGCTCTTGTTCGTGCTCGTCAAGCCTCATCATAGGTCCCCACCCCCATCCACAAGTATATAGCACAAATGATCTCTCTCTTAGTTTTTTTTTTTCTTTTCAAAGTTTGCCATTTCACTTACTCTATGATTGTATACAGAAGGGTTTTGACTCCGTCTTTATCTAAGTGGTTGATTGCTTCTTCAACATGGTCTACATTACAGATTGCCTTTCTACTTTGTCTCTTTCTGAGATGTCTACTGATTTTGCAGATTGTTGTTTCTGACTAAGTTTCGTGGTTTCTTCAGCACCCATTTCCATTTTGCTTATCTTCTCTTTGGGGTTATTTGAGCTGTTTACTCTGTTTTTCTTCCCTAGTTTCAAAGTACTTTCAGTCAATCTTAGAGAGGGAAATGTTAAAGTTGACCCTTTTGGGCTTTTCCAAATCGAATTCAAATGGTCAAGTGCTGAACAAACATAAAAAAAAATAGATGAAAATGAACTTCATATTTATAATGAAAACACTCTTGGTGGAGAATGGGATCACGATACATGAGCTGTTCGCTACGGAAATGGATCCAAAAACGTATAGATTAGGAAGTGTAACTAATCACTGTCTGTCTTACAGCACGGTTTCTCCACGTGCATTTGGGTCGACGATCCGATGCCAAACCGTGTTGTGTCAGATAAGCTACTAACGCTTCTGTGGATATAGTGTGACGATTATGACTCGAGCTTCTGCTATATCTTACATTTCTGTGATACACTGCGAAAAACCTGAAATCCATGCGACGATCAATTTAATCCCGAGTGTATCTCTCAGCATCAAATGGCTGTCTCTGTGCATTCCAATTCAAGTCTCTAGAGTCTGGTGCGGCATTCATTGGTGCAAAGGCTGCAAACATAAGAAAGTTTACAAAACACAAACTGAGAAACCCGGAAGCAAATAAACTTAATCTACACAAGATATATAAGAAACATACACGAGGTGTATTCAAAATACTATTAAATGCAAAGAGATCAACAACCGATAATTATGCTATACAACTTAAACACAACATAACACACCCTCTCAGCAACAAAAGATATCCATCTAATTTCAGATTCACCTCTCTAGTAGCACAAGGCTGAAAATACTAAGCAATTTCTTCACTTGTGATATATATGCTTGCCTTAAACCTTGTCTCAAGTGCAGAATGATGTATATATAGCTCGAACTCTGTTCGTGTAGGAATAAAGGAAAATCCAGCAGTACGAAAAGATAGTTGGCGATGTAGACTCACCTTTTTCTCTCATTCTCCTTTCTCTGTCATACTCAAATTTGTCCCGGATCTGATTGACTTTGTCCCTGTTATCATCACCTTGTGTTGTTGTTCTATTAAACCCTTGCTCCTGCTGTCGTTTGAGGAGGTCACAAGAAATGCCAAATGATATCAAACTACAAGAAACCAACCACACGAATTCAAACTTAGTCAGTGACACAGATTCATTTACCTTTGCTGGATCATTATAAGGTCGCTTGTTCCTGTAATGACGAATGAACCAAATCCATCAATGTCTACCATAGAATTGGCGAATAAACAAGCACTGTATATAGCTTATACAACATGGTTAAGAGTAAACCTGTATGGATTAAAATCTTCATCGTCTTCTTCAGCAGACTCGTAATTTGCATGATCTCTTGCAATCTTCTTCGAGTAGCCTTCATCCCAGTAAAGCCTCTCCCAGTTTTCTCTAAGCTCAGTATACAGTTCCATGTATTTTTTGCACCATGGCTCATGCTCCTACCGATAAACCAGTCGAAAAAGAAATAATCAGAATCTCCAAAATCAATAAGAGATTATCAAAGGAATCCAATTCCAATTCGTTTTCAGTACCATTCTCAGACGAAATGCAAGTAGGAATAACTTAAAACCTTAAATTTGTGAAAGTGAGTGATATAGACTGACCGATTCTTTAAGGACGAGGCGAGTGCGGCGCATGAACTGCTCACGGAGCTGCTTGCGGCGCCTATTGGGGATGTTGTCTCTGGGGATAGTGAAGCGCTCACGGAGAGGGACGTGGTCGCCGATCTCGTGCATCTCTCCGTCGACGATCCACCACTCCGATTTCTCCTCCTTCTTCTTGAGCGGCAGAGATGGGGACTTGTTTCGCCGTCTCGGCTGACCTGGCTCAGTTCTAAAGAACCGGATAAGGGAAGCACCGTTCTGGAGCGACGGCAAGGCGGAACCGAGCCGTCTAGTGACGAAGAGCATAGCTGTATTTCCCGGCAGCTGGTGAAGTGATCAGTGAGAGCCGTCGCAAGTGAAGAAAAGTTGATACGACCTATTTGGGTATATGGTTCACAAAAACCGGTATTGCATATTATAACCAATATATTCGGTTTGCTTTGAAAACCAAACGAAATTAATTTGAATTATTACTGTAGTTGGAGAATACAGTAACTCTTATTTTGTAACTCAAAGTTGTATAATTCCTATTAATTGAGAATTTGACAGGCTCATATTTTCTCGTAATTTTGTAACTCTTAAGTTTTTTTTGTTTGCTCATTGTATCATTCTTCTCGAACACAATTATAAGATTGTTATGCGATGATTTGTACGCATGATGATAGGAATCAAGAACACAAATAACCTTTTTTTTTTTCAGAACACAAATAACTTTGCAACGTTATTGTTTACATGTTAAAGAAGCAACAAAAGGGAAGAGCTTTATTATTGTAAAAGGTTTGCACACATATGTGTATACTATCTGGAATCAAACTTAATTATATACTCTTTGTATGAGCGAGCCTTATCCTTAAGGAGAGAGCCTAACGGAGGAAATAGTACCAACACTAGGGCCGGTCTTAGCCGGATCAAGAGGGAAGTAAAACGGATAAAACTCGTACCGGATATAGCAACTGCTATACAAAACACGACATCCTTTCTTGTTGTGGCAAGCCGTCATGAAGCTCCCGACCGCAGTCGCAAAGCACTGAGCGCAATCTAGTTGGGATAAGTCCCTTGTGCACTGAACCAAACCGTTTAGTGTCACAAATGGTGTCAGCTTTGTCTTACCTTTACCTAAACCTTGACTCTTAGGCAAAACCGCCTCAGACCTGATTCTGTCAAAGAGTGCCCCGAGCTCATTGTCGAACGTTTTGGGGTCGGTTTCGGTTACGTTAGCGACGTTGAAGTATATAAGACCAGCACCCGTGTCGAGCTTACCTATGAAATTCTCTTGGCTGTAACGTAAGAAGCAGAAATCGTACAAGATCCTTGAGTCGGACTGGTTCGGACAGACTTCACGTATTTTCTTGGCGGCGTCTTGGATGCAGCTCGAGCAATCGGTCTTGCTGATGTCTCCTCTGCATTGAGCAAGACCGTACACATTGTCTTTGTTGTTGTAACTTGAGGAACTTGTGGTCATGAAACCTTTTGAAGGAGTCTTTGAGACAAGCGTGGCGAGAATGGAATCGATGTTCTTGGAGATTTGGCTGCTGCTTGAGACGTTCGAATTTTTGTTGCAGAGGTCCCATATTGAATCTGCTGCTTTGCAGCTGCATACAAGAGCCAATAGAAGGAGAGATTTGACAATTACTGTCTTCATTGCCAATAAACTTTATACTTGCTTTGTTTATTGAGGCGTGTTGTATTCTTGAATGGTTCACTAGAAAGAGAGTCTGGTTTTTATAACAAAAAGAGTTAAAGAAACCAAAACGTTAACGATTCTAGAACGTGATAGATCTCTTTTAGAAGTCGGTCAAAACGCACATCAGACAAGTGGGAAATAATTTTTTATAAGAATAAAATACAAAATTCGTAGACCGAAAAGTCTTATAATATAGCAGCCAAATACTTGTGACCAATCAAAACTAGTAAATACTTAATAAACATGAATTGGTCAACTTATGCTCTACTATATACATTGGCATTTTGTTATATTTGAGTGACAATATATAAGATCAGATTTGTATATAAAAAAAGAAGAGTCTTAGCTGGAAGATTCCAAGATAGGCATCACGTGGGGGTCAACAATATGAATGGAGCGGAAATTGTTGACTGTGGGTGTTAGTCTAATTGCTTCTTGTTTTTTCAAACGTCAACGTTATAACGCGAGTGGAGCAACATCGACCACTTCTCTCTTTAAAAAAGTCTCCACGGCTAATAAACAACATCCCTACCATTTTAATGGCATTTTTCCTCAAATCTTTGATGGAGAAGTAATATAATTGAATTTGAGATATGGTGCTTCTCTAGTGGCACTATGGTCATAAACGTCTTCTATGGCTAGTAATAGTGATATGCACAAGAGATACTTGTGATTAATCTATCCTTTTCAATTTCATATATACTCTACACTATTCTCATTTTTAATTTAGTTGTGTGGGAGTTTTTTACTGCTCTTTTTTATTTTATTTTTTCTTCTACTTGAATTTATAGGAAGAATGATGTTGATATTATTGAAGCGCAATAAGGTCGTCTAAAGATGTGGCTATAAGTTGAAGAGACCTGGAATATTTGTTTCAAGGTTTGCTATGGTGTGGTCATATCGTTGTCTGATGTAATTGGTTAATCATTTCTTCCAATCTCCAAATTGCTTATTTCTTTGGATTATGTCATACACTGAAATCTTCTTCTTTTTTTTTGGGTAAACTGAAGTCTTCAGTCATATTGACTATTGGCCATTCTAGAGCCTTTACATGGTGGATTCAAATACAGCTAAATACGTACAATCTTTTAGACAAATTCTATCAATGATTTATATAGGTCAAAAATAATGTTTTATTGAATTACATGAAAAAAGTTTTTTAGCATAATAACCATATTGAAGAAATAATATAAAAACATAGTCATATTATTCAAAAAATATGGAAAGTAATTATGACCCATAAAAAAAACTAAAAAGTTTTTTGATTTTAAACAAAAACATATTGATTGGCCGATCATTAGACTATAAGAAATAAATAGTATAATATTTAGAATTCTAAATATATCATCATATTGAAAAATAAATAGTATAAGATTTAGAGTTCCAATTATAGAATCAAACTATACCATAATATATATTCTCATACGATAAAATTAATATAGTATAGTATATGAGATTCTAATTATATATTGATTGGTCCATCATTAAGCTAAGAAAAAAAATAGTATAATATTTGAGATTTCAATTATATTGTCAGATTGCATATTTTAACATAATATAATACTTTCTATTTTAAATAAAGGGTATTTTTGTATATATTGTAAAATATACAACCAATATCATAACATTTATTTTCATATAATTATTTTATAAATTTAGGTGATTATATTATAGTCATATATGCCAATTAAATTTCCCAAAAAAATTGAATTACATGAAAAGCCCTAAGAGGCCGAAGAAGGGTATGGATTCATGGGCCTCGAGAAAGGCTAGAGGAGTCACATTCATGCCCAACATCAGTATGGGTCATACAAGAAAACCCGAAATATATCTCTCAAGTTCAAGAGATTTTGAGGCTTTGAGCTATTGGTGAAAATTTACATAAAATGAAACGATCACCGTTTGTTTACTAATGAGATTCTTCAGTTTGATTTTATTTGGCGATAGAGTTTATGACTTTTCGTTTTCGACAATCGATAAAGATGAAAAAAAGGAGTCGTGGCACAAAACGAATACACTTAACACGTAAAATAACATAATAATCAAATGAGTAGATAGCAGAAACAATATTTTAAATAGATAAATAAATAAAACCACATTTTTAAAACGTGAATAAAATGTTCAAAACCTGAGGAAAGTAGTTTATCATTTGATTAGCTTATTTTTTCGTCATAAAACTAATTTAGAGGAAAATACATAAATTATAATTAAAATGATCATGGTCAATGTATTTTTTTATATATGTATGTATCAAGGTATCTTCGTACTAGCTGATGCCAATTGTTAAATCGAAAAAAGCCGTAATTAGGGGTTATCTGATAGTATATTATATGATGATGAACGAAAAAGAGAAGACAGAGTCATCACATGGATGGTTGTGGATAAAACAAAACACCACTCCAAACACGATCCACTCTTCTCCTCTCAATCTCCATCCTCAATTTTAACAATATAACAAAAAACTATCATTTTTTTTGGCTGAAGCAAAAGAATTGTATTGTTCAAATTCAGATTTTCTTCCAGATAATGGAAGCTAGAAGGCTCGCGATCCTCTGTTCCCACCTCAACCCAGCTGGTCCGTACCCGACCCGTGACTCGATTCTCAGGGCTTCCGATTGTAGCTCAGGTTCTCCCGGCGACGAGAAGGTGGAATCATCCAAGCCCCAAAACGACTGCGTTTTCTGCAAGATTATCCGTGGCGACTCGCCATGTCTCAAGGTTTAAACTTTCTGTTTATGTCTCGTCCAATTCCTTACACCGAAGACAGAGCATAACTAACTAACCAATCTCCTTTTTTTGACGCAGCTGTACGAGGATGATATGTGCTTGTGTATTTTGGATACTAGCCCACTTAGCCATGGGTAAATCAAATCTCCATTCTTTTTTAATTACTCATGAGATTTGAGTTTGTACTAAGACTATGCTTAAGCCTTGGATTACTTAGTGTAAATTGGTTTGAATCTTTGATTAATGGATTGCCTTTTCAACATGTTTTGCTTTGTTGTTTACTCTTGAATTCTAAAAGCTATGAACTTTTCTTATCCGGGCGTTTTCAGGCACTCTCTGATCATTCCAAAATTACATTATCCAACCTTAGAGGAAACTCCTCCCTCAGTAAGTTCCTCTTCCTGCCTTGTGTGTTTCTATTTGCTCATGGGTTTTGCATTTTGAATCATATCCACGGCATAAATTAGTTACTATCTTCCTTGTATGTTACCTTCTTGTTTGAAAAGTTTTTATTATGTGTATGCGTATAAGATTTTGATTATAGGTCTCCTCCAAGGAGCATGCAGGTAGTTGCTGCCATGTGTTCCAAAGTGCCTCTTATCAGTAATGCCATCGTGAAAGCTACCGGCAGTGGTATGTTCTTTTAAATTCTCAAAAAACATCACATTTTCTCCATCCATCTCTGATACCATCAGATTATACCAACTGTCTTTTGTATATTTATATGTGTGCTGGTATTGTAAGTTAAAGACCGTATCAATCCCATCATTAGTTTACCCAACCTTTGGATACCTTACCTCGCTAATGAACTACGTCTGTCTGTTCTTTTTTTATCGTTTTGAAAATGCTATAGACTTTGAACGGATTTTGCCACTTGCTGTCATATTCATTAGTAGTGTTGCCATTCTTTCTGGAACCTTTGGCCATTTTTTAAGGGTAGAGTCATCATTGAGCTTAGATTCTGATTCTCATTTGTTTCTGTAAACTATTTTATCAGATTCATTCAACTTATTGGTTAACAATGGCGCAGCAGCTGGGCAAGTCATATTTCACGTAAGCGCACACTGACTTCCTCAACTCTCCATTTCTCTTAATTCCCGAGGAGGAAAGTTTCTATAAACAGTGTTTTTTTTTACTCTCTCTTGTATTTCAGACACATATTCACATAATCCCGCGTAAGGAACATGACTGCTTATGGGCTTCCGAGGTACAAAAGAAAACGAAACATTACATTTTTTGAAAGATTTTTTATGAAACTTGTCTGATTTGATGTGATGTTGTTCTGTTTTTGATGACAGAGCTTGCGGAGACACACACTGAAACTGGACAAGGAAGCATCTCAACTGGCGTCGAGTGTTCGACAGCAATTGTGCAGCCTTCCCGAAGAACAGTTGGTTCAGCCCTCATAAGCAGCCCCTTTTCAAGAGACACCCATTGTTGTACACTTTTTTTGTACACACATTTGCAAAACCCAAAAGTATATTCTGTATAGTTCCATATTCAGTCAGACTCATTTTCATCTGTTGGTTAGTTTCAAAAACAAAAGTTTTGGTTCCAAGTCTGATTCGGGTTATGGCCTCAATAAAATATATGTTGGGTTATGGGCCTTATGGCCTTATGGTGGGAAATGTTTTCGTCGGACAGTTTTATGGGCTTTCGGTCTAATCCTTAGCGGTTCGACCCGGTCAGTGAAGAACCGTTTATCGCTCTCCACACGTGCTGCCGCAGAACCGTTCTTTTCTTCCTATCGGATTGATATGTATAAAATTGAAATTATATTTTAATTCTGATTATTATTATATTGAAACAACGAAGCGACACGATAGAAATCGTGTCTGAAAATCTTACCCAATAACACGATTTTTCAAACTTTTACTTTGCCAAACCTTAAATACCTCAATCTTCTTATCAGCAATTCAGCATTAGTCGTTAGGCAAATATCCCATCAATGTGTGTCCTATGTGTAAACAACTGCATTCAGACCGGCGTAATCCGACTTAACCACAAATAATTTCATAAAAATAAAAAAAAATTATCTGTTACTTGTTCTTCTTGTTAACTTCTAACCTATAAAATGTAGGCAGCTGCTATCTGTAACCAGCACAGTTGTAACTTATGTTAATTCTTCATCGATTTTGATTTTTATTACTTTGGGATATAGAGAACTTACGTAATCTGGCTAAAGGGAATGGATCTGCGACCGAGTTGGGACATAAGCGAGTAACGACAGTTGTACATATCTGACGGTCAGGTTCTGACCCAACACCCTATACTTAATTAGTTTCTCTTTTTTTTTGGGTCAAAGAGTTATATATATCGTATTCATTAAACACGCTAATATTATGAGATACTAATATACTTATTAGTTTCCATAACGGCTCATAAGGTTCATACTTTACGGATATTTGGATTAGCTATGAATATGTCTCAGTTATTATTTCTTTTACCATACAGTATTAATAGGAATCGGATAGTATCAGTCTTTTAGAATCGGGAAAAAAATCCAACTTATATGGATAGTTTCAGTCTTTCAATCACACTCTCCTTTTCTTCTACTCTAAAATCTGCATTAACTTTAAGAAAGCCCTTCAAAACATTCCGTCGTATAATCTCCATTTCCTTATTTTATTATTTATTTGATCCATGTCATAAATAGTTAGATTTTATATATCGAATTACTAACTTAAATGTAGTGTAGAATTCTATCCAAAAAAAGTCAATAACTACTTGCCACCTAGAAGCTAAAAAGAGAAATATTAATTTCGTCGTCGGTTTTTAGCCATTGATGTTCTATTGTCAAAACTTACATCGATCGAATGTCAATTTATAAACATAATCACTTATCATGGACGATCATCATCAACTACAAATGTATACATAAGTTAAGTTCTTGAATAAATATATTAACTTGTAAAATAATGTACCGAGTAGAAGAAAGTGAAAGCCAAATTTCTTATAATTATTAATAGTAGAGAAAGATACAAAAGCAAGGGTGGCCAAGGTCCGTATTGACACAAGTCTAACAAAACACAAGACCAACCACTCTAATCTCACATATATCAAACTCAAACCAGGCTGCTATATATAATGATAAAATTATATATATAGCTAAACCTTTTTTAAAAAACCAAAAACAAAAGCTGCATAGTATATAGCTCCACATAAAAGATTGGTTATGCAGCGGAAGGGGCAAGGCTCTCAGGGATATCGCCACCAGATTCATTGGTAAAGGCTGCAATGTTCGGATTCAGCTTAGACTCAGTCTTGACAAACTTCTGGTAGTCTAAACTCGAATCTTCATAAATGTCCCACCATTTTTTCACCAACATTTTTATGTCTTCTCGATCCATATGTTCACCTTCTCCCGTGTATCTCCAAGGCTTCGAACCCTTTAAAATTATTTAAAAAAAAAAACTTAGTAACAGAAATATATCACAGTATATGTCACGAAGAAAGTTAAAAGATTAAAAAGTGTACATTAGCACAGTAATGAACAACACTGATTTGGTCAAGGTCAACACATTCAGGATGACGCCAAAGCATAGCCAGTACGAGGTTGTAGGTCGAAGGGATTGGCTTGTAAATGTCTCTAAAGTACATATTCAGAAAATCCTACCAAAAAGATAAAAAAATAATATTAGTGACGTAAAATAAAGAAAATTATATCAAATAATGAAAAAAATAAAATAAAATCAGACCTGTTCGGCGAAATACGTTGGGGTAGTGATTTGAACAACGCGAAGGAGATCCTCGTAAGTGATGAGATTTGGTTCAAAAACCAACATACCGGCGTTGAAATATATCGGCGGCGGAGAACCGTGGCTTTGGACCGGCCACGTCACTTTTTCGGGCGACTGTTGGCAGTAACCAAGCTTGTATTGAGGAGTTTTGGACCAAGACACCTCGCAAAAGCAATCTTTGACGGCGTACAAGTACCCACAAGGAGTGTCGAAAAGATGATCGATGTTACTAAACACTTGTACGTCTCCATCTAGATATATCATCTTCTCATACTCCACAAACTGCACTTAAAGATTAATGTTAAAAAGTCGTTAAAGTTATATACAAAAATATACATAAATACTAGCAAGCAAGATTTTTACCTCCCAAATGCGAAGTTTAGAGTAGTTGATGACGTAGTAAGCCATGGAATAACCCTCCTGGTTTTCCGGCGGATGGACTGGCTCGATCTCACGAATGATGCATCCCTGAGCCACCAGGATTTGACGGTGTTCCTCAGGCACGTCCGGGAGAATCGCCACAACAAGAGGATAAGCTGATTTCACCTTACGAAGTCCTTTGGCTAGACCAACTACACCCATCCAGTAGTCTTTGTCTCCAGCGAGGAAAGTGACGTAAGCCCTATTCCCAACGTTAGGACTGATCACAACATCAGCTTCGGTCACCTTCTCGACAGTCATTGTTGTTTGCGCCATCTCAAACAGTTAAAAGGTTTTAAGAGAGATTTTTTTGGTTGCAGTTAGAAGTGAATGAAAGATAAGAGAAACTGTCTTCTTATATAAGGGAGAGCGAGCAGATGGAGAATTAATTTTGGATTTCGTTAGAAAATATTAGAGGATTTCATTGTTTGGTAACGTTTTTGAAGCGAATGATATGATTCTTGTCTATCAAGATTTGCATCGGAGTGGATAAGGAAAACTGTATCTTACATTGTAACACATATGGAAATGGGGATAATTCATCATATCTATGTTCGCATTTTTATTAAATGGGTGTAGTCAGTTTTTGATACCGCCTTGCTAAATTATTTAATTACAAAAAATTTGGGGTAGTTTTTCGTATAAATGGTTCTCGTTATGCCATAATTTATGGAATTTGGGCTTGTGTTGAATTAAGAACCCATTTTGGATTTTCTAATAAAGAGTTGTATTCAAAAGAATGTCTTTTCTGTAAAGAGTGTCAGGTGCAGAAAAGAAGGTAGAAGATTTTGTACATATGACAATGACGAATCTTTTTTAAAATATATTTTCTATTGCAAACTTATTGTCACAGTATGCATTAAAACATCAACTTGATAAGAAATTTTTAGGATTTTGTGATTTCTTTTCGAGTTTGACCTTATTAGAATTTTCACTGCGTATCATAACCACTTGAGCATTTCCCTCTCTCTTATAAAGTTAAAAATAATCGAAACATGTTGGTACGTAGATTTTAATATATAAATTGCTTATATAGATCTCTGATGTTTAATCCATATTTTGTCTCTCTTTTATTTTTCCGGCGACGCGCGTGGCCACTAACTCATTTTAAAGTTTAAACCCGTATGAGTCGAACTTAAGAAACCAGACGCTGGAGTAATACAAAGCTCACGTCAACCATATTTTTACCATATACTAGAATCCAAGATGAGACTACTCAAATGTTATTGATGCAATAAAGAGAGATAATGTTTTATAGTCTTTACCTATATAAAATTATAAACAGTTAGATACAAGGTCGGTCTCGTTACTTAACCCGACCAAACCCGAGTTAACCGGCAATGCTGTGGAATTTAATGCGATTATTGACTAAGCGGCATGAACTGAGCTGGTTCGAGTTGATTTTCTATCATCAAAACTTTGTTTCTTTATGGTCATCCTTAAGCTAAAGAAGAGGTTCCAGAGAGAAGTAAACACATTATATTTCTAGTTAACATCTAACCGTAAAAAACTTATAAACACTAAAACAAAATTTTAAAGATGGATCATCTACCAAAGCAAAGAGAAAACCCTAGCTATCAGCAAAAGAAAACGTGAAGAAAACGAAATCATTTTCATCTCAAAAACCCGTTATAGTAGACTTTCTTCGTTTGAAATTATTAATAATTAAATTTTAAGAAAACAAATTTGACGTTCGTTCATGTAAAATTTTACGTGGATATTTGTAAAAAAAAATTACATATTTATTAGCAATATCGGCTCAACGTCAAAGGCCCGGCAACAACTCCTAATCTCCGCCCGTTACGGTGCGTGCGACACACCAAAACGATATTGATTTACTAAAATTTTAACAACATTTATTAAATAATTTATTGATTAAAAATATACATAATTTACTGTCTTAGTCTATTATACAACTATATAAACCCAGTGGCTACCATTTGAGCATTTCCCTACCATTTACACTCTTCTTCTCTGATACGATTTTTTGACTATATTTCTGCGTAATATAGGATCTTACTAGAATTTCGATCTCTGATCTTTGATTTATACTTAGGAATTTGTGATAATGGATAACGAGCTGTTTATGAACACAGAGTTTCCGCCGCCGCCGGAGATGGCGGTGCATTTTGAACCACCGTCTTCTTCCTCGGCGATGCTTAACTGGGCGTTAATGGATCCGAGTCTCTCTCGGAACTCGTCGCCGCAGGATTGCTTTCCGTGGGAAAAGTCAACGGAACAACAACAACAACAACAGAGCATCTTCGACTCTGCTCTGAGCTCTCTCGTCTCTTCTCCGACGCCGTCGAATTCCAATTTCTCCGGCGGTGGCGGTGACTGCTTCGTTATTAGAGAACTCATCGGGAAGCTTGGCAACATCGGGAGCTCCGGTGAGATATACGGAGCTCCGATGGGAAACAATAATGGGAATAACTCTCGCTCCGCCTCGTGCTACGCAACTCCTATGAGCTCGCCGCCGCCGATGATGAACAGAACGACGCCGTTGACGGAATTCTCAGGGGATCCGGGATTCGCGGAGAGGGCAGCGAGATTCTCTTGCTTTGGTAGCCGGAGCTTCAACGGAAGAACTAATTCCGGTCTCTCTGTTAACAACAGCAACATCAACAACTCCGGGAAGCTGTCACGTGTCTCCAGCACACCAGCTCTCAAGGCCCTTGTTTCACCGGAATTCGCATCTGCGTCGAGACCAATGATTCCCGCCGGCGAATCAATTCCGAAACTCACCGGCGAATTTTCCCGGAAGAGAAAATCTGTGACCAAAGGGAAATCCAAGGAAATTCCTCTCTCCACCGCTTCCCCATCTCCCGGTCTATCAAAGGTACATCACTTTCGCCGGAAAATTTCATAATTTTCCCGCAAAGTTTCTATTTTTACTTCCTCAGATTTTCAAAATTCGAAGAACCCAGTTCTCTGAAAAAGTCAGCTTTTAGAGAAAGTTAACAAAAGTAGAAACTTTTTGTATGTTTTAAAATTTCTCAGACGGCGGAAAGGAAGGATTGGGATGGGAAAGGAATAAAAAATTCAGAAGAAAAGGGAGGGAAAAGGAGAAGAGGGGAAGAAGAAGACGAAGAAGGAAACAAAAGCAATAACACAAAACAACCTGAGCCACCTAAAGATTACATCCATGTTCGAGCTCGACGAGGCCAAGCCACCGACAGCCACAGTCTCGCCGAAAGAGTAACTATTCCTCTTTCTTTCACTTCTCCCCAAACATACTTTTTTTTTTTTTGAACTTCGAGCATTTGCTAGGTTTTAAGTAATTAAGATTAAAATGTTTATTAGTTGTGCTAATTGTATTCTAAGGTGAGATTAGAATTTGGGTTTGATTATTTCCTTAATGTTGGATTATTAGGTTCGGAGGGAGAAAATAGGAGAAAGAATGAAGCTGCTTCAAGATCTTGTGCCTGGATGCAACAAGGTGAGAGAACTTACGTTTAATTTTAGTTTTGGACTCAACTTGTTGATTAGCATAATTAAGATAATTAATGTCTTTGTTTTTGTTTTGTTGTTTCTACGATCATAGGTTACTGGAAAGGCACTGATGCTGGATGAGATTATAAACTATGTACAATCATTGCAAAGACAAGTTGAGGTATCATAGGAGTATATATGGTTTCTTCATCTAAACCATAGTTAATTGTTTCATTAATCACCGAATTTAATTATTTGCAACTGATTTTTCTAATATTAATTTCTTGTTTAATAATTGGCAGTTCTTGTCAATGAAGTTATCATCAGTGAACGACACCAGGCTGGATTTTAACGTGGACGCTCTTGTGTCAAAGGATGTTGTAAGTCACCTTAAACATTAACATCAATTAACAACTACTACTAATGATAATCTGGAATAGAAAGTGATCATTTCTAATCCCTTTTTTTTCTTCTTTTTGTTTGTCGTTATGTCAAATCTTTTTTCAATCGGCGGCACATTAGCATATATATTAACCCTTATTACTTTTAGGAAGCTTTTTGAACTTCTTTTAAAAAGGACCTTTCGTAATTTTCTATTGGAAAATATGAAATCTCACCTTTTTATAATTTGTATTTCTTCAGATGATTCCATCAAGCAGCAACCGGTTGCATGAAACAAGACTCCAAGCAGAGTCTTTAAGTCATCATAATTACAATAACAATTCACAGTTACATCCCAATATTTCTTCCAATAACGTGATGCTCCAATCTCCTATGAACTCACTGGAACCTTCGACCTTAGCCAGAAGCTTCACCCACTTACCAAGTCTTACTCAATTCACTGACTCAATTTCTCAGGTTTAAAAAAAAAATAATAATTCTTTGAATTTCTTTTTTGATTCCATTCTTATAGTGTCATATGACTATAACATATATTTTTCTGTGTATTTTTTTCAGTATCAAATGTTTAGCGAAGAAGATTTACAAAGCATTGTAGGGATGGGAGTGGCACAAAACTCCAACCATGGATCTCAAAACATGAAAATTGAGCTTTAATTGAACCAATTTTTTTTTCAAGGTCTCAAGAAAAAAAAAAAAAAAAAAAAAGGATTGATGGGTGTACATAACCATGAACAATACCAATATATGTGATTATTTACTCATAACTCATCTCCATATATATATATATACACATTTATGAAAGTAACCTATTTTTTTACTTTATTCTTTATATTTTACCATTCTGTTAATTAGATTGTGTCATTTTCCAATTCATCATTTCAGTTGTTTTGTTCTTTGGATTCTTTTTGCCTTTCTAATGCAATCCTAGATAATTAACCTAAAAATTTACGCCAAATTAGGTGAACAACAAAAACACCTTTACGATTTATTTATTTCAATTAGAGTAAGTGATCGGCGATAATGACCCTAACTTGGATCCTATGCAAAACTAGCGACTCCACATAATTATTATTTTTCATGGTAAATCAAAATTTCTTCTTAAAACGTATGCAATTTTATCAAAACTGTAAGAGTGTAACTGGTGACCAAAGGAATGATGGGGAATAATAAATTTCTTTTCATTTCTTAATTTTTTTACCATTTACTAAGAATATTATTTCCACATCATTCCTCACCGTTCTCTATTCTAAAAAGAATTATAGAACAAAACTATTTCTTATCAAATTTGAGGAAGAATAAAATATATTTATTTGTTTCCTTTTTTATTTTATTTTCATTCATTCCTATTATTTTGGTCCTTTCATTTTTTTCTTTTTCATTCCTGTTGTTTTTTTAATGGTCACCAGTTAGAGCCTAATTATTTGACATCATACACTTTAAGACAAAGAACTTTCCGACAAATATCATAAAACAAAAAGTAACTTTGGATGATTAATTAAATTCGGAATGATGGACTATAATCTAGAATAAACTTGATTTTGATTATCAATCATATTGGCAAAACTTAATTTTTAAATTTTACCAACAAATTGGTCAATATCACTCTCATTCCTAGTTTCTTTTTGATTTGATATTTGATATTGTTAACCAGCTGTGTGAGGTGTTATGTCTTAATCTCTAGATATACTAATGTATTTGTAATGGAGGAGGACTTGAGAAACAAATTTACAATAGGTCAAACTGTGATTTCTAAAAATTAATAGGCTCGTTGTAATGTTTAGAAATATATCAAGACAAGGCGAAAGCTTCTACTCTTCTCTTGTTTTTCTCCTAATGGACGAAATATGAAATTAATCAAAGATTCGATCAATCAAATATAAACTCTAATAAAAAATACTTAAAAAACTACTCCAATAAATTTAGTAGCATCATTCTACAGCGTAATATTAATATATATTTTTGTTAAACTCATCATCGCTTCAGCTAATTGAGCAAACACTTTTCTAAGTTGACATATATGTGCAAAATTACATTTCTTTGTTTCTCTTCCTTTTAGTTTTATGTAATACGAAATCAGTGATAAGTAAATCTCTGGATATACGACGATTAAGTAACGAATTATATAAGGTGTGAAAGGGAATAAAAGAATTAGCAATCACATGGGGATTCTGATTCGTGGACTTATCACACAGAATAATGATAGTGAATTAAATTAATCACCAACTACTTTCAAGTTCATAATTGAGAAATTGTTAATTAAAATGTCTAAACTAATCTATAAAACTTTCTGGCTTTATTAGTCTTCAGTTGCAGCTTTAATTGTAATCTAAAATTTACAGATTGAATTATTGGACATAGGAATAGGTAGGGTAAATAAATTGGTTTAATGTACTAATTCTTTAATCTATTCTATTATTGATAGCTAATAAAAAAAGAAGATGCTTTGAATGTGGGTGGTTTATTTTTTTTATGTTGTGTGCAAAAGGGTGGTAGTTATATTTTATATTTTTTTATTATTGAAGAGTAGTTGCTTCTCACTCGGAAATTTAATAACATTAAAAAAACTGATAGGAATAATGAGTCTAATGGCCGTCTTCGTGTTGTTATTAAGGTTCTCAACACAAATACATATGGGATCCTTTAATATTCCACGTAAGAATTGTAGTTTTGTACACTTATTTGGATAGCCAACCAATCACCAATTTCACCACATAGCTAGGTCAAAACTCAAAACCATTAAACTATTATAATCACAAAATATTTACAATATAAATAAGAGCCTCATTAGTCATTAGTCAAACCGACATTCGATAGTATTTTCTTTTCTTTTAAAATGCTGTAATATGGTGAAGATATGTTTTATTTAATCGCTTTTTTTCTAAAGGACACGTTACTTGCTCAATGGAATCATACATTGTGCGACGGCACTTCCTTAATTGCCAAAACGAACATCAAACCACTGGATATTTCATTTGCATTTGTATATTTCTATTTTTAGGTTCATGCATCTATAGACACACAAACAATATTGTGATTGATTCGGATGGATTTGCTACTGAATTGAAATTTGAAAATGAAAGTTTTGCTGCAAATAAATCTGACATACTTTATTAAAGAGTTGCACATACAGAAAGTTGTACCTAAGTTTTGGAAAAATTGCAACAACAAACATTTGATAATTCAATAAGCTCATTGAAAATTACATCGAGCCTTAATGGGTCCAAATTAACAAATGTAATTTGGGCGAATTTGACAGTTCAATAAGCCCATTGGATATTACATAAATGGCCCAAATGGGTCCAAGCGTCATCAGTAGGTGGTGTATATAGGAGAGAGATCTGTCCAATGGAAACCCTCCTACACCCTCAGCACTACTAACAGAAACAGAACATTACTAAAATATTCACAATTCAAAAAAGTAAATAAAAATAGACACTTTTAATGAAACACGCATTCCTTTTTTACCAAGTTTAAGCCCAATCATCTCCTCTCCTCCTCCTCCTCCTCCTCCGTCACAGATTCTCAGATCCCTAGATCTGCACCATTCCTTCCGGTGTCCCCTTTTCCATTGAATGTCTCGAGCTCAGAACAAAGAGTTTCAAGAATGGTGGAATAAACAGCGACAGACGACCCACGACCCCTCCTCCGATGTAGACGAAGACGCCGCCTTCCTCACCGTCGAAATCCGTACACCCGGCGTTGACCCGGATAAGAATCGGATCCGGTCTCGAACCGCCCGGCAGCTCTCCTGGCACTACCTCCTCAAGTTTCAACATTTTGCGTCTTCCCTCGCTTGGATCGCTAACTCCTTCGTTTTCCTTATCCGCACTGCTAATCGCCGCATTGCCAACGACTCTCCTCCTTCCTCCGTTTCCTCCTCGGCTAGATTGTACCGTATTATCAAATGTTTCCTCGTCCTTGTGATACTCCTCCTCTGTTTAGAGCTCGCCGCTTATTTCAAAGGATGGCACTTCACTCCTCCTTCCGTGGCTTCTGCCGAGGTGGCGGTTGAGGTGGTCTACGCACGGTGGCTGGAGATTAGGGCCGCCTATTTAGCACCGCCGCTGCAGAGTTTGACGAATGTTTGCATAGTTCTCTTCTTGATTCAGTCGCTGGACCGTCTGGTGCTCGTTCTCGGATGCTTCTGGATCAAGCTCCGTCGGATAAAGCCAGTGGCTTCTATGGAGTACCCGGAGAAGTCGGACGCTGAAGGAGAGAGTGCGGAGGATTATCCAATGGTCCTTGTGCAGATTCCTATGTGCAATGAGAGGGAGGTAATGGAAGTTTTAAACACGCATCGGAGCTTTCTATTGTGTACTCTTTCTCCTTTTCTACGTCATCTCGTGTGGTTTTGGTGTGGAGTTTGTTATCGTCCTCTTTTAAGCTATGAGTTCCTGCTTGTTAATGATTTGATTTGTGTGGCACTTGCAGGTTTACCAACAGTCTATTGGAGCTGTCTGTGTCCTTGACTGGCCAAGGGATAGAATGCTTGTGCAGGTTCTCGATGATTCCAGTGAGTTAGATGTTCAGATTCTTATAAAAGCTGAAGTACAGAAATGGCAACAGAGGGGTGTCCGGATTTTGTATAGACACCGTCTCATACGAACTGGCTACAAGGCTGGAAATCTCAAAGCTGCAATGAATTGTGAGTATGTAAAAGACTACGACTTTGTCGCAATCTTTGATGCAGATTTTCAGCCGCCAGCAGATTTCTTGAAGAAAACTGTTCCTCATTTCAAGGTAACAAATCTGCTTATAATTAGGTTGATAACCATCTTAATTTGGGTCCGTGGCTTTGGCTGTACCAGTAGGGTGTCCTAAATATACGAAGAGAACCCGATTGAAGTCTCCCACAAGACAAAAGAAAAGAAAAAAACTTACTGTGTACTGGAAATTTGGAGCATTGCCAAATAGGTCTTGTGCTCTAAATTAATGATTTCCTAACATCAAACCCAAAAGCAAAGATAAATAGAAACTTTATTATATCAGTGTTGATATGTTTGCAAAGTATATGATGTAGTTGTTGCCCAGTTGGCTGCCTGCGGTACATAATTAATTCCTTTCCTTTCCTTAAATATATGCATTTTGAGCCTGATTAGTTCAGTGTGTTAGAGCTTGTTCGTTGACTAAACATTTACAGATTATTTTTGAAGCTACTGATGTTAGAGGTTTTTGTTGAATTGTTTATGTCAGACTTTGACTTAGATGCAATGTGTATTTCTAATTTTTGTAGGGAAATGATGATCTTGCTTTAGTCCAGACACGGTGGGCCTTCGTGAACAAAGACGAAAACCTACTCACAAGGCTGCAGAACATAAACTTGTCTTTTCACTTTGAAGTAGAACAGCAGGTGAATGGTGTTTTCATTAACTTCTTTGGCTTCAATGGAACTGCTGGTGTGTGGAGAATCAAAGCGTTGGAAGATTGTGGTGGATGGTTGGAGCGAACAACAGTTGAAGACATGGATATTGCCGTCCGTGCTCATCTTTGTGGATGGAAGTTTATTTATCTGAATGATGTAAAGGTATTTTTGCTTACCCTGATCATTATGAAATTTTCTTTCTTTCACCAGTAGCTGAAACACAACTCTTTATATCTCCATCTCTCCTTTTTGTATAGTGTCTTTGCGAACTTCCGGAGTCGTATGAGGCATACAAGAAACAGCAGTACCGCTGGCATTCAGGTCCAATGCAGTTGTTTCGGTTGTGCTTCTTTGACATTCTTCGCTCAAAGGTGAAGTGAGAATAAGACTGAGATTCTTATCATCTTGACTCTGAATTGAGATTTTAATTCGACGTTGTTTGTGTACTGCAGGTGAGTTTTTTGAAGAAAGCAAACATGATATTCCTGTTCTTCCTGCTGCGCAAGCTTATCCTCCCATTCTACTCGTTTACACTCTTCTGCGTCATTCTTCCATTGACGATGTTTTTCCCAGAAGCTAACTTACCATCTTGGGTTGTCTGCTACATCCCCGGGATCATGTCTATCTTAAACATCATCCCGGCTCCACGATCCTTCCCCTTCATAGTCCCGTATCTCCTGTTCGAGAACACCATGTCTGTAACCAAATTCGGGGCCATGATATCTGGTTTGTTCAAGTTTGGAAGTTCTTATGAGTGGGTAGTCACTAAAAAGCTGGGGAGATCCTCTGAGGCCGATCTAGTTACATACGGAGAATCAGAAACTCTGGTTGGTTCAACAAACATTCAAAGATCTTCCTCTGATTCAGGGCTAAGCGAGCTTAGCAAGATAGGAACGGCGAAGAAAACAGGGAACACCAAAAGGAACCGATTGTACAGAACAGAACTCGCGCTAGCATTGATTCTGTTGGCAGCTTCCGTAAGAAGCTTATTGTCAGCTCAAGGGATACACTTCTACTTCCTCTTGTTCCAAGGACTCACTTTCGTCGTGGTTGGTCTAGATTTGATCGGGGAACAGGTCAGCTAGTTTTTCTAGAAAGTTTTTTTTCTCATTCTTCCAAAAGCTTTACCATCTGAAGAACAAGAAGCCAAGATCAGATCACTGCAAGCTTAGCAGTCATTTCTAGGTTGATACTTGAGAACAATTCCTTACAATACGTCATCGACGACACTTGAAAGTCGTACCTTGGCTTTGATGTGCAAAAGTCACAGGCTATTTGTATACTTTCCCCCTCTAGTTCCCTTCATTATTCATTGTTTTGAATGGCTACGGCAGAAATAGTTATAAGAACTTGGAGAGTATCCTTGTTTTATTACAAATCTGTTTTGTTCCAACAGAATTTTCCCAACTGTTACACACACCAAGTTTGTTTACAAAAAAAAAGGTAAACAGAAATTTTATATTACTCTCTGGGATCAATGCGACTCTTTTAAGTTTTAAGTGCTTCTTTAACTCATGCCTTGGCGTCAATACTCATCGCTTGTTCTTCCTTCTGAGCTTCTTTCTGCATAATCACATTTCAAAACAAACAACAAACATGTTCAGTTCAATGCGTTTCCTACTTACCCACTGATTCCCCGCTTAGGACTACTTACGTGTGGCTCAAGCATTTTCGCAAGCATGTTGCTGTAGAACTTAGCATCTTTCCTGTTGTACTCTTTCACCTTCTCCTTCAGTTTCTTATATTCAATCTTCACCTCCCTGCAGAGACACGATGTTTTGTAACACAACCCAGAGAAACAGACAAGTAAAATACAGAGGAGCAGTCAAAATTTACTCACTTATTGTCAGGATCGATTTCAAGAGCTTTCTTGATATCAAGCTCAGCCAAATCGAGATCAGCCGTCTCCATGTAAGCTTGTGCTCTCCTATACATCGCCTTCACGTTCCTACTATCCATCTCCAACACCTATTCCCATTCTTTTCACTTAGTCTATCTTCTTATCGGAATATATCTATCGATAATCACAGAAACTCAAAATCCTTTAGTTTTTTATTTTACCTTTGAGGACAATTTTGTTGCCTCCTTGTAATCTTTCAGTTTCAGCTTACAAGCCGCATTGTTCAGATTACAGGCAATCTTCAGAGCTCTTGCTTTCTTTTTCTCCTCTTCATCGAAAGTTGAATCATATTCTATGTACTTGACACCCTGCAACCAAAATATGATGTTAAATCTAAAGTCAAACATAAATCTCTCACAAGCATCGTAAGAGCCACACGGATCAAATCCAGACCCTCTCGTATCTCTTTGAAGCTCTTGCGTATTTTCCAGCCTTGAACAGTGCGTTCCCCTCCTCCTTCTTCTTGCCAGCAGCTTCTATCTTTTCCTGTGTGTTCATATCCCAAGACTCTTTCTCCTGTATCGATTTACATAAAGATGATACCTTTCAGTACATAGAGAAGCTTCTTCATGGAGAAAGCAGTGACGCTCAGAGAAGCGAATGATCTCACCTTGATGAAGGACACCAGCTCGACCTCGTAATATACAGTTGAGTTCGGCGGTATTACAGCCAGCTCCTGCTTTGTTTCAGAGGAACCAAAAGCATATTCCGGTGAAATGGTGATTAGTGCCACCTCTCCCTTCTTCATTCCCATCACACCTCTTTCGAGCCCTTCAGTTACTTGTTCTACAAAAAACACCAATTTCATCACTTTAGGTTCATCATCACGACACCCACAATATGAAAAGAAATTTCAGTTTATATGGTTATTATACCTTCGTCGGTCTTGAACTCGAATGGCTCATCATCTTCTTCATGACCTTTCTTCAAAAACACAGTTCCATCTTCAAGTTTACCAATCAACTTTACTGCAACAAATCAGCATAACGAGGTCGTCAGATCACATGACTTGGACTTATGGCATAAATGAGCTCTTGATATCAAACTCTTGAAGATACTGACATTTGACAACTGCTCCTTCATTCGGACGATCATATCCTTCTCCTTCCTTCAATACCTTCTTAATGACCTTCTTGTCATCAGTTACTTCCACCACAGTCTTCCAAGAAACCAACTCAAGATCAATCTCGAGGCTCACATTCGGTGGAACCGCAGCTTGAAGACCATCAGAAGCTGGTCTTCCGATTTCCCCAAAGCCATCTACATCAGTCACATACACAAGTCAGCCTCATACCATATCTAAATTCGTTGTATTTTTAGTAACGACAGACGAACACCAAGTATACTCACATAATGGCTTCACAGTAAGGAGAACCTTCTCCCCTCTTTTCATGGTTTTGACAGCATTAGCAAGCGCAGGACAGAAATGGCCTGTTCCACGAAAATACATTAGACCAGCATACTCTTAAACAATGAACAACAGAGGATATAATAAAATACCAACCCTCATTGACAGTGAACTCTGCACCATCAGACCTTGCAACAACAGTGCCATCCTCAAGCCGAGCTTCATACTTGACTGCAACCACCAAAACCAATATCAGTATGCTGTGTTCCAACTTCCAAAGCAAAGAAACAAACCGAAGTTATCTGTAACAAAAGAAGACGCACCCAACACTTCATCAAGGTCCTTTGGCTTCTCCCATTTTTCTCCTTCCACGATTATTCTCTTGAACAGCCCACCATCACCACATATATCCCTAACGCTCCTCCACGATAGCAGCTCCACATCAAACTGAAGCGTAGCGTTCGGAGGAATGGTCGGTGGCGAACCGGTTTCACCATACGCCAGCTCGGGAGGGATGGTGAAAATGGCGTTTTCGCCTTTCTTCATCGTCTTGATCCCTATGTCCCATCCTTTGATCACATGTCCTGACCAAGCCGAACCAGAGAAGCTCAGTACTCGGAAGGTCGACACAATCAACCAAGTATAAGTGAACAATGAGCAATTTTCAGGCCAAATCAATAAACTTTTGCACGAACAATCCTACGACGAGTCTTCTTGATCTAACAAAAGAACATAGCAAAACCCTTTCCCAAATACACAAATTACCTTGGCCGAGAGTAAATTTGAAGGGAGTTCCTCTGTCACGGCTTGAATCGAACTTAGTCCCATCCAACAGAGTTCCAGTGTAATGAACTGCAAAAAAAAACAAAACCATGAAAATACGGAATCTCAGAAACTGAGCACATATGTTATCAGGTGCAAGAAAGGGACTAAGTGATTAAAAAGTACCTTCAACTTCGTCTCCGTTTTCAGGCGTGTCCCATTTTTCACCTTCCTTGACAAGCTTCTTCTTCAGTCCTGGTTTCCCGATCTCCTTCTCCTCACCGACTTTCAGGTAAGGAGCCGATTCAGCATCGTCGGCGAGATCCAAATCCATCTCCTCCGGCTCCTCCGCCGGAAGCTGCATATCGAAATCGTCTTCCATTTTCTGATCGGATTAAGAGATGTCAAATTACAAGAGAAATCAAGAGCGTGTAAAAGCCTTCGAGAGATTTCTTTTCACAGGAATCGCTGGGGGAAATGTGGATATTTATAGGGTGAGAGTGAAGAGTGTGGAAGTTCTAGACAATTCTGGTTTTTTTTTAAGATAAGAGCCGTTGGCTGATGTGTCCGGATGTTTCCAGATACCGTTGCGTGATTTTATTTTTTAAAAACTTTTAAAAATACAATAAAATGAAATGCAAATATGTACTTTTAAGGAGGACTTATTGGATTTAGAAAAGACATCAATGGCCAGCCAAAACTGTACGAATTCTGTATGTTCATGAAAAAGGGATTATTGCCTGATTATTATTGTTAATAGCTTTTTACGCTGTTTCTATGTTTAATTACTCCAAAAGCAAAATCACCAAAAAGTCGTAATTATATAAGGAAATATGTTAAACGTCGTCACAACAACCCTCTGCAGTCTTTCTTCACTTATAAAGCCAAACTAAAGCATCCAAAGATTAAAAACAAACGCACGTAGACGGTAGACCTATGGTGATGGAGATAGAAGAATCATAGCTCGTCATCTCCATCTTCGTCTGCATCTCCTCCGTCTTCTTCTCCACCAGCTGGTTTTTCATTTATCGCCATAAGCTCCGTGTCAAATATCAATGTTGCACCACCTGAAGTTTGCAAGAAATATTTTTTAGTTATAAAGTCCAAAACTGTTTTCTTCAAAAAAGGTAACAACATTTGTATATAGATGAAAGGTATTTATATACCAGGGATTGTCGGTGGAGAGCCTTGTTCACCATATCCAAGTTTTGCAGGTATCTTTAACTTACGCTTCTCGCCTACGCACGCACCTAGCAGACCTTGATCCCAACCTGCAACAAGAACCGACTATTAACATTGGGGAGATTTTAAGAGGATGAAACAAAGGTAAAGAAGACTCAAAAGCCAAAAAGCAAGCCACCACCTTTGATAACCTGGCCACTTCCTAATTCAAACTCGAACGGATCGCCCCTTTCAAAGCTCGAATCGAATACTTTACCATCGGTAAGTTTCCCCTGCCAACGTAACACTAAGTTGAACAACAGCATACTTCGTGACACAACATTCAAGAATCTGATTTTGTGGTAGATCTGGTCAAGGCTTACCCTGTAGTGCACCTTGATCTTATCACCTTTGTGAGCCCGAATTTCACACGTTTTTGGCTTATACTGCAAAACAGAAACGAGAAAAAACAAAAAAAACTAGTGACGATGATAAGAATCTAGAATCAGAACTACAATGAAAGAAGTTAAGAATCTTGGAGATTTGGTGAAGAGATCTCCTAACTCCCTCAAAAGCGAAAATCAGATACCAAGACAAGAAGACAACACAATCAAAACCATCAGAGAAAAGAAAGAATTGTTTTTTTTATTTAGATTAAGCAAAACCAATGGCTAGAAAAACTCGCAAATTGCAGCTTTCACATTTATAGTAATCCAGTGAAAACAATGAAGACGAAACGAAACAATAAAATGATTGGCTCCGAAATCAATCTTACAGCCAAAAAGTTTTTCTTGAATCAAAGTAACCGGGAAATCGATGCTAGAACTCTACTATGGATCTCAACGATACACTAGATCACACTCATTTGCTGATGGGAAAATAATAAAATGTACCTTGACCCCGATCTGCAATTCCGTAACATCCCCGGCCTTCTTGGCAAAACCTATTACAGGGGATAACACGAAAATAAACAGATCCAATACAACTAATTAGGTCGAATCCAAGAGATCAGGATCTATCAATTTGTCAGCCATGATGATAGTGAGGAGAAACAATGAAAAAATTGAGAAAGAAGAGGATCGAAAACAGGTAATAGTTAGAATAAGAACCTTGGAGTGAAATGAGAGACAAGAAGAAGATCACAAAAAGGGAGTAACGCAGAAACATCTTCTTCGCTTTCACTCTTCAATTTTTCTTCTCTTCACTCTTCACTGTCTCTATTTCGTTATGTACCTATCTCAGAGAAAATGAAGAATAATTTTATTGGACCATAATTATGGGCCTATGGGCTTGTTTTGTAATTTTTCCTAGCCCATTTTGTCCATAAAATAAAGTAGGGTAATTCTACAAACGATCCCAAATTCCCCAATCAACATCGCTTTACTAGTCAAACTGGCTGAGGCAGCAATTACCACACAAGGCAATAGACATTTAAAAAAAAATACTAAACATTTACTATTCCCTTACCTTATCCAAATCTGCTCCCACTGACTCTTCAATCTTCTTCTCCTCTGTAATCTCTTCACGAATCCGAAATCTCCCAGTCACCGTTTTGCTTCCTCTGTTTCATGGACAGCTCTCTCTCCCACCAGGGTTCCCTCCCGTTTCTCCCGTCGCGCCGCAATTCCGTCAGGCGAAGCGGCGGCGGCGTTTGTGTTCTTCTCCCCTCGCGGCGTAAGCTCCGGTACGACTCCATGGTGGTTGTTGCGGCTGCGGGACCTGGCGCGAGCCTCGACGCGCCTCTCGCGCCGCGCTCGGCTCACGGCAGGTTTCTGAGCTGCGTCTTGATGAAAAAGCGGCCGCTCTTTCATTTCGCCGTCGCTGATTTGCTCAAGCAGCTCGCCGAAGACAAGGAGGCGGCTTTATCTCGCATGTTCCTCAGTTCTGGATCCGATGAAGCTTCTCTCCACAGGTTCTTTTCACCTTCCACCTTCCTCAATTATACAATACGATTACGAACACACACACACACACATCAATCTCCATAAATCAGTGTTCTGTAGATATTTCTGATTGCCTTAGCATATGATTGAAACAATTTCATCTAAATTTATCTTACATCTTCATTCTATAAACAAATTCTATATTCCATTCATGGTTTTCAGAAGGATAGCTCAACTCAAGGAGAGCAATTGCCAGACTGCAATCGAAGACATAATGTACATGTTGATCTTGTACAAATTCTCAGAGATAAGAGTGCCTCTTGTTCCAAAGCTCCCCAGCTGCATCTACAATGGGAGACTCGAGATCTGGCCTTCAAAAGACTGGGAACTCGAATCGATTCATAGCTACGACGTCCTCGAGCTCATCAAAGAACACAGCAACGCAGTCATCAGTTTAAGAGTGAATTCAACTCTGACTGATAATTTGGAAACAACCGAGATTGACAAGGAGCATCTCAGCAACGTATACACAGCTTCGATCTTGTATGGATACTTTTTGAAATCCGCTACCCTCAGGCACCAACTCGAATGCTCACTATCGGAACAACATGGAAGCATCACCAAGCAACTGAGGCATTACATCTCCGGGTTCGATCCCAAGATATTGCGGAGATGCGCGAAGCCAAGGTCACGTGAAGCCAAGAACCTGATAGAGAAGCAGAGCCTAGCACTATTCGGTCCCAGGGAAAGCGAAGAGAGCATCGTGACATCGTTTTCTAGCCTCAAGAGGCTGCTTCTTGAAGCTGTGGCGTTTGGTACGTTTCTGTGGGACACAGAGGAGTATGTAGATGGCGCGTTTAAGCTCAAGGAGAATGAGAATGCAGAAGAAGAAGAAAATAGCAGTGTCTGAAATGAACGACGAGTTTGGTAGAAGAAGAAGAAAGCTTGAATATCTTTTTTGGTGCACAGTGCATATACGTGTAGAGAGACGAAAGGTTTCTACGGGGGCAGTGGCTTGGGACAATCTTTTTGTGTATACAGTAGTTTGCGTAATTTATATGTATAGTGTATATTGATTCATAGAGATTGGATCATGTGGTTTGTTGCTAATATGTCCCATCTTCCTACACATCTGAATTGGAACAAAACAGGAAGACTGAGAGTACATATATGAGAATAACACTTAGTCAATATTGGGTAAGCCCAAAATAAGAAATGGCCCAAAAAAGCCTTTTAGTTAAGAGAATGTCGACAGTTAAGTATATGAATGACACGTGTCTTTCATCTTGCTCTCCGTTTATAAATTCCCATTTGCCATCCTCTGTCCAAATTTTCCTCTTTCCTTGGCTGGGGTTTTGAGAGAGAGAGAGAGAAGAGAGAGAGAGAGGAGAGAATTTCTTCTAAATTTCTTTAAATAAATCATAGAAGAACATTACAGATATATACAGAAAGAGAAGGTATATTCAACCCATATGCCAACACATGTAGATTGGTAGAGGGATGAGAGAGATATTTCTCATTTCTTTCAATTTAATTCCCTCCCCCCCTCTCTCTCTCTCTCTCTCTCTTTCTGAGATCTTCGAATTGCACGTTTTCTTGTTTTTGATTTTCGCAAACCGAAGCTGTTTTCTTGCAATTGCTTAACTAAGTATCTTAGATTATAGAGTGAAATTTTTGACGAAAGTTCTGAAATTGGGATCCGATGATGCTAAGCTGAATTTCGCATCGGTATTGGGTTTCTCGATATATTTCGGGTTCCTTACTACTTCCCACATGTAGAAGTGGTGCATAGGTTCGAGTTTACGTTCCTTGCATAAAGCTGGTGATTTCACTTGACAAATCTACTTTTCGATTCATTTTTTCAGGGTTTTGATTGGATCGCCCTCGGAATCGACCCCTATACTTAACTACAGAGGGAAAACGATTCAGTGTAACTGTTGATGAGCGAGTCAGTGTTTCCCCAATTGGGTTTCTTCACATTCAATCTGAGCGAGAGACCACTGCCACGGAGTTTGATATTTGGATTGATTAAGCTGATAAGGTGCTTTTTGTTGAGATGCTCATAAGAGTGTTATCTCCAATACTTTGTCAAAGTGGTTCTGATCTCGATTTCTGGTGGCAGGCTATATAAATTTTGAAAGATTATTCTTGGGAGTACTGCTCTTATGCAACCCAAGTTGACCCGTATCGGGGATAATTTGCTAAGTTATAAGGAATTTATAATTTATGGACTTTGAATTGATTTCTTGGAGTTGATTACTGCGGGAGACAGAAAGTACGATTTCGAGCTGGAATGGTGTACTCTGATCTGCTCAATTTCTGGAATAAAGGAGCGAAAAAGGTTTGGAGCGTGGTGAAAGTATACCACTTTACAGTTTCCACGGACAAGTGCCATGTCTCGCTGCTTCCCATTTCCTCCACCAGGATATGAGAAGAAGATTAGAACTGACGAAGCAGACCCTCTTTTAAAGGTTCAATATGTTAACTCTTGGAACTTACTCTACTTTGCATCATGCTACTTAAACTTAGAATCACATTCTGGAGGAAACTCAGCATAGCATGACACTGGGGTCTAATGGGTTCATGAATTTTAGCCTCTGCCAAAATTAGTCTCTTGTTATTAAGGTAACCTCATTGCTAGGTGGTTGAACCTTGAGTATTCTCACCCAAACTATTATTCATAGAAAGGATTTGACTATCTCTTATTAGAGCGTCGCTAATGCTGATGGATTGGTAATTGATATGTGTGAGAAATCATCAGAGATGTATCTTTTATCACCTAAATAATAGTATCTTGCTTTTCTACTGTAAGGTCTGCTAGAGAAAAATAAACTATGACCAATGCAAATCCAATTTTTTCACTCTTTCTGCCCCGTAACTTTGTATAAGTTCCTAAGCATGGTGAATCTTGTCTGTTAATAACTGAGGGATTTAGAGAATTTCTTTCTTCCTAAAAGTGCAATTCACCTGTGGAAAATGAAAACTTTCTGCCGAAATGATTTTGTATGCTATGTTGATGCTTCTGCCATGTACAGTCTGTTTTATGTTGAACTATATGCTGCTGCCTCACATAAGTTTATATATGCATTTTTTCAATCCTCCCTTATATGTAAATGTTTTTCTTCATGGGATGTGAATTGCAGGAGAAGTACAAGGAAAAGAAACACAAGAAGGATAAGGACAAAGAAAAGAAAGAGGGTAAAGAGAAGAAGAGTAAAGATAGAAGCAAAGACAGACAGAAGGAAAAAAAGGAGAAAAAAGAGAAACATAAAGCTCCAAAAGACAAGGAAAAGGATAAAGAAAAAAGCAAACCTTTGGAGGAGAAGAAAGCCGAAGTGCTGACAGAAACGGTGCACAGAGAGAAACTTGTAACAAATACATCGCAGGATAATAGTAATGGAGAGTCAAAGTATGTACAGGACTTGGCAAGAAGGATCAGATATGAAGAAGAAGCAACAGGAAGTCAGAGTATAAATAACCAAAAAGGAATAACAGGAAAAGCTTATGAGAACAGCAGTTTCTGCCCAATTCAAGAAACAAACCACAGGGATAATGACGATAACAGAATCAGCACCCAGAAGAACTTTGCAGTGGCAAAAACTTCTGAAAATGCAGTTGATCGAGTATCATTTGGTGCAGACCGGAAAAGAGCTGAGGCTATGTGTAAACCAATGGAGAATAGAGACCAGGCGAGGCAAATGGAATCACCTGAGAAGAGTCACTGCAAGGAAAAAGCGACCAAGAGTGATAATAAACCAAGGGATAAAGAAGGGGTAAATAAAAATGAAGCAAAGGATAAAGACAGAAGTAAAGAGAAGGAAAGAAGGGAGTCAATAAGTAAAACGCATCAGGAGAAACCAAAATTGATAGGAGGGACGAAATTAGAGGAGACGGGAAAGGACGCTGTGGATAGAAGCCATTGCAAGCCGCCTGACCTTTCACGGGCGAGCGTGAAGAACCTTACTGCTGAGGGAAATCTTGGCAAACGAAAGGATCTTGAGACAAATGGGTTCTTGTATGGTGAGTTATTCCCTGATCCAATTCCCTGTCTGGTGAATGAGGAGGGATATAGGTGTGTAGTTGCCATATTAACCATAGTATGAGAATATATGGTTTGGTACTTAGAAGCACCTTATAGTTTTATCCAATCATGGTAAGTTTTCTTACCTGAAAAAAGATTACAGTGCTATTATTTTTTCGTTTCTTAGTAGTTTGGTTGTCATTTGGACCAAGGATGCACGATCCCTTCAGTTTTTTCGTTTTTGTTTTGTGTCCTGTTGTGTTTTCTTACTGGAATACCGTTTGTTTAACACTAGTTTTTGATTCTTGTGCAGAGAATGGAGCCACACAAAACAAGTTACAGAGGCACTCAACATCTGTGGAAAATGGAAGAACGTTAGGTGCACACCGAAGTCCTCCAATACCTGCTTCTGAGGTGCAAGGAACGAGTTGCAAGCCAGAAGTCAAGGAAGTTAGAACTAACGGTGTTGTGGTCTGTCCGCCGAACCCTATGGCTGCAACAATGAAAGTGAAAGCCAAAGAAAATGGTGAAGCATCTGCAAAGCCGCCTCATCCGGACCTGAAGTATCTTGATCAGATACTCAATGTACCGAAAAGGGAGCTGATTCTGGAGGTTGACGATGACCAAGAATGGCTGTATGGTCCGTTGGGTGTCAAGTTAAAAAAGGCAAGAACAGAATCTCCTGTTTCTGGTGAATCCTTGCAGGTCTGGAACCAAGCTTTCAGAATAGAATCTGCCGATATTACAGCTCTTCCATATGTTGTTCCATTTTAGCTGTGACTATGTTTTGCTGACAGTGGCGGAGGCAGTGTACAAGGAGGGGGGTCCACTGACCCCATACAATTTTAGAGTTTAGTTTATTTTTGATTAAATATTTTAAATTGGCTCCAACCCACAAAATATATTGACTGAGTCCAATAAATATGTTTAATACTAAAAGTTATGAGTATAAAATAAATTAATCTCATTAAAGTTGATCAGAACAAAGCAAATATACTTGAAAGCCAATACAAAAAATGCTCGGCATGAGAAATCAGAAGAACACAAAACAATGGTAGAAAAAAAGGAACAAAATTAGCCAGAACCATAAAAATGACAACAAACATGGGACACTGACTTGTCTTAATCCCCAATTCTGAAGACTAATCATATGAGAGACAATATGGCCTCTCTGCTACTCTGTTTTTCGAATGCTCTCAAGGAACTTACTTCTTGCAGAAAGGTCACTCGAAAACCGACCTAAAACCGCAATTGTAGCTGTGCTGCTTCCAAACTTCTCAATTCCCCTAGAGATCATACAAGTATGCTCTGCTTCTGCCACCACTATAATATCGCCTCCAACTTGTGGTGACAGTGTCTCTGCGATTTGCCGAGTCATCCTTTCTTGCACCTGAAGCTTAAACCCGTAAAAGAGTACAATCGACTCTACTAGTGACCTTTCAATTAGTTTGATTCCATCAGCACACAAGTAGCCAATATGCACAACTCCATAGAAAGGAAGCAAGTGATGCTCACACATTGACAAAAACCGGATATTCTTCTCACAGCTCAGCCTTCCTCTCTCCTTGGCATTGCACTCAAATCTGTTGAGTTTCATCTCCAAGTCACCGCTCTGGAAGTTCATCATCCATTTCAGGAATCGGGTGGGAGTGGAAATTAGTTCTTTCCTTGAAGGATCTTCTCCTAAAGATTTCAGAATGGAGAATACAGCAGCAACCATCTCCGAGCCTGCAGGTGGAACTTTGGATGAGTTTTCAATAACGTTCGGGCACCAGTCTTTCACGGAGCCGTTTCTATGCAGCTTCACGCCTTTGAACTTCAAAAGACTCAGAAACTCACACCAAAGATCCGAACTTTCATCCTCGAAATCCCCTGAACCCGAGGTAACCGTTAACTCCTCCACAAAGCCATGGTGGCTAGAGCTGGGGAAGTGGATGTGCGAGCATTGGAGAACAACAGCGACTCCAGAAGGTTTGACCCAATGTTGGAGAGCTGAGCATATATCATCAGCTAAACGCTGAGGCTCTTGGAGACGCTTTGCGAAAACATCGGCGACTCTAGAGAACTTGCTTAGTCCAAGAACTCTTTGGCCCGAAGGGACATAACCTATATGACACTTCACTTGAAAAGGAAGCAAGCAAGACTCACAGTAAGAGTAGTGATCGAGATCTCGGACAACAACAAGACCTCCCACTCCTCCTGCTCGCCCATCATCCAATCCTGTCTCTGGAAACAGAGCACTCTGCACAAAGTCCTTCACCTTTTGTTTATAACCTGAGATAACAACACCGTTAACATAATCGCAGCTACACAATCAAAACCCACTAAACAAAAGCGTCCCTTTTCATCAGTTTAAGCAGCCAGAAATACTAACCGAACAAGACAAATCAGATTCAAGAGCACACACACACACACACACACACATACGACATACCTCTGGTTCCTTCTTGAAGAGCCTTGGCAACACGGAAAGGGGTCTTTTTAATGCCTTCACGAGTGACATCTTCACCAAGACCTTGTAATAGAACTTTCACAGCATCCTGGATCGCTATGGTCTCTGGTTGCTGCTCGAAAGCAAGCGCAATGCAACCATTTTTCATCCCATTCTCCACCTCCACATTGAAATGCCCTTCATCTAATGTGCTCATTGACAACTAATTACCACAACAAACCCAGATCTCTGATCAGAACACCACTTAAAAACCCGATCGAAGCTCTTCGGAGTCAATTCAGAAAAAAAAAAGTAAGCCCAGATTTGGAATAAACACCAAAAGTGATGGAATCGTGTGATTTGAATGAAGGGAGCAAAAACCCACTAAAACTCTAGTTTTTCGGTCTCCCCAGGAAAGGATTTTGTGTCCTTTGATAATCAGAAACGGGATAATAGTAATACGCGGAAGGTGTGTGATAGAATAATAGATAGCGAGTGAGGTTGACGTTGATCCATTCACGAATGTGTGGTTCGTTCAAAGATGGGAATCTTTTTATAAAATTTTCACGGGTCTGATGGGTTATTAGCCCATCACTGTCAGCAAAAAGAAAGTGTCCCTTTTTGAAAGTAAAGGCGGCGAAGACCTTTCTTTGTCCCTCTCCATGCCTTTTTCCTTATTACCCAACCCTACTTCTCTCTCTCTCTGGACAAAAAGACTCTGGATTCAGACAGGATCTGCACCATCATTATATAGTTTAATCTAAGGTTCATTTTCTTCGGTTAATATAAGAAAGCTTTTGGTTCAGTAGAAGTCACGGTTAAGTTTGGTTTAAAACAAATGGAAGACCACAGGAAGTGGGTTGCTATTTCGAAAAACCCAAATGGATATTGAAGCCGGTTTAATTAGTTAAATGCCGGTTGAAGAGTTTGTTGGAGTCGTTGTTACGTTATACCAGAGCAAGAGCTGAGCCGTTAAGCTCGTATACGAAAACTGAGTGACATTGAGGTTAGAGAGGTCGTATTTGATTCGGAATTAAACTCAACATATCAGTATCAAGAACCAAAGCGAAGTTCGAGACCAATGTCAAATGCTCTCTAATAATTTACCCTGTATGTTAGAATGTCTTTATGTTTTATCTAAAATTGCAATTCGACGAGTTACGAGTTTTTGCAAATTTACCAACCACTTTTACTGTGCACAGTGCATAGCCAAGACATTGTTTAACCAAGAACTCGAAGAGCAAAACTAATGTACAATAAACGAAATGCTCTCATGTCGGAAACTTCTGGCAAAACATGTTCTTCTCTCAGGGGAACAAAAACACAGATTCCCGTCAAAAACTTTTATGGGCTTGTAGCAAGTTTGTTGAAGGCGGCGTGAACTCTCTCTTCCGTGAACATCCTGTGGTTCTCATAGAAATCTAATATCTCCATTGCGATATTCTTCACCTGCACAATGTTCAGAACACACCGATGATTAATGATTAAACGAGACCTCGTTTTTGGAAACAACCAAAACGTGCAGCTCTTACTATGTTCATGTCGACGGAAAGCTCTTCAAACCATGTCCTTATGTCTTTCTCTTTGTACACAGAAGCAATGTAGATGCAAGCGAGTGTGATGAGATAAGGCGGATGTGTAAGGATGAGGTCCATTCTGTAAGTGTCGTTGACAAGACCCCTATAGTTTCCACAACAACTTTAGCATCAAGAGAGACCATTTTAACTTTTTTTTTGCTTGCAAATCAAAACCTGTTTTAACTGTTTTCAATTTTAAGATTTGTCAGATGGTAGTAACTATTCTAAGATGAAATGCAATTTCACTTCTTGAGTACAACAACATTTCTTCCCCAAGCTTAATAAAGGACAAAAAATTTGGATACTTACCAAGTTATATGGGTCATACTTGTGTCACTGATTCCAGAATCCTGCAAGAACCTGTAAAGCAAGACAAATTTATCAAAAGGAAATGCATAATATATAGTAGCAAAAGATTTTTTTTTGTCTGTTTGATTTGGAGGATCCCAAAGCAAAGATATGCAAAAGACTTACTCTGGCAGGGATCGGTATGGGTGGAACACAACAAGATAGAAGTTCAGTGCTTCCAAGACTTTCATCTCCATTTCCAGAATATCTTTAATCTCATATCTAAACTTTTCATCAGCATCTGCAGGGTGAGAAACATCCAATGTCATCACAAACTCAGACATAACCTCGAGAAAATCAAAGAAAGTTTGAAGCAGGTTAAAAAGAGAAGTAGTTACACAGTTTTTTAATGTAGAAGACAAGAATTTTGGCATGAACCACACTCTCCTCTGCTTTACAAGCCAAGTACAAGCAGGTGGGAGCAACAAGCCTGGGCTCATATTCTGTCAAACTCTTTCTGTAAACAACAGTACACATAAATCAATGAGCGAGCTTTCGAGCCACACAAGATCATCAAATCATCAGAAGCTAGAGGAGCCATACCTTGTGTAAACACGTCGCATATAGGTTACTGCAGTTGCAACAACTCTGAATCATACATAGAAAAGAAGTGCAAAATCAGTCAGCATTGTTACAGAGATTACCAAACTGCGCATTTCATGTCTTGTAAGACTAGAAATGGTGATATTGTCGGAAAGACTTCACCTTTGCCTAATCTTAATGTGTTGTGCCAGTTTCGATATATCTGAAACGAACAAGAAATTGATGATCCATACAGCAAAAAAGTGACACTAATGAATATGAACTAAGCCAAAGAATGGAGACTACGATGAGAAACTGATCACTAGACTATTTTCCCATTTATCAAAACTCAACTAGTGAAACCTCAAAAGCAGAAGAAGAAGAAGAAGAAGAAGAAGAAGAAGAAGAAGAAGAAGATTCAAGACATATAGATGATTAATTCATGGAAAATCTGGAAATAAACAAGTTTTGAAAGACGGATGAGATGAAAACCTAAGTAGGTAATCGAAACATACAGTTAGACATATGAAGCTTAATGAGCCTGAAATCTTCGACAGAGATTCCTCTCTGAGCATCAAGAGGATGAACAACATTAATCTCCTCTGGGTCCTTGAGCTCTTTGCTGTGCGAAGAAACCCACGAAAAAAAAAAAGAGAGAGAGGATGTAAATAGAAATCGAACAATTTTTCTTATAAGAAGGATCTGTGATTGAAAGTTTGAAACATACTAGTGTGTCGATGTCCAGAAATTGGAAGCCATTGTTTCCTTTGATCCTTCAACTTCAAAATACAAGAAGATGGCTTTCCTTCAAAACCAACAACAAAAAATAAGACAAAATGGCTTTCCTTTTCCTTCTTTTTCTTTTTGATTTTGTGGTAGAGAAAATAAGCATAAGAATCTGTAATAAATATATGATGTTAGACCTCTTCATTTCGGATAAAAATAAGGGAAATATCACTACCAATAGTAAATTAGGGAATCGGCAATAATATTTTTGAGTCCAAGCATTAAAATATTTCGCCACACTTTCTCTCTATTATACCCTTACGCGCTATCCAATTTTAGACCCTCACAAATTCAGTCATGATATGGAATGTCATGTATAATAGTCCTACAAACAAATAAGACATTTTGTTAGTGAGTTAAACTTAGAAAGCTACAACTTTGTCTTTGTGTGATTAATGAAACTTCATATTTAATATCCTGCCTTCTTCCTTTGGCTGAACCATAAAGACAATTTGTCTTCTTTGTAAATCAAACAACGAAAAACCAACCATATTGCTTCATGAAATCTTAGAGCTCCACACCGCCGTCTTCGGATTTCAATCACCCGATAAACCCAAAGCAAACCAGAGTCAGGAGAACTAACCAGATACAGAGGAAGAATAGTTGTTCGCTGGTGAAATATAGGGACTCACCCACCAAGAGTTGAATATCTAGGTAATCTCCATCCGTCAGTTGTATATTTTTGTTCTGACTGTTTTTCACTAGTAAATTCCGACTATTTGCCGTTATCTCATTCGATTGTGGAAAGTGATTCCTGTTGTCCCATTCAATTGTGGGAAGTGATTCCCACCTTTGTCGGGTTTCCAATCTTTGATTTTTCCAGAAACATCGCATAAGTGATGAAATCTTAGGTCTCGAAATCAGATCTTCAACAATTACAACAAAATCTCATACCCATAAACCAGATCTCCACATGCATATATACACATCCGATTTGATATATAGTCATCCATTTCACTAGTTAGACTTTAATGGTTAGTAGAATTAATTGCATATCCAAGTCAAGGCAAAGAGATCATATACATATATGTACATCCTCTCTGATATATAGTCAGCCATCATTTTATTTAGATAACTGAACTATAAATCTGTGTAGCCCCGTATCCTACGTTATAGATCTCCAACAATATAATCGGATTCATGATTACGTGGATATCTAAATGTGAACATGCGGCCTTATAAATCAGCATGCAGGTTATTTTTGTAGGTGGTTGTAACTTCAATAATCGAAGGAGAATTCGATGGAACCCCCCAAAGTGCCTTTGCATGGCCTGTTGAAGTAGACGACCCCAAGGTGGATCATTTGGAGATGCTTACTGCAGAGGGTACATAATTTTGTAGATATATGTTTGTTGGGGGTCAGAAAGGTGGTGCTCCACCGACACAACCTGCGGTTATACTAAGTCAGAAACGTGAAGGGAAATGTACGGAGAAAAAAAGTTCAGCGGGGATTAAGAAAGTCAAAGAAGGTAGGAAATCAGCAAAGGCTCGACACAACGATGAAAGTGTGTCTAACACGTTGGAGATGATATCAGCTATCTTAACCTTGCAGTCTCGTTTGTTTCTGAACACCCAACCCAAATACAGCTCATCTCCCTCATATACCACATCCAATATGACATTTCCTGTTTGATCCAATCCTGTGAAAATTCGTCTGTCAAATACATTAGACGTCTATAATCTATTGTACACGTTTATTTAGTATTCTTTTAACAGCCATTTATATATATGTCCATTATATGTAACGGCACCCCACCAATATTAATAGACAGTTATATAAGCTCGTAGATTAACATATATTATAGATGCATGAGTAACATAAACATCTATGAAATAAAATAACACGCTATAATATAAATTACCAGTACATGATCTGTTGTGCATATAGAACAAACTAAGGAACAACATGACCCCCTAAAGATGATATTTCACTCCACTAATGTTAATAGACATCTACGATACACTTACATCATCACAAATCCCCATCATTTCAAATAACCCGTTACAATTCCATCACCGTCCATCCACTTCGGCATCTCGTAAGTAAGGTCGATATTCTCCTCATCCATGTCCATGTTTATCTTTCTACATATTGTCATCTTGACCGAAGCTATTCCCTAGTCCATAAACCTAGGTGTGCCCAGATATTTTAGTTTTCCGCCTCGCTCATCAAAATTTCTTGTTGCAGCATTAGATATGACATTAACTCGCCATCACCTCCGTCCGTATCATGCGTAAGGCGGCGGCGAATCTATATTGTCTTCTCATTTAATACCAAGCTCAAGGTCAACTTAAATTGATAATAAATGTTCACATATCTACTTCATTCTTCCGCTCGCCCACACGCACCTGATGGCAAGAGAGGTAAATAATCAAATCCACAAATCATTGTTTGTCACCCTCTAGCTAGTTCCTTCTAGCTCATTTGGCTCTTGTTATTTTCCTAATTAAATCCCAACACTTAGCTTTCTACCTCTTTATCCCTAAAAAAAACTAGGATAATAACGGATAAAAATGTAATTAGCGTATATAAATTTTATAATAAACTAGATGAGTACCCGCGCAATGCGCAGATTTTTGTTTCAAAATATTATTTGTTAAAAATTTAGTTATAATTTATTTTATTGTATACTTCTTTTTTATGAACAATGATAATATTTTTTGTCTTTGATTTTTAGTAGTCCTATGATTTTAACATGATCATGAACCCCTTTTGACTATAGTTTACAAATATGTTATAATTAAAGAAATATATTATTACATATTTTGACTATAATAAGAAAAAGTACTTATCAATTATTTCATATTTTATTATTGAATAAAAAACTTAAATTTTTAATGATAATTTATTATATATGATTTTTTCCTAAAAATATTATGTATTTGAATAAATATATTATACATATGTATATATTTAATCGATAATAACTATGTATATGATAAATGTTTTGTCACCAAAAAATAAAAATTGTATTATGCATTTATAAATTATATATAAATTTAATTAGCATGTAATTAAAAGGTAATTAATTAATATAATTCTGGTTGCATTAAAATAATAAACAATTAATTATAAATTTTAAAAAGACATGTGTCACCCTCTTTAATGCTGATGTAGCACTCAACTAGAAAGAGCTGGCCATCTTTTATATTATAGATTATAAAATTCAGAACGGATTGGATAATGCGATAAATGGTTTAGAAAACCACATGATATGAGTAGTAGTAATTCATCTACCTAAAATCACTATCTAAATGAATGAAAATGAGATTTGAATTCTGGTATGTTTGATAATAATTTTATAACTTTTTTAAGTTTAAACTTTGAGGAACTTTATATATTAGTTTAATATTATCTATCTATAGATTTTTCATAAGAAAGTTTTATAATTTTTTTAAATATTTTAAACAACCTCATTAGTGGAAGTTAGGTAGTTTAGTAATTGACTAAATAATTTATTAATATTTTTATATTAGAAAGTTTGGGTTTTGATTTCCACGAAAAATGATTTCTACAACATATATTGGAAAAGTTAATAAAGAAAAATTATAAAACAGTGTAAGTAGATCTAAATCTCATTTCAAATAAACAAATAGGATAATAACAGATAAACATGTAGTTAGCATAGAATATGTAATATAAATTTTTATAGTAAAGTATATTATTCAGAAAATGGATTGGATGATGCGATAAAAATTTAGAAATAGTAATACATTTGCCTATCTAAAATCACTATCCAAATAGATAAAAATGGAATTTGAGGAATTTTTTCTTTTAGTAATAATTCGTCTATTATTTTCTTAAGTTTAAACTTTCAGAAAATTTTTTGTATTAATTTAATACTGTTCATCTATAAATTTTTTATAAAAAAGTTTAATAACTTTTTAAAGCATTTTAAACAATCCCATTAGTGGAAATTTTGTAGTCTAGTAGTTGGTTAAACAATTTGTTAATGCTTCTATATTAGAAGATCTGAGTTTTGATTTCCAAAAAATACAATTTTTACTGTTTGTATTAAAGATAAAACAGATAAGAACAATTTTCAGAACGGTTCAAAACAAAAAATTAATGTATTATTTCTTTAAGTTTAAACTTTTAAAGAAAATTTTGTATTAGTTCATTATTATCATCTATACATATTTCATAAGAAAGTTTAAGAGTAGCTTTTTAAGCATTTTAAACAATCCCATTATTATCTTTTAACTTTTTCGGCAGTTGTTTTTCACTTTTCAAATTGCTTTAAACAGTGGTTTCTGACACCGTGTTATGTTTCTCTTTCTCGTACTTATTTTCTCATGAGCTTTTGCTTCGAAGAGAGGTTTTGGTTTTAAATAAAAATCAAATGGGGTAAAAATGGGAAGTTGATCGTCATATCACTTTATAATTATGTTTGATAGAATTAACAACAATGTTACATAATATATGTCAGTCACGAAAGCTAAGATTGGACAATTGAGAAAGTCTCTAATCTTTTTTTTTTTTTTTTTTTCTGTGAGAGAGAGTATCAGATAAATCGTGGAGATGGGAGGCGATTCCCAGCTGCTAAGGCTTCAGTGACAATTTGCTCAACGCGGTATTCACTCTTTCCTCAGTGATTGTTCTGTAATTCTCATAAAAGTCCAGAATCTCCATGGCAATGTTCTTCACCTGCAACAACCCATTGCTCCAGTAAGGTTTCAACGTCAAACAATACACTTTAAACCACGCAAAAAGATCATAGCATTTAGCTGGACAGTTAAAAACTTGAATAAATGCAAAAGTTAGAAACATGTTTGTAGGGGTCTTTTGGGAGTATGACTGACCAAGTTCATGTCCTCGTGAAGATCTTCAAACCATGCAGTGATATCTTTATCTCTGTGGACACTTGCTATGTATATGCACGCGAGCGCTATGCGATAGGGAGGGTGTACAAGAATGAGATCCATCTTATAAGTATCGTTAACAATTCCCCTGACACACAGAACAAAAAAAAGGCCAGGGTCCTTAGATCTTAGTGTTGGAACTAAATTTCTCAGGTAGAGGGACTTTACCATGTAATCTGGTTCATATTTACATCGCTTATTGCAGCATCTTGTAAGAACCTGAGAAACCAATAGAGTGAGTTCTTGAAAAGAATGTTCTATTACGAATTCAATTCCAGGATAGGGTAATGTAGTTGTTTAGATACCAAACAAGGTATACTAAAGTCTAAACTATCAACCAAGGAATATAAAAGTCGATCCCAATATTTCACTAGGCATAATGAAAGAAAGAGGCATGTCAAGAACATCGAATGGGAAGTATGCAATGCTTTTGAAAGGCAGATAAGAGAGACAAGCACATACTCAGATAATGACCCGTAAGGGTGAAACACAACCAAATAATAGTTCAGTGCTTCTAAGACCTTCATCTCCATTCCTAATATATCTTTTAGTTCATATTTGTACTCATCTGGATCTGCAAGAATGGTTTTTTATATGTCAAAAAAATGCATATTGAAGGGGATCACATAAATCGGGACAAAAAAAACTAAAATATCGAACAACACAGTAGAAGAAGATATTACACAATCTTTTGATGTAAAAAACAAGATTCCTGGCCTGCACTATGCTTTCTTCAGCTTTAGATGCCAGGTACAAGCATGTAAGAGCAACAAGACGGGGCTCAAACTCCACCATGCTCTTTCTGATACAGTTTCACGTCAAAAGAAAAACATCAGAGACTAAAATTTAAAACTTTTGTCATGCAGTTTATGGTTATCTATTGCAGAGATGCAACATAATACATAATTTCTCTGTAGATACATTGACATGAACTACACTTAACGAAACATGAATGAGGATGGTGCAAGAAAGACAAAAGTTTCATCAATAATTAATTAGTTGGTTTGTTGATCAAATGACAAAGTTAAAGGAAGAAACTAGAATTAATGGAAAAACGCTGTCAAGGGAAAGAAAATAGTAAGAAATTAAATCAAACATGCACTTTGATAAGATCGCAGAGAGAATTAGATAGCATACCTGACATAAACCCGTCTCATATACGTAATTGCGGTAGCCACAACTCTACATAAGTAGAGAAAAGGAAACGACACCAAATCAAATTCCAGTTCATACAGAAAAACAATAGAAACAAAAAAAAAAGTACACTCGAATCTCTGATGATGAGCAGATTGGATCCCAAAATGCAAAACCAACCTTTGTCTCACTTTAATGTGCTGAGCCAATTTCATTATATCTGAAACAACAACAAGGAAGAAACAAATAGGCGTAAACCCAACAGCAGAAAAAGCCTAGAAAACACTTTCTTTGATCTCTAAAATTTTCAAACCTAAATCGAGGCAAAATAGCAGAACAATTGTGAAGCCAGAGACAACCCGGAAAACAAAAAAAATAGCAATCGTGGGAGCATAATTTCGAGAGCTATAAGAAAATCAATAGCAAAAAGAAGAAACTTCGTACGATTGGACATATGGAACTTGATGAGCTTGAAATCCTCAGTGGAAATTCCACGTTCTTTGTCGAGAGCATGAACTACGTCGACTTCTTCTGGGTCCAATAGCTGTTTGCTGCTCGAACAAACGCAACCATTAAAAAAAAAAAAAAAAAAAAAAAAATCAAAACTGAAATTAAAGTTGCATAACGGAAGAAGAAGTAATTTATCATGGAATAAAGGCAAGAGGATGAATATTACTAGTGAGATGAATTCCAGAAATTGGCAGCCATTTTCTCCGATCTCCGGGAAGGGTAAGCAAAGAGAAGCTTAATCTCATAAGCTCTCAGTTTTCAACCCTTTTCTGTTATCTGTCAACTCTTTTAGTCTAATCTTCTAGTCTGATGATCTATCAAATCGCTAATTTTTATTTAATAAAGTCAAGCTTCGGCCCAGAAGCGGCCCAACACGCATAGCCTTGAAGTAATTAAAATTTAAAACCCAAACTAAATTAAAACCCAAAAACATGAGACGGGGAAAACGAGACCTATAAAAATTATCATCCTCTAGGGTTTTCAGTTCTTGTTCCAGTTCTTCTTCGTTGCAGCGCAGCTTCTCTCGTATTCAGATCCAATGGTGTGTGATCTCTGTCACTCTTCCTCCCGTATATATCTCTCTCCTCTATTTTATTGCCTGATCATATAATAATGTCTTCTCTGTCCGATTCCAGGCCCCCAAGAAGGATAAAGTTCCTCCTCCGTCCTCTAAACCCGCAAAATCCGGCGGTGGCAAGCAAAAGAAGAAGGTCATTTCCAGAAAAAACCCTAGTTTGAGCCATAAATCTGGATAATTCTGATCTGGGCATTGCATTTTTCCCGTTTCCGCTGTTTTGTACACTAAATTTGATTGGTGTTGTTTGGAATGAACAGAAGTGGAGCAAAGGAAAGCAAAAGGAGAAAGTGAACAACATGGTCCTGTTCGACCAAGCAACATACGACAAGCTTCTCTCTGAGGCTCCCAAGTTCAAATTGATCACCCCTTCTATTCTCTCCGACCGTTTGAGGGTAAAGCTTTCTTCTTCTCTTCTCTCTCTCTCTCTAGGGTTTGTGCTGAAAGTTATAAACTTTTCTCTGAAATGCGTCCGGACTTGATCGTTCATGCTTGCCTATTCCATGGTCTATTGAATAAAGTTATAGACTTTTCTCTTAAATCCGTTAGTACTTTATCATTCGACTGGTCTGTTCAATGACGGATTGAGTTTTTGCCAGTTGTTTATCAGCTTCTTTACATTTGATTGTAGATAGTAAATGTTTCGTTATGATTATGTAGTAATTGTATCAGAATTATTATAGCCGAGATTTGCGATCGAAAGAGCAATTATACTGATGCTTAGGTAGTGTTGGGTGAATGCTGAAGGTCTCTTGATCATCACTTATTGCTTTGATCATCACTTATTGCTGTACAAACACCTCTTAGTGTTTGGTTCTGAAATGCACTGTTGGCTTCTATACTCTATTGGTTGTGACATGAGTTTGCGTATTGGTACAGATCAATGGCTCGCTTGCTCGGAGGGCGATCAGAGAGTTGATGGCTAAGGGAACCATCAGGATGGTGTCTGCTCACTCAAGCCAGCAGATCTACACTAGGGCAACCCACGGCTAGTTTCTATCGATCGTGTGTTGTTGTTGATCTATCTTTACTCAATGGCTTAATGAACCATTATCATTTTAGATTGCATTACATACCTTTGGAATTTGCTGTTTATTTCTATGAGAATATGGTGACATTAATTTATCTTTTTGGGCACTCAAACGCAATATTAATGGATTTTTTAGGTTTTACTTTTTATTTTTGTTAACAAGTAAACAATTAATGAAATTAAAAGATTGAGTTTGTTTATTTAGAATAAATATATAATTATTTGAATTTACTAGAGTAAGTTAATAATTAATTTGATTCATTGTATGAGATTAGTTTTTATATTATTGAGTTTGCGAATCTTTTTAAATAAATTATAATTTTAAATGCTATAATTAATTAAAATGATTAAGAAAATATTTAATTTTAAATTTAAACGTTATTTTTGGGAGAAAATACAAATCTTTATATGTAATCAAGTATTGGTAAGTGATGTACATAACCTTCTTTGAGATGATCCTTAAGGATCAAACTGAGCCTTGAACTTTCGGTACAAGCGAAGTGTCTTAGATTAAAATTGACACATGGCAAGTAGAACAATAGACTTTGAGGTACTAGCGACTAGCAGTGTGGCCGCACTGTTAGGAGTCAGGCAGTTTGGAGTTGAGTGGTCCGAAGAATGAGTGTTCGCCTACCTTACATAAAGCGGGGAGAGTCGGGCAGTTCGGAGTTGAGTGGTCCGAAAGAACAGAGAGTTTGCACCAAAACAACGAGGCAACTAATCAATTCTGATAGCCTGGTTCTTAGTAACATAAAAAGTAGGCTAGGTACACGACTTTTTTAGGCGACAAATAAACTGTTTAATACTTTGATGTTTTCCCAACAAATCGACAATCAAAATATATTCAAACTCACACCCATGCCTCTTACATCCTACGAATATGCTTTTAATGTATATACTATATGCGATAGGTGAAACTGATAAACTCACCATCTAAGTATCATATATAACAATATACAATTTACATTTTCAAAATGTTTTCATTTTTAATTTTTTTTTAAAATAGAATTTTCGCATTTCGACACGTATTCAAAGTTTCCACGTATTTAAAATTTCCACGTAATCGATGTATTTCCACACAATATTTAGATAAGTTTTAGCTGAAATTCATCCCAAATATTGGATAAGAAAATCTAGTTAATCTTCTTTAACCAACAAAATTGGATAAGAAAATCTAGTAAATCTTCTTAATAGTTTGATAAGCTTGTGTGGGGGAAAAATCTGGAAGCCGAGCAGACTATGCTGACACGTGAGCTATAAAGGCAGTCAAAAAGTCGTCAACCTCCACCTCCCTATATAAACCCACTAAAGTCCCTTTCTTTGCCTTCACAGTTTCCGTACACTTCCTCTCATTCTCTTGCGATCAAACCCTAGCTAAGACCCGCCATTGTTCAGAGCTTTGGGGACCAAATCGAAGCTCCAAATCACTACTCAGACTACTCTTGCTCTCTAATTTCAGGTGAGTCCCTCGTTTTTCACAATTTTGCTTCATTTGTTTACGAGTGACCAAATGTTGATCTATAGTGTCTGAGAGTCTCTCTCTCCCCTGTTAATGCGAAATGTGGAGTAGATTTGTTTCGCCTCTGAGTTCGTTTGTTGCTAAGCGTAATGTTTAAGTTTTCGAGGCTATCGCTTAGTGTAGTGTAGTAGTTCGTGAGGTCCGTATCGGGATGCTGAGAATAGTATGTGTGGTTTAATATCTCTGTTTACCTTTTTTGGATCGCTCTGTGTTGAGATATATTCTAACAGCTATATTTATGAATTAATGATTTGCTTATTTTCATGGAGGTTGGAGATAACATGGATTCTGCTGCTGCACGAGTACCTGCTCCTGATGCTGCTGATGACCCATACAAGGTATGTCTCATGGGTCTGAAGTTTTATTCTGATTTTTTGTTGTTGTTCTTGTGTGTGTGTGATTGAGAGCTCTTTTGGGTTGGTTAACTTAGGTTGGGGACGAATTTGTCACGCAGTACTACATCATTTTGCACACAATGCCTCAGGAACTCTACCGTTTCTATCAAGAGATCAGTAAACATGGGCGTGTCGGAAACGACGGAGTGTTGCGCACCTTCTCCACATTACGAGTAAGTATTTTTAATAGTTTGAGGAGCTGATGGGTTTTTTTGGTTTAGTTGAGATTATTTCTTTTTCCTCCTGAGATGATTAATTGGTTTTTGCTGTAATTGGATGTCAAGTTTTAAGTTTTAAGGAATTTGCTATAAAAGGTGTATCATTGAATGCATATTTCTTGAACAGGGTATACGTGAGGCGCTTAAGGCACTGTTGACTTATGGGAATTTCAAACCATGTGAGATAACCAGTTATGATTGCCAAGCGTCTCTCGGTGGGGGTTTTCTCCTTGTGGTCAATGGCAGCTTCCTTATTAACAATACCTTTAAAAGGAAATTCACCCAATCTTTCTTTCTTGCTCCCCAAGCAAAAGGGTACTTTGTTCTGAATGACATTCTCATATTTGTCAATGAACCCGAGGCCGTCTACGGGGAAGTCTCTCAAACACCCACTCCTGTTACTGGTAAGTGAAACTTAGTACTTATTCTCCATATTTTTTCTTAACTTCCTGTAACCCACAGTATAATCCTGCCCTTCTTATTAAAAATCCATGTTCCTATAGGTGTTCAGGGTTCTGTGCAAGCTACATGCACTCTGGTGAATTCTGTTATAAAAGAGGATGTTGAGGTTCCTGAGGTCGTCGATGAATATGTTCCAGATGTTGAGATAGCTGACGAAGAAGTTACAGATGATTCACCGAAAGTTTCTGATCCAGATTATGGAGATGAAAATGCCACCAAGAAATCTTATGCCTCTGTGGTAAGTAGACAACTGTCCATATATAGTCGAACTTGTTTCATCTTATTGTAGGCTTTAACTTGTTTCTATTGATAATCACTTTGGTTTATACTCGAAGGTTAAGAAGGATAAATCTGGAGTTTCAGTTAGCTCTTCACTGTCTCCAAAGAAGATACTCAAAGGTCAAGAACATGAGGCGCCTTCAGATGTTTCTCCGGAGCAGATACTCAAAGACCAAGGCCATCAGGCGCCTTCAGATCCTTCTCCGGAGCAGATACTCAAAGACCAAGGCCATCAGGCGTCTTCAGATCCTTCTCCAGTGATACAATCTGATGCAGTTTATGAGGTTGTCGATGCTACCGAAAATGGGCACGATCAGGGGTTTGAAGGTAAGGGGGAAGTTCATCTTTTCTTTAATCCATCCATCACATGGTTTTGATCTTCTTTTGTCTTTTTATTAGCGGTAGCTGAGGGTACATCTGTTTATGTGAAACATCTTCCTATTAATGCTACCATTGACATGCTTGAGACTGTATTCAAGCAATTTGGAGCTATTATCAATGATGGGATTCAAGTTGTAAACCAAAGGGTAAGATGGGACCAGTCTACGAACAATTGGGCATATGCAGTTTGAATCCTTTTTCCGGGGATGAAGAAACACACTAATTTATATTTTTCTTCAACACTGATAGTTTACTGTATGACTGTTAGGTTGGTTATCCTTTTGGTTTTGTTGAGTTTGAAGAGGCAGATGCAGCTCAAAAGGCAATTGAGGTACATATTAATCTTCACTTTCTTGTTTAGCATAATAGAAAAAAACAAGTTGAGCTCTCACAGGGAACCAGTCCTAGTTATTGAGAATTAACATCTTCATGATACAGGCTTCACCTCTAAGGATCGGAGGACAGAAAGCTTTCGTGGAGGAGAAGCTATCTACTGCAAGAGGTGAGAGTTGGTGTGAGTAGCAAAACTCTGATAATGATAATGTGAAGAAAAAGATGATGATTGCTTTTGTTTGCTTGAGTCACAGGTAACAGAGGAAGCGGAAACCGTTACTACGGAAATAAAAATGTGGGAGGCGGTGGTAACGAGTACGGAAAGAGAAATGCTGGAGGAAGGGGAAACGGATATGGATACGGAAATAGAAATGTGGGAGGAAGGGGAGGAGCAGCAAGTTATGGATATGGAAACTATTACAGGAGGGGAGGAGGAGGAGGAGGAGGAAGGTCGTTTAACCGTAGAGGCAATGAATACGTTGCCAGCAACAACACCTATTAAACCGGATTGGGATTTTGTGGTTGAGGGGTATAAGCCGGATGATCTAATGATGATTGATTTTTGGAACGGTGTCTCGTTCACTTTGCTAGTTATATATTTATCTCAGGTATTGGAATAATAGTGAGGGAATAAAAAAATAAGAACAATGATTTGTTAAAGATATTAATGTAAGACAAGTTTCTAAGTATTAATGATTGTGCACTCGCTCCGCTTTTGGTTGCTTCTGATTGATTTTTACCTGTTCGAAGTTCGAACACTTCGACCGGTCAACGAACCCATACTTCTTTGACTGACATTGAGCATATCATTATCATCAGCTAGTGATGTTAATATGGGCGGCCCAGACCCGTTTAGACTCCACCCATTAACACCTTGCCCATTTAAGACCCTGCCCATTTAAGTTGTTTAATTTTCTGACCCATTTAGACCCTGCCCATTTAAAATAATCTAAACCCGTTTAGCCCATTTAAAATCTAGTACTTTTTTTTTCCGAAGCAAAAGGGTGTAAAATCTACATACATCTCTTGCAATAAAAATTCTCAAAACCATCATTATATCAAGTCTAACCTGCGTGCCGTTTTAATTGGCTTCTCTTTTTGTTCAACAATACATCCTTTAGACCTTTACGTTCAAGAGAAAGGAAAAAAAAATTCATTTCTAGTACTCCAAAGCAAAAAAACCAAAGACTCGTTAGTTTCAGCTGTGTTAAAACCCAACAAGAGGCTAAGCACCATCCAAATCTCTGACCCTATCTTGTATTTACACAAAAGTAGGGAACTTTCTTTGAAAACATTTGTCCTGCACTAACAAACACATGTGATTCGATCATCTTGTGACGTAGTTTTGGTGATTACTTCACGAGACAAGGGAGACAAGGGAGACGAACTCAAGAGTGACCCTGCCCTTTGACCTCGTGTTGATAACGAAATGCTCTGGGTATTTCCTCAGCAGCATCAGCAGTCCGTACCATGCTTTACCCTTTGCTTCTGGAACTGCCCACTCCTCAGGCGTCAGGTATCTCCTTACCCGACTGTGATGCCATACGTTCCCATAATTCTCTAGTATCTGTCACAGACACACAAGTGATCAACACAATGAAATCTCACATGGAAACTCCAAACTTTGAAACCACAGAAGAGGTTCAGTGATAGAAAGCAAGACTCAAGCAGAATATAAACACTAACGCGGACATCAACAACTTAATAGTGGGACCAAATACTTCATGTGTTTAGCTTTTATTCGCTGGCGTTTCTTTAACTAATTACTGCAAATCCTCGGAAAACTGATCAGAGCCAAATGAATCCTCACAGAACCTCTATTCAAACTAGTTTCATTTTTTTTCTTTTTCACATTCTCTGACAGAAGATGTACTCGTGCTAAAACATATGTTATATCTATAGAAACACTCGTACAAACATGTATATCCAAAAGAAGAGATGGCGTTAAACGTAAGAACTAACCACAGAATGAAGCTTCTCCATAGGCATCCACTCTCCTGGACCACACAAATCAGAAAGCACAGTGGCAACAGAGGACACAACATCTTTTTCCTCAAGCAGCAAAACTTGCTGATCATCAGCTTCACGATCTACCCTTGTTCTTCCCTCTCCCTTCCTCTCTGCAGACATTCAGTGGATATAGTCTCCCAATTAATGACCAATAATCCACAATGTAAAGACTTCCAATTAAACGAGAAAGAATATTTAGCCATTTAAACCCCTAGAACTAAAATTTGTAGCTTAAGACGAAACTTTTCTTAGAGCCTGCGATGCAATCCAGCTATAAACCAAGACAAGAAGCACGAACAAAGTACACACTGATTATGAGAATTGCAGCAATAAATCTATCCTAAATCCAGCTATCATCTTGAGTTATAATCGATCATACTCAACACATAATCTGATCAAATAAGGATGGTGGGTTCATATGATCTGCAATCAATGATTCCAAAACCCATTTGAGTATAGATTCATAGAGTTTTGCTGAAACCTAAAACCTGTTACTAATATTGCAAACAGAAATAAGGCTAGAAATTAGTCAAAGTCTCATCAGAAATCTGGTTTTACCAACGGAAGCAGGTGCAGACCCGCCATATCCATCTCTCCTTGATTTCTTCCCAATGCTCCTGACATTATCATCGTCGTCTTCTTCTTCTTCTTCATCATCATCATCATACTCTTCAAAGTATTCTCTTCCCCGCCCGCCTTTCTTGCCTGACCCGGAACCTGGCCCGGAATGGTATTGATGGTAGGGCACGACTGCTGCTCCGGCGCTAGTATGCCCCGAGACGACGTGCCTGGGTCCCATCGGGCCGCCAAGTATACTTCGAACAGGAAGTAAAAAGTAAAACTCCTTGTCTCCGATCTGGAGGAGGTCTTGCGAGTCCAGCTTGACGGCAGGGTTTCCCGGAAGATGGAGGACGCCTTCGACCTGGCAACCGTTTTTCCCGAGGACCTCGAGGGCAAATCGGCGGCGAGTGAAATCGTAGAAGATCCGAGCGTGGTTTCGGGATATGTTCATCCCACCGCCTAGGGAAGAGAGATCTACATCGACGGTGGATTTCTTAGAATTCCGGCCTAGCATAATGGAGTATGTCTGCATGTAGTACTCAAAATCCTCTCCCTGAAGCTTCGCAAATCCCACCTCAACGTCGCTACCTGCGACGGGTGTCCCCATTGGAGAGATTAATCCGAGGAACAAACTAGCTTTTCACAGAAAACCTCGAGAACGAGAGCCAAAGGGGACAGGAGATTGCCGCCGATGATTTGATTCGGAGACGAAGGAGAATGTGTTTGGAGAAGAGGATTAGTTCATCCGGGGCCTAGAGATAGGAGGAACCAAAAAGAGAATTAGAGTACAATCGGATTGATTAATTATAACCCGGTTTGACTTTCCCAATCCGGTTCTTGGATTCATTGGAGAGAGAGGCTCATATGCATATTAAAAGATGGGATTCTGACCGAATCAATCCGTCAGTCTTCACGATAACTATGTTATTGGTAGTATAAATGATTTGAGGATTTAATTGAATTTAATAAGTAATGCTGCAACTAGTATTTGACTCGCTAACTCTTTGGTTGGTTGAAATTTGCCACAAAATTGAACATTATGTCCATTTTCGTTACAGGATCATAGTCGTTAGAATATACTTTTTATCAAACAAAACTGTGGATCATCTCCTTGATATACATGTCACCAGAATCATGCAGTGGGTAGAAGAAAGAAAAAAACTTAAGCTAATGATCGACGACACAGTGCAATACCAATCATACCCCGTGATTAGACGATTCAAGACTCTAAGGCGAGTGGTGTTCCTCAAATGTTTGCTAACAACGGGTTTACTGGGAAATCGAGAGATCCTAATCACACAACAGCTCAGAAACTGTTTGACAATGAGATAGTTCAATTGGAAAAGACCACCACCCCAAAAGGATCAAAAACTGTAATCCATACACCATTTACCATTCCTCACAAAGATGGAAAACTAAACAACCACCACTTCACCAGCTTGGCCTATAAATTCCATCTACCAGTTCTCCGTATCATCACCAACCAAACAAACAGAGTAGAAAAGGAATATACAATCACCATGGAGAAGAAGATAAACACACTAAAGCGAAGCATGAATTTATTATAATTTCTCCTTCTAGTTAACCACTATTTGCTCATACTGACCACACAGATGCTTAAACGCATTTATCAGCAATGTGAGATGGGAACTTGGCACACACATATGATGACGATGCAATATTTTTAGTAACGATTCAGTATTTCACAATTTTTCATCTATACGAGAGAAGGGCATCGAGTGAGAGGTTTGCAGAGACCTAAATTACATAAAACAGGAAAACTAGGACACAAAGAGTTACTTAGAAATTTGGTATTACCAATGATATCCATTAAATGATAGGGCCTTCTTGAACAATGAATATTACTCTTCCAACAAAGTGAAACATTCAAACTAAAACGTAAAGTCACTGAAGTCCCTTCAATGTTCCAAAGCGAATTTGATGATAAGAGTCTGATAAACGATTAGACCTGTCACAAACCATTTTCCTGTTTACTAAGCCAAATCTAGAAATAGTAGATGAAAAAAAACTATCATAAGTCAGACTTACATGGTGGCTGGTGATGTTGATGTATATCATTCATCTAGTGGTTGGAAGGAATACTCGAATCAGCTCTTTCTGAGTCACCTTTTTCCTACACGTGGGGCATTTGCTCTGACGAGATATTGCCATCTTTATGCATGCCTTGCAGAAGATGTGACCGCATTTGGTAGACATCTCCTCGGTAAACGGGCACATACATATTGGGCAGCTGAATTTAGGCTCCTCTGGTGGTGGAGGAGGAGGAGCCTGAGCCTTTACCGGGAGAAGCTCACAGTCGATGACAGGTTGATTAGAAGGAACCCTTCTGCGTTTGCTGATTATGTTGGCAGGCAATCTGGTCGTACCACCTGCACTTACCCGTCAAAGTAAGAAGAATTTGTAAGCTATAAACAGATACCATCACAAGAGAAACAAACACGAGAGTATAAAAATGAAACTCACCTGACTCTACATCAACCATAAAAAGCCTCCTTCGGCGTCCACCTGATGATTTGCTTTTAGCCTGGTAATCAAAAAACGAAACAAAGTTGGTGAACTTTGTATACACAAACACAGCCTAACCATAATCAATCATTGCAACAATGGAGAAATGAAAAGATAACAGGGAGCGGAGCATACTTCAGCAAAAGCACTTGCGGATGATTCGATAACATCATCTTCAATAGCATCAACATCAATCATTGTAGGGACAGGCTGAGAAGGTGTAGTAGACACCCCTTGAAGGTTGTTACCAGTAGGCACCGTAGGAGCACTTACGGAAGCAGAAGTCCCTTCTTGATCTCCGGGTGCAGCATTCAGATCGATCACAGCTTTCCTCCGTCGATTTCCTCGAGTTGTTCTTAACTCAGATGTGCTCATCTTTTTCAGCTCACAGTAGCCAACCTTTATACCTGTAAGTGTTCAGCCACACAGAAAAATTGATTTACTCCTCAACGTTTATGCTGAAAATTTCAATCTTTGAAAGAAAAAATATAAAAAAATCCGTGAACAATAATCATTGTCTGAAAATATGTAATTTCCGTATACTGTAGAATGGATCAAAATTCAAACTTTTGAGAAATTTCAAGTAAATATCCGTATACGAGTATGTTTCAAGCAGCGAATTCATATTTCAAAAGAACTCAATTTTAACAGAAAAAGGGGAAAAAAATCAACCTAACAAAATTCCATTGATCATACCATAGAAATTTAATTGAAAAATTAACAGGAGTGACTAATCCGATTCTAAAATCGAGAATTGTAATATGTAATCAACAACAACAAAAAAAAGAATTAGGATTGAAACTAAAAGAAGGACCTCTTCGATCAAGTCGATTCGAGGATCGAGTTCCTCACCGTGAACAGAATTTTGGTCGAAGAGAATCGCCGGAGAGAAATAGGAACCGAATCAGTTTTGGTGTGTCTAGGGTTTTTGAAAGTTGCAGGGATCTTTTATCGAGAGAGAAAACACGAAGGAGGAGAGAAACGGAGCGAGAGATTTGAGTTCATAAAAAGGCACGCGGTCGGTGAGTCAATGCGATTGAGACACGTGTCGTAGTAGAAGCTGTGGTTTTTGTGGGTACTCGTAGTTGCAAAACGGCAGGTTTCTTTTTATTTTGAGTTTAATATTTTGCCTTTTTGACATTTCATCGTAACTACTTGCAATGCTCTTTCCCCGAAGGATCGAAAATGTGAAGAGGTGACCCGTATGAGATGCTGTAATAGCCCATTGGGCCAGTTTATCAACAATTACTCTCTCTCTTTTTTGATACATTTTGTTTCAGCTCATTGTTGGATTTTACCGAGAGATAAATACAATTAAAATTTGGGAGAAACTCAAATTCCTGAATAGTGAAAATGATGGTATTTGGTTAGTGGTTTCGTTACGATCGATATTGACGCGGGACAATCATCTAATATATATATGCATACATTGTTTGAAGAAAAGCCAAAGTATATGTTTGTTATGTTTCGATTTATACCGTACTTAGCCAATCAACATGTGTAGCATGCAAAACTCAAATACATATACTATGTATTTAGAAAGACGTAATTTCTTTTTCTTGAACAGAAAGAGACGTAATTTTTATGTTATCCTTCATTCACTCATGTCACCTTCGTGTTTTAATTTTTTCTATATCGAAAATACCTCACACTATAATATATAATTTTTTACGAATAAAAAATACAAGAGTAGCAAAAGTTGCAGCATTTTCAGCAAAAACCACTGCTTTAGTCTCCACGTATAGGAAAAATAGAAAGAAAATCACGCAGAAGCAAATAAAAGAGAAGGAAAGGGTCATCGTCTTCAGTAGCTTCCCTTTCGACTCCATGGAGGAAAGCAGCAACCCTGCACATCACAATATATAATGCACGTCAAGTTAAATATGATAGATAGCCACATGGATGTATATGGACGCATTTGATATATGAGGAATCCCAAGTTTTTGAGAAAAATAAAGACCCTAATTATACCTAGCTAGTGCATAATGAAAACTATATAAAACGGTTATTTAATTCTCACATAAAAAAATAAAGTATTCATTGATTAAAACATTATGTTAATCAAATAATATATGAAAATAACTCTACTTCTTTTTTCATTGACAAACGATAATCAAGTACAATAATACTACACGATTTAGGCTTGTCCTATGCTATTTGTACTTTGTAGTAGAATGAATAATATATGTTGGCCTTTCATTAAATATATCAAGGCCAATTGTGTTCCATGGAAATAGAAAATGCAAAGGCGGAAAAACAAATTGTGATGTTAAACCCAAAAAGTAATTTATGATATACACTTCTGATGCATAACTATGCTTTCTAATATACTTTAGATAACTATTCAAGTATTTGTATGATAATATAACGAACATATATAAATAAATACCTTGGGACTCGAAGGTAGCGGTTGATGGTGTTGTTCGTTGATGGGTCGAGTCGGGGTGCTATGAGCGGTTCCATTGTAAGACAACACAGTCCCACTTTGTTTCCTTTCTTCCTTCACTTTGTCAAAGATAAGTGTGTAACTCTGATTCTCCGACGATCCCGATCCAGGGAACGGAGGAATAGTTGCGACCTTGAAATGGTATATATTTATGAATCGTGACACATTTTGATTAGAAAAGGAAGAAGCAAATAGTAAAAAGTGCATACCCTTTCACTACTCGGGCCTCTAAGATTACGAATTGGCCTAGGTGGAGGATCATGTGGTTGCCGTCTATGTGTTTCCGATGGATTTCCGAGAGATCTACCTCCATATGATTGATGATAGTTGTACGCTTCTGCTGTGGGAGGAGCTCTGACTCTGATGTTTCTTTCATTGTGTGCCGGCGATGATCTGAACTCGGTTTCTTCTCTGCTACTGAATCTTTCGTGTCTTGGTCTTACACTTTGGTTTGGTGGTTGGTCGTGCCTATGATTTCGGTTTTGTGCAGCGCTTGGATTCATCTCTGGATACTCATTGGGGTTAGAGATGTTTGTATCTTTCTTGCTCCTGCTCGCTTTTTCGAACACGATCGTGAATGGAGAATCTTCCTTCCAGTCTCCGAATTTGGGCACGTGTGGACGATTCTGTGTAACCACAAGGAAAACAAAAGGTTATAGAAACATAGACTTGCATTTTAACTGTAAGTAAGAGACATGACTTTTCTATGGATGCTATAATCATAACAATATAAGAATGTGATGAGTTTCATACACACACACACACACACAAAAACGTCAACGGAGTCAAACAGAAAAATCTCGTGATCATGCAGATCCTGAAATCCTTCGCATGTTCTTATACACAGATTTAAGAGAGAAAGAAAAAAAAAACTACCAACATCTTTGATCTTATCCATTCACAAAGTCAAAAACATACTCCATAGAAATAAATAAATGGAAAAGGCAAACCCATAGAATAAGAAACGGACTTACTGTCGTCATGTTTCTTGAATCTCGTGCAGCCAGAAAACAAGAAATGCTTCAATGGCTCCGAATGAGATGGAGACTATTTTTGAGAGAGAGGGATGGAGGGAGAGAGATATAAAGAGACGTGTATACACGAAGGCGTTGACAATTCATCGACGTTGACTTGTCTTTCTTGTGATTACGTAAAACGACGACTCCTTCTAGGCTGACTTATCTTGTTTGCATTTTGATGATTAACGAATGTGCCCAACATGCGACGCGCTTCATGCGTGTTTAGATATAGATAATATAAAATCGATGTTTGACGAAATACTTCAAAAATGATTTATTCGCTTAGGAAAAGAATTGTTTGGCACTATGGCTTACAAATTTTCTTATATTGTCCCTAAAAGTAACTTCTATTTTCAATTAATCAACTCTCCCTGACAAAAGCTAGACGCAACTTTACTAAAGACTAATTCGTCAATCTCTCCCTAAAGTAAAGCAAAAAAAAAACAAAATCTTACGTCTAGCAAAAGCAAGTGGAAAAGGCATGAGTGGTTTACACTTTAGAGTAGAGTTCACTCTTTAATCTTGAGTTTTTACATAAAATACACCACTAATCACAAATTCACAGCCAATTGATCTCTCTTCTCTCTCTCTACATTAGTAAACAACATTTCGACCTTTATTATGCTTTCTACTGAAGTCCTCTCAAATCCTTCTTGACTCTTCAGTGTCTCAGCCTTCTCCTTTTTTCTTGACTTTATTTCTTCTTTAGTCCTCTCCATTTTTATGATTTCTTGGTGGTATCAAGAATGAGTGATCTTTCTTTAGCTCACTGATTTCTTGGATAAGCAAATGGGTTTTATATAATTCGTTACTTTCTCTTCATCCTCCGATCTGGGTTTTTTTTCTTCTTCATTTCATTCCCAAGAAGAAAAACAGAAGACGAGAAGTTAGGAATTAGGGATTTAGAGTTTACTGTGTTCGTGAATTGGTGTAAAAGAAGAACCTTTAGTGGGGAAAATTATTGGACATGATTCAGCTACTGTTTCTGGTTCTATTTGTGGAAGGTGCGATTGCATTCCTACTTCTGATTAAGATTGGGCCTTTGAGGGAGCTTGTGATTAAAAGCCTGGACCAGCTGAAGATGGGGAAAGGTCCCGCCACTGTGAAAACCATCGCCGGAACCATGTCCGTGATACTCTTCTCCAATCTCATGAGCATCGTCAAGATCCAGAACAAAGGTGCGAAGCTCGGCACAATGTCTCCCATGGATCAGGTCCTTTGGAGAACCCATTTGCTCGAAGCTTCTCTCATGGGTCAGTTTTGTTCTTCTTTCTTGCTTTCAAGCAGAGCTTTGTTAGTGAATAATTCAGTTGATTGTTGCTTTAATTGGTCCATCACCAGTTCAAAATTTTGTAGTTGGCCTCTAAATTAGTTTTTAAGCTATGGTTTCTGAACTAAAGTTAAAATCTTGGGTTCAAAGATGATTCAGCTATTACTGAATTCGTCTAGACTTTGTTGTAGCTAGAGTGATGATGTGAATTACAAAAAGTTAGCAAGCTTAAATTGAGATGTTAAATGTTACGATTAAGAGTTTGTATCTCAAATTAGTGGATGCTAGTGTAGAAGCATTGTGACTGTGTTTGAATAACTCTATAGTTGTATTTGAGGCTCAGCTTTTTTGCTGGTATTCACCAGATTTGAGAAGCTGCCTTTGTAGTTTAAGAGTTTGGAACCTTTTTCCAGATGAATAGTAACGAAATCTATCATTTATTGATCTTGAATTGTGGATTACACCCAAGAACACATGACTGGATCCTAACTCTCCCAAAGCCAAGAAATTTCTCGAGACTAGCTCTGATTTCTGTGATACTAATCTGATACTGATTTACTTATGTAGTTATGTGGTATTTGGGGTTGATGCACTCTCTCTTATCAATACTTATCTTGGCTGTTTGAAAAAACTTTGATATTTTTTGTTCTGAAAAATGGTAAGCTTTGAAAAGTGTACATAATGATATTATGTTTGAAGCTCAAAAACCTTAATGATCTTTGCAGGAGTCGTACTTTTTCTTGGCTTCATCATAGACAGATTGCACCACTACCTCAAAAAGCTAATCAGTATAAGAAGCAATGTTGGGTCATCGAAAGAAGAACTTGAACAGCTCCAGAAAGAGAGAAACGAACTGAAGGAGAAAGAGGAGAAGGCGTCCAAGGAAATGAAGCAGCTGCAAGAAAAACTGGCATCTATCTCAGAGAGGCTTAAGAAAGCAGAGACGGAGTCAAAAGAGAAAGAGAAGAAGCTTGAAACCGCTGAAACCCATGTCACGGCTCTTCAAAAGCAGTCTGCAGAGCTGCTTATGGAGTATGATAGATTGCTCGAAGACAACCAAAATCTCCAAAGTCAAATTTTGGGGAAAACAAAGAGCTGATTTAAGAATTGTTGGATTTGTCATTTAACAAGTTTTTCTTTTGGGAGTGTTTTAACAAATGGTGATGAGAAGAGTGTTTTTTTTTTTTTTTCGATTGCAGTTGCAGTAATTCTTGCAGCATTTTTGTTTTCAGTATATGGATGGATGTTGTATGTCTTTTGAAACCTGTTCTTGTTATGTGTTAACCAGTTATTAGGAATGTGATGTGGAGGAATGTGGTCTTTGCCAGTTATTTCAAAATCTGATGTTGAGGATGACAAAAAACGGAACCTTCAAAGACAAAAAAAAAAAAAAATATTGAGAGGATGACGCCGTCTGTGGGGATCGAACCCACGGCCACGGGATTAAAAGTCACGCGCTCTACCACTGAGCTAAGACGGCTTGTTGTAAACATTGTATCTTTAAGAGATATCTACCTGTTTTGGATATTATCTTCTTTCTTTTTGTCTGTGGCTTCGGGGAGAAATTTCAGTCTTTCATTCGTGCTTTTATCAAAGCTTGGTTTAGCCTGTCATCAACTCTGTTTCCAGCTTCAGTCACTTCCCAGGATGATATACCAAAGCGCACAAGTTTGTTTCTAAACTTCTTGCTACCCTTTGCTTCTATACAAGATTCATCAAAAGATGCAAAATTCGAAGCTCAAAACGATTTTTTTTCCTTTCACATTCCAACGTTGCTTTTCAGGCTTTTCAAAGCTCTACCTACTTTTTGTCTCTTGAGATACAGATGAGAAAGAAAAGGGACAGTGAAAAGTAGAATGCAGGGTCTTTCTGACAATCATTCACCTAAGCAAGCAACAAAGATATTCTATCCACCTTTAGATCCCAAAGCAAGAAGTATCTTCTTCCTAGGTCCCTGGTAAAAAACAACAACACACCTTGTAAAGAGAGAGAGCAAATGGAGAGAACTAATGAATAGTCATCCTATTATGAATGGAGCAAAACTAAGGCAATGACGATTATTCGTAAGGTAATCTCAAAAGAAAAGTACGACGGAAGTTAATTTTGTGGCAGCTTATCATGGATTTTACCATTGGTATGAGCAGAGCTTTGAGGTCATCATCTGTCATATGCATTAGAGCATCCATATCAACCTGAAAAAAAGACGGAAAACAAATAAGAAGAGAACGCAGGAAATTAATTTCAACAGGTAAGTAAATACGTTTTACATACTTCTTCCACTTGAAATGAGGTCGCATATTTCTCCAGACCCAATGATTCCAGGAAGCTATCAACAGACGTATCAGCCTGATAACCAAATGATAACAAAATGAGAACTAGTGCTGCTAAAACACCCATTAAGTCGAAGAGGTACTGTAAAGATGGAGAAGTATAGTTGGAGAAAATGAAATATATTACCTGCTGTGAAGTCTTCTTGGTAGCTTTGTTCAAAGCTGTTCTGGTCTCAGATTTGGTTTCAACTGGAACCTTCTTAACGGCTGTTCTAGCAGCCTCCGTTCTAGTTTTTGGTGGGTTAGTGCTCCTTGTTTGTGAATTCATCGTCCCAGAAAGCTTTTGCCGTAGATCACCCACAGCCAAAGTAGCTCCTCCTCCAACTCGACTTTGCAAGCCATGATGTCTCTTTTGGAGCTTCAAGCGTAGATCTTTAGGGTCAACTCTGCGACCTTAGTCAATGCAAATAGCCACAGAGTCAAGAACCAAGCATAGATGCTTTCAGAAAAAAAAAAATTAAGCAAGCAATGAAAAGTCACAGTTAAAGTATACTTGAAACTCGAGGCTTGTCATCATCGAAAAGATCATGCTCCCACTTATCGTCATCCTGCCTTTCTCTGAAAGCATTAAGAAAAAACGTTCATCAGACTTTGCTTCACAACTTCTGCTAAGGAAAAGCAATGGATGAATGTGTGATATGAGATTTAGAGTTAACATCATACAATCTGAAATCACCTAAAATCAAATAGAGAGCTAAAATCTCCTTAACTAATCCATGTAGAAACTCGAAGCTGACAACACTAAACTAGCAAATAAAGATGACTAAAATGAGCAAATCAGAGAATCAGCTAGTGAGGAAGATTCAAAACAATAAATTCATAGGGCTGCGTAAGAACCGGATTTGGCCAATGAAGTAAAAACATGAACATCAAACGAAAAGAGCCTGCGTTAAATCGAATAATCACTGGGCAAAGCAAGTTTAATTACGATAGGAAACAAAACAAACAAAAACGCAATACGATTGGGGGAAGAGGAGGAGAAAATTAGAACCTCTTCCTCGTGACTTGTCTCCCGCGAGAAGAAAAGTCGACATTGAGACGGTTCTTTACCGTCTTCCTGCTTGCAGTCTCAGCTTCCACTCGATCAGAATACATCGGGATTCCTAATCGGATGCGGGAAAATTACACCCTAAATCCTAAAACAAAACCACAGTAAGAGGGAGAAGATCGAAAATAGAACTCCAGCTCTATTAGCAATCTTCAAGTAAACATACGGAGGAAACTGTAAAGTATAAACCCTAAATTTCTATCCAGAAATCACAGAAAGAGGTGAGACCTTCAACGAAAACGATCTTCCCAATTCCGATTTCGACTCGACAGTTTATCGGCAGCTTCACGATAGTATCGTTCAGCAGTATCAACCATAACCGGGTTCGATCGGGTCGGATCGGTCAGGTTGGATAGGAATTTTATTGGAAATTTAACTAGTACTTGAACTATTATTATTGGGCGTTTTGTATTATCAGTAGTATTTCTGATTAGCCAGATATTGGATCTATTATTATTGGGCCCTTTTGTACAGAATTTTACTGAGACAGGCCTGTAAAACACTCCTATTAACGTTTTAGAATTTTGCATGTAACGAACCAGAATCACCATTTTCTATCATCTTTGTCGATTTGATACATAGATAGTATTGCATGATAACAAAAGATTCAATCTAACTTTATTTGTTAATCAAACGTTTTAGGATGGACAAGAGATAAAAGTTTCAGGTATTTTACAAACAAAAAAAAGGCTCAGTTATTTATGTGTTAATGGAACAGAACATTCATTGTTCATAAGTTTGCTTGAGCTTCTTTGGAGAGAATACCAAAGAAGGGATTGGTAATTGCAGATTGCAACTGAAACGCAGCGTCTCGAAGCCGCAAGATGTCTGCGTCGTGTGTCGACAGAGACAAAAACTCTGATCCTTGCTCTTCTCTCTTGAATCCACAAAGCTCCATGAACTCAATACCTTCTTTGAATCTCCCAACTCTTTCCTGGAACAAGCGGTTCGTGAGACGGATTCTTCTGTATTTTTCTTCGTCAGGATTCCTCGCTGCGTTCCTCACAATCGTCAGAAGCGTTTCAAATGCCCTCCTCGTGATTCTTGGATCTTCGTCCTAATAACAACAACAATAAGAAAATAAAAGGAGATTCCATTTTTCTCTCTTATCCACTTAAACTAAAACATTTTCTTACTTTGTGGTTTCGTCTTAATGATCTTAAACATTCTCTCATCTCCTCTGCTTTCGAAGCTGAGCTTGGTGACGACACTACTATCCTCTGTAATTTTAGTGTTTGGGGAAATATATATCATCACATTATTCATAGTCTAAAGGTGACAAACAATGGAGGAAGAAACTGTGTACCTTAGTGCCAAGTGGAGCAACTGGAGTTGATGTCGAAGTAGATTGAGTTTCCGTTGGCAATCCTAGCCTTCGCTTTCTCTCCAGCTATACACATACATTACATCCAAAAAAATGTTAATATAGAGATCATTAAATCTTCAATTAGAGTGTACAAAAAGATTAAGATTCACCTTGTCTGCATTAACTTTCTGCATAATTTTCTCCCTTGCTTTTTTCTCCTCATCTTTCTCAGCTTTCCTCAAAGCCATGTTCCTGTTTTGTTGTATATCAAACACCGTTTTATTGAATCCAAAGGGAGATTGTGAGAAACAAGCTCTCTCTCTCTCTCTCTCATACCGTTTTCGTTCGTTTTCTTCTGCGATTCGCTTTGTCTCCATCATCTCTTTTCCTGCTCGTATCCTTTCCTGCAAGAAAGCTAGAGCTATTAGTATTCACACTATGTGCTTTCAATCAACTCCTCTGTACCTTTTCTCTTTCTCTTTCGCGTTTAGTTTCTTCTTCCTCTCTTAGCTTACGAGCTCGTTCCCTGAAAATACATAAACAAGTCATGTAACAACCTTGTGGAGGATGAAGGCTTAAGAATATATGTTAAAATGGGAGACTGACTAACTTTAGCTCCTTTGCTCTTGCCTGAGCCGTATCATCAAGTGGATTTGGAGACTCAATCTCAATGTTAAACTCCACCTGCAAAAATGATCAAGGTTTCTGTGGAATCCATGAAAAAAAGAAAAGAAATGAAGATGAATACATACATACCAAAGGCATTTTGTCAAAGTGCGAATCGTTCTCATGGTCTATGATCCAGTTCACAGCTGATTCAAGACTAGAGTTTCCTTGAGAATGAAGAGAAGCAAAATATGGGTTATACTTTTACATGAATCTTGGATTGTTTTAAAGTGCCTTTATACATACATACCAGAATGATGCAGAGCCCAAGCTGCTCGGGCCATCGAGAATCCCATATCTTCAAGCTCCTTAAGCAATCCACGATTAACCTCAACTGCACCACTTTCTGTTCCATCAAACATTACTTCTATTTATGCACAAGAACAACAGAGCTATGATCTGGTATGGCACTGAAAGACTGAAACGGAGAAGGGCGATTATTGTTACCAGTTTCTGCTGACATGTTTCAAAAATTCTGAGAGATTTCTTGATCTCTGTAATTGATGAGAGAGCCGATGCAAGAATGATATGTTGAATTATGGAACATATCTTATATTATTCAACTGATTTTGTAATGCAGAAGACATCTGAATATTTTTTGTTACTTACATTTCCTCAAAGTTTGCGACTCTTGATTCTATTCAAATCTTGTTACAGAAGCAAAAGATCTACTTATTCCTTTCTTGCATATATAACCGTGAGCCATTTATTTATACAGAAACTTAAATCTGAATTTACTAGGCCCTGCGAACCGAAGTTTCCGAATCAGAATCTAACCGAGCCGATTCTGATTTTGTAATGGTGTTTGTTTGTATAGGATGCTGAATTAATGAACATATCTTACATTCTTCAACTAATTTTGTAATACAGAAAACATTGTTACAGAAGCAACTCTCTCAAACGTTCGAGTCGATTTCAGTGAGATAGCAATTGCACACTTTTCATTTCCACTTCCCATCAAGAAGCGACCTGCAAGTAATGGAGCTTGTTGGCATGACCATTTAAAAAGGAAGCTTCCAAGTAAGAGCGAGATCAAAAGAAAGCTTCATTCTTCCAGGGTCTATATGCTCCATTCTCACAATCTGCAAAACCCTCTAGTTGAACATAATTAAACTGTACTTGACTTTGCAAGAACACATCTTCGAAAAGAGAACCAAAGGACCAGCTTGGCTGTATATTCCTTTCACCAGAACCAGCATCAGGCTGTAGAGCAACTGTAAGTGTCTGCTCGAGCACAATAACAGAATCCACTCCATCTTGTCCAGATTTAACAGTAGTTAAATGCAATCTATGAGAATGATAAAACGCTCGGTAAATAGATGACCTATGCGTTAATGCAGATATCCCATCCTTGTCTCTTAACACGGAAGCAATTCAAGCCAAGGCGTCAAGTTCTCAGTACAAACGGCTTCACGACCCTGTTTAGTAACTGGTCAAATCCGCCCCACTGTTCGTGTTCGTGGTTCCAGCGACCACGAGTAAAAGATAATTCCATCTCTCTGACCCGAAACTTCTGAACCTGTTCCAGAATTCAAGATTTCAGAAGGTAAGAAAATACAAATATGGTCCAAAACATGTCCACTAAAAACAGGAAACATGTTACTCTTCCACTGAAAAAAATATAAAACTTTATCTCTAATTTTCCAACTCAAAGATTATTCGGTAAACAATTATAATGTTTTTTAACCAGCTGAGAAACAGCTCTGGAGAAGAGATGGTTGTGCTGACCATGTGAGTTTGAAGCAATTTATATAGGAACAGTTCCTCGTTGAATTCTTCAATATCTCTCGAATCAACCAAAAATGCTCGAAAAAGTAACAGAATCAGCATAGCGTGGCCATCGACGGATCCATGGATGTTAATAGCTCCGGTACCGGTTGATACAGGATTAGTCAACTAATTTCGACACGGACTGATCCTGTGAGGCCTGAATGGTATAGCCATATAGAATCTAGTTACAAAAAGAAAGAGTGATGCTTTATAATCAAAGACCGAAGAAAGTTCATATTGGTTATTTTGTCGAACAACTTATGTGGGTCTGTATAATTGAGAATTTTACCGTAAATCTCATGACCTGAATGTTCGTTTTCGTGTCGCCGGGGACGAGAGATAACGACGGCGAAGGAACAATTCCAGCGTTAGTTCCCCGTCAAAACGCAGCGATTAATTCCAGCGTTCAGCGACTAAAGTTTTGCGTCGTTGATTCTCCAGCGTGTCCGACGTTGATCGGCGACGAACGACGACGGTTAAGATTAGTTTTAGGGATGATCACGTGCTAACTAAAAACCATCACGTGACAGTGATGTTTGATTAGCATTTTTGTGTGTGTGTGCACTTATTATTAGATCATCTCCAATCTATTTTGCTATTTTTTCTTTTAAAATAGAATAATTTTAAAATAAAGGTAGATTTCTCTCTAATCCATTTCAATTTTAGAGGAATATCTCTATTTTAAAAGAAAATATAGAGAAATTTATTTTTTCCTCTATATTTAGAGGAAAAAGTAGCATCTCTATTTTTTTCTCTAAAATAAAGGTGGATTGGAGAACAAAAATGACACCTCTATTTTTTTATCTAAAAATAGAGGAAAAAATAGCAATAGATTGGAGATGTTCTTAGCCTTTTACTTTGGCAAAATCATAATTAGCTTCTGTTTACCGTTTACTAAAAAAATCAGTTGAGAAAAGTAAATTACTATTTTCTTTACAAAAATGTTTCAAAACTATTTACAAATAATTCAAATTTTTAGTACATTCAGTTACACAAATTAGTTTAGTAACTTAAATGGACTGATATTTTTTTTTGTTTTTATTTTTATTTTTTATAATTTAATTTTTTACCATTTTTAGTCATTATTCGACAAATTATTTTATTATGTTTCTAGTATTTTTATTAATATATAAATTCAAATGAAATAATTTTGAAATTAGTTTAGAAACGTAAATGGACTAATATTTTTTTTCTGTTTTTTTGTTTTTTTATAATTCAATTTTTTATCGTTTTTAGTCATTATTCGATAAAACTTTTAAATTATCTAATTATGTTTTTAATATTTTTGTTAATATATAAATTCAAATGAAATATTTTTTTAACATAAAATTCATTTAAACCTAGTGAATTTTGAATAAACTTAGGGAAAGGTATTTAACAAAAAAATTAAAATGAATTAGAAAAGATTAAACTTTCTATTAAATTTTATTCAATGTTGTGTTTCATAATTCTTTTAAATTCATGTGTAATTGGATTTAATATTTCAAATCATTTTCCAAAATTATTTTAGAATTTAAATTTTAGTGCTTTTCTTATGCTATTGTTATTTTAAAAATCATTTTATTAATTATTGGAGTTATTCAATTTTAGTGTTTTTCTTATGTTATTGTCATTTTAAAAGAACTTAATATAATTTGAATGAAAATTTGCAAAAAATTATTTTTTACTATTTTTACTGTTATTTTGATAGAATTAGTCTAAATTTTTAACAAAAATTTTAAATTACTTCAAAATCAATTATTTTCTAATTTTTATATATTCTTTTAGAATCAATCCTCCAATACCCTCACTTTAATATGTTGACAAAAAAAAAAAAAAATCTTGATGAGTTAAAGAAAAGATGAGTAAAAGTAAAATATTAATGTGATTTATAAATATGCCTCCAAACGATATGTCGATATCATCATTAGTCATCACTGACTATTGACTTTGAAAATCTGATTATTTTAAAAAGATATAGTTCTATATAAAGTTTTTTTTTATTTTATCTTTCTCTTGCTTTATATAATTATTAAACGCTGGCAGAGAAATTAACGATGCAGTTGTGACAGAGTTAACACTGATATAGTAGGAGTGAGATAAAATCTAAAAGGCGAATATTGAAATATCCTAAAAATAAAGAGATGACAAGTGATTATGATAAATAATTGCACAATTAAGGAGAAAATCGCGAGAAAAGAGGATGCACGACATAGAAACTAGAAAGCGTGCTTAGCAATGGTCTTTTCTTTTTCTTTTTTTTTACACAAAAAAAGCCATACCTCTCTCCCCTCATAAATAGAGATGCAGAGATTATATAAATATTGACCAGTGTCCTGGAGAGAGAAACTCGCCGCTTTTACTTTTTTTTTTTTTTTTTTCTCTTCTTTTCTGAAGGTAGCAGTAAGCACTAAGCACATATCTCGAGCCACAAAGGTCAGTGAAAACTGCTCCTTAAGATTTTTTATATATACGCTCTCTCCGTCTTCCATTTCCAGGCGTGCATGTTTTTGATTTTACGGTGGTGCTGATTTTTACTTTTCATTTTCTGGGCAACGGCTAGTTATTCGGAGTGTCCCTGAAGCGAGGAGAAGAAGATCGATGGACTTCGGAGACGATCGGTAGATTCTCTTTCGTTTTGCTGCTTTCTCATCTCGATTTGATGATTTTGATTGTATTGTGTTCCTGTTTCTTTTTTTCCTTTTGGATTTGTGTACTCTTTTAAGGGCGATGATTTGGGTTTTGTGGGTGTGAGTTGATTTGATTAGTTTGATTCGTATTCTTCGATTTTGTGGGTTTTTTCCATCTCCGTTAGTGTAGAATAGAGTCACACTGGTCTGATTCGGGTGCTCTCTTTTCTGGGTTTTACTGAAATCGTCGTCTTCCGCTTAGATTCGTTGGTGATTTCTCTGGCTCAATGCTGGTTTTGGGTTTGATTGTTTTTCTGGGTTTAATGCGAGGATGAAATGTCGGATTTGCTGTAAATGAGATTTAACATTGTTGGGTTTCTTCATGGAATGGCCCGGTCATTTAATGATTAATCAATCCTCGTTTCACTCGTTTGGAATTTGGTTTAGCTTGTTTACGTCTCCGTCATCTTCACTAAACCCAAAGTTTCATTAGTCCCCTTTTTGTTAAAATGGTGCTCTATGTTTGGTTCTTCAACCATTAAACTGCGCACATTTGGTCAGGATCCAGGTTGTGATTGAGCTTAAAGTTGCGGTATATGATGTTTGCAATGGGCTTCTCTATGTGCATTGTTTGAGTTGTTGGTTAATGTGCTTGTTCATGATGCATCTAGACGCTTATATTTGTTTGATCATCAGAGTTTACAAGATATGATTAAGACTTTACAGTCTTCACAAAGCTTCCAAGTAGATTAGTCTCTTTGGTACTATGGGTTTGATCATCTGATGTCTAAAAATTTGCAGCAGCCCCTCATGGAATTGGCAAATGCAGAACTATGATCACCAACCAGAGTCTAACTTCTGTAAGTTTTTACGTCATTTTAACTCTTACAAGACTGTGACAAGCATGACTGAATCGTTCTCTTAACTCCAGCGGATCCGGACTGCACGATGACTGAAGTCGCATTAAACCAAGAAGATCAGTCATACATGTTTGATGATGTAGCCACCCCAGTGAAAGCATGTAGTGAGTTGGGTTATCATGTCACAACAGGTTGTGCTTTTTTCTGTTCTCAGGTTATCAATTCGATGCCTGTTGTGCATATAATGATGGTTTCTAATCTAAAGAGTTTGGCTTCAGATGACACGATGAAGAAACTGGAAGTGCAAAGTGAGACACGCTCTGCTGTAAAGAGGCGTCGCATGTTACAATTCGAAGACCAGCCTATGGAGACATCCCTTTTCAGCAGTGAGAGCTTTTCTGCAATCTTAAAATCAAGCGTGAGTTCACAAAACCCATAACTCGTCTTTAGCTCCCAATGCCCACAAACTCATTGCCCACTTATTAGGATGCACACCTAGTTTTGGACTGCGATGGAATTTTTTCTTCTACTCGTACAACAAATTCAAGCTTTTCTTGGTATATGACTATCTAATTAAGGCATCTACTATGGCAAGTTATGTTACTAAAGCTATGCATAGAAGCAACATTTGATAGCTTAGGAGGTTGCATATGATTTTAAACTACCTTTGATGCTCTGATTGATGTTCCATCTATGAATGTTCTGCTCAGGCTAGAGACGAAACATTTGATGAGCTTTTACCCGAAGGAACTCAGCTTATAGAAGGGTATTCAGGTTGAGCTCTTATAAATATCCTTCCAAGTCAATCTGGCCAATTGCGTTTTCCATTTAAAAAAAATCATTGTCTCTTTTTCAGAAGACGCTTCTGCATCTAGCTTCGAGGGCTTTGATCTGTATGCTGAAGAGTGGTACGCTGAATGCTTAAATGATTCCGAGACTCCAAGCTTACCTGATGACCTGTATGATTCGATCTTTCTTTTTTGCTTATCTTCAGTCGAGTATCCTATTTGCTTCACTAACTGATGACTATTGTTGAATTCTCTCAGGAGCTTTGGTTCCCCTGATGTCCAAGTAGATATTTCAGGTTTGTGCTGGTCTCTTATTTAGCTTGCTCTACCTCTGGCTTCTCTTGCTTAAAATCCACGTGTTTGGCGCAGAGTACTTAAATGTGCCACCAGAACCAGAACCCAGGGAAGTTAAGCGGCCTGTGAGTCGATCATCTCCGAATGTGATCTTTAAAGGTAAATAAAAGAAACGGTTTTGAGTCACAGATTGGTCTCATAGTCACACTGATTTAGTGTGACAAATGTTGAAACAAAAAAGCATCATCATAATGTTAAGTTGGAAATAGCAGGTAGGAAATCTTTCGTAAGGCCGGTGCCAAAGCTACCATCTTCCATCATCTATCCATTTGCATTCATCAAACCATGTGGGGTTCACGGCGACATGACTCTCAAGGACATAAACCAGAAAATCCGAACTCCACGAGCAAAACCAAAGGAAGACAAAGCAGAGCCTCCAGTGATCCAAACTTCAGCATTCTCTGGGAAACCTGTTGTAGGAAAGACTAGAATCCGCACAGAAGGAGGAAAAGGAAGCATCACGATAATGAGGACGAGAGGCTAAGCTAAGCTAAGTTCAGTAGAAAGTATTCAAGTCCCGAAAACTCTTAAACTTTTTTGCCTTATTCTCAGAGGCCCTAAAATCTTTTTACTGGTTATGTAGTTCCAGTCAAGGGTCTTTAATCAGTACAGCGGCTAATACTCTTCAAGGTCTTATTATGAATATCATGTTCTTGTTTCGTTTAGGGTATCCATGTGGTGGGATATTTTTGTTTGTATAAAGTCTCTGGTTCTTAATGTTAGCTGAAACTTAAAGCCAAAACTATGTTATGTCTCTCATCTCTGGTTGGGATTGCTTTACAAAGTTGAAGAAGCAGTTTCTAGTGCTGCGAAACGATGCGTTTTGTGATTTAGGAGAGAGTTTCAAGAAACAAGTCTCTAATCACATAATTCGATATTTTTACTGTTGTATGTAAATTATGATATTTATATGAATTATATAAATGTATATCTATATAATTTATTTATTAATTTATTTCGGCATGCAAAATTTTGATGCTCTGTCATGTGAGACCCGCTCTTTACACGGGTCACGTGAAAACGTATTGAATCTATTGATGTATTGAAAATCAATCAAACATCAATAAATATCAATCACGTCGAATATTAATTATTAATCGATATATGATATTTGATGATCTTCACTTCAAGTATCTGAACATTTTCAAATACGGACTGATTTGATATCACGTCGATCTCGTCTCGTTCCGTCGCAGCAGCGATTGAGCGACATTTGGGAAATGTGAAAAACAAAATGGAGAACTTTGAATAAAATTAGTTATATTATATTATAATATTTTTAATCAATATTATGGTCATAAATTCAATTTTGTAATTTTGTTAACACTAGTTTGTGATTTTGTTACTATAATTTGAATATGTTTTATAAGCTACTGTTTCGTAATATCAAAATCGAATCAACAAAGCATGCCCGTTTTGGTTCTTTGGGCCTGGGCCAATAAAATTTGATAGAAGTCATCTTCCTTTTTTGAGTTATGTCTAATCCTTGAAATTTCCTCGGGATGGTCCAAATGGTTTCGCTCTCCACCTCCACGAGCCACACCCACCCACTCCCGTCGGCGTTTAACCGGCGCCCGGCGGAGAGAATCGTTACAGTGCGGTGTGTCTCCATTTCCCCGCGCGAGCCCAAACTTATAATTCCTTCTGACAAGAGCGATAGCTCCTCCTTCGCACTTAAGGAGACGAGACAGAGAAAATGGCTGATGAGCTCGGAGGAGGTGAAGGAGGGAGAGTCGGAGGAGAGAAAGGAGGATATGAACACTAAGATCGCTTCGAGGAAGGCGATATCTATAATACTGCGAAGAGAAGCTACAAAGGCTATAATCGAGAAAAAGAAAGGACCCACCAACTCGAAGAAGCTGCTTCCAAGGACGGTGCTTGAGGCTCTTCACGAACGAATCACAGCTCTCCGATGGGAATCTGCTCTTCAGGTAGATTTCATCTGCTCCGCAACTATCTCGAGCTTTTTGTTAATGTTAATTTTGGCTTTGCTTAAGAAAATGCAAGAAAGCTGTGTCTTTTAAATTCGTCTGCTCTGAGTTGAGTGAGTGAGTGTTGAGTTTGTCCATGTAATTAAGAGATAATTGTGGATGTATCTTGTGTAGGTGTTTGAGCTATTGCGCGAACAGCTTTGGTACAAACCAAACGTTGGCATCTACGTAAAGCTCATTGTCATGCTTGGAAAATGCAAACAGCCCGAAAAGGCTCACGAACTCTTTCAGGCAATGATCGGTGAAGGCTGTGTGGTGAATCACGAAGTGTACACAGCGCTTCTATCTGCTTACAGCAGGAGCGGCCGCTTCGAAGCTGCGTTTACTCTTCTGGAACGTATGAAAAGTAGTCACAACTCTCAGCCTGATGTGCACACCTATTCCATCCTCATCAAGTCGTTTCTTCAGGTTCTTGCCTTTGATAAGGTTCAGGATCTTCTTCTTGATATGAGAAAACAGGGTATTAGGCCCAACACAATCACATATAACACCCTCATCGATGCGTATGGGAAGGCAAAAATGTACTTTAGCCACTTTGTCCTGTCCTTTTGAATACTCGAGCCTGGAAATTTTAGTTCGATGCATCCCTAAACTGGGATATTTCTTTTTGGTTTTTGGAAGGTTTGTGGAGATGGAGTCAACACTTATCCAAATGCTTGGTGAGGATGACTGCAAGCCTGATTCTTGGACCATGAACTCAACCCTTAGAGCCTTTGGGGGAAGTGGACAGATAGAGATGATGGAGAATTGTTATGACAAGTTTCAGAGCTCTGGGATTGAACCTAACATCAGGACATTCAACATCCTCCTTGATTCATACGGGAAAACAGGAAACTACAAGAAGATGAGTGCAGTGATGGAGTTCATGCAGAAGTATCACTATTCGTGGACCATAGTCACCTACAACGTGGTCATCGACGCGTTCGGGAGGGCAGGAGACTTGAAACAGATGGAGTACTTATTCAGGCTTATGCAGTCGGAGAGAATTAAACCAAGCTGTGTTACACTGTGTTCTCTCGTTCGTGCCTATGGAAGAGCTGGTAAAGCGGATAAAATCGGAGGAGTGCTGCGTTTCATTGAGAACTCGGACATAAGGTTAGACCTTGTGTTCTTTAACTGTCTGGTAGATGCCTATGGGAGGATGGAGAAGTTTGCAGAGATGAAAGGTGTTCTCGAACTAATGGAGAAGAAAGGGTTTAAACCTGATAAGATTACATACAGGACAATGGTTAAGGCTTACAGGATTAGTGGCATGACTAGCCATGTAAAGGAACTTCATGGTGTGGTCGAGTCCGTTGGTGAAGCCAAAGTGTTCAAGAAGCCGGATTTTTAGCAGAGGCATGTAACGCATTTAATATATACACATACATCTCGTTTTAATGAAATGGGTACTTGTATGAGAGTAAATACACTTACATAACTTTGTAACACAAAAACAAAAGGCAAAAAAATTGATACAAAGTATAGTTTTTTTTTGTCTTGTTTGTGTTATATGTTTATCAGTCTGTATGTGCTGAAGCAGCAAGATATGAGAGTTGAATGCTATACGCTTCTTTCAGTTGAGTCAAAACTTGTGCAATAGATGGTCTGCTAGATGCATCTCTCCCCACACATCTTATAGCAATCGAAGCAGCTTTTCTCATGCTCTCCGGATCAAATGTATCTTTCAAAGTATCATCCACAATCTCAAACGCTCCTGCTTGCAAGTTTGGCCTAGCCTGCATTTATGTATTTCAATCTTTGATGACACTGTGTACTCAGATACTGGGAAAAGCAAAGACAATAATAATCATGTTTGTCTCACCCATAAGACCAAATTAAAAGAATCTGGGGATCCTAAGTGACTTAAGGGCTCTCTTCCACAGATGAGCTCCAACAGAACCACACCAAAGCTATAGACATCACTTTTCTCTGTCAGCTGCAATGTAGAGTAATATCTGGAATGACAAAGTGTGATTACATAATCAGCTAACCAATCCGCAAATCAATCAAGAATGATGATAGAAATTACAGAGGAGTTTACTCAGGGTCAAGGTAGCCTGCGGTGCCTTTAACAACGGTAGTAACATGAGATGCATCTGCTTTTGTAAATTGTTTCGACAGGCCAAAGTCAGAAACTTTTGCGTTCATATCCTTGTCCAAAAGTATGTTACTGCACTTTACATCTCGATGTATAATTCTCGGCTCACTTCCATTGTGCAAGTAGTCCAACCCTTCATATATATATAAGACGAAAATGTTACTATCTGCCAAAATCAATTGTTATGGTATAGTGATACCAATGAAAGATATTGAAGATGTGTACCTTTTGCAGCATCAACTGCAACTTTTAGTCTTGAAACCCAGTTTAGTGAAAGCCTTTTGCTACGTGAGCCTGCAGAAGCAAGATAGCATAAAAGGCTATAGCTTTGCAAGGAAGATGATGAGAAATTGCTAGATACTTAGGGGATTTGCGTTACCGTAAAGGTGATCAGCTAATGATCCACCAGGCAGATACTCATAAACCAGTACTTGCCGTTTTGGTTCGTAGCAGAAGCCCTCGAAGGAAACTAGATTTTGGTGGCGGATCTGAGACAAAAGTTGCACCTGGAAGTAGACAGTACAAAGGGAGACTTTAGATCACACCACTCTTGGATCACTAAAGATGAATGCATGATATTCAAATATGGAGTAATTTTGGGAAAACGGTTTAAACCTCATTGATGAAAGATTCAGCTCCAAGTTGAGTTCTATCAAATCTCACTTTGACTGCAACTTGTTTACCATCTGGTAGTTTCCCATGGTATACAGATCCAAAACTTCCACGGCCAATCACTTCCTTGAAATTCCTTGTAGCTGACTTTATCTCTCTGTGGGAGAAGATTCTTGAAGTGTTCCAGTTCTGCATCTTCAAATGTGCTCCTGATTCAGATTTTGATATACTCTATAAGATTCATAATGCCACAAACTTTGTGGTGGGGGCAAAGAGAAAGGTAATAGTTCCCATACTGGTTATATCTCTCTCTTTGTTTCTCTGTCTCCTCGTGCATATCGACATGATAACAAAGATGAGAGCAGTGGCAAACAAGACTCCACCAGAAACTCCAAGCAAGATCGCTATACGGTTCTGCTTCTTGTGTTTCTTATTGATAGGGATAATGACTTGTGGTGTGTCCATTGTTGAAGACACGTTATTGCAAGATAACGAAGAGAACGAAAGACATGGATTCCCCGTTGTCCTGATAAAGACAGCAGTTCAGTAACACTTGAACACATGATAAGCAGAACATTTGTAACATATGCAGAGACAGAAATTGTATACCTGACTTCTAGACCCGTTCTGTTAAGTGACTGTGGCAAGGGTCCTACCAAGTTATTGTTTTCCAGATTCCTGAGCAGAAGTAACAGGAGAGTGATTATGGTATGTACAAACCTACTTCTTTGGTATAAATGTTTACTTACAGGAGACGAAGTTTCTTCAGCTTTCCTAAAGTTTCAGGAACTGATCCTTGTAAGCTGTTGTTTTGCAGGTCCCTTCAAGGCAATGGAGAATTATTTTTGAGTTTTCCGAAAATAACAAACACATAACCAGAAAATCTCAGTATGAGATCACTTACAGAACTTCAAGGCTAGCCAGATCCTCCAGTTCTGAGCCGAAAGACTTTAATTGGTTGAAGCTCAAATTCCTGAAGAAACCATTAAAATGCTTTTATCATACTACACGAAACTTAAAATTATATAAATATTTCTAGTGTTGTATGGATGAGTATTACAGTTTCTGGAGATGCTGAAGGCTGCCTACATTCTGTATTGCACCAGTAAGTGATGTATTATGCAAGTCTCTGCATAAGAAGACTCACGGATGATAACACACATGTAATGTTATACATGAGAGGCTAGAAAAGTTGAAGAATTGCTGACTTACAGTGTCTTGAGATCTAGCAAGTCTCCAAATGTTGGACTAATGGACCTCAGGTTGATTTCTGAAAGAAACCTGGAAAACCAGAAGAAGAAAAGCTTGGGCTGTGATCAAGAAAATGTGAAAATCAATGGGTATGTATCATAATTCATAAGGTTTGTCTTACAATGATGTAACACGGCTTCCTTCACATTCAATATGGTTCCAAGGAAGTGGAGTGCATGGGTCGTCTTGCCATCCAAGGTCTTGCCCGCTAAATTGCTCTATCACTTTAAGTGCTGAAACTGCAGAGACAACTTAAAAAGTGAAACTTTGACCGGTGGAATTTGCTCTATATGTGGTAAAGTATAACAGAGAGTACCTGTGGTAGAAGAAGCTTCTGGAGGGATTTGGAGGATTTCATACACCTCAAGAGCGTTCACCTGAGGATTGAACTTGATTTTCTCAAAGGTGATGTTTAAGTCACTGATTCTTTTTTGCGTAAAGTACAAAGTACCAGCTTCAGAACTAGTCACGGTGTAATCAGAGTGTTTGACTTCGTTATTGATCGTCACGCTAAAAGAAGGTGAGTTTGAGAGTATCCCACCAAAGTAGAGGATAATGTAGTAGTCCCCTAGTGTATCTAGAGAAAGGGTATACGAGAGACTGTCTTTGCGAGAAAGAACTCTTGCTGTCTGAAGAACAGAAGCTGGAGGGCTCTCAGTGATGTTGGAGGAAGAAAATCTTGTGAGTGTACTCAAGCTCGAAGAGGCGTGAAACGGTGCAAAACTTTGATCAGGATCCCATATTCTATCAAATGGATCTGAAGGGTACCTGCCATTCAACAGAGTTCACTTAAGTTAAGTTAAAGAAAACACACACCAACGAAGAAAGAGCGTGATGAGAACCCATACCGGATAGTCCCGTTTGTGTATCCACTATTGATTCTGTAACTTCTCCTGAGGATTATATTAGATGAACTCTCCAAGCTGTTTCTGTAAGAACCTAAAGGAAGCGGCCGTACTTCTAGAGAAGAGATAACCGGAATGCCTCTTCCTTTAACCGCAAGCAAACAAAGCAATAGTGCATCATTGTTGACCGGCCAAACCAACTCTTCAATCCAAGGGTCATTGGTTCTGAGATCAACGGTACTAGTGATCCTCCTTCCCAAAGAGACACGAAATGCTGGAGGCTGATTCTGGCTGTCATAGTTTCTATAAACGAACTTGGCCCGAATCAGAACCGAAGACAAGTCTTTCTTCCTCACAGGTAACTTGTAACATTGGCGACCTCGAGAATCCGGGAAGAACCTGATGGGAACGCTTGAAGAAGAAGCTCCATCGGTGTAAGTAACAGTACTAGTGTTACCTGTTTGGATATAGTCGTTATCTGAAACCCACGAGATGTTATAAGCAGTTGTGTAACTTGAGCCGCCACATGACAAGCTCAAGAAACCTGTTCCATTACAAAGATTCAATCAAACAACTGAAGCGAAAAAAGAATAAAAAGTAATGGAAATGATTTTGAGACAAAGTCCAGAATCTGCGTACCATCTGGGTTGGAGAAACTAAACACCCAGAAGCCACTGAGCAAAACCAAATCGAACCAGAAGAGCATCTTTTAATTTTCTGACTGGAATCTTAAGAACATATATTATTATTTGTTGGGTTGTTTCTTAGTTTGTGTATGAAGTCATTCTTTATATATATGAAATATGTTTGTATGTGTGAAGGTTCAATGATGATGACTCGTAGGTACTTTACTCAGTGGTCATAATGCACTAACAGTCTCTGTCAACTTAATAATATAAATTAACAATTTAACTACAGCGAATGTTTATTCAGCCTTCCTTGCATAAAACCACATAAAAAAAAAATATACGGTAGTCAAATATGTATTTTTGAGAGTAAAACTATAAAGGGAAAATTAAACAAATTTTGGTTTCTCAATTGCTCAATTCTTAAGAATGATTATGAGAATGATGCTTGAGGGAGAATCTTCAAATGTAATGATACTTCGTTTTGCTTGGCTTCAACACTAATCCTCAATGCATCCTAAGCTTTCTCATAAAGGGAAAAACCTTTTTGGACAAAATGTTCCCATACTAAAGTTCTCCCAAAATTTGATTTTTAATTTTTAATTAATGCCTCAGAAACATATAGTTCCTTGGTTTTTAACTAATGCCTCAGAAACAAGTGAAACATATTAGCCTATTAGAAAATTTTGTATAGTTTTCGGTTGAAATTTTTGATTCGGAAGTAATATTCTTCTACGACTAAACGCAAAGAATAACAACAAACTAGTCTTAGCAATGTAAAATCCCATTAAAACTCCTTCTTGGTTATTCAATAAAAGAAATTTGATTCAAAAAGCAAATCATGTACACGTGATAACAAAGAATGACAAACTAGTTTTAGCAATGTAAAGACAAAGGGGGCACACGAATGCTTATACAACTACGACAACCTTGAAAACTTAGACATCAATGGAAGCAGTTTGATCAGCTTCTAGGTCTTTATTAGATCTCTTGAAGCACAAGGCATCCCATCTCTTGTCAAATTGCACAATCTCCATCACCACCGCGAACAATCCAATGAAACCGATGATGCTAGTGTAAGCAATCTTCCACGAGCTTCCGGGTTTCAAGATGGCTAACCCTTTGTAGATGTTGTAGATGCTCAGTACAATCACAACGTATCCCATAGTGTGATGGTACCAGTTCCAATATTTTCTATACTTATGCTCCTTGCCCGGTCTTACAAAGACCCCAACTATCTGCAGTGACCCTAGACAGAACAGTAACATCCCTATCACCGTATGCGGCGTTGCTCTCATCCCCGTCTGTACCGCCATATAGACTGCGGTTGCTAGTCCTCCGATTAAACCGGCGGCATAACCGGTGGTTTGAAAAAAGACGTGGACGTAGAACCACATGGGATCCAATCCTTGGTAGGTCCTTATGTACCTTGCAGCCAAGGCTCCTATGGGCATGAATATCCCCCAGCTCACCGCGTTCACTACTCCGTGGATCCGCTTGACTAGTAACATGTTGCCGTTCGCTGGTTTCGTTGCCGTGACTTGTCCGGAGAGCAAATCCAAAGTAGCCATGGACTTGAGATGGTCTCCACCCATGGCGTGCATCCCAAGTCTATCTCCTTCCTTCAGCGGACCGTCTTGCCACAGATGATTCACGACGGTTGTGTTAGAAGGCAACACTATAGTGGCGAATATAGTCATCTCCTTATTGAGATATTCAGCGGATAGCTGCGTTACACGGAAGCTGAGAGGACCTTCTTGAAGCTTAGTTGAGTAGCCCTTGATTGAGGAAGTATATGCTCGCATAGCACCGGAAGTGGAGTTACGGTAAGCCAAGAGGGTTTGAGCTCCTAACATGCCTTTGCCCGTCGGGTTTATGCCCCAAGCGATCCAACTAGAAGACTCGATGTTGGCGTGACGGTACGCAACCTCAAGCACTCCGGTTTCACGGACGTAGCTGAAGTGTAGAAACGAGTCTAACACCGGAAGGTCGATGCAAGAACGAAAGTGTTTCCCGTTGTTAAAGCTGTGAGAGTCACATCTAGAACGAACTTCATCGCTTGTTGCGCTATTAAAGCATGGAGCCAGCACCAGCAGAAAACACAAAACCACAATAACTGTTCTTGAAGACAAAGACATGACGATGATCGCGTTTTTAAGGAGACACACGAAGGTTAAATCTTCCGAGAGAACAGAACACGAAGGGTAGATCTTCCGTTGAGAGAGTTTTGCTTTGGAAGAAAGAGATTTATGAATGCTCGATTTGCTACGAGGTATTTGTCTATTTATAGCGATATGCAATCACGAATGAGGTTGGAAATCGGATTTTGTTGTCGGCAACAAATTTACATATTTTGATTCATTTTTCCTTTTTAGCCAACAAATTCCAAATATCTAAATCCTAATACCTTTAAAATTCGAAATATCATTATTGTTGTCTAGATTTTTTTTTTAATTACGCGATTTTACCATGACTTTTAATAATGATGAACGATATAAAATAAATTGGAACTCAAGATTGAAAATATAAGGACAAAGTTGCGATACAACACCTAAGTAAGAGTAAAAAAGTAGTAGGTCGACTCAAAACATGCAAAAGACAAACTAGTCATGAACAAGAGCTCAGTACTTAACTGGTGCAAGAATTTCGAGCTGTGCTCCGAGTTTCTCTTCAGCGACCTTCTCGGCCTTGGCTCTAAGTTTGTTGAGTTGCTTCTTTCGCTCGTAAACCACATGAGCTCTCTCCTTCCTCTTCGTCTCCAGCTCCTGTTTCATTCCACATATAATTACATCAAAAACAATTCATTACCTAGCTAACATCAACAGAGAAGAAACTAGTACAAGGCAATCAAAATTAGATAAGGAACACATACCTTGATGGTGTCGTAATGGTTCCACCCGACTTCAGAAGATAGGCGACCCAACAAGCAGTATTTGTGTCCAGCTTGAAGCCTCAAGACCCTGAAGTATATGAAGGATGATTATAATGCAGAAGTAGAAAGTTAAGAAATTTGAAAGAGGAGAGACAAGGAAGGAGTAAAAAGGACAAACTTGAGAGCATCGGGGATGACCATCCTCTTGATCTTGTCATAAGGAGTAGGGACACCTTCAAATACCTTCAAGCGGGCAAGTGCAGCTGCTCCACGCTTTGTTTTGTGTGGAATCATACTGCAATCAAGAACACATAAAACTCTCACTCAGCTAAAATCAATTCAAAACCAAAACTTTAGCTCACCCTTCAAGATAGTACTACACAATACTCTGACCAGTGATTTACTTATCAAATGAAATAAACCCTACAGAGCAACAAAAGGTTCATGATACCTCAGGATTACAAACTGGAATTGAATGCACACATAGATCTAGATTAAGAGCAAGAGTAAAACGCAAAATGTACTAGCTCCCCGTGTTACTCAACATAATTAACGATTAACAAGAATGGCCGCTAAAATTTTTTCAGAGTAGCTTCGAACTAGAGAACGATTTAAAAAAACAGAGAGATAGAGATCGATCGATTTCACGAACCCGCGAACGGTACGCCAGAAGATTTTGGAGGGAGCACGGAAGTGGATGGGTCCATGGGAAGGCTTGGTGTTCATACGTTTGCGAAGGAACCTCATGTACTTCATTTTCTGGCGGACAAGTCCACCGGAGAGACAAATCTCCTCGCACCGAACAATGACAACCTTCTGGCCATTGAGGAGCTCCTTGGCGACGATCGACGCCAATCGCCCCAGCATGTGGTGGCGCGCGTCGACGACCACGCGCTTCGAGCATATACCTGATCCTGACACCATTTTTCCCCTACTGTGTTTGAGCGGCCGACGATTCCTTCTGGAAATTATATCCGAGGAGAGTTTTTTCGACCCTAGGGTTTTGGGGGCTATTTTCGTAACTTTATTATTCAAGAAGTTCATAATGGGCCGAATCAATCAATTAGGTGGTCTCTCGCCCAGTGAATAAAGGCCCATTCCTGAATCGCTCGGGTCCATTAGAAGATATGAACGTCACCACTGATTTTGGCTTGAGAGGTAGGAGTTGTTTGTAAGCTATGGGTGACTATAACTCATATCACCAAAAGTTCCATTAATTTTAACATACTGTTTGTACTTTACAAGTAGATACATGAAGAAGTTTCAGTACAAGGATCTCAAGCGGACGCAAGAATGTTAAGGGCAACTTCCTTGAGAGAAGGCATGGTTTCTTGCTGATGAACACAGATGCAACCGTTCCTTGTCCTCCTCAGGACTTGCCATGGACCTGGATAGCATCTATCGAGTCGAAACACAACAATGATTCAGTTAGAGATCAAGAAACAAGAGGAGATTAATTTGCAGGTAAAAGAAATGATTTTTATTTTCATTATAGCAGTAACCTGAAAAGGACACCTCCTTTCGGTCCCTTGAAATTGTGGATGTAGTAGACTGTCTCCATCTTCGGAAGAAGCGTCTCGGTCAGTGCAGCCAGTTTTGGGTAAAAGAACTTCGGATAGTCTTTTCGTTTTTTTTTTTTTTGTGAAAGGAAACAAGACTCTCTCTTTTGAGTCAGATTTCTCTTTCTGGTTCTCAAGTTGTGATGCAAATGGAAAAAAGAGAGTCTACTTTGTTTCACTGATGAGAAGAAAAAAGGATACAGCCTGATCTGATGCGGTCAAGTTCTCCATTGAAGATGATTAGTTTTCGGTCAGTGTTCACAACAGCTTCCTTGTAGAGCTCTTCCACTACGAGCATCTCTGAGTGTGGAAACAGGAACAACAAAGGAATCAGTCAGATGAGGATCATATAGTTAGCAAGATGATAAGGAGGTTCCAGGGAATTACCGTTGACGTTAAAATATGGGTACCCGACAAGGAACAGCTCGTCTTCTGGCTTTACCCGATCCGCCATTTTAACTCTCTCAAAGAAACCAAAGTCCTCAAAAAGAGAAGGCTTTGTCAGATAGTCCAACTTAAAGTAAGTTCCTCCAAAGACGGTCTTTTGAGCAAACTTGACTTCGTTTGCCTCCGGGAAGAACTGAAATCACGTTATACACAAAGCTCTGTTATTCCGATAGATCTTGAATCTATCACTATTTGGATGACAATGAGAATAACTTATACTATTCTTGTGCTTCGAGCCTTCTCAGGGGATAATAAGCGGTCACAAAACTCGCGTATCATATTTATACTTTCTGTCATTTCATTCGCTCCTTCACCATCACCTAACCACAAGTAAAATGGAACATTTAATAAGCAATAGAGGAAAAAACACTTCACTGAAAAGTTGCATAAGATGAAAGTATATATTACCTGGAACAGATGCAAGACCAGATGTTGGGAACTCAATTTCCTGTAAAAGGGTTCCCATGGATCACGAATAATAACTTGTTTCGTATGTCTCCATTTAAAACAACCATTGCTAAACTCACCATTAACTGTTTCTCGTCTTTCAAAGCCAATTCAACTGCTTGTTTGGCCTGCATTTTGCAAACACACACAAAAAAAAACATCATATATCCCTTAAATGCTTTAGCTTTACAAGCAATTTGGCATAGAAAACATGAAATCTATTAACTTTACCAACTGTTTTTTTTTACCAGAATACTAATGTCTTCAGAAATGAAGTTGAACATCACTCCATGACAAGATAAAAAAATGCTTACTTGGTTAAGGAGCTCGAAGTAATCACCAGGAAACGGTACATTCTCCACAGATGTGTTATAACCTCCAGATACAGAACAAACTCTATACTTTAGATTCCTATTCGTCTTGTTAACATCGTTGTTCTTCCAATTTACATTACCAAAAACTGTCTATAAAACCAAAAAAATGGATAATTCACAAGTCAAATCCAATCTCGTTACCGAAACTAAGCAAATTATACAGCTATCCAATTAAACAATCTAGGATTTGTGGGCAAAAGAAAGTAACACGAGAATGCGAACAAGCAGGCGATGGAAAGCCTAAAACTTGAAAATCGGAGGCAGACCAGAGAAGATACAGAAACTCAAAGCCATTTCAAGGTGATAAGAAATGACGAGACAGCATCATATAAGCTCTACCGTTGAGTTAGATACGAGAATTCCGGCGAGAGAAGCCGGTGAGACGGTGGTTGGGATGGAGAAGGACGGTGACATATGGACCATAGAATTGAAACTGTGTGGTTGAGTGGGGAATATCGCCGACATATTATTGTGGAGGGAAATCCACATGCGTTTATTGAATAAAAAAATTAGAAATAAAATAAAACGAATGTCTAATTAGTCACTGATTTATTTGGTAAGCAATTATATAATGTCTGATTTTAATTAATTGCCTTATCACTTGACCAGAGACACTTGCACAGAGGAAGAAAAAAGCGGTTGGTGAAAGGCCCATTTAAGATTCCCAATAAATCATTCTTCTTCCTCTGAACTTTCCACCAGAAACCTTTCAGAAGTAATTTCCATCATTTAGTTCGTCGGAGATGGGTGGAGACGGCAAAGTTTTTACCTTGGAGGAGGTTTCTCAGCACAGTAGCTCCCAGGATTGTTGGATCATCATCCACGGCAAGGTCTTAACTCCGATCTCTCTCTCTCTCTCTTTGGGTCCTTGCGTAGCTATTTCTTTGCGCCTACATCTTTGAGCTTTTTTCTGCGCATGATTAAAGTATTTCTCTTTGCCTGATCCGATTTTTTGCATCTGCTTTTTTCGTGTTCGACTGAAAGATAATGTTGAGTTTTGCATCCCACTATTATTCTAGCAAACATAGTAACATTCTCAGTGATTTTGCATCCCACTTTCGGCTGTAACGTAGATCTGATCTACTTTGCGAGATTTATGTTTGTTTGCTGTATGCCTGAAAAATCACTGAGAATTTTGCTCTGTTTGCTAAATCTCAATGTTCGTAGATTCTTATTTGAATGTGAATGTGACAGTTGGTACTGCCTAAAAATCTATTCAATGATTGTTTGATCTCGGATCTGTGGATAAGCCTAAGCCAGTGACGTTTCCTGTATGTTTAATATGTGGAAAGTTGAAAAGCATTTTAATTTATGTCTCTGATTGTGTGGAATTGTGGACAATAATATATGATAGATCCTTCGCATGTGTATATAGGTCTATGATGTGACCAAGTTCTTGGACGACCATCCAGGTGGTGACGAGGTGATATTGACTTCTACAGGTAACATTGATTATCACTTTGATGTTTATGTCTTTGAACTATTACAGATCTTTCTTGGTTTGTTAGTCCTTGTTTTGTTTTGCACATAGTTTAGAAGTAGAAACTACTTGGTCACTTACCTTTTCTTCTCATGGGGCTTAGTAATGAAGTTAAGCTAATTCCTGGATACAAAAATGTGTTGGCTTTTCAGGGAAAGACGCGACCGACGATTTCGAGGATGTTGGGCACAGTTCGACTGCAAAAGCCATGCTAGATGAGTACTATGTGGGTGATGTTGACACAGCCACTGTCCCAATTAAAACCAAGTTTGTTCCTCCTCCAAAGCAGGTCGAGTCTAGCCAGAACAAGAGTTCGGACTTTGTCATTAAGATCCTTCAGTTCCTTGTTCCTCTTCTAATCTTAGGCTTGGCTCTTGGTATCCGTTCTTACACCAAGACTCCTTCTTCTTGAGGGACTCTGTTGGAGGCTTCAGTGTTTGCCTCTGTATTACTACGTGGGTACAATCTTTGCCTTTATCTCTCTGCCTGTTTTGTTTTGTTTTGTTTTGTAAGACATCATTCTCTTTTGCAATCAAGTGGATCTGTGATGTGAAAGACTTTTGATTTCAAATCATCTACCTTTGTTGTCTTATATCAATAAAAATCCATTTACAAGGTCGAACTTGATAACTGAAAAATATAACTCACTCGCAAACTAATCTCAAGTCTTATCTTTGCACTCACTTAAAAGAAGAGAAGAAAGAAAATAATAATAAGAAAGTTGTGAAACTTTAAACTGAGCTAATCCGTGCTTGCGCAAGTTCTCTCCATCACCTTTGAATCAGTTCTGAAAGACTGCTTTGATGGTGAGCTTGAACCTCTTGAAGAACTATGCGCAAAGAAGCTAAGTTTCCCCAATTTCTTTGAGAAACTGCTCATGAATTTGCGAGAGTGAGACCTCTGCATATCTCTCTTCATACAGATATGCTCCTTCTCTAGATCGTTGAGTCTCATTCTCAACCTAGCTAACTCGAGTTTCAGTTCCCTGTTTTCTCTCCTCAGAGATGCATAGTTGTCTTTGGGGGACATTGCTGCGCTGAGAGCTCCACTGTTTATTCTCCATGACTGTTGATGCTGCTGTTGCTTTGGCTTTGCCTCTTCGTCTGAGTAAGAAGAGCACAAGGTGCTTCTGAGTTTCAGTTGCTCAAAGTAGAGAACTTGGACTATGGATTGCAGAGGAAGCCGCTCGTTTTGTGCAGCGTGTGCTCCAGCTTCTTGTGAGAGTTTCTGGAAATCAATAAGTTTTGACAGCTTCTTCTTGTCTGAATCACATAACCCTTGATGTGCCTATAAGCATAAACCTAACATGAGTATCAACAAGACAAGAGGAAGTAAAGTTGTCTTGAATCAAATTACCTTAAGATAGAGATCAGTGGCGCGGTATAAGCCATCATGAAGTGTACGAGCATGAAGCGGTAAGGCTTCTGCAATGAGCAAGAATTTGGGAAGGTCAAGATTAGCATCGGGAGCAATCTCAGCAAGATAGCTGTCTACAAGCTTTGCAACTTTGAACATGGCGCTTTGTGAAGGCGAATTTGGACTGTCACATTCAAACACGGACTCTTCATCCTCACTATCATCTCCTCCTTGTTGTGAGAAATTCACCAAGATTCTGTGAACCGTGTCAATTTCGAACATGGTGTCTCCTGCATGACGAAAAGACGGTATCAAGAGATCGTCAAGCGTCGCCATATCAAGCTGAGAACCTATCCTCCTCTCTAGATCAAGCCTGCAGGAAACTGAAGCATCAAGCATCACTGCTCTTCTCAGTAACCCGAAGAGAAACCTTATGGGAACTACGAGCTTTTCTACAGGCAAAAGAGTAACAATCGTCTCAACAATGGTTTGTTCATGTTCGTGATGTCCGGTCTCGGATCTCTTTGTCAGCTCTCTCTCAGCGTAACTAACCAAAGAAGCTCCTATACTCTCTGGACGCACGCCACGGCACTTCATTGCATTCATCACTCTCTGATACAAATCAACCCTAAGAACCGAAAGATCCTCGATCCACCAATCTCCTCCATCGCTGCTCTTCGCTTGCCTGCTCATGTGAAGCCTCCCTGAGCTACTATACTCCAGCCGCGAGAAGCTTGAAGCGATCTGCTCGGCGCAGGCCTTTGAGGCAATGGCATCGATGCATCTGCTTATGATATTGAGTTCGTCTGCAAGTGGGAGAAGATTCTCGGATTGTTTCAAGACTTCAACACACATCTCAAGGTTCTTGCATACAATGCTATCAAGATACTCCTCTGTTCTTGAAGCCAAGTTGTCTTTGGAGTACTCTTCTGTCATCTCGAGGTAGTCAGAGACGCAAAAGAGCTGCGCAACGTTTGATGAAGTGATCTCAAAGTTAATCCCGTAGCAGAACTTAGCTGCTAATTCGAATATCTCTGCTCCTCCTGGGAGATTGAGAAGCTCCACTTTGGTAATATCTGAATCTCTGTGTTCTGCAACGATTCTACGGATTCTTCCACTTCTAGAGACTAAAGGGAACTGAGAAATGGAGAATCAAAAGCATTGTTTCAGTAACTCAATAGATTAACAAAGAAAGAATGGTTATGTTTATAAGTATGAATATATATACCTTATGCAGAGCAAAGTTTCCTCCGTTTACTTCTATGGCTATATCACTTGGAACGTCTCGAAAGATCCTGAAAAGTTGCAGGAAAGAACATCATTGAGCAAGAGTTGTAGTTATGCGTGCAAGCGAGCAAGATTGAGACAGAGCCATATATTACCGAGAATCAGACAATATCACAAGAGAAACGTAAGGGTATTAATTAGTTACTAAGCTGATCAAGAGAAAGGTAGTGAAATTAGAACAAAGAGAAGAGAACACATACCATTCACTACAGCTTTGCCGGGAAGATTTAGCAAGCGAGAGCTTCTGGTGATGGTGGAGATGTTGATGATGCTGTAGCAGAAGATGCTGGTGATGCTTGTCCATGAAGAAAAGTTAAGAAACAGAGAAAGAAGAAGAATAAGAGAATCAAGTGGAGTAGTTTGGTGATGGTTGGTTTTTCACAAGCAATTTGCAAAACCAGGGAGAGAGAGAGAGAGAGATGGTAATGGTAGTGTTGAATGCGCATTAATCATAACATTTGGTGATGTTTGTTCAAATCCAAAGTTTTTGTCTTTGTCTTTGTCTATAGTTGGGTCCCTTTTCGTGTCCCTCCATATTTTTATTTCTCCATCTTTTGAAATTTCAAGATCAAAGCCTTTTTCAAGCAACATTGTCAAACGTAAATTAGCCCCGTTTTCTTTGGGATATCAAAAGATTCTGTGCAAAGTTGGAATAGAAATATGTTTTGATATGAGATGAGCAAAAAGGAAGGAAAAGACTGATAAAGGTGTGAGAGAAAAAAGAAAAAGTGTCAAAAGGCTTAAATCCAAAGGAAAAATGATTTGAGAGTGGGAAAAGTTAAAGCGGAAACAATGAGTGTTCATTTTGCAAATCTATTACTACATTCTTAAAACCTTTTTTCGGTTTGCTTTGTCTCTCTTATCATCATGTGTAATTATCTTCTTTTTTTTCTCTTACGGTTAGACACAATAGATTTTCAAACCCCTACGTTCTATATTTACGGTATAGTGATTATTTGACTAATTTGTATTTTACTACATAATCATCAAGAAAGCTAAATGAACCGATCAAATTTGAGTTGTACCAAGCATCATCTAGATTCCCATGAAGCCTCCTCTCACAAGAGCTGATGAATTCGATCTGTTGACCTGCCACCTAACTTTTCTAGGATAAGAAGTGTAATTTTCTTGAAAAGCCGAATTCCATCGATTTTTTATAGTACACTAGGTATATAACTTGCGTTACGCGCGAGTTTATATTAATATTTAGGTTTATTTTTTTTAGCTACTATCTTTAAAATTATTGAAAATATAATATATTTATAAAAATTTTTATTTATATAAGAGAATTTAATATATAATGTGTAATTTATCCTATTTTTATTTATAAATTTTTAAAAAACTATTAGATAAAATAATAACAATGATACATATCGAATTATCCAACTTTGACATATGTATACATTTGATTTAGAGAAATATAATCTTACTAAGACTTTGGTATTATTTTCTGTTTTCTATAGAATTTCTATAGTTTTGTTCAAAGATTTATTTTTTTATTGAAAAGTCTTATTGATGTTGTGTGTCACTGCATATATAATCCATGATTCATGTTGATTCAAATTTAATATTGTTAGGAAACTGTAATGATCATGCAAAACGATTTTTTCCTTTTCCATCATGTCTTCCAAGAGTTTTATGTTATATTTTTATTCAGTATTCATTGCTTTAATTGTTAAATCCAGTTGTTGTAGATTTTTTTTAAAATTGATAATTGATAATGGTTACTTTTTTTATACATGTATTGTTAATTGTTAATTTTTTTATTTAACTTTTAAATTTTTAAACCATATTAACATTTTATGATTTAATAAATATGTTGATTTGGATCAATCATATTGAATTTACTTTTTTTGTTGGACATAAGTTGTTAAATTAACTTTTAATGTTTTAATTATACTTAATAATTTTTGGTTTGATTTAAAAGCTTATGTGGACCAATTAAATCAAGTTTTTCTGTCTTAATCATACTTAACATTTTTTTATTTAATGAATATGCTGATGTAGACTAATCAGATCGAGTTTTTTAATCTCATGTGGACACCCTCAATGCACTATGCCATCAACTTTTATATATTATATGATTTTTTATTTGTATTATTAGAGATGAGATTCGTACCATATTTACAAGCCCGATATGAATTTTGGTCGCCCATCTTACAAGGATCAGATCGGTTAAATAAATGGAAATCTTCCATTTACCAAGTAAAACCCGAGAAAAAGGAAGTTCGGTTTTATGGGCAAGAAGACTTTCCTATTCCAAACATATATTGAAGACCGACCTGATCGGCTATAAATATGGGAAGTCATCGACTTCTCAAGGATCATCCAAAAATCACTTCTCAAACTCTAGAGCAAACTAAGCAATCAAATTGTTCTAGTTCTCGATTTACTTTCCTTAAGAAGTTTAGATCGGCGTTCTTATTCCGACGACCTAAAGCCCCGTGTATCTCTCAAATAAGATCTCTCTTTAAACCCACAAACCCTAGTTCTGTTTTAGAAATCGAACTTGAGTTTTTACGTGTATGAGCATACTGTGCAGTAGTAGATGAGTACAGCTCTGATGTACAAAAAGTTTTTAACATTCATATGTGAATTCTTGTTTTCATATACTATTCTTTTTTTTAATTAATTCTGATAAGTAGATTTATAATCACGTACACATGAATAATTCCACACATTGACTCATCCCTTAGTTAATTTTTTAGTCTATCCAATACAATGTTCAAGTCATAAGTCTCTTCTTAGTTCTTGACTGGATCAATTATTCATAAAGTACTTATTGTATTTGGAATAAAAGACATACTATTACCCCTCTATAGCAACGTTATATTTATTCTAAATCAGACAAATTTAGAGTTTGTTGGTATGGTTGCGTTGCGTCTTGCGTGTGATGTCGATTAGTGTTATTGCTTGAACCAAGTAGGGCCCTAATCACGTTCTTCATTACTTCTTTCACATTCACATGATTATTAAATCCAAATGCGTTTATGCATATACATGTTCACATATAGAAACTTTCAAAGGAGTGTTAACTGATTCATTAATTTTGAGGACGATCTCTTTAACCACTTTCCATCATAAATTAGTTAATAAACAATCGAGTTAACCAAATGAGTATCAGCTAATGTATCGAGCACCAAAACAACATCACTTCATAACTTATATTTTATATGTTTTTATATATCAACAGTCTTAACATGCAGACTTTTAAGTTTTGTTTTATATTTTTTGAATATTATGCGAGTAATTTTGTAATCGTTCCGGGAGGAAAAAGTTAACCGAGGATGGGTGTGTCCAGAGAGAGATGATTAATTAAAGGGTGGATAATATTAATATTAATATTAATATTAAGCAAAGGATGCGGAGATGATTATGTGAGAATGATGTCTTCGCCACCTCCATTATTTTGATTAGTGCTTTTAGATACAAACAAAAGCATTGTCTTCTCGAGTATCAAGTCAAAACTTTTTTAAGCCCACTCGTTTATATTTTTGTTAAAATTGCATTTTAACTTATCACCTTACGTGTTACTCTCACGGATATGATTCCTGCAAACCAAACCAATATCATGGTCCGTCGTCCATCATTCATTTAAAACTTTTATTGTTTCACATGTAAAATATATATATGGTTTGCATCTAGATGAGATTTTTTTTACATTTTAACTATTTTTATAAATTTGCTTTGCCGTGATTAATGAATACCGTTTCAAAATAAAAACTACTTTCAGATTTTCATAAAATAATTTTGTAAAATACACAAACGCAAACACCAAACAAGAGAAATTTTTTTTTTTTGTTCTGTTGCATATGGTGTTTGCACTCCTTATATAGTTGTTTAAGAGTGTAAGTTTATCTAAGAAAACTATTTACGTAAAATGTATGTGTACATGCAAACAAACAATCATGCTTTTGTTCTAAATAAATTATAACTTTTTAATCATTAACAGTTGTTAATTTTTTTGTATAAAATAATTGGAATTTTTATATATCATAGAAATCGATTACTATTATCATGAAATCTATAGTTTTAACATTGAAAGACATGTTTCAACTTTTAAATATAAGTTAAAACATAAATGTTCAACGAAACTGAAATTATGGGAATTCTTGTTTCCTCCCGGTGATTATGGGAATATGAAAGGAAAATGAAATCACAAAATTGGAAATACGAAAGATAAGGAAGATTCTGTCAAAAGAAACAAAAAATATTATAGAAATATATATAGAGGTCAACTTGTGAAAGACAAGAAATTATGGGGTTAGAAGGAGAAAAACAAAAAAGAAATGGGTTAGACATGAAACGAAAGGAGATCCTTTATGAACGAACGCATCATCTGTCTGATTGCACGCGCTTTGATTGCTTCGTGCATTTAACGCTTTGATTGTCATTATTGGTCTTTGGTTAAAAAAGTCTTTTTCTCTTTGTGGGCTAACACAAGCATCCTATGCTACAACATTGCATATATTTCTATATATTTTACATTTTAATATATATATTGGACCGGCCTTATTCTCCAAGCTCAAAGCTTAGCCCAACCCACTTTGACTTTTTTTTTCCGAATGATATTTTGAAATATATAGCTCGGTCTAGTCCGATTAAAAGTTGGCAAGTTCATGATTACAATAGTCAATATATTCGCTAATTTCTAAAACCGAATAAATTTTGAAAATTGGAAAGTCCTTGGTTTGGAAAAAAAATCAAATTGCTAAAGAACTGTACTTATGCAAAGCATCTCCCAAACTCTCAGTCCCAAAGAGTATTATTATTCTGCCGGTGGTCAAACCGTTTTGGGAGACTGGATTGATATTTTGTCGACTTGCTCCGACGTAGTCCACAGATTGCGAAAAGTCATCTCCACATATATTTATTTATTCAATGAAATATTCACATATAACTGTTTTTTTTTTTCTTTTTGGCCTTACTGAGCTTTTAAACTACTTAAGTTATTTAACTATAGAATTGTACATATACTTCTTTTGATTCTTTCTTTATAAAAAACATGTTTCTTGCGGTTTGAAATTCATATAATAATCTTTCATACGGTCTCTGGCTCACATTAGCAGGTCTATGGGAGGCGTTGAACGAGGAAAACTATTTAGAAACAAAAACATACATTGATTCAGAAGGATGAAGCCAGAGAGAGCGAACGAGAATATGAGAAGAAGTGTAACGAAAAGACAAAAGGCTTTCGTAGTCAGTGCTCCTTTCTTTTTGAACGTTTGTCTACCAAATAGTATAAAAGAGTCAAAGATAACATTGAACAAGCTGAATACAGAATACTCCAAGTGTGTGCATTGGTTAAAGAGATGACGTAAGCGAATCTAAGTGTCCCAAAACATTATTCGTAATAGTCAGCTAGCCCGTGATCAAACTCAAACAACACCCCGTGTGTTGTGTACACATCACCATATGCGTATGTATGTATGTATGTATGTATGTATATGATATGTTAATGTTGTATGTATGCATTCACTTTCAATCTCATTCACTTTTTCACTTCAAAGTGATTAAAGAAAACAAAGAACAATGATTGGTTTGGAGATAAGATTTCACAGTTTCATCACATGGGGCTGGCCAAATTCCGAGGGACGTTAAAAAAGTTAAAACAACAGAGATCTTCTCAATGAACACTGTAATATATTTGTTGTCCCATCTCTTGTCTGTTTCTCTTAAAACTCTGTTGTAATAATTAGGGATGTTCATATCCAAGTACTCCATATCAGGAATAAGGCATTTTGAATCATTTCCAAAATGTTTTTTTTTTTTTTTTTTTATAACTTTTGAATGATTTCACTTTTCATATTCAATATGTTCTCGTGCCAGTTAGAACAAAATTTAACAGTTTCAGAGGGAAAATTAGAGTATGGTACGGAAAATCGAGGGCAAAAATGAGTCTAGTTCGAACACTCTTCTCTGTGTTTTATTTGCCAAAATCTCACCCTTTAACCCTTATATATCTCTTAATTCGTGTTTCCAACTTCTTAGGCTTTTCATTATCCAAAAATCAAAAAGCACTATCACATTACAATTCAAAATTAATACAAATGATCGTATTCCGCACATTATTCACACACGCACACACACATTCACGTGCTCTAGATCCTGCGTCAGACTTATGTCAAGAGAGAAATAAGAGTATGCAAAAGGAGGGACCAATCTGTGTGTAGTTGCACGAAGAGGATATGATTCAGATTTCAGAGTTAGACTCACCTACCAAACTCTCACGTGAACCCTTCAATGGGTTAAATCTGCATCTGAACCATTTTTACATGCTTACACACATCCCCATCAATCATCATCATCACCACATACACACAGCTTTCAATAAACATGAGAGAGAGAAAAACGTCTTGGGCAGAAACAAGAGAGCAAACAAATTCACTAGGCAGCTAAATCATCAAAGAGATTAGTACAAATGGTGTGAGGTTCTCAGATCCCTAACCTACTTTCCAACTTGTTCTCTAACCACATTATTAATACTTAAGATTACACTCCTGTTTAAGGATTTTGATGTTCGGTTAGTCTGTTAAATTCCATCACATTCTTACTTCACACCATATCATTGGAGCTTGCTTTCCTTTGAACTTCATGGAATGACTTGTACCCACTCGTAGCGTCCAGCGAGGGGCATATCATTCACAATGTCGAAGTTGTACCTGAAATTGTTGTTCTAAACACATGAGTGTTCATCCTCTCGTAGTGCAGCAAAACAAAACAAAACATACCCAAAAATGAAAACCATGCTTACTTCTCCATGAATAGCCTCTGCTGTTGCTGCTCTGCATAGGCAAAGAACTCCTCCAGTTCACTAGTGGTTGGGACCGTGCTATCTCGGTCCCTTGCGTAATCTTCGGTAGCTGTGCGCAACGACCTCGTGCTAGCGCCTGGTGTAACAATGATCTTTACATCCTCAACAAAGTTACAAGGTGTGCTCTCCCTTGTGCTGAAGAAAAATCATTAGGAACTTCAAATTAGCATTATCACCACAAAAGACACTCAATCGAGAACTGAACCAAAACTAAACATACAGAGAAAAAAAAAAGAGGCTTGATTTAAGTAAAAAACAAAAGCTATACTATGTGAGTACATATGGTCCCATGCGATACGCTATGCAATAAATAACAAAGAGAAGGAAAACCCGTTGTGTCCTCTACTGGGACGTTTGCCCAAAAAAACAGAGAATCCTACAAAAGTATTCCCCAAGTTTGCAAAAACCAATAGGCCCCATGAACATGACGCCACGCTACTTGCATTACACTTACGAGGAAAACCCCAATTTCCATACGATCTAACATATTAAAAGCGTCTGACATCTACACATCAATCACTTTTTGTATGAAAGAAAACAATTTTGTTTTTGAAAATTTACAGTGAATGTCCCAACGACCAATTCCCAGAATTGTATCCCCCAACGAGCTAATCTCAAACCACTTACACTAATATACAAAAAACGGATCATAATTTCACATACTTAGCAAGCTGAACCAAATTAGTTTACATATATTTAAAGAAAATATCTTTGTAACATTTGAACCCCAAAGAAAAAAGCTTTGCTACATTGATAACCTCTGGCATGAGGTACACATGGGACAGACTATAATAACTCTGAGATATCTAATCTAACACCAAACAGAGAGCAGTAAAAAAATAACATCAGTACATCAGAGGAGAGTAAAGTCGTCAACAAAATCAAACCAATAAGGGAAACATGAGAAAAAAAGGACTTTACTTTTATTTGTACTAAAACTATTATCATCCCCAAGAAAAAAATAAACTCAGCAAACACCAAAAGTTTCAGAGAAACCTAGCGCTCTTCGCATTTCGAGCAAAAACGCTGAATTAAAATCAAACTCATTCATCATTCTATTGATGTGGAATTCATCTGGAGCCAGATTATTTGCACTACACTCAAACTAACATTCTTTGATAAAAATAAAAAAAATAAAAAATGAAGGAAAATTTCATCGAATTGGTAAGAAGAAAGCTAGGGCACAGAAGACGAACCTGTGTCTTGATTCAAAATCGAGGCTGTTCTCTCCACAAAACACTTCTGCACTCACGGAGTTGCTCAAAAATTCATCTCCGTTGCAGCTCCGAGCTTCAGGAACCGAACCTGAGGCGGCTGCGTTCGAGTTAACCGAGTCAACGCGAGATCTCGAACCAGGCTCTCTAATTCCCGATTTATGGTGTCTCGGCGGCTGCTTGGGTTCGGCCAGCGACGGTGGTTTCTCGAGACGACGGCTACGGAGCTGGAGATAGCAAGAAGAGTCGCCAGCTAGAGCGGAATCAGAGGCGGAGGAGTTAAGCCTCTTCAAGGCTAGGGTTTTAGCGGCCCTGGTACGAACGCCCAAAGCTGTTGGCTCGGTGACCTCCATAACGCCGACATCGCCGGTAATCTTCGATTTCTTCATGTATTTGCCCATTTTTAGACCCCAATTTGAGAGAGGCGAAGCTCGAAAGCGGAAAGAGAAAATGGGAGGGAAAGTCTTCAAGGAGGGAGAAGAGGAGGGAAGCGAGAAAAATGGAAAAAAGCTTTTAGAGTTTTGTGGGGTTAAAAATAAAGAAAATGAGAAAAGAAACCTTTTTATTTTATTTTTATTAACTTTTTTATAAACCCCACAACTGTTTTTATTTTAATATTAAACCCCACAAGTTCATCATTATTTATTCTTCAGTACTTTTCTGTCCAGGAAACAAGCAGTTTATTAGTTTTTTCCACTTGTATTTTTTCTTAAGTAATTTGCTATGTCACTAGATAGCAATTTTAGGTTATTTGTTGTTAAAATTACACATTTATATATTTTATAAACAAAACTTCGAGTTTGACACAAACTTAACTATAAATATCACGGTTGTATTATGTATAAAGTCTAACTAGATATAAACATACATGTGTTATCAGAGTATATACATGATGAGCTGATGGTACATTTGCAAACAGGTGTAACGTCGACTACATGGTGTATCAAAATTCAAAAGTGTTCACACTTGATCACAGTACTTGGCTTTCTGACGAAGATACAGTCTTTGTCGCCTCTCCTGCTACACTCGAAACCTTGAAGACCAAACACTTTAATGTGACTCATCACACGAAATCAAAAACAAACTCGAGAGAGAGGAAGACGAACAAAGTGAAGAGACAAGTTTCTGGTACCAAGTAAAAGTACAGATTACACGAGTAATTAAACTCAATCAGGAATAAGTCATTAATCTCTACAACTTATACCGTGAATGTTAGTTAACACGGAACTCGGTTTTTAATATCACTTTACGTTTTAAAATTGATTTAGGGTTGTGAAGCATCAACTTTTAGGCTTGGTCGATTAAGAAATTGTTGCAAACTTGCAATCATGTTTGTATTTTTCAGTTATAGTGTTTCTTGCATGACTTTTGTTTCTTTTCTAATTCATGTTGTTGACAAAAAAAATAAAAATAAAAAAAAAATCAAGAAGAACACTCCATGGCCTCAGCCACCGCACGTTCCCGCTCATCCTCTGCCGCCTCCACATTCTCTACGACGTCGTCGAGCTTTTCTCGAGTGACATTTTCAGAGCATTCTGTAGCGGTTCCCAAAAAATCCAGCGCCGTCACAACATCACTCATAACTGGTCGGACCGAGTCTTCCTCCTGTAGACACATGGCGGCTACTGCCACCGCCTGATTCAAAGATTTCTCCGGGAACACTCCCTCCATAAGTGGATCCGCTAATTCCGAGAATCTGCCCGGTTCCTTGAATACAGGTTGTGCCTAAACATAGGATATCCGATAAATCAACTTTCTACTCAATAAACCAACTATATAGTATATACATATTTTTATTAAGGTCACGGATCAAACTATATGCATCCACCGTGCTCAGAGATGTTGACCATCCATGATTTTGTATAAAGTTGAAGAACTCACCCAAGTCACTAGATGTTGTTCGTCTTTGGGTCTGGTCATATCAATCACTCTTCGTCCTGTAATCAACTCTAACAACACAACTCCGAAGCTGTAAACATCTGATTTTGTGGTTAACTGTCCGGTTCTCTGATACTCAGGAGCGCAATATCCATAAGTTCCCATAACTCTGGAAGACACGTGCTGTTTGTCTCCCACAGGACCAAGCTTCGCTAGTCCGAAATCTGATAGCTTGGCGTTGAAGTCACTGTCAAGAAGGATATTAGCTGCCTTCATATCTCTGTATATCACTGGTGGGTCCGCCTTGTCGTGCAAGTATTCTAAGCCCTTGGCCGTTCCTAGTGCGATTCTCATCCTCGAGTTCCACTCCAACGGGTCTTGATCCGGCATTAGATCTGATGCACATTTTCGACATATGTGTTAGATTGAAATAGATTGATCTGGAGATGAATGAATATATGAATTTGGTAACAGACCGAGGAGATGATCTTCGAGTGAGCCACGAGGCATGTAGTCATAGACGAGAAGTCTCTGATCTCCGTCAGCACAATAGCCAACGAGATTAACGAGATGCTTATGATGCAGAAGACTCAACATCAATACCTCTACGATGAACTCTCTGTTCCCTTGCAACCCGTCTCGATCTAATTGCTTCACAGCCACAATCTGAAATCCGAAAAACAGCACCTTGTAGTACAAGTCTTAGAAATAACTGTTAATTAGTTAGTTACCTGTCCGGTTTTCTCGAGCTTTCCCTTGTAAACCCTACCGAAACCGCCTTCACCGATCAAACATTCTTGTCTGAAGTTGTTGGTAGCTGTTGCTAGCTCCCTGAAGGTAAATGTTAGCGCCGCTATGTTGGTTGTATCAATGTTCTTACTCTCTTCCTTTCCAGTCTCTAGAGGCATTCATTACATTATTGGTAAGAAGAAGAAGATCAAAATTCTGATTTAAAACCCTAAAACTGAATCTTGAAAACAAAAAACAAAAAAAAAACAAAAAAAAAAGCTTACCGGAGTGTACTTTTTGTGGTTTCTTGTCTTCTTTAATGGCTAATTCACCATTCCTTTGACAGCTGATATTTCTCGTAATTTTCTTCTCGTAGAAATAAAAACACGAGAAACAATTCATTTCTTTCTATCTTCCCCGGAAAACATATACGAAAGAGTTTCGATCAAGACCGCAAAATCCGATCAAGCTATGTCTCCTTCATTTTTGCATAAGCCTCCGGGAGAGGAATTCAATCGAACTCCTAAATAGGACAATAAAATATCGATACAGTTTCAGACCAAATAAGCTATTGAACTATCTGGATTTTTCATGGAAGCAGAGGAGTAACCATTGTTACCCGTTTCCCAAGAAACCCTTGTGAGTTCTTTTTTATACCAAGATTTATTTGACACAAGGCAAGAAAGAGCTCCATGAAAGCTGTAAGAGAGATAAATTAGATCGAGGTTTTTGGTTTGTGGAAAGCTTTGTCTTAATATAGAGACTTACTCTTTTAAAATATTCAAACTAAGATAGTACTATTCTTAATTAATATTTTAGTTTCTTTATAAAAAAAATGTAAGAGTTTGAATAATGTCAAAACATGACTAATGTGGCTTCCAATATGACTCTTCCATTGCTCAAACATCTTTTATAGTAACGTTAGATCAAAATAATTGGCCCTGAATATAGTTTTTATTTGTCAAAATCTATTTTGGGCATTTTCAAGTGTTGGTTCTTTACATCAACTGCCACTTATGTATGGTTGTCGAACTTCTTTTCTTTTCGAATTATTATTTTGAAATTCTATTCTTGTTCAAAACTGAAAAGAAGCTATGACATGGAGATCATGAAGTGTATAAACTATATATATAAAAATAAAACAAAAAGGGCTTGACGTGTTGTTGATGGTTTTTTGCAGTGCATTAACGTGACACGAACTATATTATACATGTTTTAAAATTCGAATGTCCTAGTCAAGAAATTAAATAAATTGTTTTTAAAAAAGTCAATCATTTCAAAGATACTATATGTAGACAATAGACAGCAGATAGTTCGATTGTTAGGTGACGAGATTTATGTGTCTGTTCTTTTTGGTTTAAATTAAACAAGTTGACTGAGTGATTTAAAAATAATGGGACAATGTGTTGTCGATCATTGCACGATGCGCCAATCTAGCTATGACTTGTAAAACTTCTTTCAACTGATCTAAATGATCGATTTTGTAAATTCTACTTGAAAATCATGAGCCAATCTTTTTCTAGATGGATTCATTTGTAGACCGAGTCAGTGTAGGCCTTTTTTCAGTCTATATGTTAGTGTCCATAGTTATAACTTTTAAGGGATAACTGAATGATCTTGCATCTCTGATTAGAGATTTCATGGAAGAACATAGTTTTTTTTTCTAATTTGACAAAAGACATTAAAAAAATACACTCTTTTGCAGAGAGGAAAAAACAAACAGAAGCACCAACGACAATGGCAATGTTGTTGAATCAATGGAGTCAATGCCAAAACTAGAAGCTAATATTATATATCACCAAAACATCACTTACCAAACAAGAATCATCAAAAGGACACCAAAAAAATTAAGGTCGATGGAAAAAAATTACTATTACAGTTATGAGAATTTCATTTCCACCGGAGAGATTGTCTAATCCCGGTGAAGATGAGCCCGACTGATCTACCGATCAAGGTGACAAGAAAGAAGGATATGATGCTACTCACTTTATCCAACACCACTCTGATAATTGGCATTCCAATGTCTGCTAACTCCAGAAACAGACTGAAGTAGTACCTCCTGTACACATCAAAACAATTTCTCATGTGAATTCTCCTGTATCTTCGGCTTTGTGATGGAGGTGAAAGAAGAGAGAGGTTTTACCATCCCGATAGAGCCTTAAGCTCCTTTGTTCGTTTAACGGGCAATGAGAAATCGCTTATTATGGAGTATCGCAAGGGTGATGATGAGGCAGCTCTAGTTTTTCTCGGTGTAAGCTTTCTCCACCAACTTGGGCTTTCTGTATTATTACCACCATCAAGGTTGTTGATAACCTGAGTTTGAAGAATGTAGAGGTCAAATCGATCCTCATACATCGACACAACTGCTTCCATGTTCTGATGCAACCACTGGTATAGAGCTACCTACCAAATAGAAATGAAATCTTTGTCACATGAGAATGAAAGGTGGATTCTAAACACAATAGAAGGGAAGAGTTTTTTTCTTTTACCTCATTACGTAGCTTTTGGAGTGCTCTACTAGAAAGGTTACAGATATCTAATCCTCCACTATTCATCTCAGTTGAAAACTTGCTGTCTACAGAGATGAGCTCTAGATAGATGCTAGCGACCCCATCTGCTAAAGTTATCATGAAGTCTTCCAAAATGGCAACTCCGTGAGTGCGAAACAAGCTAAGGTCGTAGCAGGAAGCTTTCCCGGAAGACCCAAATTTATGGAAATATAAAAATTCTGCAAACAGATCCTCCTTGCCTGATTTTCTTATTTTATCAAAAATAGCGTCCTTTTCATTTAGCATTTTGATCAGCAAAGGAGTAATCGCCTGCACATCCGTAGATTCTGGAGTTCATTCCAATTCTGGTTTTCAAATCAATATAAAATAAAATAAAAAACAGTTCTGCAGTCACTAATGCTAAATATGGTATCGACCTACCTTGTCAGAATCAGTGTTTTCCACACGCAGTTCCTTTTTTAGCCAAGCCGTGCATGCTCCTTGATATGCTTCGCGGACAATATCAGTAAAACTAACCATCCACTCCTCCGAATTGATTTTGTTAGACATCTTATTTGTCTGCAGAGCAAATACAATAGCTGATCACAAGGTATGGGAAAACACAGCAAAGTAGTGTCTCGGATGCTACTAATGGTAGAGAATAACAGATCTTACTAAGGAAACAATCAAAAAAGTTATTAAGTTCTTGCCAAAGGTAGTTTGATTAAAATCTTCCCACCTCAAAGATTTTTTATAATGGCAGGTTTGTGCGTTTCAGCATTGTGACATAAAAATGGCATCTACTACTCTAGAACACTGACATTGATGCAATTACTTGACTCAAAAGTGCACATGCCCCTGAACTAGAAATCATTTGAAACCCTTGAAAACAGATATGCTCAAACTGAAATACTGAAGAAAGCAGGTACAAGCTGACCTCTTCTTCAAGTTTCTGAAAACACGACCAGAGCAAGTACACTTGGGGCCCTTCAGATATGGCATACAAGCTCAGCGGGGGCTTCCCTTGGGGAGGTTTGGTTTTGAGGACTCTGTTTCCAAGTGTACTCTCACGCTTGATGGCGTCTAAAGAATCTAAAAGCTTTCCTTTAACCACATCCCACACAGACTTCAAATCACCCTCAAAATATGTGTCCCTAAAGTCAGAGCATAGAAGAAAGGGACAGTGTGAATACACAACAGTTTGCTGATACTGCACTGTAAAAGTGAAATGGAAATATGGAATAGAGACTTCATTCTCACTACTCTTACCTACCAGAAGATTCTGAAGTTCCAACACCTGGATTCTCCTCTACGGTGTACTTTCTGGAAGAGTAACCGGAGTTTTGAAGAGGGATCACTCCAGCCATATATGTAAGGAATATGCTGGCCATCAGGAGAACTTGGTCACCGATAGGGACCCAGCCGGAACCAGCAACAGCATCAAAATCTGCGAGAGATGCCAAGCAAGTACACTTACAAGAAGACTCTCCCCTAGACAAATACGCTCCGAGATTCAAGGGAGTAGAAACATAAAGTTTCCGAGCTTCCCCTGATCGTTTCAATGTGATGTTGCAACTCCCAAAACGCTTCCTACAAAAAAGGCATTAACTTTAAAAAAAATCTCATATAGTCAAGAACAACAACAACAACAACAACAGAGAAAATTTGTAGTTAACTAAAGAAAAGAGATTGAGAATCAAACCTTCGGGCAACTTTTACATGAGGGTTCCTGGAAAGGAAGCTTCTTTTGCTAGAATGAAGCTCGGGGATCCGTAGCTGAATGCCTAATGATGGAGATACAACATGTCCAACCATCGGTAAAACCTTAAGAGCTCACGACTAAAACATGCCTAATCTCGGAAAAGAGATCCCCCAAGCCTAATCTCTACATCACAAGAAAGAAGATAAAACAAAAAAAGTCAAATTGAATTCCAGAACCTGATTGCAAGTTTGCAACAAGGCTTGGCTGCTTAGAGATAAGTTTGTATATACGACATTCAATTTCATGTTTAAATCACGTTGTAGCCGCCAAGATACTGAATGTCAAGACTAGTAGATTCCATAGTCGATCCGAAAAAACACCAATTACATTGTTCAAAGGAAAAGAGAAAGGAAACCAATCTACATTGAGATTCAGGGAGAGGTCAAACAAACGAGAATCAGATGAAGTAGAATGAAAACTAGCAAACAAACCTGGAATTAGCAGGAGCCAAGAGTGAGGAGAAGGATACGTAAGGACGAATTGAGAAAGAGCAGAGCAGAGAAGAGAAGAAGCGGATTGGGGTTGTGCGTACCTGAAAAGAGAGTTTTCTCTCGTCGTAACCCACAACGACAGAGACAAAACTGGAACGATAAGTATCAATTTCTATACATAAACATCATTTCCGAGGAAAGAGAACAAAGGGGTGGTGGCGCAGTTGGCTAGCGCGTAGGTCTCATAGCTGTCTGAGTAATCCTGAGGTCGAGAGTTCGAGCCTCTCTCACCCCAATTATGTTATTTTTGCTTTAGAAGCACAAAAGAAACGAAATTTGTCCCACATCGGAACTTTAGCTCTTTTCGGTTGTGTATATATATCATGAGAAGAGGATACATAATTGTGTTCGTAGAAAGGAGAGATGGTTGGCATCTCCTCTGACAGAGACGGGATTGACCTTCGGGTCTTTGAACACATCCGGTTAAGGCTCTCCACCCTCGGGTGGATCTAACCAAATTTTTTTTGGGCTTTTTTGGCTTTTTTTTGGGCTTTTATTTTTTAATTGGGCTATTTTCTGTTGGGCCTCTTGGCAATTGTTTCCCACAATAAAGATGTTACACATGCTCATCAACAATCTAAACTCAACCATCGACGAGTCTAATAAAGCTAAACAAATGTCATTACCATTTTGGTGTGGGTGTGAAACATATTGGGAATTTGGGAGCATCGTGTGGTGGTCAATGATCATATATGCCTTTGTGCCATGTAAAAAGCTGAGATGTCTCAAAATCAAACCCACGCTTAGAATGTGTGTATTTTGGCTTTGATGAAGTTGGGTTGGTTTGGTGATTGGTATGTGCACTGCACACGAAAAACATACGCAGAGAGTCAAAAATGAACTTTACAAAACATTAAAAACGAAACAAATACAAAACATTAAAAACGAAACAAATACAAAACATTGAAAAAGGAAACATTAGATAGGAAAACAAAAATATCAAACCAGAACAAGAATTTGCATCTGTATATATATTTCTTCACCATCCCTTTCTTCACTATCCCAATACCAACTCTCTTTTACCAGCAAATCAGAAAAGAAAAAAAACGAACGCTAGAAATCGACACCAGTTGTTCTTCGATTTTCGATATATTGATTCATTATCCCTTTTCTCATCCCCAAGTCTCTCTTCGATACCAGTTGTTCCGTGTGTTGTTTCGGCCATGGAGAAGAAGGAACTCGAAGAGTGGAATCATCTCTCTCTCGTATCCATTGTCTGTAACGAACTGGAGACGCATATAGGGCAGGCGCCAAAGGGTTTGGCTGAGTATATCATCGATATTGGCCGCCACACTGAGACTATCGATGAATTCGATAAGAAGCTAAAGGAGAACGGCGCAGAGATGCCGGATTATTTCGTTCGCTCGCTGTTGACTGTAGTCCACGGGGTTTACCCGCCGGAGCCCAAGTTTGAGGAGAAATTCAAAGGATACTAAGGAAGATCCTACGGCTGAATCTGGTGCTCAGGAGCTTAGGGGTGTGGGTTTATCAGCTTATGGCATGCCTGAATGGAAGAAGGATGCTTTTGGGAAAAGACCCACTTTTGGAAAGAGATCAAAGCTTTCTATCCAGGAGCAAAGGGAGAGCCTTCCTATATACAGCTTGAAGAAGGAGCTGATACAGGCTGTTCACGATAATCAAGTCTTGGTGGTTATTGGTGAGACTGGGTCCGGGAAGACGACTCAGGTGACTCAGTACCTTGCCGAAGCAGGTTACACAACAAGAGGAAAGATTGGGTGTACTCAGCCTCGCAGGGTCGCTGCAATGTCTGTCGCCAAGAGAGTAGCTGAGGAGTTTGGTTGTCGTTTGGGAGAGGAGGTAGGGTATGCGACTCGGTTCCATGATTGTACTGGACCAGATACGGTGATCCAGTACATGACTGACGGGTTGCTTCTCAGGGAGATTCTGAGAGATGAGAACCTCTCTCAATACTCTGTTATCATGCTTGATGATGCTCACGAGCGGACGATTCACACTGATTTGCTGTTTGGTCTTTTAAAGAAGCTGTTGAAACGCAGGCTTGACCTTCGTCTGATTGTCACGTCGCCCACATTGGATGTAGAGAAGTTCTGTGTGTATTTCTTCAACTGCAACATTTTCACAATTCCTGGAAGAACATTCCCTGTTGAGATACTGTATACAAAACAGCCAGAATCCGATTACTTGGATGCAGCTGTGATCACAGTTCTTCAGATCCACTTGACTGAACCTGAGGGTGACATTCTCCTCTTCTTGACCGGACAGGAAGAAATCGATTCTGCATGCCCCTCCTGGTACTCGGAAAGTGGTTGTGGCTACAAGTATCGCAGAAGCCTCCTTGGCGATAGATGGGATATACTACGTCGTTGATCCCGGGTTTGCAGAGCAGAAGGTGTATCAAGGATCGCTAGTCATTACTCCCAATCTCACAGGCGTCTGCGAAGAAAAGGGCGGGACGTGCTGGTCGTACTGGTCCGGGGAGATGTTACCGTCTCTACACCGAGAGCGCTTACCGTAACGAGATGCCTCCTACATCAGTCCCTGAAATCCAGAGGATTGATCTTGGAATGACAACGCTGACCATGAAGGCCATGGGCATTAACGACCTGTTGTCGTTTGACTTCATGGATCCGCCCCAACCGCAGGCTTTGATATCTGCTACGGAGCAGTTGTACAGCTTGGGAGCTTTGGACGAGGAAGGATTGTTGACAGAGCTAGGTAGAAAAATGGCGGAGCTTCCTCTTGAATCGCCTCTCTCTTTGCTAGCGAGTGCAGCGATGAGATTTTAAGGTGGTATCTTGAGATGGTTTCTAATGATTATGTTCTTCAAGATGCTAGACTAGAGTTTAATGTTTGTCAAAGCTATCATAGTAAATATATAATTTTAGTGGGATTCGTCCCTTGCATAATCTTTTATATTTTGGATTTGTATCTCTCTTCAATTGAGATTTTGTTCAATTATTTACTACAGTCTGGCGCTTTATTGGCTCAAAATCAAACCCACGCTTAGAATTGTGTGTATTTGGTAATTGGTATATGTGTATGTGTCAAAAACATAGGCAGAGAGCCGAAAATGAAGAAGAAATATCAAAAATAATGATCTCTACTTATAACTTTTTAGGACCAAGTGATGAACACTATGGTAGAGTCATTCAGAATGGTTTTAAACTCCCAACTGTAGGTAACAAACAACATACTCTTGGTATTGATTTAAAACGAGTACCATGCTCTTGGTGTTGCTTTTAGAATCTAAATCACAACCTTTTCCACATCTCTTATCATGTTTACACAGCTGCAGCTGCATGGGCCCTATAACAAGTATAATTTATTTATTACTTGCGTAGAGAAAAACAGTGAGGTTACAATGAAGAGACATTTGGAATGTGGAATTATATCATTCGTGTTTCCAACCTGTCTCTTTCAGACAAACACTGTAATTCAAATTCACTATCTTTAGATGCTTCCCAAGTTGAAAAATTGATGCAGACAATTAGATCTAGACACTGATCTCGATATTGTCTATGAGCCTGACCGTTCCAAACCAGGCAGCAACACAAACCACTACTCCACTCTTTATCTCTTCTACTCCTTCGAGAGTTTCTTGATCAACAATCTGCATATTGCACATGATCATTTCTCACATCAAAACTGAATGGTATTATATGTGTAGAGTCCTTTTATTTTTCTCGCAACAGATTTCCACTAACCTTCATTATTCAATAAAAAAAAATACATCTAACTACACCGTGTGATGCTTACCTCGACATAATCAATTCGTCCTGCAGCTTTAACAAGTTCTTGAATGATCATATCCTTAAGCTCAGTACAACTGGTTTCCCCTTCTGCTGCAGAAGCTTTAGCCATGGCCAGTGACCTACTTATAGACAAAGCCTGCCATATCACATAACAAGTAACAGAACCATTATCAATCAGCAAGCAGCAGCAAAATATAGTAAAACTATCCATCGCTTGTTCAAATTGAAAAAAAAAATGGGATGTCACTGTACCCTTTGCCTTTCTTCAGCTGAAAGACGAACATTCCTAGAGCTCATCGCAAGTCCATCTTTTTCTCTAGCTATATCTGATCCTACTATCTCTATCCCAAAATCAAGATCCCGAACCTGTGTAAGAGACATACATAACAAAGGAAGCAAAATCAGAGAGACAATCAATCTGAAATTAGTTAACTAATGACGATTTGTGAGTATATCATAGCTTATGCTCAACCAGAATCTAGAAAAGAAAAAGAAAAAAAAAGGATTCTTTTTATATTCTGACCATTCTCTGGATAAGCCGCCATTGCTGATAATCTTTTTTCCCAAAGACAGCAACATCAGGCTCAACGATATTGAAAAGCTTGGTGACGATTGTAGCAACCCCTCTGAAGAACACAGGCCTGCTCTTCCCGCACAAACCTTTCTCCAATCTCTCAACTCTAACCCACGTCTCATGCCCTAACCCACCTTCCTCAACGCAGCTCACAACCCTCCCGCCGCCGTTTGTCTTCTTCCTCCGGCCTTCGTCTCCGTCGTAGTCGTAGAGGTTTCTCGGGTTGAACACGACTATGACATCGGAAGCGGAGGAAGGAAGGGCGGCGAGCTTGGCGAGATCGCCGGAGAAATCAGAGGGGTAAGTAGAGAGGTCCTCGGAGGGAGAAAACTGGCCTGGGTTGACGTAGATTGAGACGACGGTGACGTCGGCGAGGGTTAGGGATTGACGGACGAGAGACAAGTGACCGTCGTGGAGGAAACCCATCGTCGGAACCAAACCAATCGTCTTCCCTTTCGATCTCACGACTCTCGACCATCTCCTCATCGCTTCTTTATCTCTAATTACCTCTGGTTCCATCGTCGGAGATTCTCGATCGCCTACTGACGAATCTTGGGGTGGAAAATTCCGACAGGATTCGATGTCTGTAAGTTGTGTTTGGCGCTGTTCCCGGTGCCAGGAAAAAAAAATTGGAATTATCTTTTCCAAGATTATAGGCTAAACCAAGAACACAACAAAATGGATTTGATGATTCGTTAAAGCTGAACCGAGTTTGTTCACAAAAACCAGAACCAACAAAGGACCGAATTTGAGGTTTGATAACTCTTCCGGTTTCTTTTCGATAGATTTCTCGAACCAAGCATTGTATCCAACAAAACTTAACCAGACTAAAACCAAACTCTACAGCTGCTCTACGAGTAGTAGGTCTCTTGAGGCTGCTCTTGAGTGATCTTCATGACTCATTATGTGTAAGAAGAACATCTTCCTTTAAATCCCATTGATATAAATCTCTCTATGTAGCCAAAAACTATGGATATAACTTATAAGTAACCCTCCAGACATTTATTATTGTTGTTGTATATACAAAGTTACATAAGAGAAGATGATACATATTGTCCAACCCATCAAAACTATACGAAACGGGAAAGCTAGAGATATGATACATAAAGAAACGCAAAACCATATTGTACTTAGCAAACTAATTGATTTCTAAATGACGAGATCTGTTCGAAGATTGGAAGTCTCTTTGATCTAAAACCACTAGCTGTCCTCTGTTCAAGGCCAAGAACAAAGTCATCGTCTAAGATATTCCCCAAGACATCCTCCATCTCCGCATCTCGCCGACGTGGCAGCGAAGCTTCTAGCTCACTCAGAAGCTCATCCGCTCGTTGCCTTGTCCTACAATCATCTGCTCCCAAAACCCTAGACTCTATTACATCGTCAAGAACCGATCTTCCCTCTTCAAACCTTCCTTGTTTGATAAGGCACATGGCGAGGTTGCACGATTTGTTAGCGTCAGGCTCTACCATCTGTGCTTTTCTGTATACCGCTTCTGCCGACAAGTACTTGGCTTGCTGCATATATGCCCACCCCAAGTTCCCCTGAATATTGATTCCATTTCAATCCATCAGCTCAGTTGCAGAAAGGAAAAGAAACATAACATAGATTAGACACAAATCGAATTAGAGTCATTACTTACCAGTAATCTTGAGATTTCTTGTTGAACGGTCACTTGAAACTTTTTGCCGTGGGAGCGAGCGGTCTTGGTGGGTTTGCCGTTGAAAGCCTCTCCTTGATAGATCTGCCTTAGTTTCCTTTTCAACAACTCAACTTGCTCCTCCATTCTCCCGCATTTCTAATTCATTGTAAGAAATTACGGCATGTGAGTGTTATGATAACAATTAACACATTGTTAGATAATGATATATTATCCCATAATGATATTAGAGTGCAAGTAGATATATGTATGGTATATTGGTTGTAGTAAAAGACCTTGTATAAGTCGATGAGGACATTGTCGAGGGAATCTTGAGAGTTCTTGGAACAACGAGGACGAAAGGATTTGATGGCTTCGATGGCTTCTTCCGAACGGTCAAGCTGTTTCATTACAACAGCCATGTCCTTGAGAGCACTGTCTACTCTGTCTCCTGTGTTAATGGCTTTCCAAAACCACACTATCGCCATCTCTGGGTTCTTCTCTATCAACTGCAACCATATACTCTTAATTGTTAATAACATTACTTGACTCTTCATATATGAAAAAAAAAATATATATATCGTATTTGAGCAAGTATGAGATGTTTCCGTGATTTATGAATGTATTTTATCAACAAAAATAAGGTATGAGATGATGTGCCAATATAAAACGTAAAAGTAGAATATTCTTTGGGAGGTGAAGACTTTTTTTTGCACCATTCTCAGGAAAAGTAAACGCCGAATTATTATTTTTGCGAGAATCCGGACCGTTCGGTGCAACTTGTGACTCTCATACGCACACGACAACGTCTACGTTTTAAATCCAAATAGTAACAGATTCTTTTGTTTTTTTTTTTTATTGTTTTTGCCTAATAAGCTTTAACAACTAACGAAATAAAATAAGTGTTACACATTATTTGAGATTAAACTCTAGGAAATTTGTTTTTTTGCTCAATCGATCAATTTCATTTTAACAACATCAATAAATAAAATAAATTCATCATATCTTGTAGTACTGTAAATTATTCTTCATTTGTATCAAAGTCAGTAAAAACAAAAATCAAGTGAAATTAAGGAGGGTGGTAGAAAACTAACATGACAAACAATGAGTAATCCTGTAAAATTTGATTCATAAGCAAAAAATAAAATAACAAGAAGAAGAAGAATCTGGACCTGAGCATGCTTGGCTTTAACATAGGGAGTATCTCCACATGGAACTTTGTGAATCACATGAAACAATTCACTGTCTTTCATGAGATTGCTCCTTGTTGAGTTAGTATTACTGTTCTTCATCTTCTTCAGGCTTCTCTCCATGTCTTTCTCTCTCTCTCTCTGGATGAGTAAGTATACAGATGTCCTTAGACAGGCTGGGAGAGACAACCTCTGAACTAACTCTTATATATGCGTACGTTTCTAACTGTAACAAATGAACTGGGACGATATTTCGTCTCTGTTCATAGATCTGCCACGTCAACTAAAGACTTCTTACCACGTAGGTGAATGAGCAAAACGTGTTATTCTACCATTGCCATTGTCTCTTTCTTCATTTTTGGTGTTTTTTATTAGTTTATCGTGTTACTTTTAAGTTATTAACGGCCAAAAGATTATAGTATCAAAAAAATTAGATTGTATAATAAAATTCTCTCCATGTTCTTCTCTCATCATATCTATCAATTCTAACTGTGCGGTCAAATATTTTAGCTAAACTTACCGATTTACCTGATGAGACTGCCTTTTCACGCTGTTGTCGGCTTCTTTCTCGATACTCTCGCTTCCTTACCATAACTTAATGCTTGTAGGGGTGTCTTGTTTTACGACAGTAACTCTTTGTTTCTTGTCAACCGTTCACAACAACAACATTTATTATGTGAAGTTTAAAGTGTTTTGTAACATTGCTAACGCGTGTCATCTTTTACGACGTGTGTAGTAGTATTTTTTTTTTGAGTTTCATATAACCTAAAATTTCACAATCATTTAAGAATTATATATGTAACCTTTTGCTATTTCACTATTTACATTAGGTACTTTATTTTAAGTTTTCTTAGCTTAGCATCACAATTCATGTTCCAAATAAATAAATAAAAAATTAGTCCATTCAAGTACACTCTTATTTCTGTTGATAATTAAGTTGAAACTCCAATTAATGTCGAAGTGATACTATAACAGCATAATACAATATAGTACAGTTACACTAAGTGGAAGTGGTGCAAAGGCATTACAAATAAAAAAAAAGTTTCATTATCTAATTCCAAGTACGATCCATCGTCATCTTGAACCATAGAATCATTTTGAAGGATAATCGATTAAAATATCTTCAAGTGGTTATCACATCAATAATATATTATAATAATAGAAGAAAGTAAGGAATCATCGTCACTCTCAGTCGCTATGTAGAAGCGCAATGAATCTGGACTATAAGCGATGCTGTATTCACTAGTTAACAAGGGCTGCCGCTTACACAGAAGGAATCGCTCATCATCATACTGATGACATGGGACCACGAACATTAAGGTAATTACTGTTTTGGATTTTGTGAAATTTGTAATAAGATTAAGAACAAGGCAACATTTAACCCAAAAAAAAACTCTTTCTACTATCATTTCTTTTTTAATGTTTAGGCTAGCCTCCACCTAAAAAAAAATGCAAAAATGCCATTTAACTCGCTAGAAACTTTCAATATAAACATTACAGTAACTCTCTGTTTTGGCTCGGAAGAAAAACGACACCTATGCGAAAAAAATCAGAGGGTCCATTTGGAAGAAAAAAAATAATCCGAGCTTCAATTTTGAGAAGATGAAAAATCGTTTTTATTATGGATAAATAAAAGTCTAGAAACCAAACTGGCACGACCATGTCGTTATTTCCCGAGTTGAATATGTTATTTCAATAATATACAACATTGTAAAATCAACTACTGCTATTTGTCAAAAGTTACAGAGTTATACTTTTTAATGAATTATATAAATTTTCAAAACATTGACACGAGTTAGACTGATATGTTTGATGTATTTTCAATTTCGCTAATAAGAATTCTACGGACTTGAGACGTAGCTATTAGTCAATATTGAATATTATATATGAATCCGAGAGTAGGGGGAGATCACATGACTCTGGACGGTTTCTTAGCAAAGGTTCAAGAATGATTTGGTTGCTTTGGTCTATTCAAGTTTTAGATAATTAATAGTAGTATTATATTTTTATTAGGAAACATTGATTTATTCCTTAAAGTGTGGATGCTTGCATTTAAATATTTACAACTTGTTAACATTAATTTTTATATCACTTTTTAGCTGACAGCGAACCAGAACCGGCTTACTGGGAGGACAATTGGTGCAACCACCTCAGGTCCATTTCCCAAATCAAGCAAAATTAGAATAATAATGGAGCTCAAATTTGTGTGTTTCATCAATTATTTAAGGACCCAAATTTGTGTTTTTATCAATGAAAAGACCCTAAATTTTTTTTTTGCCCAGAAGCCATTAAAAGTATTGAGCCGGCCCTGCAGAGAACCCAGATCCGAATTTATTAACCTGTTACTGTCCATCATCTACTCTTTCTCTCTTCTTTTTTTTTGCCGACAATTTTAATTTTTAAGGTTAAATTCATACATACGAATCATATCAATTTCGCTACAAACATACACTGAAACGTGAAACGGTCCCGGGTCTCGCTCACCGAGTATACCCACCAGTCTTCTAGATGCTTCTGCGTCTTCACTTCTGAATTTACTGAAAATGTTAAGAATTATTGAAAGGAAAAATATTGGTTGGGCCCGTCATTTAACTTTGGTTGGGCCCGTCGTTTAACTTTGATTGGGCCCGTCATCGTGTTATAGTAATAATTACTTGGAAGGTTTCTTCTCAACTCATGAACAAACAAGAACTTGATCGGCGTGGAAATTCATGTATTCGTCCACCAATTGAAGTTTCGGGCATTTCAGATGGTGGTAAACTGTTTATCGATCAATGTCACAGATTATCCACCAATCGAAGTTTCGCACATTTTTGATGGTGGTAAAGTGAGACCACATAAAGAGCTTTTCGTCAGATTATCAAGTAACATATATATGGTTTGATCTTTGTTTTTTTTCATTTTGTTATCATTTGCATTTTAGAAAGCTGTGCTTCTAAATTTACATCTCACTTTTCCACAAATTGTTCTAGGCCATCGTAGGGTTGATACAAAATTGTACTAGTTGCACTTCGATAATGTGATAACGTGGTCCATTTTCACTTTTTTCTGTGACCAGTAGTAACGTTGTACTGTACTTCTTTTTATCTTTTGACTCCAACATTGTGTTCACAATTTTATTTCTATACATCTTTATGAACCATCTATTTTTGTTAGGACCCTCCCACTCGCTTTCCGTTTAGTTCAAGAAGTGGTTTCAAATTCATTCCATAAAGAGATGAATAAGACGTAGATATAATATGGTTTTTCCGAATAAAGGATCGAGTATCTCTTCAAGAAGCAAGTGTGATTACGCAAATTAGCTTTTAAATTTTACCTGATAAGATACTTGATAAGGCATAATCATATGCGATATCATTATGCAATTAATCAAGGGTTTATAGATGAGTTTTCGTAGTTAAAAGTCAATATCGCAAAAATAGATAGTTAGAAGGTTTTCTTGCAAATTTCCTGAAAGTAAAGACACTTTATGATTTTGTCGTCTAAAAATACCCTAAAATCGAAAAGCTTGGAGCAACAAGAGCAGAGCAAAATCAAAATCAAAGCGCTTCACTTGCCTCACTGCTCTTCGTAATGGCGACTAACAATCCGTCGCAGCTTCTTCCATCAGGTATACACTTCTTTCTCTGCATATCTCTCACTTCATGTCTTTTATACAGAAGATAATCGAACTGGATCTGCGATTTGTTCCCAACTTCTTGCGCGATTTTGTGTGTGTTGTGCAGAGCTAATCGACAGGTGCATAGGATCAAAGATATGGGTGATTATGAAAGGAGATAAGGAGCTCGTAGGTATTCTCAAAGGGTTCGATGTTTACGTCAACATGGTCCTTGAGGATGTCACCGAGTAGTAAGTCTGATTTTGGATTTAGGGTTTTTTATCTTACCCCTAATTTTGATATGTTTCTCCTTGTTTTGCTTGAATGGGTTTAGTCCGAATAATCTACTGCCTTTTGGATTTTGTTTCTCAGTTCAGTACTAAGTATCTCAGTAGTTGATTGCAATATGTCAATTTCAAGTTTCGATAGTGATCTAAACAATGATGTTGAACTGATTCCTACGGATTGTATTTTTTCAATGTCCATCAAAGTTCATTAATCGAATCATGATGAAATTTTGATGAAATGAGGATCAGATCCTTTTTAGCTATGTACTATATGTTTATAGTGTATATTTAGACTGGATCATATGTATTTTCGGTATACATGAATTTGTTTGCGGTGCGCGGATTATTGACATAAGGCTTTAAGACACTGCTGCTTCTGCTTCCGAGATATGATCTCATAGATTCGTGCTGTAGATTCATGTTAGTTTATAACCAGAGTGTGTGTCTAAATTAAACATCATTGTGCAGTGAGATTACAGCAGAAGGAAGACGGGTTACAAAGCTTGATCAGATTCTGCTCAATGGTAACAACATCGCCATTGTAAGTCAAATCACTTTTTATCTACATTTTTCCAAAGATACAACAAACATCTGAATTGGTTACTCGTTTACAATTCTAAGAGTAGCCATTCATTGTATAACTTCCTTCTTGTTTCTATCTCACTCATCTTGAAATAAACATTATAATCATTTGAATCATTTGAATCATCAAAGTTGCTAAGAAACGGTTTTGAAAAATGTGATGCAGTTGGTGCCAGGTGGGTCTCCAGAAGACGAAGAATGAGATTTGCGAGAATTGACTGGTATGCTAAGATTTGTGTGAGAAAGGATGTAACTTTGGTTTTAGATTTAACTCTTTGCTCACAGAAAGCCACTAGTTGATTTTAAACTCAGGATGACAAATTGTTCATTGTTCAACAATGTTGAAGAGCTAAAGCTTCACATTTATTTGTTAGACTCAATGCTTCATTGCTTTTACTTATGACCTCTCTTGTCTCTTGTCTCTTCATTGTTCTAATGACCGTCCCCATTAGCAACTCGAGCGTTAGACAAGTCATCAACAGAGTCTCCTCTCTCAAAAACAGCTGCAGCTCCCATACCAGTGCCTGTAACGTTCACATTTTACACGTACACCATTAATATATTATAAAGTTAATCACTGAGCCAATTCAGCCTCAACAAAACTTGTGATATATACCTATGCACATTGAGATCACTCCATAGCGACAATCTTTCCCTCTCCGTTTCATCTCGTGCAATAATGTCGCAACACACCTAGCTCCTGAACATGTAGATAAACTCCATTAGCCGCTTGTACACATTATCTGGTGAGAGAGAGCTTGTGCAAGTAGTAAACCTGTAGCACCCAGAGGATGGCCAATAGCAATGGCTCCTCCATTAACATTGACCTTTTCCATATCCAGCTCTAGCTTCTTGCAACAGTACACATACTGAGATGCAAATGCCTGTTAACAACAATTTATCAATAGTGAGATTCGTAAGTACATATATTATTCTGAAACAGAAAAACTAATGTCAAACATTTTTCAGTACCTCGTTGATCTCAAATAGATCAATATCGCTGACTTCGAGCCCTGCGAGGTTAGCTGCAGCAGGAATGGCGAAAGCTGGACCAACACCCATTACAGCTGGATCCACACCAGTAACAGCAAAACTCCTGCATATGGTTTTTGGTATCAGATCACTCTGTTTCTTCAACAGTCAAATTGTTGACAAGTCTCCATTTATTTCACTCACCTGAATACTCCAAGAATAGGAAGTCCCTTCTTCATCGCCAGACTCCTCTTCATTAACAGTACGGCTCCAGCACCATCACTAATCTGACTAGCATTGCCTACACAATACACACATACACATAAAAAAAGGCTTAATAAATCCATGATCTGACTGATGTCAGTGAAAGGTGGAAAGTTTTTTTTTTCTCACCGGCTGTAGTGGAACCGTCTGGTTTAAAGACGGTCTTCAGCTTTGCAAGATCTGCCATGTTTGAGTTTGGACGTACACCATCATCAACAGAGACGACGATTGGCTTCTCTGCTTTAGTCGCAGGGTCAACAATCTGTCAAAAGAACAATCGGTTATAGAGAAAGCTCAACCACAAAGGGGTTTAAAGAAAGTTGGGAGCTTCTTTATTTTTCACCTTAGTAGTGACAGGAACTATTTCATCTTTGAGTTTACCAGATGCGTTTGCAGCTGCAGCGCGCTTGTGAGACTCCACCTGTTTTTCAAAACTGAATCAGTATGAATACGAGAGGGAAGAGTGAGTAAAAACTCAAAAGTGGAAAAAACTAACCGCAGCCATATCTTGCTCTTCTCTTGTGACACCATATCTTTCTGCAACGTTTTCAGAAGTGATCCCCATTGGAAGCAAACAGTCACGGGCTTTAGGGAAATCTTGCGCCTGTTTTTCATATAGGAGTTTATAAAAATCATCACAAAACTCTCCTTGTTGAGTTATTTTTTACTGTACATGCAATGGGATACATACTCTCGGATTAGTGGACTGAAAGCCGCCTCCAGGGGTATGATCAACTGACATCGATTCTACTCCAGCACCAATACCTATGCAGTCAACAACAGAGACAAAGCTGAGAGTTAATACATTCTCACCCTAGACAAAACAGCTAGAGACTACAAAAAGTCTGATGAAGCTGCGTCTTCTTACCAATGTCGTAGTATCCAGCTCTAATGGAAGCAGCAACATCAGCAACTGCTTGTAGCCCCGATGAGCATTGTCTGTTGACAGTTCTGATTGGCACAGAGTCTAGCTCGGAAAAAGAAGAAGGGTGTGAAGCAAACGTATCAAGAAATGTTTCTGCTATGAGATACTATCTTTCGTTTAATAAGTAAGAAAGGATCTGATTTAGTTAGTACCAGGAAAGCCAGCAAAATATGCAGCTACTCTACATTCCATGGCTCTCTGAGAACCAGGCGCTATAACGGTACCAACAACGATATCACCAACTTCACTCGGATCCAAAGATGTTCTTTCCACCACAGCCTTAATCAGAGAGAAACCATAGATACTACTCAATGTCCGAGCAAGTTTTTAGATTGAGTTTTGTGTAACTAACTCATACCTTGAGAACAGAAGCTAGGAGATCATCAGGACGAGTATCTTTGAAACCTCCACGTTTGGCTTTACAAATGGCGGTCCGGTATGCCCTGAAGCAAGAGACAAAGAAGTCTAAAGGAAAAGTGTATGCGAAGCAACTCAAAAATGGGTCATTTTGACTCTTACGCTACGATCACAATGTCGTCTCCAAAAGCAGCCATTGGGGAAAACTCGGCAACGCAATTCACAGCCTAAACAAAAGAGTTCCAGCAACAGTATCAAGATCTAATTGATTTGACTCATAATAGGAAATGTCAAACACAGTCTCAAAGATGACTAAAAAAAAAAGTAGCAGCAGCACGGAGATGCAAGGAAGCGGAAGCCCGAAGATCCACTGAAACTCGCGATTAAGGAAACTAAACTTACAGAGAGAAGAGCAGGTTCATGATTAATCAAAGGAAAAGAAGAAGTAGAAGAAGAAATTGGATTGAGATGACGAAGCAAAATCTTCTGTCTTTCCGTGGCTTTCTCCATCTTTCTTACTCTCGGGCTAAAAAGTTAAAAGCTTGTGTTGCAGCTGAATTCAAATGGGGATTCTATAGAAGAAGAAAGAAAAACTTTCTGGGAAAAATTCAATTTTGATTGATCTTCGTGGAAAGGGAAACACTTGAAGGAAGAGATTCATTTGACTCGTGGGTGATCGTTTTCGTTACTGTGCTCTGATTGGCTCGTTGCCAACCTTGTGTTGTCGTCTGGTAGAACAGAACAGTTAACGGCGTTACGAATATAAATATTTCCGCCTTCTTTTTCATGTTATTCCCCCGACATAAACTCACGTCGTTACCAAACCAGCCACGTAGTAACATTAACGCCGTTAAAGGAGTATTTGCACTTTTAAATTAACAAAACTCACGAGTTATGAAGTGATTGTACAAATATTAGCAGAGAAAGAGCAGACATTTTTAAGCCTACTTTAAGTCCAAAACAATTCTAATAAAAGAAAGACTGACGATGGACTCCAAGAAATAGCTTAACGAATAGAATAAAACAACATGTATCATTTTTTGAGAAACAAAACTAAATGAATCTATGTAGTTGAGTTAAGTCTTAGAGCTTCCCATGACGATATAATGCAAAGATTGCATGACCAAGACTTGTAAGACATAGTAGAGTGAGACTGAAAAAATTACCCGATGCGATGAGTGAGCTTAGTATGAGTCTCTTTTACTAGTTGAGAGTCCGAAAAGAGACAGAACATCAGATATATATAAATAAATGTAGACAATGTTGAACAATATGCAAATGTTGAGAGAAGAGAAGACGGTAGCTAGTAGCTACCACATACTACCAAATTAAATTAAACAATAAAAAGAGAGAGAGAGATAGAGAAAGAAGTAACGTGGCATTGGCGTTTAACTCTACTCGCATACTCTTTTGCTCCTCCACCACTCTTCTTACCTAACCCTCCTCATCTTTCAATCTCTTTTCATCGTTTCATGCTACCTAACCTTCTTCCCTTCTTCTTTACTTCTAACGTTATTGTTCTTGCAAACTAGTAATTAGCTTTTGTTTGTTATTGATTATCTATCTATTACAAAAAACGTTTTTTGTTTTGTTTTGTTTTGTCGCACTCGAACTTCACCACTGTTACAGTTTCATTCTTATTGACAAATAATGTTCTATTTCTCAATATATTGAATAGAGTGAAGGAGCAAAGCTAATCCCAACGTATGACGCCGATCATGTAATATATCATATACTAGAATGTAATTATATTTAGAGGCAAATCTACAAGTTAAAAAAACAATTTATCAGAGAAATATATTAAAACTCAGAATAAATGTGAGAAACGATAATCATAAAATCCAATACAAATATAGCCCTCTACAAACACACCAAGCACTCTTTTTGTATTTGTATGTATTATTGTCGGCACACTCTTTTCGTATGTATCTGTATTGGGGTATATTTTAAAATTCAAAGTTGAAAAAAAAAAGAAACAAGGAAAAATTTGTGTTTGTGGTTTTTAGGTAATACAAGAGCATGTAAAGTGGGCCGAAATAGATCCATAAACGTGAAGCCCAAAGGTTACTGTACTACTTTTTTGGTTGGGTGAATGAGAAGTAGCCAACTAGGTGGAGACAAGTTGCAAGGGAAAGTGGGCGGTGCGACCAGTCAGGCAGGACCCATCACAGTCTTTATGAGTACCCATTTGCTTTCTCAAGTTATGGAGCATCCTTCCTTTTTCTTACACCAATTTTGGCATCACTTTCCCAATCCTTATTTGGTGTCTTTGATTTGTAACTATGTGTCTCCAAGGAACTAATCTTATGATTCTTCTATGCCAAATTGAAAGACAGAGGGAAAAGTCTAAAAGTTCATTTAAGGCATGGTCAACATTAACAAAGGAGGAAGTTCCGATTAGGCCAATAGCAAATAGAGTTCCATTTAAAGAAGAAGCAAAAACCCAAGTAAATTGCTAATCTCAAGATAGAAGAAAAAGAAGTTTTCATTTCCCAATTCAAATGTCTCTTTCTTTCTCACCAATCATTCTCCTTCTCATCAATATGCACTACCTTTTTTTTTTCCTCATTCTCTTCTCTCTCTCTTTATCTCTGACTCTCTCCTTATCTCCTCTGTTCCCAAGCCCATACGGGTAAAAGAACCTGCTCCCAAAGTTGGCTCTGCAACAGAACAGAACACTTAATAGTAACAGCACTAATGAATCCACTCACAGATTCAGTTTCTTCACGTTTTCCAACTCTCCTCAAACACCATCTTAACTCGGCTTCTCTTCTACTTCTCATATTCTCTCTTACCTTTTTAAACTCATCTTCTCAAGCCCACAACACAAACATTCTCTCTCTCTCTCTCTTGGCCTTCAGCTCGAGGTATATAGATAGTCACACCCTTCTCATTTTCATTCTCGGTTTTAGGGTTTGGCTCTCCAAGTTGTTTTGCACACTCATTGGAAGTTAATTTAATCCTATGTTAATCAGTCCTTTTTTATGTGTACAGATAACATAGAATGGAGGAAGATCATCACCATAAAGTGGAAGAGGAGGAAGAAGAAGAAATCAAGCAAACTCAAGAAGCCAACAAGACAGACGAAGACACATCTTCATCAAGAGTATTCCCCTGCCTCTTTTGTTCTAGAAAGTTCCATAGTTCCCAAGCCCTAGGAGGCCACCAAAACGCCCACAAGAAAGAGAGAACCGCAGCTAGAAGAGCCAAAAGGGCTTACGATTTCGTCAACAACAATGACTTGCTTCATACGTTACCTGTCTTCTTATCATCTCCCTCTCCACAGCACATGACCATATTAAGCTACCCATCCTCTGCCTCCGTCGGCTGCTTTCCAGCGGTTCATCACGACCATCCAATCTTCAGATCCAACGGTGCTCATGTCTTGTTGGCAACATCCCACCAAGGTAGGGAGAGCAAAGGCGGGTATTTTGGTCAACAACGTGTTCAAATTTTGGATCATAACTGTAACGTGGTGAATAGTGAGAAAGGTCAAGATCAGTATCTTGATCTCTCCCTCCATTTGTAATCTTAGTGTTTAATAACCAGTGGAAAAAGATCCGTTTTTTTCACGCGTTCTCTCCCTCCCACATGGAGAAGCTAATGTGCATCGAAAAGAAGATAATATTTTCACGTGGACAATATAATGAATGTTTCACTTTCCTCAAAACTATTATACAAGATATTGCAACCGAAAGAAGAATGGAATAGAACACTCACACATGACATAACTCGTTGTTGACCGAACTCATTATTGTTATCATTGAGCATCGATGCATATATTATATTGCTTGATATTGGTTTTGTTAGTTAATGTTGATCAGTCTGGAAGCCTAATCACTGTCCATCGTCCAACATGTGAAATTAATGAATCAACTGAACTGTCTGTATGTGCGCACTTCTGGAAATTGGAAATTATTGAGATTTTGTATATGTTTAACATCTTACGTAAAGTTAATTATTGATGTGAAATTTAACCTAATAAAATAAAATAAAAGTTGTATCACGCCATGACTAAAATCTATACGTTTGTTGTCAACGAAAACCAAATTTAAGAAAAACTACAGTAACCCCGAAAATGCTACATTAGTGTCAAACTGTTAATGTGTTGTGGTAAACTATTAATTACCATGCATTTCATTTTGTGCTAATATCCAACTACGGGTGAAATAGATATGGATCCGCTGAATTCATCATGATTATTGAAGATTGATTTCAATGTGGTTTTGTGATTTTCGGATAACCGCCCAAACATCAATACGATTAGTCGTTTATAAAGTTTTAAAGTACAGTTAAATTATTTATTGTGAAATTGTCTGTAAAGTTCATCGTACTAACCAGTATTTGTAATACAAAAGATAAATTTTAAAAAATAATAATATTATCTTTAAATCGTTCAACTTTTTCTTTCTTGGCATCAATGTATAAACTGTATATTATATGCACAGTTATACGAAACAGTAGCCGAATTTTAACGTTTTCTATTAAATATACAGTAGGAAACCGAAATATATACAAACGATAACGATTGGGTCTTCAAGGTAATACACGTAACTTTGATTGGTTTGCTTTTTTGTAATCTGCCACTTTGGAACCAATCACCGGCGTGTTTTCCGGACATTCGCCGCCGACGAACAGATATATTACATTTATATCAAACAATGACGTGGAGACTTCTATGAGAAGAACGTGTCAGAATGAGTAGCCGTCCGGCACGTGATCCACCTGGACTACCGCACGTGATAGAGAGAGAGGCTCAGGCCAGTGATGATGGTAACTTAAAAAATAGCAGTTGGAGATGAAAATTGGCAAGTAGAAAAGCGCGGTTTGTTTTGTTCTTTGGACATTAACAAACAATTCGGATAAGATTTAGGTAGTTAAAAAAAAAGTGGTTCATCCGTAATTATTAGTCAGACGTAAGAACCAATCAAAGAAAAAATCGACCATGTTAGATTGTATATTGTTTTTTTTTTGCAAGTACAAAATATGAATAATGCGAAAGATTTGCAATTATAACATCAATTCTCATTAGCATTTCCACTTTTATTGAGAAACGAGTTTGTACAAACCTATCACCCATTTCCTCCTGTTTGTATAATTTGTCCCTTGTCGCATCACCTACATTTTCAACATCGCGCCTATTAAATGCGAATAAAGTCTAAAGCTACATGTGAAAAAAATTATGTCATTATCCGGCCATTTTAAGTTATGTTGATGACACGATTATAACAAAATAAAATTTATGAACAAAGTTGAATGATTTTCTAAAATGATTAAATTAGGCCAAAATTATTCTAGTAGAAAATGTCATGCTCACGCCCAATCAATTTCTCTTATATAATAACTCCTCCCACTAGAGCCTTTCTTAAACTTCTTTTCATCTTCCTCATTCCTTCTTCTTCTTCTTCCCAACACAATAGACCGACAAAATTCTCTGTTTCAGACAGAGACAGATAAACACCAGAGAGCAGAGCAAGAACAATGGCTATCACGCAAGTACTTGTCCTCTTAGCTTCTGCATTACTCCTATCAATGCTCATCACTTGCGTCGACTCGACCAGGTATCATCGATCAATTGTTATTATATTGACATGTTTTTAGCTCAGTTGGGTCAAATGTTTTACGTGATCTGGTTCATAGAACAGAGCATTGAAGCTTTAACAACTCAATTAATGGTGGAACAAGAAAACCCTTTTTTCTTACTTTACATTGCTGATCAGCATAACTTGATTTTGTATTATAGATCTCAAAATTCTTGTAGTTTAGCACTTTTTTTATTAACCATCGACAGATCCGATGTGCTCAAACGCCAGAGTGTTATTAGTAATGCAACATTTCAGTGTTGTATATTAGTAGTGATTAGCCAAGTTTAGTATATTGCTTTTTATAATTGAATTGTTTCATTTTCGGGTTTAAAGATGGTAATTGGAGTTTCCTTTGTTTAATCAGTAATTAACGATTACTTGTTTTCAGGTCTAATGAAACATGGCATGAACATGCAGTTGAGAATCCTGACGAAGTAGCTGCCATGGTGGACATGTGAGTTTTTCTGTTGCTTAAAAGTTAAAAACAAAAAAGAAAAAGTAATGTATTTAGGTGTTTTTATTTTAGCTTTATTAGAATAGTGATTAATTTTTGTTTGCTAATTAAACAGTAAGCATCTGTTTAGTCTATTGTGATTGGGTTAGTTAGTAAAAACAATAAATTACACTTAACTCTAAGGACCAGCATCTCGTGACGTTTGGTTGGATTAAAAATTCCAGTGACTCTCTTTTATAATTAATCATTAAGTACTTTTAAAAAATGAAAATCAGAAAACTGGTAAGTTGTATTTATGTGGAGCAGGGCTCACATGGCTCTTCTGTAAGAATTTTTATACATTCTGGTCAAAGAGTCAATCCATAGGGCCAAACACCACACCTCGATTCCATTCTTTTTCCTTTTATATATTTTTCACTCTTATACACCGTTTTTTAACTAGAAGTATTTTCTCTGTTAACTAGGAAAAAAAACGAAATCGATTATCAAAAGTGAAAAATATAATGGGAGTAGTTAAGGATTAAAGACAAGTTCTTTATGCTTATTCTCACTGAGCGTTACAGAGTCCTGGGTGGACCAAACATCAAACATCATGTGCATGGGCTCATTTAGTTCAGTTGGATTTGGATGGGATTCTTCATTAAATGCAATGCACCATATCATATAGTTAAAAATAAACATTTTGAATAAATATTCTAGTGAGTATAGAAAATAGAGAAAATACAAGTGATAAATATTATTGCTTGCGAATATCTTATGGAATTATTGAACACATTGGTCCAGAAGAACACGTGTAATGTTTTTTGTTTTTTGTTTTGAGAAAACATGTGTAAATGTTCCAACAAACACCTACTAATCTTTATAAATAGTGAATTGCGACCAGCCCATGCATATGCCCTCGTGTAGTGTTCTCCGATCCGAATCCTTTTCATTGGTACTAATAACAATTGTTTTCAGTCTTATCTTGTTATATTTGTCATGTATAGCACCTGTTTATGTGAAACTTATCTACTACTTAATTATTTAAATCACAAATTTTAAAAGTACCTCAATGATATATTATATATTTCGGCACTCTTTTTTTTTTTTTTTGCTTCTTGAAATGATATAGGATTCTTGATTGTGCAAAAGTAAAAAGGACTAAATTTGCGTATCAAAGCAACTTTTATTTTTCACCAAGAAAATTACTAACTGCGTAAATCGTAGCATTAGAATGTTCCCACCGACGCGAATATTGTCAAATGATCCTTTAGCTTTAGATTAAGTGGCCCCACACAAAAATATTGGTTTGATTTCGGTTCATTTATTGGTTCGACAAAACCGGCTTTAATGTGTTCAGGAGCATTCGGAACAGCACAGAGCGGAGGAGATTAGGGTATTTCTCATGCTCCACCGGGAATCCGATCGACGATTGCTGGCGTTGTGACCGGAAATGGCAGCTCCGGCGAAAGCATCTTGCCGATTGCTCGATCGGATTCGGTCGCAACGCAATCGGCGGTCGAGACGGCCGTTACTACGTCGTGAGCGACCCTGGCGACGATAACCCGGTTAACCCGAGACCCGGGACACTCCGTCACGCCGTGATCCAAAACGAGCCTCTCTGGATCGTCTTCAAGCGCGACATGGTCATCACGTTGAAGGAAGAGCTCATCATGAACAGCTTCAAGACGATCGACGGCCGTGGCGTCAACGTCCACATCGCCAACGGCGCCTGCATCACGATCCAGTTCGTGACGAACATTATCATCCACGGGATCCATATCCACGACTGTAAGCCGACTGGTAACGCCATGGTTAGAAGCTCTCCGTCGCACTACGGGTGGAGGACGATGGCCGACGGAGACGGGATCTCCATTTTTGGGTCGAGTCATATTTGGATCGACCACAATTCGCTTTCTAACTGCGCTGATGGGCTCATCGACGCCGTTATGTCGTCGACGGCCATTACCATCTCCAACAATTACTTCACCCACCACAATGAGGTAAAGACTAGAAGGAAGCTTCAGTCTTTGGCTTGCTATGGTTTTGGTAGTGATGAATGATTGATTGGGGTTTGACAGGTTATGCTGTTGGGACACAGTGATACCTACACAAGGGACAAGGTGATGCAAGTCACAATTGCTTACAACCATTTCGGTGAAGGTCTTATCCAGAGAATGCCAAGGTGCATACTTTGAATGGTTTATGATCTTAAATCTTCAGAAAACTTTGAAAACTCAGCGACAAAAATAAAACCTTTTTATGATTGCAGGTGTAGGCATGGATATTTCCATGTGGTAAACAATGACTACACGCATTGGGAGATGTATGCAATTGGTGGCAGTGCGAGTCCCACCATCAACAGTCAGGGAAACAGATACCTCGCCCCGAGAAACCGATTTGCTAAAGAGGTACTTTTTTTTTCTCTTTGAATCCCTTAAAGCTCTCGACTTTGCAGTCTTACAAGATTAGGTCGACTCAAAGGACAGGTCTTTCTTGTCTTTTTTTTTGTTCTTAACTCAATGTCAAAAGATGATGATGGTAGCGAAAACTTGATGGGATCTATGTCATGTGGCAGGTGACAAAGAGAGACTATGCAGGGCACTGGCAGTGGAAGCATTGGAACTGGAGATCAGAAGGAGATCTTTTCCTAAACGGAGCTTTCTTCACACGTTCTGGGTCAGGACTTGGTGCCAGCTACGCTAGAGCTTCGAGTTTAGCAGCCAAATCGTCATCCCTTGTTGGCACCATCACCTACAGTGCCGGTGCACTCAATTGCAGAGGTGGTCGCCGGTGTTAATATTTGCTAATTAATCTCTTTTTTTTTTCTTTTTTTGGGTTTCTTGCATTTTTTTATACATGGCAATATAGTACTATTGAAAATGTCGAGGCTTCATTTAAAAAAAACTGCCTCAACTGTATTATAAAAAAGTTGTATGATTACATTCTTGTTTCACCTTCTCTTATATTCGATGTATCTATAAAGGTAAACAAAGCTGGGACTCTCTTCCTTTTCTATCTCATCTGGAGGATAACAGAAACTTGAAACCCACCAATTCACTAGTCTCAAGTACGAAACAAAACAGAGCACTTATTTGGGGAATGCTTTGAAGTTGATACTGATGCATAAAAAATGTGAAGTTACCATCGGTCTCCTTTTTTCAGGCTTGGTTCGGGCAGGGGCTAAGCCTGACCAATCCATAAGAGCCCACAGACCGGAACTACAAAATGGGATGAGCCAGACCAACCCCGTTTGGTCGATGATGATAACACAACTGATAATGATGGATAGTTTTGTGGGGTATCGTCTCAATGGGAATAAGAGCGGATGTGAAGGTGGTGAAACCACGTGAGAGGGAGACAAGGAGCACATGAGAGCATATGAGGGAGTAAAAGAAAAGGGCCTTAATATCATTGTCAATGTCATGTTATGTTGTTGATAAGATAGGTTTTGTTTGGCCAATGGCTTTGCTTTTCTTTCATTAATTTGCTTCACCAAACGGTCTCCCCGCCTAATCACTCCTCTCTATTAACCCCATCACATGTCACCCTACCTTAATTAATTTAATTCGTTTCTAAGTGGCTTAGCGGTCTAATTGGATTCCGTAAATACTGCCAAGAAAATACATGTATCAAAATAGAAGAGAAAGAGAGCGGAAATCAACACAACAATAACACTAAAGTCTCTCTATAACTTGACATCTCAACTTTTTTAAGTTTTATAAACATGACATCTCAACAAAACTAATCACCAATCAAAACATTTTATTAATACATTTCATCTACTTATTTTAATTTTTAATCTTAAACTCATTAAAAACCCAAATATTTTTTCTATTAATTTTTGTTTTATTTTTTACCAAACACAAGCCCAAATAAATTAATAATTTTATTTTTTGCCAAATCTAAACCCAAATAATAAATAAAAACAAATAAAAAGTTAAATTATTGTTTTCTTTTTTTTTTTGCTAAAACCAAATCTAAATAATAAATAACAACAAATAAATAATAAAAAAAATTCTACCTATCAGTTTGTTTGACATAGACGTATATGATTGAAAAAGTGTAGGCTCAGCATCAACTATGCTTCTATGACAATAACACAAATAGCCTTATGTTATAAGAAGCTCACACATCAGCAAAAATTTGAACCGATAAAAACATAACAATTCCTTAGTTTTTGCGGAAAAACACAATTTCACGGGAGATAAAGCAATTTTTGGTTTTCGCGAGAAATTGTAATTTATTTGTTTTTGTAGAAAAACATGATTCTGGTCTTGACGAGAAATTTTTGTTTTCGCGAGAATTTTTTGGTTTTGGCGGGAATAACCGATTTCTCAGTTTAATGGGAAAATGAAGTTTTTTTTTGTTTTAACAGGAAATGCAATTTCTCGATTTTTATAAGAAGATGAAATTTCTCTATGCTAAATTTCCAAGTTAAAGTATGTTTACAGTAACCAAAATTTAATAATTTAATTTTAACTAAAACTATATTTTAAGAGTTCAAACATAATTTTCTATTTAGTTCTAAAGCAATAGCAGTGGTTTTGATATGAATGTTATTGATTATAGTTTGGTAGTTTTAGAAACATATATTTATAATAAAATATTTTATAAATAAATAAATTTTATAATTCAAAATAATCATATTAATTAATAAATCTTTTTTTTAAATGATATTTTGCTTTATATAATTACAAAGAAGGATCATGTGGCAATTGATTGGAGAAAATAGATTACATTTTCAAAAATATATTGTTTTATTTTTATATATTTTATTTTTAATATACATTTATAATTAGTTAGCTAACTAAATTTAATAGCAAATTATAATTTTGAAAAATAAAAAAAAATAAAAAATATATAATGTTTATATAGATTTAAAACATATAAATACATAACTTAAGCTAATAAAAAAATATAATAATTATTTATATTATAAAAATAATTTTATTATATTAAAAATATATACAAAATTTAAAAAATATTCTGCAGCATAGCGCGGGTAAATACCTAGTTCCATCAATGGAAGAAAACAAACTCTCAGCCCAAAATAAGAAATGAAGAGCCAAGCCCATTGTGCAAGCATCAGCGCTGGCCCGGGTCTAAGGGAAGTGTTGCAGTCGATAGTGATGATGTGTCTATCTGTGGCAGTCACGTTTAGTTTAGTCTTTGAGAAAACTTTCTTTCTTAAACAGTTCTGTACAGATCAGGCTTGCTTATCCTGTGCGCACACCTGTTCAGAATATTATGGAAAGAATATCATCACATCTCCTATAATCACTAATTATATGATCACATTTAAGAATATCATATATTCTTCTCACTCACTAAATATATGATTCTCTTATCTAAGATATGATTAAAGTAGCTCCTATATATTAGCTATGTAATCTCATCATATGGAAACAACATCCAATACAATTCATTCGTATTCAATACAGAATACCCACATGTATCATGATCTAATGATTTAGTTTTAGATTTAGCATGAAATTATCTGGTCAACACATGATATGTAGATTTTGTAAGATTTTGTGATAGTAGGATGGTTTAGCTCTCGGGTAGTATATATACAAATTATTTGGCGAAAGAATAAGAACAGATATTACATACATCATAAGAAAGAATAAAAGTTAACAAAGTCTCTCACCATGTCCAAGCAATTTGTGTCATATGTTATGGTTTTGATGGTTCTCTTCTCAGGTAACTAAGTTTGTTTTTTTTTTTTTTTTTTTTGTGTGACTAACTTCTCAGTTTTGGAATAATGAAATTTTTATCTACAATATATTCGGTGCAGTGTTATTGGTTATTCCACAAACTGAGGCACAAAAGAGATGCAAACAAGTACTAGAGCCGGGGACACAATGTGAGTTGTCATGGTGCAGGGAATCATGTCTCAAGAAGTTAAACGGATTCGGAACCTGTGTTGAGAATCCACCAGGCTCTAGTAAATATACCTGTAATTGTTTCTACAATTGTTAGGCACCATGTTTTTTTTACAAGAGTCGATGATGTAAAACTACTTAAATTTTAATAAAATCTAGGACAACTATAACAGTTTGAACGTTTATTTTTCCCCCGGATAAATACACTCATTTTACATAATTTGAGATATGGTACATGGGTACAACTTACCAATTTGTTAATTAATATGGTTGATGATTATAACCGGTACAAAATGAAGTGTTTGATGAACAGGCTGAACAGCCAAAGTATGAACGAGTTATGGTCCTTTGAATCTTGCTGATAACTTCTAGGTTCCAGGATTATAATTCCAACGCAAGAATATATTGTCCTTGACAATACTGAATATTATCATTGTTGAATGTTGAGTGCGCAAATAAATAATCGAGCTTGTGTATACACTATGAACAATGAAGTACTTTCTCTTCCATTTTTTCTCAGTTGGTCCATGATTCTTGGATAAATCCAGTCGACATGAGGACACAGTACCTGAGAAGCAGAGGCGTCTTGGTTTGGAAAGTTCTACAAATTCTTTGTGTTTTTTTTTTTTGGTTTTAATGTTATTTCTTTGTGTTTTTTTTAAGTTACGTAGTATTGTTGTCTAACGTCGGAAAAGGAAATTCCTATAAATAAAAAGAAAAATGGAAATTCTTATGAACGAAACACGAAACCAAGATGATGAAGGCAAAAATATGAAGTGTAATGAGAAAATTAACAATTTTAGGACGATTAAGATTAGGAATATAAACTCTAACGAATCTCAAAGTCTATATAAATACACACAAATCATTACTGATTCATCGTTCAAACATCACACACAGGAAACTCTTAATTTCGTCGAGTTATGGAGACCATCTACGACCACTTGAAGGGGAGCCGTAGACGAAAGAGTAGTTGCGAAAAAGTTGACGACGGCTGGTTTCGTTGGGTGTTACGAACCCTAGAGGTTTGCAACATTGATGACAAGAACGTGTTTTGCCAAAAGACATGCGCATGACGAAAACGGCTGCAGCCTAGTCAAGAAAGCCATAACAGAAGCTGATGATCTCCTCAAATCTGATTTCCTTGACCTATTCGCAGCGGAAGCTTACGAGCTAAGCATGGACGATTTAGGAATCTCCTTAATCCAACATGTGCTTTGGCCTCGACTTTACACAGAAAACCACACAAGACAACACACGGTTGCACGAGCTATTGGCAGAGTTTGATGAGATTCTCCCGACATCTGATCTTCATAGGCTTGCCTTGAAGCTCACGTCAGATCAGAATCTCTTTGTCGAGTTTGTCAAAACAAAACGAGGCTCGCTCATGGCTCAGATAATCCTAGGAAAATCACAAGAAGTACTCGAGTTGGTTTTTCCGGAAGCAATCCAGCGAAGCTACACCGATATTGCACTCAATCATTACGGTCAGAACATCATTGTACGAACCGTAAACCTTCTCCTGAAAAGAGGTATTACTAGATTTTATGGCCAGATCCTATGCCTAAATGGATACAACGCTCTCTACATAGCAAAATAACCTGGTGGTGAAACGGTCTTGGTTTAAAACGGGATTAATATTCACGACCTGCACTGTACGAAATTAATCGCATGCAACATCGTGGAGAAGCTTCTCGGTGAACATGACGAGTTGCCTTTGTTGTTTATCGTGATGGAGATCGTCAACTGTGATGTAGATACATTGGTGAGATTGGCTAATGATGAATACGGGAATCCAATTTTATTGAAGACTCTGCAAATTGCCAAAGAGGATAGGCCTGATTTGTTTGGTGATCTTCTTGACAAGCTCAAGCCTCTTCTTGATTGCAATTCCTTGCGTCGGTCTCGCGGACAAAACATCGTAGCTTTCATCATCAGGTGCTTAATTTCAGACTTTATTTGATTTACTCTTTTCTTAATTCAAAATTTGTAACAGAAGTTTTCATTTAATTCCAATATCAAAGTTAAACGGATTCGGAGACGCCAACATGTTTTTTTTTACAACAGTCGATGATGTATAAAACTACTTAAAATTTTAATAAAAATATACGACAACTATATCAGTTTAACAATGATCGAGCTTGTGGGATAATATACTATGAACAATGAAGTACTTTCTCTTAGGAGAAAGACTTTTTCCGTATTTTTTGTTTGCTTTCACCAATAATCCATACAGGAGCATGAGCCATCTTCAAAATGGTGAAAGCGTTTCCGGTCCCTTACCGTTATTTTTCTATTGTAAACCTTGGAGATGAGTTTGATGGACGAATGACAATCCTCACAGATGCGTAGGTTCTTAACAATGCGTATCGGTTTCGCGGGGCTTGAGCTTATTAACCCAAACGCAACAGCGATCTTCTCGCTGTGGTAATGAAGCGCGTTTGCTTTGTCCTCTTCCTCCAAGTTTAACAAAACCTGTGTTGTGATCGGTCTGTACCCGGCCAGCCTCAGCTTCTCTGAGATCTCCACAAGCATCGTGTTGATTTCTTTGGCCCTTGGGTGAGAATCATCTTCCACAAGAAACTCATGAAGCACACCATCAATGTCGATCCAACTACACCCTGGATCTTTCCTTATATCCATCTCCTTCATTCTTAGCCTCATCTCTGAAACCTCTGACCAGTTTCCTTGAGAAGCGTACATGTTTGAGAGTGCGACATAAGCTCCACTGTCATGAGGAACCATATCCATCAGAATGTTGGCCACACGCTTCCCCATCTCCACGTTTCCGTGCATTCTGCAAGCACCCAAGAGAGCTTTCCATATAACGTCGTCTGGCTTTATAGGCATGTTAAGTATAAACTGCTCAGCCTCTTCGACAAGACCCGAGCGACCTAATAGATCAACCATACACCCGTAGTGTTCGATCCTAGGCTCTAAACCATCCACATTCACCATTTGGCTGAAGTATCTCCTACCTTCTTCAACCAACCCAGCATGGCTACAAGCGGTCAAGAGATTGATGTACGCAACATCACTAGGCCGAACTTTCGCATGCCTCATTCTACAGAAACAGTCAATGGCTTCACCTGCTTGGCCGTGTATAGCAAACCCGTTGATCATTGCACTCCAAGTAATCACGTTCTTTCGAGGTAATCTCTCAAACACCTGAATCGCTTTCTCGATGATTCCACATTTGGAGTACATATCAATCAAAGCAGAGCCAAGCACGTCATCAACCTCGATCCTGTTGCTTTCTGCGTACATATGCAACCATTCTCCTAACTCTAGCGACCCGATACGTGAAATCGCAGGAAGAACACTGACCAAAGTCACATAATTGGGACGGAGATCTACTCTCTTCATCTCACAGAAAAGCTCTACTGCATCCTTGAAAAACCCGTTCTTTGAATAGCCCGATATCATCGTATTCCACGTGACAACGCTTCTCTGACGCATTTTATCGAACAGCATCCTTGCAGCTTTACAATCTCCAAGTCTCATGTAGCCATCGATCATGACGTTCCATAGAACCACTTCACCATCTCTCTTTCTACTATCCATCACCATATCTCGTTCTATAATGTTCTTGTAAAACAACACGCAAGCATCTTTCATCAAACCACACATCACATACATTCTAACGAGGTTGCTCATCACGAATTCGTCACCACTCATCCCAAGCTTCAGAGCCAACCCGTGAACTTGCTTACCTTCTTCAATCATCCCGGTTTTCGCGCAGGCCTTGAGCACAGACGGAAACGTGAACCGGTTCGGTTCCACGGACTCGTCGGTCATCATCTCGCAGAACAATGTGATTGCGATTGCCGCTTTTTGTTCGTCGCTCTCACTGAAACCCCTGATTATGGTATTCCAAGAGAAGCAATTCCGTTGAGGCATCTGATTGAAGATCTTGTGTGCGTAATCGAGGTCGCGGTGAAGGAGATCGGAGGTTGCACAGAAACGGAGGAGCTCTGCGGCAGCGAGAGTGTCTCGCATTTGACCCGATTTGACGAATATGGCATGGATTTGGGAGAGGTCTCGCATAGTTCGGCATCTGTTGATTTGAGGAAAGAGAGAAGACGGGTGCGACGCCTGAGATGCCGGCGAGGTCCCGCCGGTGGAGTAAAGCGTCTGTGTGGGGTTCATGGAGAATCGCGAGTTGGCTCTGTGTGGCTCATAAACAAGATATAGCGATATACTGCAACAGTCTAAGCTTACAATTGGCCAATCCGGTTTCAGAAGCTTCAGTGTTTAATTCTCGGAATGTTTGGATACAAAATATAAGTACAAGGGCTTATTTGCAAATATGTCTCTCAAGCTTTTTTATTTTAAATACTGTAATATTTAGGGGAAACTTACACTTATATTTACATAATTCATGAAACTTAAACTAGTCTAAACCTTATTATGTTAATCACCGGGTGTCTTTCTTTCTTTACTTCAAACGAGGAAGAATCTTAAACGCTCGGCTCAGGTCTCGAAAACAAACCAACTCACAATTCTGACTAATTTGAGGAAAACAATGCAAAACCACATGCTTTTATATTTCAAGTTTCAATTTTGTATTTTTAGATGTATTTTTTCATACATCAAATCTCTATTTTATACGCACAAACACTTCTCCTTTTGGTCAAAAACGTTTTACCAAAATCAAATAAATTTAAAATACATTCTTCGCAAAAAAAAATACTAACTTTGAATCAAGAAGTACTACTCCAAATTTTGTTTTCAGATACTCCATTGACTTATTTGTCATGGAATGTGTCTCGGCAAACAGATTTCAAAGAAAAGTTAATGACTGTAATCAATTATATCTAAAAAAATCTGAAGCTAAGAACAGAACCCCGAGGTAAAAGAAAAGGACAGAGCATATGAAGTTTATTGCTTTTATATATTTATATCTTTCTTCTCGCTTATCTCTAAAGCAATCTTCCCTAAACCCTACGCAAAAGAGAGAGAGAAAGAGATACAGAGAGTGAGAGAGAGAGAGAGAGAGAGGCTCAAATCGATGCAGAACCGGGAAGGCTGGTTTTGGATTTGAGAGCCAAAGGGAAAAAAATATCTTGTCTTGCAAATGCCGATTCCAAGAAAAGCCTTAACTGTTTCTCGTTTTTCCATTACCTTCGTCTCTCTGTTTTTACCTTTCTTCATTTCCTCGGCCTCTGCATCGACCAATGAAGTCGCCGCGTTGATTTCTTGG